GTCCAATAGAATGCACAATTGGTGCCTATACCTCTGTGATCAAGTCCAGAAAGGAGCCCGGAAAAAACATGGAAAATGTTTTTTTCCGGATGGCGGTCATCAGCCACTGCCGCGGCAACCGTCCAGCCAGGACTGAACCAGCTGACAGAAGGACCAGCAATTTCGAGATTGCAAGTGATGATGTTGCTGGTCCTCAGCTGTGGTCCAGTCCGACCAGATATAGCATGGCCAAGTTGGCCAACACCCTTGGCATGGAATGGGAGGACCTCGTCCAACAGTTGGTGCCTTTCTGGGCAGGAGAAGGAGTTTCTTCCTTCAAGGAACAAGACGAGGTGGTTTGCACTATGAAGATGTGGAAAGACTCGGTGGTTTACAGAGTCTGGTTCTCCTTTGACAGTAGATATGTTCGAGCTAACAATCTTGTTGTGCTCGAACATATGTGGGAGTAAGTGTTGTTAGTTATATTCTACATTGTTAAAAGTTGATATTAATCATAATTTAATTATGTTTTTTGAAAGTTATGGATATGTCCGCAAATTCTTTTCCCACACTGTCAAAGGAGTAACCAGGCTCTTTGCAGCCACCAAGAGTCTTTCCGACGTCAGGCCCTTGCCGGGCATGCTCTTCCCTGTGTTGAGCAACCGCTCACAGGGCAAGAGGAAGATAGTGGACGTGAAGTCCTTCAAGGGGATGGCTGGCCTCATCCACAATACTAAGGACGGGGCCATTAGACATATTGTCTGGTCCTCGCCGACTCACAACCAGTAGTTTTTTCTTCTTCTTCTTTTTTCCTTCTTTCTTTTTAATAAATCTATATAAACCTTTCGTCTTATTCAGATATTACTCAATGAAGTTGATTGTCATTATCATTTTATTTAAAATTGCGCATCACTAGAAAATTCGAATTAACGGTATATCTGATTGATTGGCTATATTTGTAACCTTGATCAAAATTGTAAACAAAAAAGAACAGTCATCTTTTTTTCTCACTTAAAATAGACATCTGAGTTTAACATATGAAAAAAAGATTAATCGCGGGTCCACAGCTTCTAAAAGGGGCTTAGAACACTCTAAATTTAGTAAGATTGATATGATTTTTACAAAGTTACACGGATTTTGCAGATATGCAATTATTTCTGCAAGTACTTGCACTTTTTTTTCTACAGTGACTATCTATAACTTAATAGTCTGTCTATAAGTTGACGTCACATCAAACAAATATACGTTTTTAATTAATGCTTTATAATTTTACAACACATTGCATTAATGTATACATTCCTCAATGGTCTAGTGGCTAGGATCCGACGCTCTCACCGTCGTGGCCGGGGTTCAATTCCCCGTTGGGGAACACTTTTATTCTCATTAAACTTTTCCGTTCCCGATCTGGGTTGGTCTTCGTTTTACTATTGTCGGACATTATTTTGATGAATCCGAGAAATTGGGATAATTGACCGCAGCAGTTCTGTGTGTCAAAGATACCTCATAGATAACGAACCGCAGTAATGTCTTGTAAAGATTAACTACAGTAACATCTTCTGAGCATCAATCGTAGTAAAAGGACTTCTCTTGTAATTAAATAGAGTATAATAGTTTACTGCGGATAATGCGCAGTATTAGTTTAGAAAACTATATAAGACAATTCAATTCCTATCAATAAAAAGCATCTTTATTCTTATCTAAAAACTATTCATAAACTTGACGATCCCCAGTGGTATTGATTCTGTGACTTAGTTACAAGTGCCAGAAAAGAAATACCAGATCGAAACCTGACAGATTCATCAAAATAATGTCCAACAAAAGAAATATCAGATCGAAATCTGGTGTAATCCAGAATTTAAAAAATGTGCCCACTACAGGGGTCGAACCTGTGGCCTTGGCGTTATTAGCACCACGCTCTAACCAACTGAGCTAAGCGGGCTTCGGTATGAATATTGCAAGTATTGTAAAATTGTAAAGCATAAACCAAAAATGTATATTTGTTTGATGTGACATCAACTTATGAACAGACTATTAAGTTATGGATAGTACAAAGTTGTGACTCTTGTGGTGATCCAGACACTCGGATGTTGGATTTATCACATATAAGAACATATTGATATTGGGATAGTGTAGTAGCTATCATCTTGTCAGTATAAAATATATATAAACGATTAAGTAATTAGCTCAATAATTATTACAGTTAGTACTGTAGATAATATCTTAAAGATTGTTAAGATAATTATATCATACTGCCGGGTAAACTGTGTCAGATCGATATGGAGCTAATTTAGTAGGAAGTCCTAAAGCTCTAGTATAAAAGAGAAAAGAATAGCTAAGAGCTAAAGAAGTACGATTTATGACTTGATGTCATAATTGTAACACCAACATTAGTTAAGCAGTAAATACACTCTAATAACCAAATATAGTAAAGGAAGAAAACCTTAAGAAACTAAGACGTAATGACAAGAGCAGATTGTGTTTTCTTATAAAAAGAGACACTTTTTATTTATGAATAAAAAAAACTGATATACAGTCTCAAAGTATTTCTATACGTCCCTATTATCAAATATTTTATTTTTCTATTGTTCCGTACCTGAAATACCACAACTCTATCTCTGGACACAACAAAATCCGATTTCTTGGATTTATTTTCTCTTTCCCTCTTTTTTCTTTTTTCTTGCTATTGATATTTAAATTCCCACTAGACTTTAAATGCTTTTCCCCTTTTTTCTATTTTTTCCTTAATTTTTATTTTTCTTTTAGCTTGCTTTCCTTTGTATTACACTTATTTCTTTATATTTCTTGATATTACTTCTTTAGTATGCTTCCCGAGAGTTCATATTTTTTAGTAGTTTAACTATTTTTATTTTTGATTTTTTTTTGTGATTATACCCAAAGAGCTATACACTCTTCTAAATAATTATTATTTAGCATAAAATGTATCTAAATTGTCACCTTGTATGCAGTTGTCAATTAGTATATAAGAGAGATATTTTTATCCCAATAAAATTCATTCAGTTTTTCTCTATATTTCTTTTGAATATTGTTACTAAGCTTGAACTATTGTCCTGTGGGAAATACTAAGCTGCACACTTTTAGAATCTACAAGCACTGCAAAAGGAGGGCCAATTCAGTATACTAAATCTTGACCAAATACTGTCTGAATGAATAAAATTCAGCATGAATTCGATCGGAATTTATGATGCCAATTTTTTAAAATTCGTGAGTTAAATGAATACAATTAGTATACTGAATTTTAGGAACGCAAAAAGAAAAAGTGTAATATACTTTTATGTGATATATTTTGGTTGTGAAAATATAGACGCACTTTTATCAGACCGCAGATTTTTCATTTTATATTAGTTTTGGGGTTTTTTTTTAAATACAGCACATAACATTCAACATCTTTTTATTACTATATATGGGTTGTTAAAGAAGAGATTTGGTCAAGATTTGGTCAAGATTTAGTCAAGATTTAGAGGTTTATGGGTCATTTTAAAGGTTTTTATTGGTTTGAAAAAATTTTCTTATTGTTTCTAGCTGTTTCTATTCGTCTACATCACTAATCGTCTTCTGTTGCAATTGGGTAGAAACATCACACTCGATGCCGTCATTTATTTTAGTGGATACTATGTTATTCCTTTCGAACATCCATTGGTCTACCCCTGGTGCAATCGACCCCTACTGTATTCCATTGCTTGCTGCGGCACGCCTTCTTGGCCTGTTTGTTTACTTTTATAAAAAATAATTATAGGGTGGATTAGAAAGAATGTTCTAGGTATATTTATTTGAGAGCTACAGATTATTTAAAAAATATGAATGTACTTACAATAAAGTTAAACACGAGAACAGATGGATGTCTTTAACATAAAGATAGATATATCAACGTTTTAGTTAAATGTCTCAATTATAGTAATATTGTCTATAAAAATAATAACTTTTGTTAATACGATGCAAAGTAAATAAGACTATGATTTGCTTACCAGACAGTTCAGAAAACAGAAGAGTTGACAAACACAAAATACAATGACATTGTCTATAAAATATAATCTTTTATTAGAATGAAATAAAGAGTATCAGACTATTTTTTGCTTACCAATTATTCAATACAATAGAAGATGCAGCATGCGGGAAATGGAGATATTATCTATAAAATAATTTCTTTTCATTAGAATTACATACAAAGAAGTAGAATGATTATTTACTTACTTGTCTGTCTGTAGAGAATAAGAGTCGGTGTATAATCAAAAAAAGAGGACCGAGATAAAGACCAGTGACTATAGAGTGTATGGTATACATAAGAAAAATAATAAATACAAGTTGTATCTTGAAGGTGCACGTTAATATTTATACAACATACCATTTTGTAAACCCTCCCAAGGTATATGTCTTTGTTAACGGGCCAGAAAAATCTAAGCAGAATAATTAATACATAAATCGTGAATAAATATTCAAGTATATTTTTATTACCTTTTTATCATTATTTTTGAGGCAGTTAAGAAGGACTTGGTGGTTTAACGCATAGTGTATCATGCTAGAATAAAAACAACAAGATGATTAGGTCTTGAAACTTTGATGTGAGTTGATGCTTACCATGTTAGACATTAAGAAAGAAGTAAAGAAGAAGAAAGAAAAAATTAAAAAAAAAATGGGGGAAATTCAAAATTATAATTTTATGACCGTTGACCCTGAGAAACTGATAGAATCAATGGAGCAAATTGAAAGTCATTCAACCCATCCCGATTGAGACAAGACATTACGTACTAAACCATAATCTCTCACATCTTTGTAATGGATGTAAGCTATTACAAATGCCTTTCCAAGTCGGCTTATAAAGAAAAGTATAATATAGAGAGCAAAATGCTATAAAGAGCATCATCAGAAAAATAATCTTTTGGTGCCTTACTTTCCACCTTTACGTATGTTTTGATTTATTTTATTATTTTAAAGAAACCCGACTCTAATTATTAAAGTATTCACATTGTTTCCATTTCTTTCATTAGCCTTAAATATCTCAATTCATGTCTTCTAATACGCAGCAATCCAAAAAAACGAAAAAGACGACTACAAAAAAGTCTGTTCAACAAACCGATGGGACAGCAGCAAGCACAAGACAATGGGAAATTCTTCCCAGCTTAACAGTTAGCGCAGAGCTAGATGGTACTGTCCTGTCCACTTTGTCCACCATGAGCACCCAACTGAATGAATCTCATTCACTTCTGGAGAAGGTCTACCACAACATGGGAGCAACCAATGGCCAGAATAACAATTCAAACCATAGTCCCATCGGTCAGGCTCTTACTACAGGAGAATATATAAAGTACTGCCTTCCAACGGTTTTGGTAGGATATATACTAGTAATAGAATATTGCAAAGTTACTTACATTATATTTTGCAGAGATTGATCCGTTCTCAAACACGAGCAGTTCTGGCAACAATGCCATTGACAGTCAATGAGGGCGCCTTCTCGACATCCAACCGTCCCATTGCTGATGTAGTGCAGAGCTACACACATTAGCAAGCTGAAGTAAAGTCTGTTTCGTCTGCAGTTGTGGAAGAGAAAACCTGAAGACATATTTCGTATATGCTTCAAAGGGCAAAAGCTTTGCCAGAAAAGATAGCTCGACAAAATCGGATCTCTCGACGCCGGTCCAGAAAGAGAAACGTAAGTATAGTCAACAGTTTTTGTGTAAACTATTTTAACTTTTTTTTTCAGATTCTTGCAGACTACAAGGCAATTCACTTAGCTGACAAGGCAAACCTTGAGTCTAAGTTTGGTGAGACTGTCGTTGACCTTCTGGACTATGACATGTTGTCTGATATTGAGTCAGATGAGGAGAAAAATAAAACTAGATATACTCCTAGAAATAGACATCCCTTGGTAAGGCTCTCATGATAAAAGTTATTTTTTTTAATACTTCTAACTCAAAAGTATTTATATTATAATGCAGGTGGATGAATACTTTACTGTTTTGAAGAAACAGAGACTTGTTAACAAGGGACCAGACGTAATTGGCAATTCTGTCTATCCAATTATTTTGAGAAACACCAAGTTGTCAAATGAGAAAAAGGTGCGTGTTGCTGCTTGGATTCACACACGCCAACAATAAATCGTTATTTTGTTTACAAAGTGTATATAGTACTTTAATGATTTTTATTGATTGTGTTGAATGATGTGGGGTGAAGTGGTAAAATATAATCAGGCGGTATTATCAAGATGAGAAGCAATTAATATATAAATAAAAGGAAAAAGAAAAAGACAAAATCAAAAATCAAAATAATAAATTATTATTTTATTTTATTTTATTTTATTTTATTTTATTTTATTTTAAAGCCAATTAATAAAAAAAAATATATACAAAGCAATTATTTAATTATATAACCCTGATTGTTTTATCCTCGTTTTTTTTTATTGGAAATTATAATACCGATATTAGCAAGAATATGTAATAAAGGCAAAGAAAATGGTAAATGTCGGGTATTAAATATACAAGTTTTTTTGTCTTTTATATTATTGATAAAAGCAAGAGAAATAAATAATGGTTTTTACTATTTGTTAATAGTTAAAAAAACTGGTAATATAATTTACTATTGCTCTTTTAAATACTTAATAAAGAAGTAATGTTAAAACTAAATAAGAATACAGAGATAAATAAAGCTAAACCTTTTTACAGTCAAAAAAACTTGTATTATAATTATTTATACTGGTAACCTAAATAGTTGTTATTTTTTTTATGTGACTACTTTTCTAGGCAGTGGAATAACCAGGTGCTTTTGCATCCCACTCTGCATTTTATGCGTAGTCAACGCAAAGCAGGAATGCAGACGATGTACTGGAACAATGCACGAAGCATCTTCTTCCATAAATCCCTTGTCCCACAACTGCAGACCTTGATCAGCTAATGGCTGATGACTACTTGAATGGTAGGCGGGAAACCATTTAATGAATGCGAACGTTGACACTCTTTTGACTCCACCGATCTTGATGGTATGAGTAAATAAATACTCTATTTGACCAGGAAATTCAGATACATCGTCATTTGTTCTCTCAAGAAACAATACACTCACAAAAGACCCGCGCTTCTTCTTTTCACCACTGCAGTACTCTTGCCCCAGCAACGAAATCTTCTTCACCTTTTGAATCCAATTGTTCACAAATACATCCTCACCAATTGGGATTCTCCCTACCACACAGAAGGAAACACTTGTACTCTGGTAAGCCTTGACATAGAATTCAAATAACCACTGATAGTGATCATCCTTCATCATAGTCAAAGGCTGCAACTTGATTGGCAATGTGGTCGGGGGCAAGGCCTCACTTCTGGTGACATTGTACCATGGATTGGTAGCAGCTTGCTGGAACATTGCTAAGCTAAATGGCAACGCAGGAGGGTGGCCAGCATCCAAATTCAAGGGAGAAGAGCTGTCGGAATTTTATTTTACTTGGGCAACCCCCTCAAGGAACTCTATCAGTGGTGATGAAAGATTGGTAGAATACGCTCGAAGAAAGCTACCAATGAATGCTTTCTCCAGGAAGACTCTCATGAAGGTGACCTCAAGACCATTGCGACGGTTCGTCTTGATGTTCTTCAACTTGCCGTTGTATCTCTCGAAGCTATACAGCCAGAATGCGTATACCAGACCAAAATTAAGCATTGACTCACGCAAGTGCATATGCAAGTGCATATTTGGCGTGATGCTGCTCTCTCCATAAAGAGTCTCACACTCTTTTCCGAATTCTCCAAGGAGCTGGTGTGCGCTGTCAATTTCTGAATATGTGACTGAAGGACCGGTCAACTTTCGGCATGCTTTTACAAAGAGAGTCCAGTTTTTGTAGTCGTCTTCAGGCAAAGCGTCTTTTAGTACCACCAACGAATAAATCAGACACCACGATTGCCACTCGTCTGCCTTCATATACGGGAAACCAGATTCGATCTTTGTTGATAAAACGGCATACCCAGAAGGAACAAGAATACCATCGGCAAGACGTTGCATACGGACGAGAACAGCAGTTGGGAGATACCTCAGGTCTTTCCAAACACTGATCATACGCTTTGCTGTCCCAAGAAACAAATTGTGCATGGGATCAACAATCGTGCATCGGACGGGATCAAAGTAGTGTAGGCAATGCAACTCGGAAAAACGGGTGCCATGCTGCTTCTCCAAAACAGCTCTCTCTGCATCAGATTCTGCGCAGAACCACATCTCAGTTTCGGTTGCATTTTCCTCTTTTGTTTGGGAGACTCAGTTCTCATGATCGAATCCAGAATAATTGATCTTACTTGTTCCAGCAACAACAGTGAAATGACGCTTGCATATGTGACAGGCGTTTGTACTTGCAAATCCTGTAAATCCAGCAGTCTTTCTTGCAGCAGGTATGTCGCAAGCAACACACATAAGAGCAGCGCGGATACTAGTACCATTGGGGAACTCTGGAGTTTTCATAGTTATGCCGCCGTATAACTCTACCAGCTCGTCTACCAGAGGTTCCAAGAAGTTGTTCATCTGGTCGATCTTCGCTTCCTTTGGACCAGGCATGACACCGACAAGGATAATGTTTTCCGGCTTCATTCTTTCTTCCCTAGGCAGGTTGTTCATTGACAGGTACAAGGCCCCACTTGCATGTGTACGACCCTCGAACGGTTGAAACCAATCCACATTCAATGTCAACATCAAAGAATGGTCGTGATTCACAAAAGGCTCGTCATCTTCATCAAGGAGCTCAGACCACATTGCACCATCATAGACGTCCAACAAGGTACTGTTTACGGTTTCCCTTGATCTCCATTGAACGATTTGATGCTCGAACCCAGGTTTGGCAAAATGCTGTGCCAATACATTCTTGAGCGAGTTGTATGGAAAAACCATGAGAGGGACGGCGCGATCAGCTTCGGTGTCAGAGAAAAGAGGATTTCCGCAGTATGTTGGTGGTGTGGTTGTGTATTTTTCGAATGTGCAATTTGGTTGGCGATTGCCTGGTAGGTAAATTGCAAAGCACTTGTTGCAGACAGTGTATTTGATGATGCTTTTTGTCATGAAATTGAAGCCGGTCATAGTCTTTAATGCATCAATGGTGAGTGGGAGATCGGTATCCTTATCAAAGGCAACAAGAAGATGGCGGAAGAATTTCAACATAGCAGTTCCACCTGCTTGAACCAAGTAAAACGCCTGAAAGGTAACGCCAAATAGAGCCATGAATTGGCTTGTTTGAGACATTTCATGAATTTTCAAAGAAGCAACTACAAAGGCAAGTATTTCTGTTAATTATTTGTAACACATTTTATGTATATTTCTTTTTTAAATGTATGCATACCGGAAGCAACCATGTCTTCAAAATCTTCAACACCGGCAACCTCAACTTCGCTCTCATCTTCAGACTCATCGCTTGAATCAGGATCGTCATTGTCAGAAGCCAATGATGTTGTCTTGACATCAGACTCTTCGAATTGAAAAATCTCGTCTTCTCTCAAAAAAGGTACACTCTGTACGGTAGTTTCGGCTGATACAATAGAATAATTGTCTTCATCTATAGTAAAACCAGACTATTAGCTATCTAAATTATGATTTATTAAAAAGAAATTTTATACTCACAATCAATCGATGTTTCAGATACATCTACCATCTCAACGTCTGTCTCTTCTTCGACAACTTCTGTATTAACTGATAATTAACAAAAAAAATATTAGATTACAATTTATCCAGTAATGTGCGTACTACTCAAATGTCATTTACCTCGATTTTTTGGGCCAATGTCTAATAACTTATCAGCATTATTATGACGCTTAAAGGTCTGTGCATTTTGCAAAATTCCGCCAATTGCATTTTTGGTACATGATGAACATGTACACATAACAGTGTAGGTTTTAGTTGTAGAATTCATAACAGTAAGAATAATATTAATAATAATAAAATAATAAAGAGGTGTATACTATATTTTATTTTCATCTTTTATATGTCTCTTATTTTTGTCATTAATAATGAGTTGATATATCTTGTTCACTATGTCATTGACTACATTGAGCTTACCGTCCCTATTAGTAAGAATTACAAATGGATTTTGATGCAGCGATCTTTTCTTAAAAAAAGTGTGCCTGATTATTAATGGGGCTTCAATTTAATAATCACTGATATAATGGCGTAGTTTTTCTCTTTCGCGTTTTTTTAACATGACATCAATTCTCGCTCATTTTGGCAAGTGGCCTTTTTTGGATTTTTTTTTTCTTGTATTTTTTATGACATCAATTCTTGCTCTTTTTTTCAATTTTTTTTGATATACTTTCTTATTAAAAATAAGTCATATATCATACATTATTATATTCTAATAAAATTCGGTATTTTTTGCAATGCAATAAAAATATTATTGAGTCTAAATTAGGTGCATCTGTAACAACAAGTTTTTCCTTCCAGAAAAATAATTAAATACTACATTTAACATTTAATATTTTATTTTTATTTTTTATTTTTCTGCCAAGTCAATCGAAACATATATTTTTTAAGACAATTGTGCGATTTATTGCCTAATTAATAAATATTTGTGTTTGTATCTGTGTTTATTTAATATAATCAGAAAAAATTGCGAATTCCCATCTCAAGAAAAAAATATATTGAAAAACGATGGTGTTTGAAATATTTTTCCAAATTTTGCCAAAATTCAAAAAATAAAATTCGACCGAATCCACCCTCCTTTTGCAGTGAAGTACTGTCTCAACATTTGTCTATTTGTCTATTTATCTGTTTGTCTATTTGTCTGTTGTCTGTTTATCTACTTGTCTGTTTGTCTGTTTGTCTGCCTGTCTGTTTATCCTTTTGTCTATCTGTTTGTTGTCTATATATCTGTTTTCATCTATTTCAAGTCCCATTTATCGTCTAAATTCCTTCTTGTTGGATTGTTCTGAACAAAATTACAAGAATATAACTATATATATAATATATATTATATTTCTGACCAGTTGTATCACACACCATAAATCAATACACATTAATTGACATGTAATATGTTGGGTAAGTCGTAGATTGTAACAGATCACTTAGCAAATAAAATACAATAATAATAGAATAGAACAGAAGACAGATACAGCAAAAGGCAGCAAGCAGCAATAGTTGACAAATAGAAAAAGAGAGAACAACTAAGAGAATCATTATTAAAATTGAGAGAGAGAAAGATATAAGAAAAGAAAATGATAAAACAGAAAAGTAATAACCAACAAGAAGACCAAAACCAACAAACAATCTTCCTAAAACCAAGGAACTGATATGTTATGTTGCAAAATGATATAGATCACAAAGAAAAGAAAACAAGAAAAAAATACTGAATTGAATCGAAATATAATTTTATTGAGTTGAATTTGCTTCTCTTTTTATAGTTGACAGGATTTAGAGTTGATAATAGAAGTTTGGAAAAATACAGATAGTAAAAATAGAATGATGAATAATCAATACAGCAAAGATAAAATATATAAATAAAAATAGGGTAAAAATATAATAATAAAGGTACTGATGTTATGCAGAGATGTTGGTAAGATGAATTATATGTATTGTAGAAGAGAAATGTTATTAGTATGAGTGACCATGATTTTGAATGAGTGCAATGTGAACAAATATGTTAACAAGAGGAAAGGAAAAAGTATTGTGTGTAGAAAGAACTGGGAATAGAAACAAGATTTTTTCTGTACATGAAAGCACTATAAATGAAATTGGTGTGACAATACTACTAATTTGCATGAAATTTGGTGGCTGGCCACACTATGCTAAAGCAGGGGAAATTGACTGTAAATGAGCTATGCTTGCCACTAATCATAGTAGTATTGCCACACTGTCTTTGTGTGTGGTTCTGCCACTAATTTTTAGAAATTTTGGTAGCTGACCACACTATGCTTAATTGAAAAAATTAGTAGTAAATGAGCTATGCTTGTCACTAATCATAGTGGTATTGCCACTAATTTACTAAATAGTAAAGCAGTATGTTTGATTGTCTTAGTTTCAAACAGATTGATAGTAAAAGTAAAGTAGTAAATCTGTATATAGAGAAATTTGTAGTAAATTCATATATAGAGAAATTGATAGTAAAAGTATGGTAGTAAATCCATATATGGAAAAATTGGTGGTAAATTTAGTAGATTTTATTTTTATTCATATGCTTGCTGTGCAGTATGATATACAACAGAATATATAATAGAAATATACAATGAACTATACAATGAACTATATAATATAATATGGTATACTTTGTCTTTAACATAACATATAATGATACATATTCATATACAAGCTTAATAATAATACTAGCAATATAGCTTGCATATATACTAACTCATATATTAGTTATACAAGTAATATATATCTTTAAATATATCAGCTATGAATGACGAGATTCTTTGTTACGAATTATAATTGTTGATGCTTTTTTATTGAAAGAATGCTTAAGCAATCCTATTCCAGTGTTGTGTAAAGCTAAAGTAAAGAATACTATGAATATACGTACTTAAAAGTATTTTTTTTTGTAATTACTTCAAGTATGCTCATTAACAAGCTCAAGTAATTGTGAATAAAGACAAAATCTACAAAAATAAGTTAATATACAAAGTAAATATACATAGTCTAGTAAGCTTACCCTTATAATTTGTTTGCATTTGAAGATTTTCCAGTAGCTACCATACTGCAGCACATGCCCCAGGTAATTAGAAGTACCTACTCATTAATAGCTGATCAGATTGTTTAGTATGCTCTATACAGTATCAGTTTAATAAGACAGTAACTTACATTGACTGTATTTTGTGAAAGTAAGTCAAGAGCATATTATATTGTAGCTGCTTGAAAGAAAAAAAACTGCAAAAAATGTGTTTTTCTAGTTGCATTAGTCTTTTTTTTTAATCAAAGCACAATTATAGTAATTTTATATCAAGAGTGTCTTGAAGTTTGAGCAGTGCATGTTGTTTGAATGTGATTACAGAAAAAGCAATAGAAGAAAGTAAAGGAAATGAGTTGATTTATTATTTATTAAAAAAAAGGGTGATTGTAAAGAGAAATTTTTTTTATTGTTGTGGAGGATGGAAATAACAAGGAGTTCAAAAAAATTAAACACGATGGCTCCGCATGTTTCATCTTGGTGATAAGGATGCCACACTACTTTCTGCCCCACCAAGGCTACTTATAAAATATAGTTTAGTCAGTGTATTAAGTTTTACATTTGAACAATTTATACATACCTTAACTCTTCTTTTTGAACTTCTCCGCTCAACTTTGCCTGCATATTTTTTTATAAAGAAAAGTATTAATGCAATATCTTGCATGAGACTAAACGTAATATATTCAATTTGCCACTTCTCTGTATGGGGTTCAGCCTTCATCACTTCTTGAAGGAGAAGAGCAGCAGCCCATTGATCTCTGCACCTGTGTAGAGCAAACTGGTAGTACAAGAAAATTAACTCCTCGAGTCTCAAGGAGTAGTACAACTTTTGTTGACTACTCAATCTTTTCCAGTTCGTCTCTACAATACCATCTTCATGCATGATACGTTGGCATTGCCTTGTATACATGTGGAACTGGAGTCTAATGAGCTTCTGATCTTCTGCGGATATGTTAACTTCTGTTCCCTGTTACTTCTTCCACAGAAAATTTATGAGTGCATTAATCCTGGAAGTTGCACTTGGCATCTTGTTGGTTCTTGTTAGTATAAAACCAACACGGGCCTCAGTCATTGTAGCAGGAATATGTCTTACTCCTCTATCGTTTGGATGATTTACTAAGTAAGACATTCTGGCTTGTGTAGAACTTTGTTCACCTTTTAATAAAGTGATTTTATAAGTAAATGTTATTATATAAAAGATAACATATTATTCTTATATTATCTGCATGAAAACTGTGCGATATGTCTTCTCTTACAAACTGTTGCTGACTGGTAACAGTTTCTGCAATTTTGGCAACAGAAGCCCAAATATCAGAAAGTTCTTCACAAACTACAGTTCTCACTGTGCTCAGATTTATGTTTTCAGAGATGTTGTTCATGTTGTATATGTTCGTGTAGATAAAATAAAGTTAAGAAAAAATAGCGGAAAGAAAGACATTTACTTATGGAAAAAATAATAAGAAAACAAAAGATTGCAAACTGAGAGAAATTTATGCAATTACAAGACCAATAAAATTATGTTGCTGACCAGCAATAGCTTCTCTGCTCGGTTTGTAAAAAAAAATATAAAAAGAGGAATATATGATTTATTTGAAGCTTTAGATAATACCATTTATTATTGTATATAAATCTTCCACATCACAAGCACCAACTTTTTATAGAAATGAACCCCTCAAACAAAAGAGCAAGAAGTCCCAATGACATTTCTTCATACATTTATGACGTTTGCAACTTGGATTATTTTACAAGTAAACAGCTCCAGAACCATAAGCAAATCCATAAACAAAATACTGGCTCAACATTTTCTGCTAGTTCTTCTACTCACGTTCATTTGGAAAATGAAGACTTGTCATCTCTAGTAGATGACTATATGACAGAAGGTAAACATTTATATTAATCTACCAGAAAAAAAAACAATCTTTTGAATACTAATTGTGTTTAACAGACATATCTTTTGACCTATTCAAACCAAGAACCTACAAAGCCTCCTGTAATTTTGAGGCTGGTGATGAAGGACATGTATACAATGATAATATCTTTACCGAGAATATCTTTACTACTTCACCATTGTTGAGTATTGAGCTGTATGATATTATCACTTCATTCAATATATCTACAGAGTGTCATTGTCAGCTTGCCAACCTAATGAACACAGTATTTTGGGATCATGATAAACTTTCAAAAGGTACAATATACTCAACCAAATTCTTTTTAATTATCTCAAAAAACTAACTATTATGATAAATCCATAGAGTATTCTCCAGAAATATTTCAGACTGGACCTGTAAATACCCTACTAAAGAACAAAGCAGCAATAAAGACTCACACATATGTCATATGCGTGAATGCCTGTAAGTTGTATAATAATACCCAAAACAAAGAAGAATGCCCTCACTGTGGCAGTAAGAGGTTCATGGAAGCCACAGATGATACCCTCACCCATTTGGTCTCGGTAAAGACAATGAAGATGATGTTGCTAGGCGATCAACTGGCTAGACTCTTCGACAACAGTGACACAAGGGAGAAACTCCATTACAGAGCAAAAAGACAGCTTATATCCAGTGAGTTGTCTGATTACTTTGATGGAGAAGAGTATAGGGCCCTCAAAACCCAACACTTTTTTCAGTCTCCTGACGATGTTGCTGTTGCCTTGTTCTTAGATGGTTTTGTAAACCAGAAAAAATCAAAACAGCAATTGACAATTGTATATGCCATGATTTTAAATTACGATCCATTGATAAGGTAATAGAATTAGCTTCTTTCATTTAAGATGTTTTATTATTATTATTTTCATAAAAGAAACTTACATGTTTTTCCTCTTTTTAAGATATACCAATGAATACCTTATTCAACTTGCCATTATACCCAGAAAGCCTGTAGATCTTGATTCTTTCTTGTTACCCATAATAGATGAAGTCATTAGCTTAGGCAAATATGGACTGATTATAAAAAAATTTGACGGTGAAAGGATTGTAGTAAAAGTCTACATGGTAATGACATCTGGAGACATTCCTCAAGTAAGTGGAAGAAAAAAAAGAAAATAAAAAAGGGTGACTTACAAAATTGGCAAAATAGGTTACAAAGTATTGTCATCATAAAGATCATAATTCCAGATACGGATGTCACATATCTGAAGTATTAGGTGAAGCCCCCTTAAGAGGTAGAGGCATGTACTTTAAAAACTGTTGTGTTCCTCTAAGGCCAATGATTGACTTTGTTAATGACAACCCTGTAAGTAAATCACTGCAAGAAAATGAGAGAAATATTTAAAAAATAAACTCATTATACTGATAATTACTTTATATATACATATATAGAATACTAGCATTCAAGAGTCTAACATTATTGCTCGGCTTCATACCTTTACTGGGTCTTCATTCTACAGCCTGGATGAGATGCATTTAATTGGCTATGGTATAGGGAACACACTAGAAAAATAAGAACAATTAACATATTGTCCAGGTAGTCGGATCATAGTGGATATGTCAGAATTTTTTTTCATCCCAGCAGTTTTTTTTTATCAAGTTGGGGTGTAGTTTTGATGTATTCTATTGGCTTAAATAAAAATAAAATAAAAATAAAATAAAAATAAAATAAAAAATACATTTTGGTTTACTATAAAACCGTATCAAATGAAATATTTGTAGCACTCTTGTTTTCTTTTTTATTTTATAATTCAAAATACATACACTATGTTTTCTTCTATTCAAATGCACAACACTGATTGCCACTGCACCAGATGCAATAATAATGATTAAGGAGTTTCCCGAGTATCAAGACGTACTGCTCAGTGTCATAATAAAAGAGCTAGATTTGAAGGTACTGAGATATTCAAGAGTTGTATAATTTATTCAGTGCTGTTATCTGTCTACTGAGTAATAATTGCTTTTATTTTTATTTTTTATTATTTTAAAAAACATAGCTGAAAAGAGAAGCATGGAAGTAGATACTGAAAGTAAGACATTTTTTATTTCAAACGCAGAAGAAAAACTAATAATAAACTATTATATTCCATATTTGTAGTAATCCTGACGTATCAATCCAATTCTGTGGAAGCAATAGACGGTCAGGCCAACTCACCTATTTCGGATGCTGTCTCAACGTTTGACAATGATGTCTTTGTTGGCAATGACTACAATGGTGATGAGTCTGACACGACCGATGACAATGACAGTGATGACAATGGCGAAGAAGACACTGCCAAGATTTATCTTGAAGAGTTTAACAGTGAGAGTCAGTTTTAAATACATAAAAAAAAACTAAAAAAAAATGTGTGTTAATTTTTTTTTAAAAAAAAAGGCCCTTTTGCTGCTTCTGGTATGCCCGAGAATCCAGTACACAGATTTATTACTACTTTTACAGTACTGTTTGCATCTCATTACGTAGTCAATAAGGGTTCTGTTGTCTTGATTGAGTTCATCAACGAGCTCTTCAAGATTTATGGACAAGATTTCCAACTTCCCAAAAGTCTGGCTGGGCTACATAAAATGACTGGCTTTTTGTCTATCACCAAAGGCATCAAGCGATTTGTGTCATGTCCAAACTGCCATTGCATCTATGAAGAAAACATGTCCGTACCTCCCCATTGTGTTTTCACAAATGTTGGTGCACGCTCTCCTTGTGGTTGTAAGTTGATGAAAGAGTCAACTTCAGATGCACTGGTATCAAAGCAAGCATACTTGTACTAGTCTCTCAAGCAAGCTTTGTCTGTTCTTTTCCTTCGTTCTGGTTTTGAAGAGCAAATCCGTCACTGGAACACGGAGCTTAAGATTGTTGATACTATGTGCAACATATACGATGGAGCAATATGGAAAGAGCTGAAGGATGCAAGTGGTGTCTCGTTTGTTGCTTGTCCTCGCTCATTGATGTTGACACTCAACATAGACTGGTTCCAGCCGTTCAATGGAGTTAGTTACTCTTCTGGTGCAATTTACTTGGTTGTAAATAATCTGCCTCGAGAGGTACGGTTCAAGCCTGAGAACACAATTCTGATTGGTTTGATGCCTGGTCCCAAGGAGCCAAGATGCGAGGAGATAAATAACTATCTCAAGCCCATGGTAGACGAAATGAAGCAGTTGTATGTTGGAATGCGAGTCCCAACCTACGAGTGCCCTTCTGGTGCTAATGTCCATGCTGCCTTGCTGATGGTTGCGTGTGACATCCCTGCTGCCAGGAAAACAAGTGGATTTACAGCCCACAATAGTACATGTGCATGCTAAAAGTGTACAACTCAGTTCCCCAGATTGCCCAACACAAATCAGGTGGACTTCAGTGGATTCAATTATTTGCTTTGGAATATTTGAAGCGGTGTAGAGAACAGGTTGCATGCTGAGGAGTGGAAGAGTGCGAGTACACCCTCAGAAAGGCATCAGCTGGAGGTCGAATATGGTGTTCGATGGTCGCAGTTGCAACGCCTTGGATACTTTGATCTAGTACGTGGAACGATCATTGATCCCATGCATAATTTATTCCTGGGAACGCCCAAGAGAATGATGGACCGGTGGGTCGATAAGAAAACGATTGGAGCCAAAGAGTTTGCTGCCATAGAAAAAATCGCAGAGACAATGGTCCTTCCGAGGGATTATACAAAGCTGACATCGAAGATTGGAAAAGGCTTTCCTTACATGAAAGCCGATGACTGGAAATCCTGGGTACTGGTATATTCTCCTGTTCTGCTGCATGATGTTCTACCATTTGAAATGTACAACAACTGGATGAATTTCGTCCGTGCATGCTGCTATCTTATCAAGCCAAGCATCACATTTGATGAAGTGAACAGTGCCCACGACTATCTGGAAATGTTTTGTAAAAAGGCTACCAAACTCTACACTTCCACCATCCTCACCTGCAACATGCACCTGCACCTCCACCTTCGCGAGACCATTCGTGATTTTGGACCCGTGTACGGTTACTGGCTCTTTGGGTTTGAGAGATACAATGGCCTGTTGAAGCATATAAAGACAAATGGAAAAGATAGTTTTGAGGCAACATATATGAGAAGTTTTGTTCAAAATGCATTCAAGGGTGACTATGACAATGCTGTTCTGAAAAGTTCTAGTCACGTTTCCTTTTTCAACATTCTCTCAAAGCTTTCTCCAAAATTCACACCTACCACCACAGTCATTACTCTCTCCTCCTGTCCATTCCGATTGCAATCATTCTTACTAGCATCGTCCAACCCACATCTTCCTCCAAAGGGTAACAAACCTCTCCCTCCTTCGACTTTTCCTCTTCAGCTAAAAAAATTATCACTGATGGATGAAACCGACTATGCCCATCTGCTTCAGCACTACAAAACATCCTATGATCTTCCCGACCTTGTCAGTTACCAATATGCCACGCTCACAAACTCCTTTGTTGACAATGAAATCACAAAGTTGAAGTTCATTGACTTACTTGGTCAACAGTACCGTGGTAAAAATGGTTCAGCTAGTTGTGGTTCTCTTGTCCACGTAATGTTTGTTGGTAGTGACAGTAGAAATACCCTAGTCTATGCTGGACAAATACAGTATCTCTTCACACACTCCTTTACACACCCTTCTAACAGCAATCTCCACCTGACTCGCATGGTTCATGATCATCAACATGTATTCGCATATATCAAGTGGTTTAATACTTCCTCTGATAGATCGCATGAGGATGATGGTCTTGAGTTTTGTCTCCCCACCTTCTCCCCCGATAGTTGCCATTGCATTGTACCTGTGCACCACATCTTTTTAGAGATTGCTACAGCCAGGATTACTACAAGTAGAAATGTTAGTAAGATGTTAGTAATTGCTTTGCCAAAAAAGCTTTATGCTTAAAATAAAAAAAACCCCACTTGAATTTCCTTTTCTTATACAAAAAAAAACAGGACAAATTCCCTATATATATTGATAGTATTGTGTATGTAAAAAGTAATACGTAGATAAAAAGAGAGGAACATTTTTTTTTATTTAGAGCCCATCTCTAAGAGCCCACTGAGAAAAATTGGGGCTAATGTTATCCGGGACTGCTGAGTTGGACACACTAGTAGTGATCCTATGGATCGTTTGATTAGCACTTGACCCCATGGCCTGGACAGCATAAGTGCCAACAAGTGCAATGAAACGGTTGCACTGAAATACATTCGTTAATAATTCACTCAATATAATAATACACCAATACAAACGTATTACTCCAAATTAATCTACCTCATCGCTTCTCCAGCCTGGTTGTACAATATGAATGACATGTTTTATGCCATCCTCATCCGTTTCATTGGCAGACTCTCCATCGGACATTACTGCTTTTTGGAAAGTGTTGGCACAGTCTCTGAGCTTTACAAGATCAATTGCCTCCTTATTGTCTTTGTAGGCCAGTACACAGCAACACTCATTCTAGTAATAAGTTTTGTTAATTTGTTATTTTTATTTTTAATTTTCAACTATAAACTATATATATTAGCATAATACTCACATCATCTGCACGGGCTGCTCTTCATGTAAGAGCATTTGTTTCCGCTATCTCATCATCAGACATTCTCTCACGACGGGTTCTACTAGTGAGGTTGGTGTGCAACCTCTTTTGGAGGTCACTCTGTCTCATACTAGAGGAACCAAACCTGCGCTCAAGGTTAGAAAGAAGTCTCTTGGCTATCTCCCTGTTGGGAGATTTGTTGAAAGCAACATTTGTATCCCATCTGGGCTTGAGGTTGTTGGTCAGGATATTTTCTGGCATTCTCAAGCTAAGCTTGGGTTTTCACATAAGGTTGTGAATATGAGCCTGATAAATAAATCATGAGAAAATGAATTGATAAAATATTTTATAATATGTTACTCACATAAACTGCATTAGATTCTTCATGGGTAGGCTCATGGTTGGAGTTGACAACAGGTGCAGCAACAGTGAGTTTGGCTCTCACAGGAGCAGCAAGGGGAGTTCTGGTCAAACTATCTATGACACTGATGATGTTGGTGCTGGTGGTGGCAAGAACGCCAATTCTGCCATTCATGTTAGTCAGAGTTTGCTCAACATTGCCGATCTGTCCTTTTATGGTAGACATATCAGCTCTCACAGTAGAAAGTATTTCCATAAGCTGCTGATTGGTAATCTCAACAGGACGAAAGGCAATTGCGCATTCACATCTTGTGTTAGTCATTGTCTATAGAATATAATAAAATGAAAGGTTATAATGATTAGTTTTAGATTATATTATTATTATTGCTGTCATTCTACAATTAAATTTATGTAAATTTAATTAAAAATAAATTGTATCAAATTTACATACTTGAATTGTTAGAACAAGTGTATTGATTTGAGAGTATAAGTGTAGTAAGTAGCAAGAGAGTAAGAGTAAGGGAAAGTGTATTATATGAAAGGTATGATTATTATATATATTCAAAATATATTTGATATACGAATCTCTATTAATACTTCTTGTAATGACTGGGATGTAAATCGGTTTTCATATTGCTTTGGGACTTGATGAAATCATTTTAGTCTTTTGTTTTAAACACACTTTTTTTTTTACTTTTTTTATTCGTTTTTTGTTATTTCTTTTTTCTCTCTTTTCAATTCTTGTTATATTTGCAAATTTTTCTGGTAAGATTGTTTTTGGTTCAAAATACTTCTTTACAAAGAACAAAAGAATTAATTTTTTTGTCTGTCATAAGTATTCTCTCTGTTTCTCTCTCTTCACTCTTTACACTCGCAAGGTTTTATGATAAGGCACTTTCTTTGTTTTAAAAGAAATATATACTTCTTTATGTATAACTAAAAAATAACAATATATTTTAATGTCATAGAAACTCACTCTTCGTCTCATTCTGATGCGCCATCTTCACAACAGTCATCCAGATTAGCCAGGGTTAGTAAATATACTTTATGCCATCATTCCATACAATCATTCTGACTTTTTTCTTTCTTTAATATATGCCACATCACCAAAAATACTCTCTACAATCAAACACGGATATTGACATGGTAATAATCTATTTTATTTTAATCTATTTCTTTTTAATATTTATCTAACTGAATATAATTTTTATTATAGATGAACATCCCTCTTATGAACATGCCATTTCTCAAGAATTTCTATCCCATGCTACCATCATTGCCATGGTAAGCCTTTTATTTACTTCTATACATACAATAATATTATTTATACTATATATTAATGTATATTCTCTACTAGAGACGATATTACTGCTTTACAGATAATATCTTGGTCTGCAAAGAAATTCTTTGCCTTTGGTATGTAAATCAATTATTCTATCACGCAATTCACAAACATTAATTCTTTCCTATTGTTTCATAGTCAAAGAAATCATAATTCTGTGCTTTACTGTAAATGTTTTATTTCTTTGTCTATTTGTACTGAGTACTTCCAATGTAAGTATTAATTAATGCATAAAGTTTGCAGTATAAAACACGCACGCACTCCCATTACTAATTTTTTATCTATTCTCAAAGAGTACTGCTCTTACCCCTAAAAAAAATAACGGGCACCTCATTTTCTTCAGGTATTTGTTTTTTGTAGAAAATTTTTCATCCCAAATATAACAAGCTTTCCGAGCAAGAAGTAGCTGAGAATATAGAATAGCTTTATTAGATTTGAAACCTAGAAACATTCTATTCTTTCCAATAAAAATAAAAGCGTAAACCATTACCAATCTAATAAGAACAGGAAACCAAATAAATAAAGAACATATTGCTGGTCCATAATTTTAAAGACGTGTTTTTTTGCTGTTGATGATTGGAGGTTTTAAAGAACTGTCAGTATAGGTGGTCAGTAAAGATGGTCAGTAAAGGTGAGGTGTAGTACAGATAAACTATTGGAGCAATATACATGATGTAATCCATCTTTGACCTTTCCTGTTCTGTGTCAAGAATACCGAGATAAATCCGTAGTTTTAAATATTTTTATTTATTTATTAAGCATAATGAGTATATCAAAAGTGCTACCAAACCTTACTTGCGGAACCCCCCATCTACATATACTGTAGTGTTTGTAAGTCTCGCACATACAGTGCTAGATGACCTTAAAATCTAGTGGAAAAAAATATCAATTATGATATATCACATTATTCCAGTACTGTTTGCCTATATATACACGTCAGTATTTTTCTACTTTTTCCAGTGTAATGTTAATACTTCATTGGGACTACACACATTTATATAATTAATCATACATTAATTATTCCAAGATCACGTTGCTCTGATTAAGGCTCAGATAAGATCAATTACCTGATCCCAGTCATATAATTTTCCCGATCCAAAACAATATAAATAGCAGTGGTAGTTCAGTGTAAGAACCTCATCAAACTTTGATACAAAGTTCTTTCTCAATAAACAAAACCTGTGAAGTTTTATAAAATAAAATCAACAGTAAAAATGATTGAGACATATATAAGAATACTTTGAGACTGTATATAGGTTGTCTTTATTAAAGAATAAAAAGTTGTCCTTTTTATATCAAAACATGATCTGCTTTGTCAGCCACATCTTAATTTCTTAAGTCTGAGTTCATTTAGATATTAGAGAGCTGGTACTGCTGTGTTTATAATTTAATCTAATTGCAGTGTCCTCATATTAACTCAGTGCTTACTGAGCTGTCATAATTACAGTACTTACTGTAATTAATTATTGGTTTTATTGATTTACCATAAGTAAAATAAATAAATTATTCATTTGTTCTTGTAATGATAGCTGTTTTACTATAATAATAGGAATATGCTCTTAGATGTAATAAATCCAATAACCAAGTGTCTGAATCACTACAAAATCTACACAAGTTCTCACAAATCTTTGTTTCTCAATTCAAATCTTAAATTCTTCCTTTTGCAACTTAAAAACTTCAACCACCACAACAATAATTATATTCAAGATTTTCAGAAATATTTGTCTCAGCATCAATCTCTATGTCATTAGCATCATCATTCACCATGCCTACTGCTTCTATAGGTAACACTATATTATATAAATGTGTTAAATTATCATATAAAATAAAATGTTAAGATAGCTTTATATATACAAGATTGTTTGTGAAAATTTCTTTGTACATCATCTACAAAATATCTATGGTGTGTCTGGAAAGAGATCATAACAGAGTATCTGCCATTTAGAGAGCATACTGAGCAACTCCATTTAACTTGGTTATTAGACATTTTAGGAATTGGACTGTGTTTATGAAATTTGAAAAAAAGGGAAATTATTCAGTAACATATTTTATTTTTATAGACTTTCCTATTTTAATATCAGAGTCTACATTGTAGCTAGAAATTCTTAAATCAGATATCTATTTGTTAATCCTTTTTAACATATCTTCTCAATGTTATACTGATTGGTTCCTATTTTTGTCAGCCATATCATATTATATTGCTTTCTATAAATGTAAAATTAATATATTTAAATAAAATATTTCAGTTTTACATTTTCTTTTAAAAAATTTATATATATACAGAATATTTGTGAAATAAAAACTTATTTATCTATGTCTTTATATATTTACAATTCTATAACTACAATAACATTTACAAAAATTATAAAAGTCAAAGTAATAAAAGCATATAATTAAACTTCTTTTTATAGTCTTTAAAATATAATTGGTCCAGCCTTAATATCAAAGTAAAAGTTTTTGTATTAGTTGGTGACAGGGCAAAGCACTAGTCAAAATAAATGTTGGAAGACATAGCATATGCTATATATAATTGAATTGGCCCAATTAAATTGTTGCCACCAAAAGTAAAAAAATCTGTGATGTTGAAAAATTATCAAAATTTCCCTTTGATTTAACCAAAGTTTCTCAAGGGGAAATCATATAATTTTTGTAGTGATCAAGCAGACTGAACTTCATGTACAGAATATCATGACATAGCCAAATGCCAGACCTGTCCACAACACATGTAACAAATTATTGGATTACACTGAGCTGATAAATCAATGGCCAGGCAATATAAAAACAGACAAAGAAGTATACTTGATAATAAAGAAGTATACTTAAAGAAATACAATCAAACAGACAAAATAATATAGTAGATAAAAGATGATTTTATTATAAATAATTACTATTAATATTTATACTAATTATTTGGAATATTTGTCTTGAGGTCTTATTCAATCTGATGCCTCATCTGTAAGAATGTTAATTCAATTATTGTTTCTGCTATGTGAGAATGTGAGTGAGGGTCAAAGTAATGAATTACAAAAAGAGATTCATTTGCTCTTTCCTCTTTTTGGAAACAGTTGATTTGAACCTCCTTTTTTGTTTTCACTTAAGCTTGCTTGCTACTACAAAATCATAATGTGTGATATATTTGTTTGTTGTGAATTGTCATAGTATCACTTAGCAAATAAATGTAATATGAATTACGAAATACAAGAAGAAGAATACAATAAGAATGGAAAAGAATGGGTAATTTGACAGGTAAGAACTGGTGACAGCCAGGTAGAAAAAATAAGAAGAAGATAAAAATAGAAATTATGACAACAACAAAGTTTGAAAAGGACAAAAAGAGGGAAACAGAGAAATGAAATATATCAAGATTGACAGACAACACTCCAAAGAACAAGAACACTGTATATAAATGAAGAATAATGATAATAACGGACAAACAATAAATAAGATCAAGAATAAAATAATGATTTTATTGATTGAAAAGGCTGTTCCTTTTATAAACAAAAATGTTTGGTTAAAATATTTTTTTGAGAAAAAGAAAAGAAAGTCAAGTGAAAATTTTTTACTACATGTAACTGGTGTTGATAGTAGAAGTAGAATAGAAAAATATAGAGAGAGTAAAATAAAAGTATAGTAAAAATATAATAATTGAATAAAGATAAAGTAATAATATAATAACAATATAGTAAAGTAAAGTAAAAAAATATAATAATAGTATAATAATGGAATCTAATAAAATGTAATAAAAAATAGTGTAAATAAATGTTGGCAATAAAGAAGTATATAAAATTAGAGAAAAGAAGTATAATGTTTTTAGTGGGTGACAGGTGTTTCTGAGGTGATAATGTAGATGGGTATTCCAATTTTAAGGAACGGGATTATATTGGAGGGGTTTGGGTATAAGGGGTATTGGGAGCAAGATTTCCCAAGAAATCTGGGGGACCACTCTTGTCCCTCGAGACACGTCACTCGGTCAACTCACTGTTGACGTCAATGCCCACAAGTCCGGTACCACACATCATGGCCCACAGCTGGACCAAACCACCAAAGGAATCCACCGTCTGGTATCTCTCACCAGAAATTGGTCAAAGGTAAAACTTTTTACAGCACACATACTAATCAATAGCGCCCGGCTAGCTCAATCGGTAGAGCGTGAGACTCTTAATCTCAAGGTTGGGGGTTCGACCCCCCCGTTGGGCTTTTCTTTTGTTACGCACGTCGCCGTGCCCGAATTCTTGTCATTTCTGATCTAGGCTATCTTCTGTCTGTCAGAGTTGACATTGGTAACGAAAATCGGGATTTACAATGTCGTTCCTGATCTGGGATGGTCTTCCTTTTACTATAGCAAAGTCAAAAGGTCAAACCCACTGGGGATCGGAGAGTATATGTAAAATCGAAGAGAGGATAAAAGGTGCTTTTTATTGATAGGAATTGAATCGTCTTATATAGTTTTCTAAACTAATACTGCGCATTATCCGCAGTAAACTATTATACTCTATTTAATTACAAGAGAAGTCCTTTTACTGCGGTTGATGCTCAGAAGATGTTACTGTGGTTAATCTTTACAAGATATTACTGTGGTTCGTTATCTATGAGGTATCTTTGACATACAGAACTGCTGCGGTCAATTATCCCGATTTCTCGGATTCATCAAAATAATGTCCGACAACAAGCAACCAGTAATGGTTGACTTTTTAGGATAAAAGATCTTGACTTCGCTGATTGGTCTTTCACATATGTTTTAGATGTTTAAGATGGTGAATATACTTGTAGAAGATATTACTGGATAACAAGCATCTAAGACATATTATCATAGCTATTCTTTTAGCCTGAAATCAATTATCATTTTGTATAAATAGTCAAGAAATACATTTAATAAAAAGCATCTTTATTCTTATCTAAAAGTTATTCATAAACTTGACAATCCCCAGTGGTATTGATTCTGCGACTTAGTTACAAGTGCCAGAAAAAAAATACCAGATTGAGACTTGACATGTCATTCCCGATCTGGGTTGGTCTTCCTTTTACTATAACAAAGTCAAAAGGTCAAACCCACTGGGGATCAGGGAGTATACGTAAAATCAAAGAGAGGATAAAAGATACCTTTTATTAATATGAATTGAATTGTCTTATATAGTTTTCTAAACTAATACTGCGCATTATCTGCAGTAGTTATTATTTATATTTAATTAAAGAAATAGTCATTATACTGTGGTTAATGCTCAGAAAGATATTACTGTGCATAAAGAAGTACTGTGGTTAACTATCTTCAGATTTTACGAATTCATCAAAATAATGTCTGACACTTACAATTGTCGGGCCCAAATTCTTGTTAGCCAATCAGGATGATGATTACACAGAATTCTCTTTTGAGAACGACGACCAAAGTGATTTCCTTTTGCTCACAAAAGAATTAGAAAGCACATAGCTTAACAAAAGTAGAATAGAAACCAAAACAGATATTTATAATGGCTGAGTAGGTTTAGAAAAGATATAAAAGAGGGCGTTATTTCATTCAATAAAAGTTATCTATTTTTCTATTCTCTTTTTATTCTTTTATCTTCGTTTACGATTCCCAGTGGGTCTGACCAATTTTGGCTGTGTTATAGCATTGGAAGAACAACCCAGATCAAAAACAACACAATTCACTGTAAACGTTGTCAAGTCTTGATCTGGTATTTCTTTTCTGGCACTTGTAACTAAGTCGCAAAATCAATATCACTGGGGATTGTCAAGTTTTAAGAATAGTTTTTTCAATAAGAATAAAGATGCTTTTTATTAATTATATTTCTTGACTATTTATACAAAATGATGTTTGATTTCTGACTAAAAGAATAGCTACAATAATATGTCTTAGATACTTGTTGTCCAGTAATATCTTCTGCAAGTATATTCACCATCTTAAACATCTAAAACATATACAAGAGACCAATCGGCAATTTCAAGATCTTTTATCCAAAAAAGTCAACCATTACTGGTTGCTTGCAATTCCCAATTTTGGACACTGATGTCAACTCTGACAACATAGCCAAATTGGTCAAGCTTTTGTCGTGCTTAATTTTGGTGATAAAAGTTCTAGTGACTTGTTCTTACAAAAGAAGCAGGAATTAAAATGATTATTCATCAGTTTGTAGTTTTAGAAATTTGTAATCAAATTATAATAATTTGTAATATTACTAGACACTACTTGAGTGTAGTCAAAGATGAATAATAATTTCAAAAATTATATAAGATAACCCAAATCAAAATAATAAAAATCATCTTTTTATCCCCTCTCTTATTTGCTTACTTCTGTGTTATTAAAGCTTGACCAATTCAGCTACGTTTACAGTGAATTGGAAGATAGTCTAGATTAGGAATGACACTTTAATAATAGCAGTGGACAGATAGTAAAATTCTGAATAAGTATTTCTTCAGGCTTCTTTGTAATAGGGGGTTTCACCAGCTTTGGATGTTGACTGTTGGATATAGTAGTATACTACGGGAAAAAAAGTGGGGTTTTATGGCTGCTTTATGGTGGTTTGACAAGGCGGCTTTGTGACGGTTTTTTGCCAAATATCCACTGCCCCCCTGGAGTTTAAATACATATTACAGATCTCCGCTTTCTGATTCTCCTTTGTTAACTCTTCTATTGGACAGCGTTTCATTCTTTATTGTATAAAATATATTATATAATTGATTACTTTTATTGGGTACTCTCTTAAATGTCATTTATTACTTTAATATTTTAGCTTAGAAAGGAATTCTATTGGACACTAGTACTTTTTTTTTAATGTTACTTTTATGAAAACAGTTTTTTATTGGATAATATAAATGTTAATGTTTGATCATTTTAATAAATACAAATTTTTATTGGTTATTACAATAGAAGATCATTTTTATTAATCATTTTTATTGGTTGTTATTGTGGTATACACACCACAATTGAGTGAAGAACAGACCCCACAACCAAACACTGGTTCCTTCTTGCTAATGAACCTGGCAAGTTAACAGTCTCTGGAACTGTTACACACCAGGCACACGTACACTACATGCTCATACAGTGTAAGCCAACCATTACACAACAAGGATTTGAATTACAGGGATTTGAATAGTAGCAGATATAAACAATATTATTTTGTCTCTTTAATAAATAATACTCTCACAGTATCTACTTTTCCCATTATTGAGATACTAACCCATAAACAATCCTAAATACCTCATTTTTTACTGTGAATTGTATTTTTGACAAAAATGAACAATTACATTGCGAATGCCTCCATCACCAGTTTGAATGACGAATCGCAAAAGAGTGAATTGCAAAAGGACACTAGAGAAGACAGCCAAAGCAACAACAAGGACTTTGAGATGGATGAAGAGGAATGCAACCAAGAAATCAACATCCTGGAAATTGAGATAGAAATTGACGCTTGCCACAAAAAAGCAGCAGAAAAGTTGATAAAGGTTCTGGAAAACCCCAAGACTAAACTCAACAATATAAGAAAGGTCCAAGAAGAGGTGGCCAACACCAAAGAGCGTTGGGTGGCTTTCTGTGATGCCCAAGAGATGATGTCCAGCCCATCAGCCGTTGAGGTCTTCAGGGCCAATATTGAAAAGAAAGCCAGAAAATACCGAGGCAACAACAAGGCAGACTCCTTCGTTCCCCCAACCTTCCTGCCTTTCAGCTTTGTGGTGGACCAGTCTGTCAGACCAACAAGGCGGTCCACGACTCCATCGCCGCGTTTTTGAACGACTTCAAAGTGCAGCTCCGGGCACACAACCTGGATTTTGATCAGCACTGGGAATGCTTGTTCTGGCTTACCTGTGACGAGAGACAACGCGTCTCATTTGAGAAGACAAGGGCCAGAAGAGGTTTGAAGTGGAAGGAGGTATGCCAGCAGCTAGAAAGCGAGCACAGTAACCCGTACCACCTGTGGATCAAGAAGCATGAAGTCCACTGTATGCTGCAAAAGCCAGGAGAGCTCGTCAGAGCATACGTGGAAAGATTCCTGGTCAGCGTTCATGCCGCCAACCTTGACAGTAGTGACGAGCTTGTATGGCTCTTCACCTTCAAGCTGTTGAGACCTGTAAGATAGAAAGCGTGGCAAACATTTACACAGCACTACGGCTTGGTTGTTCCCAAGAACATACACCAGGTCATACCGTTGATTATGGCCACTAGTGGTGAGGAGACAGACTTCCTGTTCCAAGAGGAACGGACCACAAGTGGTACCAAGAGATACCAAGAAGACAATCACGAGTACACTGGCAGCAAAAGAGAATGTGGTGAATTCTGTAGAGAACGATGTAAAAACAATCACAACAACAGAGGATCCTGCCCTTTGCATCCCAAGGGCAGACACAGCAAAGACAAATGCCACATACTCAAGAGTATTACAAGCACAAAGAATAAGACCTTCACACCACCAGCACCAAGACCAGCACCCCTCTGCCGTTACTGTCATAAAGTTCCATACTTCAACGGGCACAAATGCCCTGAGTTTCAGTTGGCCAAAGCCAAAAAGCCAGTATTTGCAAACTGCAGCACAAGAACAGTCAACAGTGAGGATGCACTGGATAGTAGAATTGAGCTGGACCTGAGCCAACTCAATCTACAAGCACAAGATAAACACCTTAACATTCACCACCTCACTGCACCGCCACATAATGATGGCTCACTCTATGTTCCTATAATTGTTCAGAGTAGCTGGGTGTGGGCACTGGTGGACTCCAGAGCAAACACTTCTTTCATTTCTCCAGACCTTGTCTTCTCTCTCTCTCTACCTATCACTAAATGTAGTTCAAAAAAGCAGCACATTTATTTAGCATCAGAGAATAGCTTAGCGGAACATTTAGGCACTGTTGAGAACCTTTCATTATCTTATATGAGTCATAAACTGAATCACAACTTCGTAGTAATGAGTTTAGCCTTAGGCACACAGATGAACATTGGCACAGACTTAATGCCCAGACTGGGCATGGCAATTACAAACTTAGCAACTACTTGGGATGATCAAAAAAGCGATTCATTGAGAGAAAACACTCCAGATGATGTGCCAGAACCTAATAAATCTCCTGCTGGCACATCTGAGAAGCAAAAACAGTTTATGGAAGCTATAGAACAATCTATCAGATCTAACAAACTTATTCCTAAAACATCATTTTGCACTATACACTGGTTCCTTCTTGCTAATGAACCTGGGAAGTTAACAATCTCCGGAACTGTTACACACCAGGCACACGTACACTACACACTCATACAGTGTAAACCAACCATTACACAACAGGGATTTGAATTACAGGGATTTGAATAGTAGCAGATATAAACAATATTATTTTGTCTCTTTAATAAATAACACTCTCACAGTATCTACTTTTCCCATTATTGAGATACTAACCCATAAACAACCCCAAATACCTCAGTTATGACAGAAAAATAAATAATATTGTTTATTTTATTGGCTGTTAAAGCATAGAAAAATCTATAGACACATTTTATTGGCTATAAACTATTTAATATTCTAGGTTTTCATAGTAAAATATCCTATTCAATTCCACTACACCAGATTACTTATAAGACTATAATCTTTTATGGCGGTTCCTCCAGAGATGTGCAACTCTTGCAGTTGATGTCCAGTTTCCAAGACATCTAGTGAAGTCTATACCAGAATCCTTCATTATATTTGCATGTCTGGCACACATTTCTTTCTTAAGTGCTACTGGTATAGACCCCCAGCTAGGATTAGGACCAAGAGCAATCATCAAAGGATGGGCAGCCATATCATCACATATAAGCTTTGTACACATATTGAATGTGGCCTTTTTGTTACTTATTACTTCAATGCCAAGATCTTCACTTATTATCTTGAAGAGATGCTTTAAAGTTATTTCACAAAATATGCTCACCAGTTTGCAGATAGTATTAGCACTAGACTATTTAATGACATATTAATATATATTCAACTCGTTTTATTTTTTGTCTTACAATGGCAGAGACAGAAGGCGAAGTGTGTTGGTTGGAAATGTTTCTATTCTCCAGTTGGCTCTGGAGAGCAGTAATCTCCAAATTCAAATCTTCAATGCTTGTCTTCATTTCAAGCCTCAACTCTTCAATCTGTGCCTTCATTTCAAGTTTGGCCTTTTCTTGGCCTACCTTCAAAGATAGTATCTCATTGTACATGGTGTGTAGCAAAGAGATGGAATTGTTATCTGTGTTATTCATGTTGAGAGTTTGATTTACCTGAGAAAAAAAATTGTTGTGAAAGAAAGATAAAGGCCGAAAAAATTTTCTATTGTCTATTATTAGTTTCATATAAATGAGTTTAACCTATTGGTCCAGCCAATATTATTATTGAGCTACTGTAGCTCTAATAACAGCTATTATGCAATGTTTTAGCTTCTGTTCCTGAGTTTATATTTGTATCATCTATGTCATTGCCTACTTGTAGTCATTAAGTCTATACAAATCTCAACACTATTAAGTATAAAAGTATATTATTTAAAAGGAATTATCAATATTCATACCTTTATTCTTAAGTGTTTATTTCCAATCTAAAAAATGTCTTCAAATTCAATCCTTGATAGTTACCAATGCAATCAATGCAAAGAGCGCCACACCAATTTAAAAAAGTCAAGAGTTGTAGAGCTCAATGCTTTAAGAACCATCATAGAAGACATAATGATATCCAGACTTCACAGACCACGCCTGTTCCTGGACAAGTCAGTGTTGTTTTGAACACTGTCTCAAATGACACTATCAAGTAAGACTACAAATCACATACATACTATTAGAAAGTGTAATTAATTATATTGTTATCTTCATAAACAAGCAGAGAACGTGCTGATGCAATCGAAGATCAGATCATGAATACACTCAACAGCAAAGATAATGATGATCCAATTATGAATATCTTCAGTAATGATGATAATGATGAGTCTATGGTAAGATATATATATATACACCTGGCTTAGGGTGAAATTGACTTACTTCCAACTCCGCTAAAATCAAAGAAGTACACCTCTGTTTTTCAAGGTTAAATAAGTTCTCAAAGACATGATCCTTAAAGACAAAAAATGAATGGAAGATTTTGTAATATGTGTTGCTTATTTATATTAAAAATTGATGGAGGTTTAATAGTTAATAGCTCCTCCATGCTTCTTCCTAACTAATATCATACGATCTTTAATGCTCAGGCAAAACTTCACACAAGTACTTGCTGTGATTTCTGCCCACTCCTCCAACAAAGCAACGTCCAGTTCTTTTAGCATGGTAGGCTGGGTCTTCTATCTCTAACCTTGTTATCAAGGTAGCTCCACATATTCTCAATTGGATTGAGATCTGGACTTTTTGCAGGCCATGGTAAGATAGCCACATCGTTTCTTTTTTTCCACTGTTCCGCCAACTTGCTCTTATGTGGCTTGGCATTGTCTTCTTGGAGAAGGTAGGTGGTGGTGTCCTTGTCAGGAAGGGCAGCAAGAAATGGGAGATAGTTGACCCTCAGTGTCTGGACATATATTTCTTTTGTCATGTAGTCATCTAATATAACTAGTGGGCCAACACCTCCTGCCCAAATACATCCCCAAACTGATACTGAACCACCCAACCCTTGCACTGCTGGTATCAGACAGTCATCTTCATACTTCTCATGCAGTTGGTGCCAAACATATTGCTGTCCACCTTTCTGAAAAAGGGTGAATCTGGACTCATCACTCCAGATTACTGATGTCCATTCATCATTCCAATTTTTTCGCTCCCTAACCCATTGCAAGCGTGCCTTCTTATATGCTTCATCTAGGTAAGGCTTGGCTACAGCAACACAAGAGCGAAGGTCCATATCGTGCAGATATTTGCGTACTGTTGCTTGACTGATTGAGATGTCATGCATCTCTTTAACACTGCGCGTGATGGTAGCTAATGTGTCGCATCTATTTTTTTTGCGGTGAACTTCAAATAACGAATTGCCCGTGGTGATAGCTTCTTAGAGGCCCTAGGATGCTCCTTCTCAGCGCACGTCTTCTTTGTCTCGTATTTTTTAATTATACGATAAACAGTTGATTGGGATATGCCTTCTGCATGTGAAATCTCATAGGAGCTACGTCCTTCTTTATATCTTCCAATAATCATTCCTTTTTCGAAATCTGTTGTCTTATAATATGAGTTGATAGTTTTAGCTTTATTGTTCTTTGGCATTGTGATTTGTTTTATTAGAGAGATTACAGAATTAAAATAAAAGGAAAATAGAGGATGGTCTTCTTGCATAGAAAGAAGTCATGGCGGAGTTGGAAGTAAGTCAATTTCACCCTAAGCCGGGTGTATCTTATTATATAATGCTAATTATTATTTACCTTGTTAAAGTATGATGCGGAACTTGGCAATGACATGGACATCATTGAAAACAAAACATCTCCTTTGGTTTTTGACTTCAGTCAGCCTGCACCTACCCCTGACAAAGACAATGCAAAGAACCTTGAGTTTCTCAAGATCATTAAGGATTTTGGTATCTCCCGCAATGCTCATGAAATGATAGTCAAGCATTTCAACAGCATTTTGGAAACGTCGACTTGTATTACATACAGAGCATGTACTCCTCATCTCGGCAAAAACCTTTTGAAGTGTTTCTCTGGTGTTGAAGAGACAGTCCATGATATCTGTCAGAGGGGATGTATGCTCTTTACCAGTCCATCCCAGACTGAGTGCTCCAACTGTGGACAGAGCTTGTACAAAACAAGACGTGGAGAAACCGAGGGTGGTGATCTGGTTGCTGCTGCTATAATGATACAGCTTCCATTGGCGAGACAACTGGCTCTTGCATTAGCCAACGAGAATACAAGAGCAGATATGCATTACTGCCATAATCATGAGTCAAGCTCGGATGGGAGTAAAACCAATGTGTTTGATGGCCAGGTTTACCAGCAAGTGAAACATCTGTTTTACGGAAAAGATGACATTGCAATTTTGTTGTCTGTTGATGGATTCCTGCCACACAATGTTCCAGGTTCTGTAATGATCCTCCATGCCACCATTCTTAACCTGAATCCCATGGTCCGGTATGAGAGAAGCAGAATGCTCCAGATCGCAATGATTTCAGGTCCAGGCGCACCTGCCAATTTCTGGTCGTTCATGGAACCAACGATGAAAGAGCTCCTGGTGTTGGAGAGTGAAGGGATGGTTGTTAACACACCAACAAGACCATTCGTGCCAAGATATATGTCTTAATGGTCACTGGTGACATTCCTGCCTTAGCAAAGTTGGCATGTCATTCTGGACATATGAGCAAAGACGGTTGCCGTATCTGTCATGTTGTTGGCCAATGTCCCAAGCACAGACAATACTTCAGAACCTTGCCCAGCACCAATATCTGTACACTGAAAAGTTTCCAGAATTTTTCCCAGGCCAGTACATCCAGCCGCAAAGAGTTAAACAGACAATTCCCTCTGGCAACATTGAAGATATTCTCTGGACCATTGTTTTTTGCCCTCAATGAGATGCATGGACTTTGCCATGGAATAAGCAAGCAGGTCTGGGGTTTGGTTTCTAGTACCTACGGAACAGACCATTGTTTTGCTCTTTCTTCTGGTGTTCGGAAGGAGATCAGTACAGCAATGTACAAAACAAGAAATACTATCCCTACATCCTTCCATGGCAATTGGAGGGATGTATACAAGAGCCACGGGTCGTTCAAGGCCGTCGATTGGGCAGACTTTCTTCTGTTCGTCGTCCCTACGCTGGTGGCAGAGCGTATTGGAGATGCAACTGCCCAGAATGCGTTACTTGGCTTGGTTCAAGCATGTAACCTACTCATGAGCTGGGAGTTATCAGCAGAGGAACAAACCTCTATCAAAAGATATATTTTAGTAAAAGCTATGTGTTATTCTATTATTTATTCTAACTATTTTTCTTCAGTAAACTTGAAATATGGAACATGTACCTGGAATTGCTGCTTACAAGTAGAAAAATCAAAATCAATATTTCCACTATAAACCAGCATCTTCTTCAGCACTATCCTCTCATGATTGACGCATACGGCCCACCTCATGCATATAGTGCCAGATCCGTGGAATGGGCAATTGGTGAATACTCAAGAGCTATCAAGAGTAATTCTGCTATAAATGTTAATGCTGGAAATATCATGCTTGGCTTAGCACAAATACGACAAGCAGAGGCTGGAGTCACTGTCATGATTACAGAAGCAAAAACAGTATGACACTTACAATATGAAGATTCCACTGCTGGTTGGCCGTTGACAGATGAGGGTAAGCGTGTTGGTGCTGGGTCTGATATTGAGTTCTGGGGGCCATTGAGGAATAGAACGATCCAAGATAGTTTTGAAGGCATTTCTTGTCTTTCAAAACTTCTTGAAGACTTCTACGAATCAAAGGGGGAAGAGTGTAGTATGATTGAAGCAGCTATACAAACTAGCTGCAAGACATTTGTCAATGGTTGTGTGATTGACTCTGCACTCGACCAAAATTGTGTAAGGGAGGCACATAACATCAGATTACAGATTCAGGTTGATGAAAGCTGCAACATAAATTCTGCATACTTCCCGGTTTACAAGGATTTCTTTGGAAAATTTATTGTCTTCTTTGAGCACAAACTCAACAACAACAGGTGGCCACTTGCTCTTGTAGAGATTGCGGCAGTCCGTTTGGTAAATGGTATACCAGTTGTTAACAATGGGCAAATGAAGCCAAAGGTAGTTCACCTGGCAGATGTCAAAGAATTGGTTGGTTTGGTGAAGTTGGAAGCGACTATAAATACAACAACAGCATATATAGTGTGGCCAGAGCTTAACCGCGGCCCAAAATTGTCACTTGGTTCTCTTGCAGACCTACAATTTGTTTTTTTTGTAATACATTTTTTTTTCAAATTGTCTTAACATATTTTATTCTCTCAGCAAAAAGTTTAGATATTTTCTTCTCTTTTACTTCTGACTTTTAATAGTCATCAATTGCAATCTATATTTACTAAAAATGTAAAGTCTGTAATTAAAGCTTACTTTTGTTTATCAGAAGATTTAATTTTAGGTGGTCAATTTGCTTTTTGTCAATCTTTTCAAAAAACCAAGATTTTCTAGTTTCATGTGGTATTTTAGATACAAAACAATAGAAAAATAAAATATTTGATAATAGAGACATATAGAAATACTTTGAGACTGTATATAAGTTGTCTTTATTCATAAATAAAAAGTGTCCCTTTTTATAAAAAAACACAATCTGCTCTTGTCATTACGTCTTAGTTTCTTAAAGCTTTCTTCCTTTACTATATTTGGTTATTAGAGTGTATTTACTGCTTAACTAGTGTTAGTGTTACAATTATGACATCAAGTCATAAATCATACTTCTTTAGCTCTTAGCTATTCTTTTCTCTTTTATACTAGAGCTTTAGGACTTCCTACTAAATTAGCTCCATATCGATCTGACACAGTTTACCCGGCAGTATGATATAATTATCTTAACAATCTTTAAGATATTATCTACAGTACTAACTGTAATAATTATTGGGCTGATTACTTAATTGTTTATATATATTTTATACTGACAAGATGATAGCTACTACGCTATCCCAATATAAATATGTTTTTATATGTGATAAATTCAATATCCAAGTGTCTGGATCACCACATTTCAAATTGTATTTTTAGTGATTTTTTAACTATTATAGGCCAAAAACATAGTCATAAAAGTAAAAAACCGCCATTTTTTCTCATAGTGAGATTTTCTACTTTTCCAAGTTAATTGTAGACAGATGAAGTTTAATATGATTGGTTTAATCCAAAATGTACTTATTCAGAATTTTACTGTCTGTCTACTACTAATCATTCCCAATTCTGGTGCCATCAGTACCTAGTTACTTATTCTCGATTCTTTTATGTCATTTATTTTTCTTATATATTAATTTAACCTGTATTCTTACCAGCTGTATTATCTATTTTAGTCTTAGTCTTTCTAAAAGCCGTTTTCCCCCACAGGAGGTTTTTTACGTGCTCTCTTTACTATTTTTGCTGACTATTTATCCTTGTCTCTGTCATGCGTGTTCCATACTTTTTCTTTATTTACCCTTCACTTTTTACATATTTTTTTATTCCCCCTCATATTTAGGGGACTACTTTTATTATTTTCATTTCTTCTTCAGCTTTCATTGGGTAGTCAATATGCTAAAATGCGCAAGGCCTAGAAAAACTCACAATAAAATATTTTCACCTGTCTACTACTAATATAAACAGATAATTAATACTAGTATTTTAGGGTTAAGATCGTTGTTAGTTATTATTTACTAAAGTTATTTATTTTTTTGACTGTTGATTCACTTGCATAGCACAACCAACATATACACACGTCACTATTAAGCCAAGTTAAAAGCTGTTTTATAGACTGTAATATTGTATTTATGGTGTTATCTAACATATGAAGCAAATTCATCTCAAGTAGAATGCTTTTTCAATCTAGATATATAAATATTAACTCAAAAAGCAGTCAACTGTACAAAAACATAAAAGCCAGAAGTTACAGCCAAAATGTTCTCTACAAGTAGCATATCATAAAATAAGAGTATATAAAATAAGGACTAATGGTGCTCTCCAGCATATGAAACAAATTCGCTCAGAAATGAAAAATGCTATAAACTACATAGATAGATTATCACCTACTCTATATAGCAATTTTTTGTCAGTCACTTTCACTTTGTTTCAAAAATGTAATTTGACTCTAAGCTTTTGCAAAGGCCAGGGGGGGAGGGGGGTAAAAAAGAAATCAAATATCCCAAAGATTTAATATTATTTTAGAGATATGATGTAATCGGGGATAAGTATTGTTCAATTTACTCAAATACCAATGGGGGTAGTATAGTTTCAAATCAATTATATTTCTCAAAGAGCAACAAAATCTATACTACAATCATTTATATACGAGGCATTAGCCAGTCACGGCAGATCCACAAAATAAGGTCCACCACAACCCTCCATCTTAACAGTATTAAAGTTGTTAAATGTATTTCAATTTTCTCTTGTAAAAACTCTGATAGTAAAATACACACTTTTTTATATATGGTAAACTAAAAAATTTAAAGGTATAAAAGTAAAAAGAAGTCACATTAGCATACATTTCCATATTGGAAAGCATATTGAAGTTCCGTTAGTAATAATTGTATATGTTTTATTTAATTTTGTAAGAAAAGTCAAACTTTGCTGTAGATCTACCATTATGTCTTAACTTTGAAGGTATATGACTTTTTATCTAAGACAGTCAGAAAAATCTGAACCATGGAAACAATAGGTGATGATTATATCTATTGTTTCTACGGTCTAGCTTTACAATAACTTGATTTTTGCAAAAGTCATATACGTTTGAAAAAGTATCAAAAACTTAGATAGTTATCTCTGATTGCACTATATTTGTAACACCAGATTTATTTTACTAAAAGCAATATTTCAATTATTTAATTTATTCAATAATATACTCATATTTAGTCATTATTTTGTATATTTTTATTTTATGATATGCTACTTGTAGAGGGCATTTTAGCTGTAGCTTCTGACTCTAACGTTTTTGGACAGTTGACTGCGTTCTGAGTTAATACTTCTATATCTAAATTGAAAAATTATTTTACTTGGGATGAATTTGCTCTGTATGCTAGAGAACATCATAAATGCAATTATATTATTAGATAAAGTAAACAATTGAAATGTTGCTTTTAGTAAAATAAATTTAGTGTTAAAAGTATCTCCAAAACAACATTAATGGTCTTCTCTAGAATACGAGCCAAATTATCCCAAGTAGATTGACTTTTCAATCCAAATATAGAAGTATAAATCCAGAAAGCAGCCATTTTTTTCAAAATGTAAAAAGCAAAGATTACTACTAAACTGTCCTGTAAAAGTTATATTTTATAAATTCTACAGATATAAGATAATGCGTAAATGCAATTATATTATTGAAAGAATTGAAAGATTTCAAATAGGGTCTTTAGTAGACTGCGTCTGATATTGAAAGTATCTCTAAAATAACAACAAATCTTCTTTGGGACATTTGGATTTTATTTAGCAAGCCCTTTGAGGCCGACAAATGTTCAGAGCTAAATTACGTTTTTAGAACAAAGTGAAAATTATGTCATAAAATCTACCATATAAAGTAATTTAATAGCTAAATTTGCAATTATTCACTTTTTTCCATTCTTAAATAATTTGATCCATATGCTGGAGAAGACCATAAATAATTCTTTTTCTTTAAAATAAATCTGTTTTTGGAAGTGTACTACAGCTTTGTTGTGGGGAGAAAATAAAGCAAAATATAATATAGACGAAAGAATTCGTGAGAACTTGTATAGGTTGTTTATTTTAAAAGAAAAGTAAAGAATGATAAAATTCGATTCTCTCTCTACACGGAACTATCTACTGATATTTATATGTTTTTCTAATTTGTAATTCAGTGTGTGCTTAAGTAATCTTTATCACGATGAGTTATCTTCCAGGAGTATTGTTCTTCTGGAAAGATCCGAAAAGACCAATTGATATGATACTTCTCCAGTCAGATCAGTCCAAGAGTTTTGGTAAAGAAGAGCATTTATGCTATTGGTAATATTTTAGTATTCCGACCCAGATACTCGGGTAATGTTTCATAATATTAAATAGTTGTAGTTGTAGTCTCTCAATTAAGTATTTGTATAATAAAAGAAATATGTAGATGAAATATAATGATGCCATATATATAATGTATATGTATTTGTATATCCCATGTCATGGTGATAATAATAAATAATCAATTATGTGTATGATGATCTGTGTATTAGATAATATCATAAAGGGAGATCCGTTTGACTGGAATAGCTGAGAATATTATTTTATCCTTCAGTCTTACTCTCAGATTCAGCAGTAATCAATACTCATTCACAACAAGCTTGTTGTTACATAAAACCTATATAAGTTCCGTAAAATGCTTTATTGAGGCCCATTCATTAACTTTTCTTTTGGGACATTAATAAAGTTTTTTATGTAGAAGACCAATGCTGGAGAGCACTATTACACTACGGGAAAAAAAGAGGTGACCCTGGGGGTTCCCTGGGGGGCCGCCCAGGAAGCTGCTCAGAGGGAGCTTTTCATTCACCTCCTTTCCCACTTCCTGCCTGTTATGGATTATTACATAACTCCGCTATCTAGCAGATGTGAGATTTTATTCATTTACCAATACATCTTTTTGTAGCTTATATGTGTTTTCTTATTAGCACTTATATATGAGAGCTGTATTTTAAGATTTACTTTTATTGGACCTTATAGACTTTTGCTTAAGATTATATTTCAAATCATTGGTCACTTAACAACTAGTGTTCACTTAATTGGTCTTCATTTATATATAATTTACAGTCTTTATCTTTTTAATTGGATGATAAATTTATTTTTAATTGAAATTTCGCTTATAAAATGATTTTATTGGGTGCTGCAACAGAAGTAAATCTTATAAAAATGTTTTATTGGCTGTTGTAACAGAAGTAGATTTTATAAAAAGTGTTTTATTGGTTGTTGTAACAGAGATATGTTTTATAAAGAATGTTTTATTGGTTGTTATACTAAGAATAGTTAATTATATACAAATTTTACTGGCCATATATTTTTTTATTTACTACACATTTTATTCATAATTAATATACTACTTTATAGTATCCACCAGGCATAGACTTATAATTTACTGTCGCTTTTTAGGGTTTTTTCATAATTGACTAATTTTTGTAATGAATGCCCAGTTCTTGTGACATCTGATAAATTCTATGCCATTTCTTTTGAGTAAAAGTGCATGCCTGGTGCACATGTAGTTCTTGTCTTCTTGGGATATGGAGCTCCAGCTTGGATTTGGTCCTAGAGCTTATACGGAATGCATTAGAGTCAATTTATCACAGACAAGACGGGTGCAAGTGTTGAGTGTTGCCTTGTTTTCTTTGCTTAGTTGGACCCCAAGATCTTGGCCCATCATTTTGTATATATGTCTCAAAGTTATGGCCTTTATATTTGAAACTGGTCTTGGAATTGGCCCACCAATATTATATATGATATTATATTAGTTTGTATGCTTTATATTCTTTTATGATTTCTTACATTATGGACTGGAGTTGTCTCTGGAATTGTTTGGCCATTCATTTTTTTGTGCATATCAAAAATTTCTAGACGTATCTTTTCTTGCTCCTTCTGAAGTTCTTGTTGACCTTTTTGAAGTTCTTGTTGGCCTTTTTCCAAGGCAAGAAGTGTTTCTTGCATATTCTAAAATAGCTGAAAAATTGAATAATCTATATTGCTCATAATTATAAAAAAAAGTGAGGAATATGGGTTTGATATGAAAAAGGGGGGAAAGAGAAAGGAATGTTTTTTTTTGTTATTTTTATTAAATTTATAATCTTTGTGCAAATATATTGATTTAATGAGAGTTATTATTTGTAAAGTAGCTGTAATAACAATATATCATATTTTATCACTCTTTTGGACTTTTGGATGTTATTTGAATTGTCTATGCCATCATTGTCTTCAAACAATTAAATACAGAAGTTTGCATCCATAACTCAATTGTCTCTATTCTTACTTATCTAAAGTTATCTATTCCACTTTTCTAAAAATGTCCTCTATTACAAACCTCCTTCCCTATGAATGTCAATTATGCCATACACATTACAGCAATAAAGCAATTGCTGTGACATGTCAAAAGCTATACCTCGGAAAGATACTGAAAGCTATGATGAATGGTGAAGTATCAGAAGATGACTCCTCTTCTGAGTCAAGCCAGTTTATGTTACCAGCAATTTCTAGCTTGATGCTTGAGTGAGTTTAAGAAAAATAGAAAATAAAAAAAAGATAGACTATGTATTAACAATATCAATGCTTTAAACAAACAGAGAGAACACAAACATGATTAGCAATGAAATCAGTGACATTAGCAACAACACTGACCTTGATGAGCCCATGGTAAGATATACATGTATATATAAGTACATAATACTAACTGCTCTTTTCTTAATTAAAGTACGATATTGAATATGAGAGCAACATGGAAGAATCAGTTGATATGGATGGAAGCAAAAGTGCCACCTCACCTGTGGTTTTCGATTTCAGCCAACCTTCTCCTGTCCCAAGCAACAATGATGCAAAGAACCTGGAGTTCATTAGAATCATCAATGACTTCAGCATTTCCTATCAAGCTCACGAGAAGCTTGCTGTGCATCTCAACAGCATTCTGGGGATGTCAACCGAGATAATGTACAGAGTGTGTACACCATACCTGGGAAAGGAGCTCTTGAAGTGTTTCTCTGGTGTAGAGAAAACATTGTATGACGTCTGCCAAAGCGGATGTATGATATTTAACAAGGCAGAGGAGGTTGCTTGCAAACATTGTGGTGAAGCTTGCTACAAAAGCAACAAAACGGATAAGGACGGTATGCCCATTGCTGAGAAAACCATGGTCCAGATTTCTTTGACCAGGCAAATTGCCCTTTCTTTGGCCAACAGTAGTATCAGACACGAGATGTTATACCACCACAGTTATGAGCAAAAGGCAGATATTTTTGACAGGCACGCATACCAGTCAATCAAACATCTTTTCTCTGGTGAAAATGATGTTGCAATTTCTTTGTCTGTCAATGGATTTGCGCCCCATAACGTCCCCGGTTCGATTACTATTCTGCATGCCACAGTTCTTAATCTTTCTCCAATGGTCCGTTATGAGAAAAGCTGGATGTTGCAAATTGCAATGATCTCAGGTCCTTCCGCACCACTTGAATTTTGGTCATTTTTGAAGCCAACCTTGGCAGACCTCAAGGTACTCCAGGAGGAAGGAATGGTTGTTGTGACCTCAACTCTTACCATCTGCACAAAGGTTCATATCCTCATGGTAACTGATGATATTCTGGCAGTGGCAAGACTGGCATGTCTCACTGGCCATATGAGTAAAAGTGGCTGTCAAATCTGTAATGCTGTGGGCCAAACTCCTGGCCGTGGCCAATATTTTAGATCTTTGCCAGACACCACTATGCGCACTTTGGAAAGCTTCCAAAACTTTGATCCAGAAAATTAGTCTAGCAAGGGTCTTGTAGAACAATCTCCTCTTTCTTCACTGGCATCATTCATGGGCCCGCTCTTTTTTACCTTTGACAAGATGCATGGCCTTTGCCATGGAATAGGCAAACAGGTCTGAGGACTTATTAGTGAAAAGTATAGAATTAAACACTCTCTGTTTCTTCCTGCCAATGTACTTAAAGAAATTGGCGTGGCAATGGCAGCAACAAGAAAAACAGTTCCAACAGCATTTCATAGCTCTTGAAGAAATGTATCCAAGTACAGTGTATACTTCAAGACTGTAGATTGAGCTGACTTCCTTCTCTTCATTGTCCCTACACTGGTGGCTGAGCGTGTAAGAGATATAACTGCCAGAAAAGCATTGCTTGGACTTGTGTAAGCTTGTAACTTACTCATGAGCTAGAAGTTATCAGCAGAGGAACAAACCTCTATAAAAAGATATGTTTAATAAGATTCAGTGTTTTTTTTTTGCCACTTATAATTTTCTTCTAGAAAATTACAATCATGGAACATATATCTCAAAGACCTTCATCAAAAGGATAAAATAGAAATAACGGTCTTTACCATCAACCAGAATCTTTTACAACATTACCCCAATATAATTGGTGCCTTTGGTTCTTCACGTGCATACAGTACAAGATCAGTAGAGCGTGCTATTGGCAAGTACTCTTGCACCATCAAAAGCAATTTGGCAATTGGCATGAATGCTGGAAACATAATAGTCTGGCTGGCTCGTATACGGCAATTGTTGACTGATTCTGAAGGAGGCAAACAGAGAGGTGTTGTATTACAGTACGAAGATATGTCTGCTGGTTGGCCAATTACTAGCAAGGGCGAGTGTGCTGATGCAGATTCCAATATCAAGTTCTGAGGACCTTTAGAATATAAAACAATTGATGACAGTGTTATGTATGAGGTAAAAATAAGATATAAAATAAAACAAGTGCAGATGAGAGTACGGTGAGACTTTGTTTTATTAGAAGAAGTGAAAGAATCAGAAAAGAGATGCTGTTCTATTGCTATTAGTATTGTGCGTTTATATAGACATTGTATTTAGCTTGGTGATGATATGATGATATCATGTAATGTCTGTTTCTCTACCATTATCTTCTATGATTTAGTTCTTATGTTTTTAGTGTTATTGACTAGAGTCTTAGTATTTGTCTTAGTATGTTCTTTACGTAATTTTCTTGTATAAGGGAAGGTATATCTTTTAGTATCGTTACTAGTTGTCGGTAACTCAATGTGCATATTTATTGAGTGTCTGTACTTTTAATTTAAATCTACGATTATGTTGGATACAACAGACAGTTTTGAAGACATTTCTTTTCTTCCAATTCTTATTTGAGACTTTTATAGATCAAAGGGGGTAGAATGCAGGACAATTGAACCAGCTATAATATCTAGCTGCAAAGCTTTTATTAATGGCTGTGTGATTGACTCCTCATTTTCCCAAAAAACATTAAGAGGTACATCACGTTCGTCTTCAGGTCCAAGTCGATCTGTTCGCAAATGTATGTTGCCAATACACTCCCATGGCAAAAGACTTTGGAAAAGTAATTTTTTTCTTCAAACATGAGAATTCTGGTAAAAGGTGGCCCCTTGTTTTGGTACTGATATATAGCACTGTATTATACAATGGCATTCCAGTGGTAGTAAATGATTAGCTCAAACTGAAGGTAGTCCACCTGGTGGACGTCAAGGAGTTGGTTGGTCTTGTGGTGTCAGATGCAATGGGCAGTACAACAACAACAACAACAACAAAATATATAGTGTGGTCAGAACTTAATCGCAGCCCAAAATTAAATCTTAGTCAATATAGAGACCTTTAATTTGTCTTTTTTTATTGTAATACATTTTTTTTCAAATTGTCTTAACAAATTTCATCTTTGCAGCAGAAAGTTTAGGTATTTTCCTTGTCTTTTACCTCTGACTTTTAATAGTTCTCTATTTCAATCTATACATGCTAAAAATGTAAAATCTGTAGTTAAAATGTACTTTTGTCTCCTCTGAGATCTAATTATAGATAGTCAATTTGCTTTTTATCAGCTATTTCAAAAACAGAGATTTTCTTATTTCTTTCTGCATTTTTGGCTATTTTTTAATTATTATAAGCCAAAAATGAAGTCACAATTACAAAAAACGCCCTTTTTTTCCCGTAGTGTTAATAAACTCTCCAATTTAGAACATAATAACATCCACAGTAGTATGTGTAACTAAAATAATTATGTAAAATAAAAAAGCCACATTTAAAAGAGATAATTTACACCACCAGAGAAATTTCTTATTTAATCCTATTCCCAAAAGGGTGTCAGAGTAGACATGTTCATTTCTTTACCATATATGAATGAACAAATTTTTGCAATAGTTTCTAGTCGAAATAAATCACGGATTTAAAAATGCATTTTCCAAAATATTAAAAATGGTTCAAAATAAATTCTGTTTCAAATAAATGGCTTTTATTTTTTATTTCAAAGTAGAAAAAATGTCAAGTTATTTTATATAACTTATAGGCAGAAATATACAATAAATTGAATCTAGTTGTTCTAAGCTAAACAAAAAGGCAGAAAATCCATATCACTCATGATTCTTGAATACAAAAATAACCTAATAAAATATAAATGTAATGAGTATTTCAAGCTTAAAAAATAAGTTAAATAAAAGCTTACCTTTGCCTTTACCAAGAAGCATCTCATAAAAATTTGAATCTCTACAAGTTGAAATGAATAAAAGGTTATTAGTATTCAATTACTTTGTAAACTAGGCGTGCAGTTATTACCTCTTAACTCATTTTGACCAGATGATGAAAAAACTAATTGTCAACAAATGAGGCCCGAGATGAATAACTGCATCACATAGTAAAGTACTTCTCTTATATTATACATACCTCAAAAACAAGAGTACACAGACATATTTCCTATAAAGATAATTACTAGATGTAAACGCACGTAATTAACAAACTTTTGTCAGTAAAGTAGAGTAAGAAACAACACGAAGGATGTAATCCCACACTTATTCAAAATCGATTTAAAAAATTCTCATTGGTCTACTGGCTTTTAATACTAATATCGCATCTCACAGAAATATTTTAAAAAAAATGCTAAGTCATTCTCTCTTGGTTTGCCTTATTTTTATAAATTAAAGAGATATACTTTAATAATAAATAATTGAAGATACAGCTGTAACTTATTAATAAAAATATGTATATATCTTTATATCTTAATTGAGTTGAGTTTTGTCTTAGAAGATTACTTGTGTTAGGCATTTTTTACTAGTATTATATAAGAAACAAAAAAAAATCGTATATTTTTTGTTTGAAATTTCGATAAAGTTGTTTTATATGCTGAAAATCATTGCCTTTGCCGAATTTTAACAGAATTTCTTTTTCATTGCTCAATACAACCTCCGAATTTCCTTATTCAATGCTTTGTCTTACTTGAGCAGCTTTTTGTTGATCAGAAAGGTTTGAAGTAGAACCAAAGCTTTTTTTCTCCTTTATTTGGAAGAGAAAAGATTTAACTTACAAAATTACACAAAGAAAAAATCTCTAGGCCAATTATATTGCTTGGGTACCATACACTACCATATTTGGTTTCTAATTTCTGTGGTGGTGTACACCATCCATAGTGGTCTTGGTAAAATTAGCAGTGTATTTAAAAAAAGCCCTGGATGTTTTTGTGAATTGTTAAATTTAAAAAGCCGGTAATTATTATCGACAAATAATCAGTTAAAACTTTTAGTTAAGCAATCCGCTGGAGATGAAAAAATCTAAATTTTCTAGCTAAATTAACATTCTTGTTAAATTTACACAGACCGCTGTGGATGCTCTAACAGGACCATCTTTCTATCTCTCCGTCCCCCCTTTTATTGTTTTCTAAACTGACCTGATACTGACTATATATGAATAAATTATTGTGGTCATCAAGTCTTTGCTTATTATCTCCCAGACAGACAATGAACCAAAGACACGCCATGTCAGCATCAAAATCAAAGTTTATTCACACACAAACTTCAAATCTTGAGGATTCAGTAGAATTGTATCGATCTGTGGCAGGAATCATTCTAAAGAGACATCCAATGTTAAGCACGAAAGACAATGTGATCATTGAAACAGAGATTCATGAAATTACTCGTAGACCACAAGAATGTCTTTATTTACTAATCAAGAAACCGCGAAAGGATCATGCCTGGCAGTTTCCACAGGGCGGGTCCGAGCCAGGGGAAACAGTAGTCGAAGCAGCGCTTAGAGAGCTTAAAGAAGAGTGTGGGTCCGATCTAAAGGTGAAGGTTAATACGAAGGACATAATTGGAGCCTACAAGTACCGGTTCCCCGTAGAGTTTATTTTGTCACAGAAGCGGTCGAAGAAATACGTTGGAGCAAAGGTGTGTCTATTACAGAATACTACAATGAGAGTATCCAAAAAAAAAACAAAGAAAAACAAAAGACATGTATTGTTATTTTCATTATTAAGAAACTCCTAGGTTAATTTCATAAGTGCCGAGTGGGTGTCAGGACAATGCCAGCCAGACCAGCAAGAGATAATTGACTTTGGCTGGTTAACTCGAGAAGAAATTACTAAATATGTTAGCAAAGAGTACAGGGATGCTATTCTCCCAATGCTAAACTAAGTTATTCCGTGTGAGCGCTACACCTTTTCTCTTTTCTTTTAATAAATAAATAAATAAATAACAAAATATTAAGTCTTGATTATATTATTGTTTTTGCCAATTATTTAGTTAAATTGATGTCAGCGCATTCTTCGTTTTTATTTCTTTCTTCAACAAACAATTTACATTCGTATTATATTTTAGCTGTTGCTTGAATAAAAAGGAATAGTTCTGCCAATCAAGTTCTGACTGAATCTGCCACGAATTAGCTAAATTTATTAGTGTGATCAGTAAGTAGAATAGAATTTGAACAAAATCAAGTATTTATTTTAATGAGATACTTTGGTTTTAATTTACTCAAAATTTAATAAGATTTCATGTTCTGTTATTAACTTTTGATTTTCTTTTATTTTTGTCTGAAAATAAGTTTTGCGTTTTTATATTTTTAAATTGAAACCAAAACTTTAAGTATCAAACTATTGATAAAATGTTAAGAGGTTTACAAACAATGCACCATATACGATGACATGTTGCTCAAGTTTGCAATACAAGGTATAATCAAGTATTCACTAATTAAGCACTTTTACTTATTATTATTATTTCCGAATATTTATGATGCGGCTCTTTTCTATATCCAGGAGTAGAAACGTCGATTCGTAATAAAAAGCAAAAAAAAAAACAGACGAACAAGAACACTGTACCTTAGGAGAAGAATGAATAAATTAAGAAACATTTATCAAAGTGTAATATGCATATTGTGCAAGAAAGTATTGCTTATAATTATTTTACTCTTTAGGATGAAAAGATCGTCCTGACGAGTTGAGAGCGAAAAGATAAAAAAGAAAGCTCCTCGTGTGTCAAGAACAGATAAACCGGATGAAGCTGCTGCTATAATGATCTACAAGTCATAGGATCTCAAGGGCATTCAACTAAAAGACGTTTTATCTTTTAAAATTAGGACACCACCTTACTACAACTAGTAACTCATGAATCTGGCTTATATTAACGGTATACCTTGACTATTACCCTTGAGCCCCTTATGTCAAATAATGCTTTCATACAACATATTCTTTACAGAATTATTTTGTTATCGCCATTTCTTGCATAAAGTTGTATATAGAGCTCAACTTTTTATCAGTTAATATGTCCTATGAGCTGTTTCAGATTTACCAAATGATTTATTTGAGTGATATTTCTGGTATCCAGTTTGCAGTGTTCTATTACCGTTTAACAATAGAAGCATCGCAAAAAAAATGCTCTAGATTGTATCATATTCGGACAATGTACACATATCTGATTCAAACTAACAGGTTCAATCCTACCATCAGCTTAAATGGTATTATTTTCTGTATTCAAGGCGATTGTGACCAAATATAACAGTTATAATGTGGAAATCTTTGAAAATACGATAGCCAGTTATTTCATTTATATAAAAAGAGCAAATTTCAGAGTAATAATTTTTCTATTTATCTACATACATACATACATACATACATACATAAACCTAAATTGAATTTTAGGATCTTTTTGTAACTGCAATAAAGAATATTGCACACAGCCATTTACTGGACAATTTACTGATTAGACCACCAGCTTCTCTCTAAAGACCAGATTAAATATTGTCAGAAAACAAGACTATTACAATGCCTCGATTTTTAGCGTCTCTAAATTTAAAAGCTCACACCAATCCGCAATAAACTACCTAGTATCCCGGTGACCAGAGCCACCCTTTAGAGAGATCCTCAAGCAACTATTTTCAGCCTTAATATACCTCTTAAGTATTTATGTACAGCTGCCTGAGCAACAACAAATCAAAAGGCAGCGGTAAAAGCCTATACTCCTGAGAATGTCTGTATTGTTTTCCTCAACTAGTCTAAAGAGAAGATGTTAAACTTTTGTCCGATCAAGCTCTGTAGAAAGCACAAAACGAACCATCTGTTCATTATACAAGACGATTATTTGTTCACTTGATCATTTTCTTTAAAGAAAAGGTTCAAAAGTAATGCTATAGAAACTGTGATTAATCTCTCAAGCAAATAGTGCAATATATTCTTAAACTCGGTCTACAATGATGGTTATAAGTGCAGGGTACTGTTTGCAAGACGGACTACAACCGATCCATTCGATTTTTTTAAGCGCATGGAAAATGACTTTAATGTCGAGAAAGTTACGGAGTGGATCCTGGGAAAAGAGATGCCTTCGACTCCTATAATTGTGATGGTAGCGCAATACGATTAACAACCAAAGAATGCTACCATGTATCTGATAGGGTTCAACGGATGAGAAATGAAGATGCAAGAAAAGTGACTTTGGAGATCAAATAAATTGAAACAAATGCTACGCCCGTAAAAAACAACATTAAGATAGCAGTTTATACGGCATATCCAATACGTCGTAGCTAATATTCCTATCTTATTTGTTTTAAAATTTCATGGTAGCTAAAATATATTGGAAAAGCTTTAAAAGTAGACAGTAGACTCCGAATAATAGCTACAATAACCTTATAAATGGATCAACAAAGTAAAAAAAAATAGACTGAAGCTTGGGATTGCACATCAGACTGTCCATCCAAGGTAATAAGTCAATCGATTACTGTTTGTATCCTATTTCACTTTAAATTATTTAAGTTATCACCGAAATACTAATCTACGTATGCTTAGAATTGGAGACGTTTCTAAGGTTCCCTTAATTGTCTTTGGAGATGGACTCACAAACAAACCGAATATCCGAGAAAATTTACAAGCTTTTTTTTTTGTAAAACAAAAGATCAGAGAACTATGCCTTCTGGACATCAATGAATTTAACACATCAAAGTTTAAGATCTGTATAAAATAAATCATGCCTTTTGCATTTAATCTCAAGCACGGTTATAAGTAACTAATAAACATGATTATTTGTGACAGGACCTTAGCTGTGTCTATAGACAGCTGTAATGAGCAGAGCATATATCACAAAAAAAAAGAAAATGATAAGATCAGACTTACTGAACAATATATATTCGATGCATTAAATAAACATGACAATATTACTACCAATTAAGCAAATTGCTGATTCAATAAAGAGAAATACATAACTGTATATACTAATCATTTCACAAGAGCCTTTAAGCAAGGATGGATCAATAAAAAGCTATAGTATAAAATAACGTAGGTTTATTAGATACAGTAAGTTCACAAACAAACACTATTTGTACAAAATTCATACACATATATGTATTCATTAAAGGAAATAAGTCAGGAGCCTTTACAAGACCTACATATTTAAAATATAGAATTAAAAGGAAAGTCCCCCTAAAATAGACTTGTGTATTAGTGTACGATAGGGTGAGCAAGTAAGTGAATGGGTGAGCAAGTATAGATATACATGCTCTTAAATGACATGTCATTCCGGGTGTATAGATGTGCCTGTGTTATTCCTATCAACAAAAAGACAAAACCAATATGTAGTTATTGTCTGTCTGTCTCTCTATTTTTTTTTTTGAGAAAAAAATCGACCCTGTTATTCCACCTCCAAAATCAAACCAGTAGTGCGTATTCTGGCTATCAAAAGTCTTGGTTGATATCGGTCATGACTGTATCGTATTATTGTCGATATTTGGACCCTGGTCTTGAGTGAATTTCGGTGGAACAATTTACCTTTGTATCTGCCTGAGGCTTCCAATAATAATAATAATTTCCTAGCTTATTTCTTTTATTCTAGTAACACATAGAGCTGTTCCAACGCCAAAGGGTGAAATGAAAACAAGTAAATTAAAAAACGGCTTTTGTTATCTCAAAGGTCGGTTTTTATTTTGTCATTTGTAGTAATTGCCTTTTTGTTTCTTTTGTTGATGGCCGCGCTTTGGCGTTGGAACAACTGTAGGCTTCGCCACTTGACTTCCAGACTTGTCAATTTGTGAGTATAATATATGACCGCCTAGTAAGATATTTATAATGGTAATGATAATAGTTATAATTAAAAACAGAAATATCGATAGTTTAGATTTGGCCCTCATTATACTATACAATATACAAGATAGTTGGCTAAAGTAATTGAGGAGGGTGGGGGTGGGGGTTATATTTATCTAAGAGGTCTGTAGTACAGACATCCAGGTTAACATTTTCTTTTGTCCAGACCTGTCATTGATGTATAGATTTTATTTTTTTTAAAAAAAATCTTGCATTAGACTATACGACATATGCTTTAAGAAAAATGCAGCTATACTTGTAATTGACGATATAGTATAGCCACAATAACACCATCAAACAAAACAAAACAAAAACAGTAGCACCACAAGACAAGAATAATAACAAAGTCATCTTTTATGAATTGTGCTCCTGCCGTAATATTAGCCGACGTATATGTGAAATATTGTATATGTTTAGACAGGCATTTATGAGTTTGATTTTGTATTTGTATTTGTATTTGAGATGATATATTTTATTTATTTATTTATTTGTTTGTTTGTTTGTTTTTTGCAAGATGATCATACAACACTGAGTCTATAACTATCTCTAGAAGGGGAGTAGATGAATAGGAGTCAAATGTATAATGCATGATTTATACAATGGTTCTCTAAATAATATAAAGTGTAAGGTAAAAAGAAAAAAGAAAAGAAAAAGAAAAAGAAGCCTAATGATAAACTAAGCTCTATATTAATATAAATGATGTTTGGAATGGGACTACGGATATTAGACATTGTTTGACAGCAAATACAGAAACTTTTTAACTTGACTTGTTATAAAGGTATTCGAAAGTAGTCTCATTTTAATAAAACACAGATAAATTCAGTGGAATAGAAAGAAAGAAAGGAAAGAAAGACCTAACACATACACACTGAAGAAGTATGGCAATTTCAAAAGAGCCTTTTTGCTTCTTATTTTTTTTTGTTTTTTGTTTTTAATTAAGTACAAGTCTATTTCAGAACCGAGCTTCAAAATGGTCTAGAATCCCGGAAGATGTTTACGGCATCAAGAAAATGAAGAGGCAAAAACAAATTAAGATAAATAAATAAATAAGTACAGCATATTCTTGCTGTCAAATAAACAACTAAACATGTAAATATATTTCATCTTAATCTCCACCTCCTTTACTTAGGGTACCTGACCAACCCTTGTGATGTGATTATAGATAATTTACATATAAATAAATAACTCTATATAAAGACATGCACTTTATGGTTTTGATGTTTCTCCTTTTGTTTATTAAAGTCAGAATATATCTCATATTGATGGTAGTGAAAATATAGACTCAATTTACCTTGAGAACATTTGGCTGTGCAGGTGGCTGTGATATCTAATAAATCAATAAGGAAAGAAAATGTATACAATGACGACGGTTTTGCTTGCTTGCATTTCTGCACCTTCTCTATATATACAATCATACTTGCTTGTTTTCTGTGTCATATTAAAACCAAAACAAAAAAAGTGACAGAAACACTTTATTTAGTTAGACAGACATGTACACAGAATGCATCATTTACAAACATCATTTTCACTCGGTTTGCCACCTGCTGTACAACTTTTATAATAATAATAATAATATTAAGCTTATCTTGTCTTCAAAAATTTGCCTTTCTTTTCAGTGCATCTCGACTGTTCTGTGACTAGATATTTGAAGCCAAGAAGAAATGATACCTAAAATATGAATTCAAGTATTATTTCTCTTGGGTCTAGTTCCCATCCTTCATCAGAATACCCTGGATTTAGTCTCTAGAATAAAACCACAGGCAATACTCAATTACAACAAATCCAGCCTTTTAATTTGGAGAATTTCTATCCCCTTTACCCCTCCCCCTCTCTTATTCACTATCTTTCAGCTTCAGATTCAGCTCTTTCTCTTTCTCTCTTTCTCTTTCTCGCCTTCTCCTCAAAACCTCCCTCTTTTTCTGCTTCTATCCGTAATTGACTTTGTGTAGAAACCTATAGGCTGGTACATAGATCAGGTTCATATACAAAGAGAGATAGAGAGAGAGAGAGCCTTTTATTCTTGCTTCTAAGATGGAGGCTGTTGTGAATGTAAAATAGAACAGTAAATCTTTGCCGTTAATTGGTTAGCGTTTTCACCACTTCCAAATCAAACAATTCGTTTTTCTTTACATATATATATATATATAATATTCAATTGATCGTCTTGCATTGTAATAAATTTTAGACTATTTAAATCATTTCACAAAAAGCTCATTTATATAGATGTCTTTATGTTAGTTCTGTGTTGAGTATCTTGGTATAAAAGCATGGCTTAGAATACAATAAACGGAGTTTTCTTTCCTAATAAAGAGAATATGGTACGGACGTGTCCCGACCTATTTGCTTTACCTGATTTAATTACATATCCTGTCACTTTATCTCATATTACGAAAAAGCTGATTACTGTTTTCCAGACCTTATTGTATTTTATTGTATTTTATTTTTATGGTGTATTCAAAATTATTTAATACATATTATATACACACACAAAAGCAAGTATATATTCTTATTCTCTTTTAGTGACAATTTTATCCCTTATTGATTCAACGGCAAGATAGTAATATATTGTGTTACTTATTTATTTTGTGTAATTAATTGGTACGCGGTATGTCTTTGCCACAGTAAAAGTATCGATCCGAATTATTATGCAAACAAATCTAAATTCTTATTCTTATTCTTCTGCCCTTTTTTTTTTGGCTTTTTTGTTGCATGCGTTAAAAATTCCCATTGTTTTGAATGTTTATATCTAAAGTTCTTTGTGTCTACAGATTATATGTAAGTATTTTCATCATTGTACATATCATACCTTGAGTATGCTTAAATCATTGTCTTGTACAAGTATATCAACAAAAAGACATGTAGACATTTTTGGTATAAATCCAAGGGGGACACACTATGGCGCATACAAAGATTACGGGAGAACAAACGGTAGATAGTATCTAGAGTATTAGATAATATCTCATTATCATTCTTTTCTTGGTAAAGGACATTATTTAATCATAATACCAATAGTAAATGTGATAGTGGAGACTTTATTTAAATATATACATATATACATATATATATATAACTCAAGTATAATGTTAATGTCAGCAATAAATAACTTACTGCTGGATAGTACATCTGTGTGATTCAAGGGGTTCTTTGTCTGAAAGTAGCTATCAAAGATATTTTAATATTAGCGGATGTAGACTGACGAAGCAGCAACTCTAATATATATATATATTTAATTCACTTGCTTTCAACAGATTGAGAATAACGTCCCCGCGCATCAAGCCAAGGGAAACCAAATGCAATTATCATTTCTTCCTGACTCATTCAGGAACCAGCTATAAAAGACCCCAGTTTATCTAATGTTCTATCCTTTACCATCCACACATTTCCAAATATTCATTCACTTTTTTTTTAAAATAATAATAATAATAATAATAAATTAACAAAGTGGTTCTAATGGCAGTCGACAAATCGATGGACAACATTCAAGTCAAGATCATGAATAAATCTTACAAGGTTGATTCTGCAAAGATTGATGATTCTATAACCGAATCCGAGACAGAATCTTTACCAGAGATTGATCCCGTTGTTGAGAAAAGACTGTTGCAAAAACTAGATAGACGGTTAATAGTTTGGGCCTTCTTTTCCTACCTAACAAACAGTCTTATTCGTAACAACATGGGTAAATATCTATATCGTTTTTTCATTCCATTCAAATATAATTACACTATTATTTAATACCAATACCAATGTTCTTCCTCCCCTCTCTCCTTATTGCTTTTTTTTGTTTTATTTATCTACAATATAGCAAATGCATACACCAATGGAATGGGTACAGACGTTGGAATAGAATCTTCAGATTTCAACCTTGCAGTTAGTCTTTTCTTTGTTGGTTATGTTGTGTATGTATTATAGTATTAATTTATTGATTTATAAAGTCTAATGGCATCTAACATCACATTTACTGTTCAAAAAGACTGCAGGTACCTGCTAGTATGGTGATCAGCCGCCTTCGTCCCAAATACCTTTTACCTACTGCATCTCTCTTGGTGGGCACCACGGCTTGCTGTATGTCTCTGGTTAAGAACCCAGCTGGTGTGTTTGCATTGCGCTTGATGCTTGGCCTATTTGATGCAATTTTCGTTCCATCTCTAGTATTTATTATCGGCAGCTGGTACACCAAAGAAGAACTTGCTAAGCGTACAGCCTTTTACTTGACTGGTAATGAGATATCGGGTGCTGTGGGAGGTCTGATTGCCGGTGGTGTATCTGCAAACCTCAATGGTGCTCTGGGAAAAGCTGGATGGCGATGGCTGTTTATCATTGAAGGATCAATGGCTATCTCAGTCGGACTCACCGGATATTTTCTTCTTCCTGACTACCCCTCTAATACACCCTGGATTCGAGGAGATGAACGTGCGTGTGCTTTATTACGGCTAGAACGTCAAGGCCGAAAGGTTGCCCCGACAAAAATCGGAATGCATACGGCCAAGAACTTGCTCTGTACACCTTATATCTACCTTTTATCAATCGCATATGTCTGCATTCACATCAGCAATAGCATTCCACTGAACTTTGTGATCATCATCAACAAGATGGGATATAGTGCCGCATATTCCAACTATTTAGTGACCCCAATCTATATTCTTTCCGCAATATGTGCTATCGTCTTTGCGTTCATATCTGATCACTACAATGAGCGTGTCTGGGTCATTATCGCAGTCGAGTCATGGGTTGCTTTTTGGTATATGATTCTTTTTGTGGTGAACCAAGGAAACAGTCCATTCGGGTTGATCTTGGCGGGCGCGTTTATGGTCATCCTTGGCATTCCACTCTTTCCTATCTTCTTTACGTTTGTCAACGAAATATATAGTGCTGACTCAAATACACGGGCACTGGCTATCGCAACCGTAAGCTGCGTTGGCAATCTCGTGCCCAATTTTCTTTCAATTGCCATCTGGGCTGTCACAGACGCCCCCGTTTTTAGTAAGTATCACAATTCAAAGACCAAAAAAAAATTATAAACGGGAATGTAATTCTTTGATAATAATTTTCTTTAATTTCTCTATCTGGGTGGAACCCATGAATTTAATAACAAATTATGATTTCTACTTTCTCTACAGGACTTGGCAAGCTCGTCACATTTATCATGTCTATATCTGCTGTAATGCTTATGCTACTGGCCTGGTTCATGATTAAGAAAGAATTCAAATTACCACAATCACTAGAGCACAAAACAAGCGAAAAAGATGCCTCTCTTGACGTTTAAACCATCTCCCTACAGATAGACCACCAAGTATAGTGTTGAGGATACATTTATATAAAATGTATACACATATACATACATAGACACTCACATACGTACACATACACACACATACACATACATACACATACATACACATACATACACATACACATACACACACACACACACACACATATATATATATATATATGTGTGTGTATATAGTCTTGTAATTTAGTCTTCTTTTATTTTATACACTGTAGAAAATACACTTACAGATACAATTATACCCTTTCTAAATTCCAATCAAAAATAAATAAAGCAATAAAGCATCTTGTAAACCTATCAGCCGAAAAGAAGCCATTTATGTTCTGTTAAGGTCTTGTTGATAGTCGAATGCACTCTGAATTTTTGCATTGTTGTTTCTACTTGCATAAAGACTCCATGTTCTAGCCTATTCGAAAGCTTTCAAAACAAAGCAATAGGAATAAAAATGATATTTGAATCACATAATCATTAAAAGAGGTCTAGTGAGACTGTGTGTATGTGTACATATATTAAGATATAAGTGTATAGATTAAGGTATAAATAGAATACAAGATCCTACATTATCAGCTATTATTTCCTATACAAAATAAGAATAATAAGAATAAGAATAAGAATAATACGGCTAAAAATAATAAAAATAAGTCTTTTACTTGCTATATCAAAGAAATAAAGAAAAAATAAGAGAATTTGATCCAAAAATGAAATAAATAATCTTATTCAATCTCAAAGCTAAGTCTTCGAATGGTCTCGGGTTTGAGGACCTCAAGCTGAGAACACATATAGTAGATGTCATCGTCAATCTCAAACGAGTACCTCCGTGCCAGACTCTGGAATGTCAACACTCGTTTTACAACTGTGGCAGTAATGCGATGCTTTCTAAAGTTTACCAGGGACTGTTTAAGTACTGGCGAAATGTCCTGGGGGTGCTGTGCTGTCTGGGCACGATAAATCTTGTGATTCTCATGGCTCTCATGGTCGTCGTGTTTCGAAACAAGATAGGCAGGCTGCTCAGAGTTGAAAACAAGATCCGAAAGGTATATGCCAAGAAAAGGAATACAGCCGCCAAAGGGCATTTTGATTTTGGTCTTCTTGGACGCCTCGTAGTTTGTTCCGGGCATTTCGATCTGTACCTCGGTGGGAGACATTCCATATTCATCTGCTACTGTTGTCATGCTGTCTCGAATGTGCTTCCAGTTACGCATAGGTGACGTGAATGCAGACAACTGGTCCAATTGCCTCATTTCTGCCACACCTACTCGGGACCAGGTCTTCTGAAGACGTGAAACCGAAGGTGATTGCAAACCAAGTAGGATTTGAACAAGGGTAGCAAAGTTTGTGTACATCTTACATTTCTACAATAATATATATATATATAGGTAAAATTAGCTTGGTAAAAATAGAACACTTCTTATATGCTTATACACGTTTATTTTCATCCAAGTTACCTGTGCAAGACGAATAAACTTCTCGATAACCTTTACACGTTCTTCTAATTGTTGAGTTCTGACAATCTCACATGCAACCCATTGGCATACACGGTTAAATCTCTCGATTAGGTGCTCGACACCACCGTGAGCATGCTGCCGGGCAAGTTGAATACGGCGGGTGCGGCGGGTGTAATTACCACCGTTAGAGTACACGCTTCTCTCGCTATCCTCCTGACCAATGTCTTCTTCTTCTTCCTCCTGACCATCCATACGACCAATACCATTTGCTCCCATTTTGGTCCATTGGCAATGTACCATCTCTTCCCAATTTACATTTCCTAGAACATCGCGTTCAATGTAGCAAAATTGCTGGGCCATCTTTCCTGATCTATGAGAGAGAATGAAACTCCGTCTGTAGAGAGCACTGTCCGGGATTTCATCTCGATGAACTCTAATCGATGAGCTAAACCCTTTTCTTTGTGTTCCACCTTTTCTGTCCTCATAGGGTCTTTCGTGTGCGCGCTCGCGTGTACCCGATGTTTCTGCTTCTAATGTTTGTTGATGTTGATGTTGATGTTGATGTTGCTGTGTCTGTACTGTTGTTGTTGCTGTTTGTGTGCGTGACATTGGTGGGAGATCCTGCTCCGTTACACGCGATTGAAAGGTAGTAGTATTAGAGTCTGATACAAGAGAGAATTGTGCCAGACATGTGCTGGCAGCCGCTTCCGTAAATATAGACTGGGTTGTAGGCGCATAGCTAATTTTATCATCATCGCTTTCTGTTTCATTGACCTGCAGCCCGATGTCATGCTCAGTGAGAAGGGTACGTGACGCAAGATGACCCAAATAAATGGGTCCATTGTTACGTCTCAAATTAACATCATTTAGGCTGTCGAGGAAAGTACGGCTTCTTTCTTCATTTTCGACAGCAGTAGCAAGTGCAGTTAGAGTATGATGTCTGTTGTCTCTATCAATACTTGCTCCACGTCTTCTTCGAAGCTCCATGCTACGACGACGCTCAGAATCGGCTAGCAAAAGAACACTGAATCTACGACATTCTATAAGTGAAGCCGTATTATCTCCAGAGCAACGGCCACAACCGCATGCTTCAGAATCCAACATTGCATCTTCGCCACCCTTGCGAAGCTCCTCTGCAATCCGACTGACAACCAGGCCACCACTGCCGGTATAATTCGAACCTGGATTTTTGTCTGATGATTCCTGGAATAGGTCTGGTCTGACCATATTGAAATGTTCGACACTTTCCCGAAGAGCAGCTGACACCGGTTGTGGAGTTGAGTGACTTCTTTTGGCCTTTGTTTTCGTTACGTGAGGATGTACAGATTCTCGGGATCGCATTGCTTCTTCGAGGTGAATAGGTCCATTTTGATGAGCTAGCTCCTGATGATGGGTAAGTTCCTGGGTTTGAACAATGTGTACCTGGGAAGGATAGCCAAATTCAGGGGAAGTAGCTGAGGCTAAAGGGATAGACTGGACTGGTACGGGTGCCGGTTCTGGCACTAGTACAGGAACTGGCGCTGGTACTGGTGCCAATGTTTGTTCTGGTGCCAGTACTGGTACTGGTGCTGATGTTAATGTTGGTGTTAGTACTGGTGCTGGTGCTTGAACTGAAACTGGCGCCTGACGAGGGAGTATGATAGGGCTTACAGTAGAGGAAAGATCTTTGGGCTCACTAGCTGTTTTGAACACCTTTGCCAGCTTCTTTCCTAGACCACGCTTTGATTGCTCATTGGAGGGTGTGGTCAATACAGAGACTTCAATAGGAGGAGGGTACATGGCACTAGTCTTCTCATACGGAACGGCCTGGAATGCATCGAGTTCTGAATCGGACACTTTTGGAGCACTCTGCTTCTTTCGACGCAATAGCTTTTTTCCAAGTCCTGCAGGGGTTTCAGGCTCTGGCAAGGGTGTAGCTTCGGGAACTTCCACAACTTCTGGTACCTTAGCTTCTTCTACAGCTTGGATAATTGGTGATATGGTATTAGGAGTGATAGGTGCAGATATAACAGAAACAGGAGCAGGAGCAGGAGCAGGTGGGAGAGGGACTGCTGGTATCTCGTGGGCCATTGAAGCTTCGCGCAAACTCTTTTCACTCTTTCGTTTCTCAATGCTCTTTTTCGAAAGTCGTCTCGAAAGACCATTAGGAACACCGGCTCCTTTGTATTGCTCCTTGATATCTAGTTCACGTAGTAACTCTTCTGGCAAAATTTCTCCTTCAGCGTTCTTTTCTGTTTGTAGAGGCGCTGGTTTGGAATTTGGGAAGGGGAATTGTGGTACGTCTACTGATACTTTTCTGCACCATCTATTGGAAGGAATACGTCTAATTCTGTGTGGCGCGTATATTTCACGATAATTAGGCATGTCCTCTGAGCCCGTCTGATTCAATGCGCTCAGAACAGCATTCATGACGCCATGCGGGTTTCTTCTATCCCTGGATAGATTGTCTTCAAAATCAGTAGAGTCGACACGTCGTCTGGGCTCGTATCCAAAGTCTGCAGATACTACATCTCGTCTTGTCTCTTCTTTCCAATCAGTTGAATCAATGCCTCGTGTTGGCTCGTATCTAAAATCAGCAGAATATACATTTCGCTGTGGATCATATTTCCAGTCAGTAAACTCCACTTCTTGCATTGGCTCGTCTCTGGATTCTGGAGAAAATCTTCCATGATCAGATTCTTGTCTCCAATTTGTCGAATCAATCTCGCGCCTCCTCTCATAGCTAAAATCGGCCGAGACTACATCTCGTCTTGATTGATCCACCCAATCAATAGAATTAAGTCCACGTCCTGGCTGATCCATAAAATCTGCAGAGACTACACCCCGGCTCGGCTCATTCTTCCAGCCTTCTGAGACCACTTTTTGACTAGAGACATCTCTATATTCAGCCGAGACCACTCTTTGACCATTCTCCTCTTTCCATTCTGCAGACACAGATGGTGTGGCTATTTCCGAACTTGAAGACGGGTAACGATTATCAACTGATATTGGAGATTCTGGGTTTTGAAGACCAGGTAAAGACTGCCCCAAAACTGGAAGTTTGGGTGCTAATGATGTCAAAATAGATGTTTCGGGACCAACGTGAGCAGCAGCAAATCCAGGTGACTCTTCTTCTTCTTCTTGTTTTTCTGACACTGAAAAAAATTCGACACGTCTTCTCTCATCTTCTTCTTCACGTTGTCTACGCTCCTGCTCAATTTTGGCTGTCAACATCGCACCTTTCAGATCATGATAAGACGCGGCGTCATTTATGTCCAGGGTGTCAGTTACACCAGATCCGTGGGAGTGGTCGTCATATTCATAATCATCTTCCTCGCTCACAGATCCCACGTCGGATCTACCTGGTGTCAAATCACTTTCTAACGAGTCTCCAGAGACGATACTAATACGTGAGCTGTAATTTGGCATGGACGCTAGATTATCATTTGACATTGATTGAAGACCTTCCTCATCTGATAATTTCTTTTTCTGATCAACCCGTTGAGTGGAAGCTGATTTCATTGCCATTATAGCATCCCCTCGAGCTGAGAACGAGTCTTCGTGGATAGTTTTTGTTGGAGAAGACTGCATCTCGGCTCCTTTGACCTCGGATGAAGCTGAGCGCTGCTTGGTCAGATTTCGTGTACCGTCCATTACGTTACCAATATGGGAGCTGTTCTTGGCGTTCACACTTCCGATCACAACAACAGGCGCAAAACGAGCATCCTGAACCGCCATGTTACCATTGTGTTGCCCACCAACGTCCACGCCACTCACTAAAGCAGTCTTCCGACGGATTGCACTTTGAGACAGCTTGGCCCTAACCATTTCTTCCACTTTTTCCTGGCCAACTGTAGGTGGAGGAGGTGCAATAATCTTGACACGTTCTGAGCTGGAGCCACCGTAGTACACCTTTTTCAGCCGGCGCACAACACGCTTCAATCCCTTGACGATCCGTTGGTCTCGGGGAGACCTTTTTACAAGTGGGTGGTTGGGAAGCAAGTTTAGGAACGAAGTAAGGATAATACGAAGATCTCGAGAAGGAATAAAGTCATGTACGAAGTAGTTGGAAAGCCAATGTCGGATTACTACAAATGTTCTGTTTGACACCATGGCGCCAATGCCGATGAATGAGACCAATGAAATTCAGGCTTACCAAATCAAATAATTTACCTAATTCTCACTACACGCCTATCTTCATCGTCATCCTGAAGGGCCCATCTAAATCTCAAGATAAGAAGTTTACAGAGCTGTGTCGGATGAATAAAGGTTCGGTAGGTCAAAAAGAAGTCGGTCATGTATGTGTAATCTAATGGTCATCGATTAATATCACTTTTTCTTTTTTATTTAATCTATACTTTATTTTATGTTTGGTTTTTGTTTTACCAAGCGTGTTTGTCAATTTCTCTACAAGCTTTTCAACAGAAGCGGCCTCAATGACCTGAGGAATGTTTTCAAGCAATTGAAGCTGTGAGACAGCATCGTCAATTTCTTTTTCCTTTTTGCTGTTCTTTCGTCCAAAGGCTCTTCGCAACAAGAGAGTGCTTTTAAACTCATTATTACTACCACTTTCATCCGAATCATAGTCAGTATGATGGTGTGACCGAAATGGTAGCATCATTAATGAGTTGGACCGACGCATGGTTTTACCAAACTTGGAGGCATCCGAGAGGAATTGGCTTGACCACCGACTTGGTGCGATGCGCGGTCTTGAATTCGTGGCTCTTGAGGACTTTAGGATGTTACTAGATGTAGTATTGGTGGAAAATCCCTTAAGAGGTGGTCTGCCCGGAACATCATCTGAGGCTCTCAGTGTTGAGAAAGATGAGGTTGTGCTAGCAGCCGATGAAATTATGGATGATTTTTGGTGAGTGGTTGCCATTGCAGCCGAAAGGGCAACAGGATCAGGACCCCAAATAATAATTCGATCATCATCGTCTGCCTTGAGGAGATCAAAGATTGCTGGTGGGTAATCGATAAACAGGAGGGGCGGTGCAACATCCTGGTCTGCGCCTTTTTCGTCTGATTCAACCATTATTTTCTCAGAATCCCTTTCCATTGGTGTATCAGGTACAGTCTCAAGTGCGATTGTAGGTACAAGAGGATCAACTCGAGAGCGTAATGTAAAGTTAGTACTTATAGAAGAGAGTGACTGAGTACGTTGGATGGGTGTCATTGAGTGTAGAAGAACTGAGGATGGGTTAGCCGGAAACATCAACTCAATTCCATTCTCGTCTTCGATAAGAAAATCGTTGAATCGACTAACAACAGGAATATCAGGTAGAAGATAGGTTGATTGAATGGTAGTTGAAGGAGATGACACAGATGCAGTTAGTCGTGTTCTGGCGGCCATTCCAAGTTTACTTGATATTTCTTTTGTCTTTTGTTCAGATATTTCACGGGATTCTTCAGCCTGGGAAGCCAGGGCCAGAAAAGGATCGAGAATGGATATGCGCCGTGATTTGCGAGATTCTTCTGGTCCAGCAGAGCTCTCATCGCGTCGAAGGTTGGCAGATAGTCCACTGCTTTCAGGAGCTTGACGCTCCCACAACATCTTTGATTGGGTGTATTCTCGCACACCAAATACTGTAGCAAGTGCAGCACGTTCTCTGCCACCTTCGCTAGCGTCATTCATTAGCTCAGGTGGAATGAGGGAGTTGTTTCGTTTGCGCGCTGGAATTGCGGTCTCTTGGGGTAATGGCATGAATGTTGTCATTGCAGCTGCTTGTGTGTAGTGATCGTTCGGCTCCATAGCTTCGTTATTTGTATCTAGGATTTCATTTATGTGCTGAAAGCTACTTGAATTGAGCCAATAATATAAAGTAAGGGAAATTGTCCAACGATCGTGTTTTAACTTGGTTGAATATAGTTACCTTGTATTTGAGTAGTTTTCATTATTTCGGTCTTGTATATCGTTGAGAGGGAGTGTCCATGAATTGGACGATAGGGGATGGTCCGCCATAAGAGAATATAAAGAGGGGATGGAGTGGTGAAGTGGTGTATCGGTGATGTTTGGGCTGGCGGTGTTGGTGAGGAAGGTGGCTATGGACAGATTGTTTAGAGGTAGAGTGGCAATTGAGCCATAAGTGTATGATTTGGAAAGAGAGTAAAGAGAAAAGGTGAAATTGTAAGCAATACCAAAGTTTGAGAGTCTTTTCCGTCAAATGAGGCACCCGGGCAGGTCTTACTCCACATGCCTTATTGACAATTCGAAGTCTGTACGTACCACCATTCTTGTGGGCATGTAATACGAAGGGCAAATCTTGCGTTCACCCACACGCAACAGTGTACAAGACTAGAAAAAAAAAGGAACAGAAGGACAGTCGTGCTCCTTGCCTTTGGTCTAGACGATCCGATACTTGCCCCACCAACCCTGGGCATTTGATTCAAGGTTGACTCTTTACTATTGCTCAAAAAAAAGAGCAAGAGGTATGATTTAGTTTTTTTGCACTACGTTTACCGCGTGGTTTGTGAGTGCAAATGTGTTAAGTGTGAAAGTTTGTGCTTCCCGAAACAGTAAGACAGTGCGTGGTATGTCGCCTACTAAAAAAAATCCGCTTTTGACTTTGAGGAGACCTGAGACGATCATTGTTTTAGTCAAGCGCATGTCAATTTTGAAAATCCTGGCTATTTATTTTGGCCATATAACTCTTTCATTTTTTTTTAAAAAAAAAAAAACTTAAAAAAGTAGTAGTTTATATAAAAGTGATGGGAACATAGCCAGTTAATGACTGTGTGTAAAGCTATAAGCAAAAGTGCAATTCTTTTTGTTCTATTCTCTATAAAGAATATATATAAAATAAAACGGATAGGAGCACAATTTTGGTATTTAGAAAATGCCTACACAATATTTTTATTCCGGAGAGACAATTTGTCGATAAGCCGATGAGAACCAACTATAAATGATTCTTAGACAGTCGCACCATAATTCATTAATATATATATATATATATATATATATATATTCACCCTCCCATTTCCATTTGAACACTAAAACTCACACGCCCAATGACCTGATATTCAACAGCTGTACAAAAAAGTTGATGGCTCTTTAGCTAATCAATCTCGGGTTTATAATTTTGGAAAAGATAATTAGTCTGAAAAAATCATGCTTTGGTGTCAATGTCTAAAGTGGCCTGCTTTTAGAGCTAAAGCCGCTAAACAGGACCACATCTTTCGGCTAATGCTATATATGTATGTTTCAATTACATAATAAGCTCCCCATATTAATTTACCACATGTATTCAGCATTAACATTTCATAAGTATGTCTGTGCGTGTCCGTGCGTGATGTCTTTATGATACACCCAATTTGTTCTTGGTTTCCTTGAATGTGGCTTAACTTTGCAAAATTATAACCCAGTGTGAAATCGTCTCAAAATCGTACTTTATACTTACACAAATGGCTAACAAAAAATCAAACAAAGCTGTTGCAGGCAACAAGAGACGTGGTGATAATAATATCAACAAGAGCGCATCAAAACACGCAAAAAAACATGTTGAAGAGATAGTTCAAGAAGTAAGTTTTATTTTTTTACTAACGATTAAGAAATTGAAAAAGAAATTGACATGATCACTTTTGATCTAGACACAAGTAGTAGAAGAAATTCAAGGTAATTGTCTCTAAAGATCCCGGCCAAACATTAGTTTCATTCAAATGACTGATCTAATCTCATTACAGAGCCTGCAGAAAAGACCAGCGGGGGACTGTTTGATGATCTTGATGAAGAAATGGATTCTTCTGTCTTAGAACAAGTCATACAGCAAATCGAAAATAACGATGATGATGAAGAGGAGGAAGAGGAAGAGGAAGAGGAAGAGGAGGAGGAAGAGGAGGAGGAGGAAGGGGAAGAAGTGGTTGAAGAGGCTGAGGCCGAAGATATTGAAGAAGATAAAGAAGAAGAAGATACACAATGTTCAGAAGCTCAAAAGAGTACAAAGAAACAGTTCAGAGACCATTACATGACCAAGATGACTCAGGCGTTTGGAACTGACTTAGATACAATTCGACAGGTATGAGAAATTAATCTATTCTTGAGAGCATACGTTTATTTTTTATTTAATATCTGAATAGGAACCGAGCTTTGACACAATGCGCTTGAATATCTTAATCAGCTCCCTGGAGGCTGGTGTGGATATCTTTTCAGATCTGGAACAAGACATTATTTTAGCAGAAGCAAAGGAGGTACAATAGAGCACAAACAAACAAAAATAAAATAAAATAAAATAAAATAAAATAAAGTAATAGACAGCATTCATCTCATTTAACTACAAAAAGAAGAGATCCGTATAATATCCGATAACCCAGGTTACAATTGGTGTGGACAGACTAAAAGTTCAAAAAAGGCGAAAAAAAAGAGCAAAAATCAAAGTCATATTATTGAACGAAAGTTTTAATTTATTTTGCCCTTTTTTTTTTGAAGGTTCAAAAAAGGGGGGAAAAGGGCAAATTTTTTAATCAACTCTAATTGGCTTAGTCTTCTTCCATTCTCATTTGGATTGAGAAGAAGAGCATGCTTCTGATGAAAAATATGTGCTATAAGGTGCAAGGTCTAGAATAACTTGCAATAGGAGGTTTTCGCTTAATGACAGAGACGACATTATAGGCACAACTTTGAACTATTTTTTTTTAAAAAAAGATGTAAACAGTCATAAATTAGTCTGTCTGACTAATTTTAGGATGAACTTGTTTTGTCCTTTTTTTTGCCCTTTTTGAACTTTTAGTCTGTCCACACCAAGTGATATTTTATCATGTGCTATTATATCGCTGCTCACAACAAAGCTTATATAGTTTGCCAGGACTAACTTGTCTATGTGTCGGACATCACAGCAGTAGTCAGTTTTAAGTCAAAACCTAAGTCACCGGGTTAATCTGTGTAACTGATTTTGTACCAGGAAAAAAATAATTGACTATGTGGGGAAAGGACCTTATTTTTATGCTTTACACTTTAGATAAAATAACGACTATGATTTTTTGTGAAAGTTCTTTTCAAAGGGGTTATGCCTCTTCCTTTATATCGTCTGACATCAGCAGCAGTCCCAATTCGTATAATCACATTTGTGCAAGCAAGGTGTCAGATATATTAAGAAGAGTCACGGATCGAGCGGACCTTGCTTTAAAAAAAAATGGACTATTGATTTTTGTTTTCTTAGCCTTTCTCTGCTTCATTACATTATGCGAAACCTTGTTGTCTTTGGTGGCTCATCCCATCCCGAACTAACAGACCTCATCTGTCGCCGTCTTGGTATCTCAGCCGGAAAGACAAAACTCCAAAAATTCAGTAACAATGAGACTAGCGTGGAATTAAACGAGTCTGTGCGTGAGCGTGATGTTTACATTATTCAGTCTGGTTGTGGTCATGTCAATGACAATCTTATTGAACTTCTCATCATGGTCAATGCCTGCAAAATTGCCTCGGCGAAGCGCATTACCTGTGTGGTATGATATATGATATATGTATATATTATGGCCACAATTGACTCTGATAAATTCTTTATATCATCAGATTCCATACTTCCCCTACTCTCGCCAAGCTGATGTACCTTACAAGGCTTCTGGTGCTCCTCTAGCTAGATTGCCACCTGCAACTCCCCAAGGAGAACCCCCTCAGCAAAACACAGAAGATCTCTCTCAGCAACTCTTAAAAAAACTCACCCTTGCAGCAGCTGGGCAGGAGACCAACAAGGAAAAGGCCCCATACCGTGAATGGGTTGCACGATCGGGCACCCTGATTGCTGACCTTTTGACTTGTGCCGGAGCTGATCACATCATTACTATGGATCTTCACGATGCTCAGGTAAAATTAATCTCTGGAAATAGTTTTTTCTATAAAAAAATGAAAATAATAATGATCCCATTACTCGATATTTCATTGTCGGGATTTAGTTCCAAGGCTTTTTCGATTGTCCCGTTGATAACCTGCGTAGTTTGCCTTTGATGATTAAATACATCCGCCATCAAATTCCAAACTACGAAAATGCTGTCATTGTCTCTCCTGATGCCGGAGGCGCCAAGCGGTAAGTATTAATATGATATAATATAATGTAATGCGATACGCGGTACAGTACGGGGTCAAGTGACAAAAGGTGTATGTAGTGCAACTTCTATTGCAGAAAAACTTTGCATGGACTTTGCGTTAATTCACAAGGAGCGTCGCCAAGTACGATCGGAAAAGGCTGAGTTGATTCTGGTCGGAGATGTGCGAGGAAAGGACTGTATTCTTGTCGATGACATAGCCGACACTTCGTTTACTATCACAAAGGCCGCTGCTCTTCTGCGCAAAAAGGGCGCTTTGAAGATTTACGCCCTTGTTACCCATGCAATTCTCTCCGCGGGTGCAATTGAGAATATTGAAAGGTCGACAATTGATGAAATGGCTGTCAGTAATTCAGTTGTTTCTCAAAACCAGAGAATCACCAGCAAAAAGATCAAGGTGTTTGACGTCGCACCTATTTTCTCAGAAGCAATAAGACGTATTCATTTTGGCGAGTCTTTGTCGATGCTCTTTGACCCCAACCACGCAATCGTTTAATGGAACGCCTTTTATAAAGAAAAATACACCGCATTGCATTCTCCTTATTTTTTTTTAGAGACAAACGTTGAGGAAGAATTGTATTTAAAGTCATGCAACAGTCACCAAGGATCCTCTTTCTTCTCCTTTTTGTTGGTTGATGGGTACACCATATTTCGTTTCAATGTCAATGAAATACTCACTACTCGGTACACAGTCTCTCTAAAGATCCTCTCTCTCCTGACGCTCGTCGTCCAGAACAGTGCGCTCATTCTTGTAATGCGCTACACACGTGCCAGTGTAGAAGAAGATGGGCGTTATCTGGCATCTACAGCCGTACTCATGAGTGAAATTATAAAGACTATTATTTGCCTGGGATTTCTTTATGCCTACCTTCCTCGTAAACAACGCTCATTCACCCAACTAATGGCAATGTTGCATCGTGAACTAATTGTTCAATGGCGTCAATCAATCAAGTTTTCATTTCCTGCTATTCTTTATCTAGTGCAGGTACCTTCCTTTTTTGGCCCCCTAAAAATAAATAATTCCTTTGTCTAATTGAGTACATTTCACAGAACAATCTTCAGTACATTGCAGCAACACATCTCGATGCTGCTACCTTTCAGGTTACTTATCAGCTCAAGATCCTTACGACTGCCTTATTTAGCGTTACAATGCTGAACCGAAGCTTATCGCATCGCCAGTGGTTTGCTCTTGGGTTACTTACTTTTGGTATCGGTCTTGTAGTCTTACCCCGAGGCTCAAGTTCCATTGAGGCTGGCGAACCTACTCTTGGTAACCAGTCAAGTGTACAGGGTATTTTGACAGTTATGATAGCATGTATGCTATCAGGGTTGGCAGGAGTATATTTTGAAAAGATCATCAAGGCACCCGCTGTACGACAGGCCCCATCTGAAGATGAAGAACGCCAAAAGGAAGCTAAGAAAGAAGATCATGCCAATGCAGAAGCCAGTCAATTATGGATTGGAAATATACAGCTCTCGTTCTTTTCTGTTATCTTGGGACTTGTGTTTGTAGTAGCACTCCAAGACGGACCAGTAATTCTAGAAAAGGGATTTTTTGCAAACTACAATGTCCTGACCTGGGTCGTTATTGGTATCCAAGCCTCTGGAGGGTTAATTGTTGCGCTGGTGGTCAAACATGCCGATAGTATTCTGAAAGGATTTGCAACAAGCATCAGTATTCTGCTGTCTAGTCTCATTAGTGTGTGTGTGTTTGGAACCACAGTTTCAAGTTTATTCATTTCCGGCGCACTATTAGTTATCTACGCAACTTATTTGTATGGTCTTCAGTAATATCTTGACCAAATGTATTCAAATAAAGTAATATATATATGTGGGTCTTTAATATTAGTTTCAAAGATAATTTTTATGCTACTAGAGAACCCGTTATCGAGTAAAAATTCTAAATCTTTGCCCATTATTATTTTAAGCGGCTAATTAATTTCCAATGAAAAATTCCAAAATTTTACCGTGGAGGCCATTTAGTTATGAATTGGAGTGAAAAATTAGTGAATTCCCAAATTTTCACTCCATCCCATATCTAAGTCTTTAGTAGAGATTGAGCTTATTTTCCCCCTTCAAAACCAAACACAATATAATCAAGGAAATTTTATATACATCTACTTAATAGAATAAGCCTTGAAAGTCAAGTTTATTAAGATGTATTTCTTTTATGTTTGTCACAGTACTTATGTTTTCATCAACTGTGGTTGTTGTTTTTTTTTTTTTTTTTAATTATTTTTTAGCAGTCTTGCAAAAAATCGCATCCCAACGGGTTCTCTATTCATGCAGTAAAAAATGGGACTTTAGTTTTGACAAACCGCTGTGAATGCTCTAAAAGAAACAAACTATTATTATTTTTAGGTTAAATAGTTTATCAAATGTCAAACCTTTTTAAGCATGTAGCCGTGAGAATGCAATTAATAAACTTATTTAAGTGTTGTAATATTTAGATTTATTAGAATACGGAACAAATGTTTGGATTAGTTATTATTTGATCTAAAGACTATATAGCCTACTATGTCTTTGCATGGAAAGTAGTAATTTTTATCTAAAATTTTGTTATTAGAGGCATTTACTAAAGGTGATTTACCAAAAAAAAAAAAAAAAAAGTTGGCATAACCATACTCTTCTATCTATTTTGGATCAAAATCAGTGGCGATAATTTGTTACAGAAACATAACATAAACTCAAGATCGTAGTGAGCCTCATTGCTATATCACAGCGTCTTTATCTGTGTTAGTAAAAACTATAAGTTTATTTTCTTTAGCAAATGCCAAATTATTCCATAATAAAGAATTATTTATTGTAAGCCCTAACTATTCAGATCTTACCACAGGTCATGGTATTGCTTGTCAAAAAGTATACTTTATATTTGAATTATTAGCCAAAGTAACCATTTTTTTACTAAGCTAGTTTTCTTTTAAATAGAAAAAACATAATGATTTTGTCCCTACCCCTTGTAGATTACTCCTTATTATTTTTATATTAGGATCTGTGGGAAATATAAAATTGGATTTGATTGAATTTTCGGATTTCAAATCTCAGTGCAGCTACGTTTTTTTTAAGTGAAATAAAGTAAAATAAAAAAAGTATAAAATTACCAACCCTGTGTATTACTTTTCTTTCTCTTTTCTATCTCCCTCTCTCACTTAAACTATGAGTATCACAAACCCTTCCCAGTCAATTCAGAAAGGAATACATCCTGGAGTTCAAACCAATGCCCCTCCTGTTGCTTCTTCAGATATTGGCTTTTTTCAGGTGAGAGATATATATATATAGCTTATATTTCGATAGATAATGATTAATGATGTTGTTAAAACTGATGTTTCTATGTCAATGCCTTTGCTTAATTATTCAGAGCCCACCACAACTTACAAACCAATACGAAGACGATCATGTCTTGAGAAATATTTTGAAGCGTCGTATTCCTTCAGAAATACTGAAGCAAATAGAGCCTGATCTGTATAACCTTGGAGGGAGAGTAGTTGGAGGTAAAGAACGAAGCTTCACGTGAAATCAATAAATAGACATCCAGGCTCTATATAAGTCACCACTCTAAATAAATAAACAAATAAATTGCTGTACGTGTGTAGATATTGCTCTTATGGCAGATGATGCTGATGAGCCAAATAACTACCCCCGCCTTCGTCAATATGATGCTTGGAACAGGTAGATTGAAAATCAATTGCTTCTTAATATTTAAAATAAACTTTTTTAATTTCTTTATTTTCCTCTTTTCTAATGTTTCTATATAAAAACAATTCTCTTAGACGAGTTGATGAAATCACTGTTAGTCAAGGCTGGAAAGATCTCAATACAGTGGCTGCAGAGGAAGGGCTTGTGGCTATTGGTTTTGAGCGTCAGTTTAATGAGTACTCTCGCCTATATCAATTTGCAAAGCATTATTTATTTTCGCCTTCCTCGGCAGTATTCTTGTGTCCAATTTCAATGACGGGTAAAATTCACGACTACACTATACTTCACAACAACATCTGTAGTTAATTTGCGATATTCTTACCTGTTTTTTTTTCTGATAGACGGTGCTGCACGTCTAATTGAACTTGTTGATGATGACAATCTAAAGGCGGAGTTTCTACCCCATCTTTTGAGGTTTGTTACAGTAACAAACATGTGATAGATCTACTCACCTACATGTGCAACGCTAGCCGCGACCCAAAAGAATTTTGGACAAGTGGCCAGTGGATGACTGAACGTCCAGGAGGCAGCGACTTGGGTAACTTGTTACTTGAATGTTAAACAAACCGCAAGAACTAAGATTACTCACATATTTATATGTATATATATAATTATATTTTCTTGCAGGAAATTCGGAGACATTGGCCGTTTTGTCTGATCCAGAAAACAACATTTGGGACATCAATGGTTTCAAGTGGTTTTCCAGTGCTACTACAGCAGACATGACCATGCTACTTGCACGTACTGTGGATCCCAAAACTGGGCTGGTTACAAAAGTAAGGAGAATATATATGTACATACGTATATACCTAACAAATTCAAACTGTCATTTCCGAAAAAAAAAACTTGAATAGGGTACTAAGGGACTATCATTATATGTAGCCAAGATGCGTACACCAGAAGGAAAGATGAATGGTGTGCGTGTCCACAGATTAAAGAACAAGTATGGTACAAAGGCACTGCCTACAGCTGAACTAGAATTAAATGGAATGAAAGCTCAAATGGTAAATAAACTTTATGTATATATATATACAAAGTCTATAGGAGCACAAAATGAGGTAGAATAACAATTACGGATTTTTTTTTATTATTATTATTATTATTACTGCTATAGATTGGTGATATCGGAAGAGGTATCCCCAAAATCGCAACTATTCTGAATATTACCAGATTATACGCATGCCTGGGCGTTGTTACAGCTCTTCGTCGTTCGCTCGCTATCGCAAAAGACTTTGCCACAAAGCGTCAGGCAAGACCAAAAAAATGAAAATAATTAGTGTATACTTGCATAGAGTATATATACATATATTCAAGCTAAACCAATTTATATTAACTCCTAATATTATAATGATTATCGCAACAGGCGTTCACAAAATCGTTGTCTCGATTGCCTTTGCATATAACTACGTTGGCTACCCTTGAGATGACTTCTCGAGCCAGTACCCAGATATTGTTCTATGCGGTTGAACTATTGGGCAGAACAGAATGTCTTGAAGGTCATCCGGGATACAAGCAAGATAGCGAATTGCTGCGTTTCTTAACCCCAATTGCAAAAGGGTTTGTGTGTAAAATCGGACTCGACTGCTGCAGTGAGGCTATGGAAGCAATCGGTGGACAGGTATATATATATATTATACACTGTGAATTATTAATCTAATCTTTTCAACCGTTTCTTATTCTTATTCATTAACTTCTTTATCTAAGGGTTATATGGAAGAAATTGGAATTGGCCGTCAATTGAGAGATGCCCAAGTGAATACTATTTGGGAAGGAACGACTAATGTAATGGCTATGGATGTCTTGCGAGTCCTAAAAGAGACCAAGGGTCGTATACTCAATATTTTTGCATCAGTAAGTTCGATTGTTGCCATTATTATTTTGAGTATATATATAAATATAAATATATTATGTATTTTAGACAATTTTAAGCAAGATTGAAAATTCTGTTTCTTCGGATCCCGAGAAATTCAAGGCAATTGGATCAATTATTAAGGATGCTTTGGAAAATACCCAAACATTTGTCAGGCAAACTACCGATTCTACCCAGTTAGAGGCTAGTAGTCGCCAGCTTATGTTTGCTCTGGGCCGTATATTGGCAGGCACTCTGCTGCTCGAACAAGCTTCCTGGGCTGTAGCAAATAGTATTTCTGGTGCTCAAGAAGACGTGACAGTTGTACGTCGTTGGTGTACTAGCAATAGTTTTGGCGAACCTATCACAGTCTTGGATAAAGATAGTCTATTGGAAGGTAATAATTATTGTTATTGCTAGCATTTTAGAGGAGTAGTAACCCAGATGACTAACCATAAAATAAAATCATATTTCAATTTTAGAGGCAAAAATTGTATTTGGTTCTCAAGCCAAGCTCTAAATGAAATCGAATATCAAGTTTTTTTTTTAAAAAAAGACCATGCTTTTATCTCCAACAATCAATAGTAATAGCAATAAGAAACAAAAACAAAAAAAAAAGAGCTAAAAGTGTCCTATGTTTGCTATGGTGGTAGTAGTTTGAAAGAATTGTTGTTTTTTGGAACTTTTAGTATGTCCACACCAAGTGTCATGTTAAAGATGATGATCGTTCCATATTTGATTCTGAGTACAGTAAAACACACTTGTAAGGCGCATTTTTGGGATAGTTTTTTTTATGTATAAAAAAAGAGGGCCTGGATGTTTATTATGATCCTTAATAACCTAAGAACACTTTTCTGTGCTGTTTATTTGAAAAGAAGATGGATTCATAACAGTCAGTAACTCTTAAAAATGCGCCTTGTATATTGTCTCTTAACGGATATAATTGGTAAAAATTGTGAGGGGTGGGTTAATAATGTTAAATATATTGTTATACTAAAGGGTGTAGTATGTTTCAAAATGATATATTTCTCAAAGAGCGTGGGTAACAACTTGAGAAGATAACTATATACATCAATGGGAAATTCTGGTCACAACTGATCCACAGGATAGTATAGGCTCATAGCCACTATTCACAACAATAAAAATAAAACAAAAGTGGTTAGCAAGGGTCTAAAAACAAAGCTTTTTTTTTTGGTTTTTGTATTTTATTTTGAAACCTTGGTTACAAATATGATAACCTTAAATGTCATTATAGCTTTATAGCTTTATAGATATTGCACTATAATTATACCACACATTGATTATTAATACCTGAATAAAATCAGATCAAAAAGATGAAACGTATATATAATGTATATATTTATTTTATTATGTATATAAAATAATAGAAAGGATGAAGATGGTAAAGAAGAAGACAATGTAATGTAATTTAATAAAGATATATATCTGAGGTACATAAAAAAGAAAAAGAAAGAAGGGAAAAATTATACCCTCCCCTTCTCTATCTCTGGCCTCGCCCCCCTTTCTTTTTCATATATTTCTCTGTCTAAAGAAAAGAAGAAGAAAAGGAACTTGAAAAAAAAGGCGAGTTTGTGTGTATGTGTTGTATGTACATTTAAAGGTAGGCCTTATCCAAAGCCTGCTTGAGATCGTTGATCAAATCCTCGACGTTCTCGATACCGACCGAGAGACGGACAAGGGTGTCGGTGATACCCAAAACGGCACGATCTTCAGGGCTGACCGAACCGTGGGTCATGACAGCAGGAACCTCGATCAAGCTCTCGACACCACCAAGAGACTCGGCAAGGGTGATGTACTGGAGGTGACCGAGCATCTTGTTGACGTTATCGAGGGTGCCCTTGGTGCGGAAAGACACCATGCCACCGAAACCCTTTTGCTGGCGCTTGGCCAACTCGTGCTGGGGGTGGGAGGCAAGACCGGGGTAGATGACGGCCTCGATGTGCTCGTTCTTCTCGAGGTAGGCGGCAATGGTCTTGGCGTTCTGCTCGTGGCGCTGCATACGGATCTCGAGGGTCATCAAGCCACGGCGGGCAAGGTAGCAGTCAAAGGCAGAGGGAACGGCGCCCATGGAGTTTTGCATGAACTGGATCTTCTCGTAAAGAGTCTCGTCGCTGGTGACAGCAACACCCATGACAACGTCAGAGTGACCGTTGATGTACTTGGTCACAGAGTGAACGACGACATCGGCACCAAGGGAAAGGGGGTTCTGGAAGTAAGGGCTCATGAAAGTGTTGTCGACGACCAAGTAGGCACCGTGGGCGTGGGCAATCTCGGCAATAGCGCGGATATCGATGATGCACAAGGTAGGGTTGGTGGGTGTTTCAATCCACACAAGCTTAATTCACACAAAGAACACGTCAATAAACAAAAATCGAATAATAATAATAATAATATATATATATATAAAGAAACTCCCTCTATCTCTCTATAATTTTGCGGGGGAGACGTGGTCTTGTTATTATTAATATCATTATTAATATTTACCTTGGTGTTGGGCTTAAAGTGCTTCTCGATGTTCTTGGCAACGCTCAAGTTGACAAAGGTAGCCTCAACGCCGTTCTTGGAAGCAACCTTGGTGAAGTAGCGGTAGGTTCCACCGTAGACATCGTTGACAGAGATCAAGTGGGATCCGGCGCCAAGAGTGCTGATGATAGTGGCGGTAACGGAAGAGCCAGAAGCAAAACCAAGGCCGTACTTACCACCTTCCAGAGCAGCAACAGCAGTCTCGAAACCGTTACGAGTAGGGTTACCTGAGCGGGAATAATCATATCCCTATTTAAGAGTGTGAGTAACAGACCCCGTGGGAATATATATGGTGGAGTTTTATATTAAGCAAATATATGTGTATATATATACATATTATATAATTTTTTTAAAAAAAAAAAGCGTTATCTTACAGAGTGGACACCAGCAGCAGACTGCTTGAAGGTGGTGGAAAGGGAGATAGGGGGAATGACAGCCTGGGTGACAGGGTCGGGTTCCTGGCCAGCATGGATAGCGCGAGTACCGAAACCGGTGGTCTTAAGGTCGACAGGGCTCATGATTGAAAAATAAAAAATAGAAAGAAAGAGAGAAAGTAAACAAAATGTTTGTAAAAAATAAATAAAAAATCAAGTGGATTTATAAGTTTCCTCGCCGTCACTCCGCTGTCACGAAGAAGCTCAAGAAACTAACGAAAAAAAAAATGCAAAATCGGGACGTTTCTTTTTCTTATTGGAAGCATAAGCACGTCAATGAAACACCATAGCACGTCAGCCAAACCAGTCGAGACTTCTACTGGCTCAAAGAAGACCAAGAAGACAAAGCCAGCTCAGGGTACAAAGGTCATTGCACCCAAGAAGGCAGTACCCGTCCTCATTGGCAAACCCGACGGTCCCGTTCAACCCGATGAGGATGTCGATGCTTACTCAACCAAGATTGGCGGTCTTCCTGTATGTCCTTGGAAGATCTCTTAATGAGGGTGGGGGAAGAAGTGCTGACTCATCCAACCTGTACAATTTTATATTTATATTTATATTTATATTTATTTATTTATTTATATTTTTATTTGCTTATAAATTGAACAGGTATGGCTCAACCCTGATCAGCCACCTTCTGTAAAGGCATGCACCTGTCAAGTATGTGGCAGTTTTATGTACTTGATATTCCAAGGCTATGTTCCCCTACCAGATTCACCTTATCATCGGGTTATATATGTCTGGGCATGCAACAAACGCGAGTGTATGAGAAAAGATGGAAGGTAAAATAAGAAGTAAAAGAAAAAAGAAAGAAAAAACCCCCCCAAAGTAACAATAATACGGATACTATTATACTATCGATCTCTTATTAGTTTCTCGGTAATTCGATCACATCTGGTAGATCCCGGTTACTTAAAAACCCTTAGACAAAAAGAAGCCAAGAAAAAGGCTGAAGAAGAGGCCAAGGCCAAGGCCAAGGCTAACCAAAAGCAACCTTTTGGCGTACCTGCTGGGTTCCAGTTGGGAGATCTCTGGGGTGCAAGCTCGTCTTTTTCGACCTCAAACGCAAACGCAAACTCAAACTTAAGCCAACCGACAGCAGGTTTTGGACAATCAGCCAACAAAACACCAATGTTTGGAGCATTACCTGCTGTTTCGAAACCTACAGAAACATTGGCCGAAAAACTGTCCAAGATGTCTATCCAACCAAAACCGCCCGTCAAGGCAGCAGAACCCAAGAAACTAGATGAGATTACTAATCCTGTGGATGTTTCGGTCCTACCTCATTTCCCTGGTCACTATCTCTACATCGCAGACGAAAATACGGAGAGCTATGAGACATTAGGGCTTGACATGAGCCGATACCAACAATATATTGATATGGAGGCTGAGATTTTGGCTATGAATGATGAAGATAGTAATGCCGCTGCTGAGGAAGGAGGTACTTGGGCAGGAGAGACCTACGAAAAGCAGGCATTACCGAGGGGAGTGGACAAGGAGTTCAAGAAGTTTACCGAGAGAGTGGCGTGCGAGGCCAATCAGTGTGTGCGCTATGACTGGCAAGGCACGCCCTTGTTCTATAGTAAATTACAACCAGCTCAACAACAAATGGCATCAAGGCCCTGTGGTCTGTGTGGCGCACCACGGATATTTGAGTGTCAGTTGATGCCGACCATTCTGTCACTGTTGCCTACTACAGAATATGCCGAACGTGATCAAGTGCCAGATCCAACTGCCAAAAAAGTTGACCGGTGGAGTATTGGAATGGAATTCGGTACTCTATTAGTGTATGTATGTTCAAAAGATTGCCACCCAACAGATGTAGAACAGCCATGTCACATTCCAGAAGTAGCCATTGTTCAGTATGAAACAGATTAAAAAAAAAATTAAAATGTAGACCTTTTCTTTTCTTTCTTTTTTTGGTTATTACTGGTGCAATTTTTTTTGCTGTTGTAGCTACAGCTATTTGTTTGTTTCTTTGTTTGTTTTAGAGGAAGAAATGGCAATATATAAAAAAATATATAAAAAAATAAAATAAAAAAGTAAAATAATATAAAATAAAATAAAAATAGTATAAAGAAAAAGAATTGTTTAAAAAAAATTGTTTACAATGTGGTGAGTGGTGGAGTGAAGTGGGTAGGTGAGTGGGCAAATGGAAGCAAAGAAGAAAGGAAGTATGCGATAAAATTTTTAGCAAAGAAAGAGTATTAGAATGTACACAAAATCATCCTTTTCTTGTATATAGATATGTCTTTTTTTTGTTTGTTTTTTTGGTTCTTTTTGGCCGGTTGTTGCTGTTCTGATGAGGATGATTATGATGATGGTGTTTAAATAGGCATGCCTTCGGTCATGTTCAACATCAATTGGCCCAGACAACGCTTGGTGGCCACATCGTCTTTGAGGGCTTGATGGAATGTAGAATCTCTTAATGGCTCTGGAAGGCACTGGCGCAGTGCTTCGCGCGCTCTACAAGGAAAAAAAAAGAAGAAGAAGAGTGGTGGAAAACATAACAATAAGTAATCTTTTGTTAACGATTTCCTTCCTTCCTAATTAATATATTACCTTGGGTTCTCTGACAGTCTCCAGTAGCATCTAATGACATGCTTCAATAAACGCATTGCCTGGGTTTCCACCAACTGATTAACCATATTGTGAAGTACAGTAGCGACAGCATAGAATCGTTCATATGTTTGACAGATGTAATACTATCACACCCCATTTAGTATCCATAGTATTATTCTCATTCTCATTCTCACTTTTCTTCATATACCCACTCACCCACACATTTACACTATCACATTTGTTACGACCCCTCCACACACACAGCTTGTTGCCCCCCCCCCCCCCTCCTTTTTTTTATATACATATGTCCAATATACACCAACTCAACTTACCAGTCCTGTCTCATCTACCAAGATCTTTTGTACAATAAAAATAGCGACTGTCTTGGACAGCTCGCTACCTGTTTCCATAATACGCAAGCAAAGAGGGATAATCTCGGTTGACAATAAAAAGCTAATAACCTCTGGATTGTCATTCTACTCAGCAAACACACACACACACACACACACAAACATACAAACACAAAGCATATGTATGAGAATTGATTACTCATCTTACTGAAAATACCAGAAAAAAAATCTACACAATATACCTTGACCAATGCACCAATGACACCCAGGCTTGTGAGACGGAGATATTCAAAGGGTCGGGTCTTGCTAGTGGTATTGAGGAAAGGGTAGAGATAAAGAGGTATATGGGCTGTAAAAGAAAAGAAAAAAACAGATTATATATATATATATATATAATAGACAGCAAAATATAAAGAGGGGTTAAAAAAAAAGTCGAATGAGCCCACTAATTCTCCCCTTCCTCTTCTCTCTCTCTCCCCTTCATCTCTCTTGTTACTACAGACACACAGATCCATATCGAATACCGAATCAAGACTATCGCACAAACACACAAGCATATATATATATATATATATGTGTGTGTGTGTGTGTGTGTATAGAGAAAATAATAACTTACCATGTAAGAATAGAGTACGGGTTTCGTTGTGGTTTGCAACACATTGGAGTAACGCCAGTGCATTACACACTCGGTTGGATGCCACTCCATTGAGGTTAGGTGGACTCAGGAGAGGGTAGGCCGAGACAATTTCTTGAAGAAGGACTGACATGACGCCTAATATGTATACGATATAGAGATGAATGTAGAGGTAGAAAGTTATTTATAGTGTATTATGTTGGTTGTTATAAACACACACACACACATATATATATATATATATATATATAAACTAAGCACAATACTGGCACGATGTCACTTACCATACGAGTACCATAGCACTAGGGCAAGATCCTCGTATTGTTCACGTTTCTTGCTGAGGTCCAAGAGGGCTTGTTCCCTCAGGTTTGGGTTCAAGAGGTCCAATACAAGTGGATAGATCTTCTCTTCATCCAAATGAGCCATTTTATGCTGCACACGATGATCCTGCTGCAAGAAAGGAAAGTTTGCTGACATGCCACTCGGGAGGATGTTTTGCTGAGCCACCTGGGCATTGGTGTTCATCAGTGACGCGTATGCAGCAAAGGGATCTCCACCTCGACCTGCATTGCCTACTGTTCCAGGTGTACGCACGGACATGCCAGGATGCAAACCTTGTTGCTGCTGTTGCTGTTGCTGCTGTTGCTGTTGCTGTTGCTGTTGCTGTTGCTGTTGCTGCTGCTGCTGCTGTTGCTGTTGTTGTTGCTGTTGTTGTTGCTGTTGTTGTTGCTGCTGCTGCTGATTTCCCATCATTGTAAAATGTTGTGAAAGAGGGTTTCCATTACCAGCGCCTGCACCGGCCGACTGCAGTACAGCTGCGAGTGGATTAGACGCGGTTGCAGACAGTTGCGACTGTTGTTGAAGGTATTGATGAAGTTGTGAGTTGGGATGCATGGATGGAAATAAAATGGATAGAATAAAACAATATAAAAATAAAATAAAATAAAATAAAATATAAATATATATATATATCTAAAAAGGATTGAAAGGGTTAAAGGGTTAAAGGGGAGTTTCTCTCTCCCTCTTACTCTTCCTCTTTCTCTCTCGTTCTCTCCCGTTCTCTCTCGTTCTCTCTCTCTCTCTGTGTGTGTGTGTGTGTTTTATATAATGTATATATTTTTATAATACTACTTTTACTGCTCAGAGTAATTTTTTTTTCTGGTTACCAAACTTCCTTTGTGGATTTACTTTGGCTTTTTGTTTTATTTATTTTCTGGGTTCTATTTCCAGTGCGTCTTTCTTTATTATTTCCTTCTTCAGACGATTTATACTCTATGATTATTGATATTTCTAGTGCTTGTTCTTGTATTGCTAGAAGCTGTGGCAGTAGTAGATTATAATTATAATTATATCTATAGTTTGAGATTTAATAAAATAGAAGCACAGTCATATGAAGGCAGTTTGTATAGAGAGATATGTACGTAAGCTTTGTGACGATTGAATGAGACGCACAAATGCTAGATTATTCACACTACTGATCACATGACCTGTCTTTTTTTCTTTTCTTTTATTTTTTTGGCTATGACGGCATTTTTTGGTTTTTATATGTTTTATTTTTTTTTATTTTTATTGTTATTGTTATATAGTATATATACAATGAAGAGAAATAAGGAAGAGAATAAAAGAAATTCATTTCATTTCAATTCAATTTTAGAAAGATATTTTTTTTGAGAAAACTGCCTAGAGAGAACAGAGCCTGATAATTATTATTTTTCTATACATGTTGTTTGTTTGTTTATGTGTTTAGTTGTCTTATTGGTTGAGCTTGCGCTTGACTTCATCAACCTTCTCGCCTACTACGTGTTTGGCCTCCTCAACCTTTTCACCCACTACATTCTTGGCCTGGTCATACTTCTGTTCGGCTGTCTTGGAGGCATCCCAGGCAGTACCCTTTGCGCTGTTGAGGGTAGACTCCGCGTCCTGAGTGGCACCAACTGAGTCCTTGCGGATCTTCTGAGCACCTTCCTTGATGGTATGCTGTGCCTTTTGAGCACCTTCCTTGAGAGTATGTTCTGCCTTTGTGGAGCCTTCCTTGATTGTGTGCTCAGCCTTGGTGGTGCCTAGTCCAACAGCAGCCTTGGCCTTTTCCACGACTTGCTTGACTGCCTCAATAGGGCTCTTTTCCAAAACACTTTCAACTTCGTCGATACCCTTGGCAAGAGTCTGTCCAGCCTTGAGGTTAGCCTGTTGGCTTACAGTCTTTGCAGCACCAACAACGCCCTAATTGGATTGAATTGAATAAGCAAATATGTATTTTTATTTTTATTTTTCTTACCTTTTTGGCGTATTGGTCTTTGATTTCAGTTGCTTTGTGGGCAAGGTCTTCGACAGTCTCGACAGCCTTTCCAGCTCTCTCTCCAGCCTTCATATTGACTTTGTGTCCAATGTCCTTTGCTTCATCGACAACATTCTTATTCTATGGTTTGTTTGTCTTGACTGATTAGTAAACTTTTCTTTAAAGAAAGAGAGAGAGAAAAAAGAATGCTAATCGATACTTACTTGTTGAACGGAGACGTGAAGAAAGGCAGTAGGAACTGCAGGCTTAAGAAAAGATACAACTGCTGCACGACGAGTGAGAGTGAGAGTAGAGGCAATGAGAGATGTGTTGATAGGAGACATATTGAGTAGTGTTATTATTTTAAAAAAAAATAAGGTAAAGAAACAAGAAGAAGAACAAGAGTTTTGTGTATGGTAAAGAGAAAGAGATGGTTTTCTTGACGCGTATTTATACTCTATGCTTTGATATGATTTTAAATTAGATTAGACTCTAATTAGATTTTAATTCTTTCCTTTTTCTGTTCTTCCTTCTTCTTCTTTCCTCTTATTGATGCATTAAAAAACGAACGTATTGTTTGATGTCATCATTACACAGCATAGATCGGAATGACGACTGACAGGTAAATCAAATATACATCCACTATGGCCACACACACATTAACACATTCACTATGGGCACATCAATTATTTAATTTTTATTATATATTTTATATTTTATATTTATGCTTACAATCTCTTATAGGCCGATGTTTCAAAATATCTTGACAAAAAAAGAAAACGTTTCAACTTTTTTTTTTTTGTTAATGTGGCCACCCCACTTTTACCACCAAAAAAAAAAAAAAAAGAAATGACTTCAAACCCCCCCTTTCCTTTCCTTATAATTTTCTCTCTCTCTCTCTCCAAAAGTGGACTGTGAAACTTGGTTTTCCCTTTTTCCGTTTTTTTTATTGGTGGTGGTAGTAGTGTACCTGTTCTACTCCTGCCATTTCTTCATTACATTTCCTTGTTCTTCTTTTTATATATATATATATATATTTATTTATATTTACAATTGAACATCACACACATGGAAGCTCATCCGACCGTACCATTAGCCAGTCCTACTCCGAAAACAGCAGAACAAAAGCAGTCTGACCAGATAGCTTATAGAGATCTCGTCATCTTTGAAGAGCGTTTACGAAGCAACATGACAAGGTTACTCCAACGCAAGAAGAAGTTTGAAGGTAAAAGATATTAAACTATAACATCTAACCACCAAGACAAAGACAAGTTCTACAATAGAAGAATCCCCCTTAGTTCTTTGTATTGATATATTATTTTAAACTGACATATTGCATGTATACAATATATCTTTATGATAGCCCTGTTGTGTTTTCTTCTCTGTTGTCTGACGTACTTCTTTTACGCTGTATTTGTTGATCCTAGCAAGGTAAAACAAAACAACAACAACAAAAATAATATCTGTACACGTTTATATATATATATATATATATATATATATATATAGCATGATCATTACAAATTATATAAGAATAAGAATAGATATTTAATTAATTAATTAATTGGTTGTTGCTAATATGATTATCTGTTTGTGGTTCTAGTTATTTGTCTGCCATCTCATAAACACAGTCGCTCTTCTTGCATCGGCAGGAAGTCTTGTATTCTTTTATAGATCGGGGATGTATTCTGAAAAGATCCTCTTTGCATCCCAGTAAGCAACTCTGAGTTATCTCTTCTCTCACTAAAAGAAACCAAACCAAATCAAACATTTTTTTTTTCTTTTTTTTTTGGGTACTTTGTCTCTTTGGTAATTTTCTATAGGTTTGTTCCACACTGCAACAGAGCGCTACAGTCATTCAACCTACAGTTCAGTCCACGTAGTCGGCCTGGTGAGGTTGGATTCTACAGCAAAATCCCAAAGCAATTTCAAGATGGATTTGAAGCCTATCGTAAACACTATTATGCCCGTAAGAGGGCCCGGCAAGCAAAATCAAAGCAATCTTGAACGTAAGATTTGCTTCTTTATATACACAACATTTTTGGTTTTCTCTTCTTCTTCTTCTTCTTCTTCTTCTTTAAATCATTATTATTAATTATTAATTATTACTATTACTATTACAATTACAATTACCATTACCATTACCATTTTTAATTTATATTATATATATATATATATATTTCTCTTATTATTCCTCTTAAATATATACATACACAATTACCACAAGAATCATTCCATCAAATTTTAATGAATTTATTATATAATATAATATAAAAGCATCCGATGTAAAGAAAAGCCAAAATCAAATCAAATCAAATCAAATCAAATCAAATCAAATATAATATAATTTATATATACACCTTTTTCTTTTACAAGGCCTAGCAACCAACCAAGTACATGGCTACAGATATGCATCACACACAGAGAGAGAGAGACAGTTATATATAGCTATATATATATATATTAATAATATAGAAAGATATATTGATAAACATGCCACTCAAAAGTCAGTAACTCGTCCACCAAAACTCCAATCGCCATGCTTGAGAGGTTCATTCTTTGGTCCATTGACTTCGCCTGTCTTTGGGTTGACATCTCCTGTGAATTCAGGTTTCAATGTTCGAGCATCGTCATGCAAATCCCCCTCGGCTGTGACATCTCTCTGTTGCTTTTTGCGAATCAAATCAAGCATTTCTTGGTGTTGTTTCTTGTTGCCAATAGGTACAGGAGCAGGTCGGTTCATAGACGAGTATCTTCTAACAATTCGTAGCATTTTGTTTTCTTTCTTTATTCTTCAAAAAAAAATTAAAAAAATATTTATTTATTTATTTATTTATTTAATGTGTGTGTGTTGTTATATAATTGCATGTATCCTTTTTTGTTTTAACAGCTTTCAACTAATAATAAAAAATAAAAAAAAAAAGGATGTGTTGACCTTTTAACAGTCACAATTTAACCCTTGTTAATGATTGGATGATTTTGTTAGGGTATTGCATTGACATGGAATTGTATCAATCGCTAATTATTCGGGCCAGACACTTTTCCTCTCGGGCACGACGTTTCTCTGGAGCACTACGTTTATTGAATCTCCGCCTTTAACCATTTACCGGCCTCATAAAAAGTGACTTGTTGTCCGGCATCCAGCAATTTTATCTGGTCCCTAACCACCCAAAATAGTTTATATGAGTAAAATCAGTCAATCAAAATATAAATAATTTAATTCATGAATAAAGTACATATTCATTTAATATAACGGAATTTCTAGGTGTACTTAAGTAATAACCATATTAAAATTTCTATTTTTTTTATGCAGTATATACAAAATATACAATTTGTAAACGTCGTGCTCGAGAGGCAAAATGTCGTGTCCTAAATGTGGCGATAGAATAATTGTGTTCAAGAAAACTGTTGATGCAATATTTTACTTATTGAAAGTAAAGCTTCTATAAGTATAATTATAGAGGTTTCTAGAATTTTACTTTACATTTTAAAGAGTTCATATTCAATGCAATGTCTTTTTTATTGTAGTTCTCATGCAATAAACGCACAATATAAAATAAATAAATAAAAATTGTGACCACACCTATTTCTGTAAAAACACAAGATCTATTTGGTTCCCGTCAACAAATCATATACCTGCTGTTGCTGATGAGTCATTTTTTCACGATTTAACTTGAGACATAAATCATATATTTTCATTTTATGTGATTTAAGTGGAAAAGATTATAATCCATATAATTTGCATTTTTTTCAAAAACTTTCGTAATAGATATAAAGGTAATGAAGCCTTTTATGCCTAAGAAAGTTTGCATAGCAGTAAAGCTAATATATTTTTACAAAATTCATGTTTTTACTTTTTATTTTTTATTTTTATTTCTTCTGTAAAAACTCTTTCTATCATTTCCTTGCAACATGTACATGAGATATTTTATCAAAAATACAAAAAATGAAAAATATTCATATAAGACCAAAAAAAGTTTTTAATTACATATATTCAGATAACATATGAATCCAGTAAAAGTTTCATAGAAAACAAATGAGAAAAAAAGTGATTCTACAAGCAAATACAATATTTTATTTTATTGAAAAAAGCAAATTTTTGAGATATTACGTTAGTTTTCTCATGATCGACCCTTTCAATTCAACTAAAAATCCTAGAACACATACATATGTCTATACACTACTTGGATCCAAAGTTATAGAGAGCCAAGACTTGAATTGATGAAATAAATAGATGCAAATGCATAATATAACATATTCGAAGATAGTTTGGCTCGATCTGTGTAACACCATCCGATATTTATGATTTTTAATTCGCTGGTTATAAGTGTAACTCGAAGGGTAAAGTACTTCCCACGAATGATCTCTAGGAAAAAACAGAGCGGAGAGCCATTTAACCCACAAGTGATAGATAGCTTATGTTGATGCAAAGAAACAAATTGATAAGATTTATAAAGATTTAAAAAAATTGTCTAGCTAATAAAATATAAAAGCAAATGAGTAAATAAATAAGAAAAGATCTAGCTAATAAAATATAGGTAATAAAGTATAATTAAAAGAGTAATAAAATAGAAAAGAATATCGAAAAGAAATTATTTTGGAGTAAGATCAATTGGTTGATCTAGATCAGAATGGAGAGAGAGCATGGCATTTCTGCGGTCATGCTTATTAAATTCTTTGAGCTTATTCCAGTAAGTATCAAAGTTATCATCAATCTTATTTCTGGCACAACCTAAAAAAAATAATTCGGGAACGGTTGGCCATTTTCTAGAGATATTACGGGAAAGGTCAACTGTTGTCCAGTGATTACTGTTAACATGATTAAAAATCAGAGGTTGTCGTTGTTTGGTTTTGTTGTTGGGAAGGGCGAATGGGAGAAAGGTTGTTGAGGGGGTGTTGGGGTTGTCTGAGTAGACGCAGACTGGTCGTGTATATGTGTCCGCAGCTAGTTGAGCACAGTCGGGTGTGTTAAACCACATACTGGCATCTGAACATACTGGGATGAAGTTGGTGTTGGTGTTGGTGTTGCTATAATCGAGTTGAGAGCCATGTTGAATGATTTTTCCTAGTTGGCTTGTGTCAGTGCCAAAGGTATTTGTGTACAATGTTTTGTATTTCGGCAGGGCGGCTAGCATATCCCTTTTTACAAGTGAAAACTTATTTTGATCTTTGTAGATCAAGTGGGCAAGGACCCGAAAACCACACCACCCGTCAGCAGTAGGGCTAAACCCACCCTTGACATCGTCGACCATCTCATGAGAGACAGGAAAACCGGGCTGGAATTTGACCCTCTTGCCAACAGAGGTGCGATTATCATACTGGTAATCTTCTAGGGCGGTGGCGGGTCTTTTGAACCCATTTTTTTTGGGGGGGGGGGGGCATCGACTAAAAAGTATATAAGTATAAGACGATAGTTCTCTTTATGGATTCAATTACATTGTAAAATAAGAAAGCATATTACCTGGGTCGAGAGGCTCTTGTTTTATTTTTGTTGTTTTATTTTTGGTGGCATCGACTAAAAAGCATATTCGTGTAAGACGACATCCCTCCACATAAATTCAATTAAAGTAAAATAAAAACACATCTTACCAGGGTCAAGAGGCTCTTGCTTTATTTGTTTTATTTTGTTTTTGGTAGCATCGACTAAAAAAACATGAAAGTATAAGATGGGAATCCTTTCTCATAGATTCAATTACATTGTAAAATAAGAACACATCTTACCTGGGTCGAGAGGCTCTTGTTTGTTTTTGTTTTGTTTTTTGTTTTTTGTTTTTTGTGTAGCTGCAGGCTTTCCCTCCCTCATTTTAGCTCTCAGTCTAACCATTGTCTTAAGGCCAGCCTAGTATTTCAAGATACATATTAATACTTTGTTATGTTATTTTTTTTATCTTACATGACCAGACGAAACACTGATCTTCCTCCAGTTTGCCCGACCAAAGTCTTTGGGAAGGTATTTGGGACGTGCACCACCCTTTCTTCTGCCAGGATATTTAATTTTTTCTGGGGCTTGAAAGTTAATCGAAGGGTGCCCAGTTTTGCCTTCGAATTCAGAAGTAACCTTCTTGATCTTTTGAAGGAGGTTGGCCACTTGCTGGCTGCCCTCACAAGAGCGGAAAAGAGCCTCAAGCTTTACAATCTCTTGCATCCACTCTTCTGGTCTTTCCTCAAGCTGGAAGTTTTCCCGACAAGTGTTGTCCCTTGGCTTTACATTACGAGGATCAATAACCCACCTTTCAGGGATATCAGAAATATAGATATCCCTTCCAGCAGGCAAAGAATGGCGACAAGGTAGACCATACTGGAGCTTGTTCATGAATTCACAAACAATACTGCTTTCACATTTCAGTCAAGCCTCTTGGTCTATTACCAGTAAAGCTCGCTTTGAGACCTTCATTAGCAGTCTAGACAAAAGCTTGTTTCGTCCAACAAGAGGGTCAACCGTGGTAGATTCCCTGATCTCCACATTCCGGAAGTCTCTCTCAAGCCTCTCGATATATCTTGAAATATTTTCAAAGGCGAGATCCAGAGAAGCTATTGCAGATATACCTCTCTTTAAGGCTTGATAGGCACTTTCCACTCTTTGAGATGTTGTGCATCCAAAATGCATTATCTTCTGAGTAAGATAACCTGCCCACTTCTCTTGGCATGTAATCCACCTGTCATGAAAATATGCCGAGACTGGCGCTTTCACATTGCCATTTTCTACTTCGGAACCAGCAGATACAGCGTTGAACTTATTCAGCGCCCAGTCAAACTCCTTCTTACTTTTGCTATGGATCATATTGGATATATATCCCGTCAGCTCTTCCTTTTTTTATACCGAGCCAACTTTTCCCGAAAAAGCCTTTTCCACACTATTCAGCATGTGCCAGTAACAAAGCAGCTTGCTGTTGTTCGGAAACACAACATCAAGAGCGTTCATAAGTGCAGCACACTTGTCTGTCACAAAAACTGTGCTAAGAGCCTTGTCTTCAAAAACAAGTGCCTTGAGTTGCTGGAGGAACCAAAGATATGTGCCTTGCTGCTCGTTAGAGACCCAGGCAAAGGCAATGGGAAACGATTTGAGGGTTTCTCCTCCGAGGTTGTGGATACCTTCCACGCAAATCAGCGGCATTGACAAGTTATTGGTAGAATATGTAGCATCTACCACCATAACTTCTGAGAAGCGACGAGCTCTCTCCATCATCTTCTGATTGGTAAAAAACACCCTCTCCAGCGAATTGTCCCCGTTTACATCATAATGCACCTGGTAACCTTTTGCTTCCATCATCTTAACAAGTCCAGTACCCGCATTCTGGGCAACAGGGGCAGAAACTCGAGCAAAGGCAGCCTTGATATTGTTGATATCGCTAACGTACAGCTTATGAACATCGTCTTTTTCGTCTGTGATAGCCCTTTGGATCTCACGAGTCTTGGCCTTTGTCTCAACAAGTTTAGATATCTGCTTGGCGTCTTCGGCAGTAACTCTCGACAATCTGCCTTTCAGAGTCGATTCCAAGCATTTGTCATCAAGAGGATGATTGTGATAGCTCTCCATTTCACTAGAAGCTTTCAAGGGAAGATATCCTTTGATTCATTTCTTGTAAGATAGCTTTATCATGTAAGGACATCCGGTTTTCGAACTAGGGCGGATTTTTACGCGATCGCAGTCTTCAAGTTTATGGGTGTTTCTATAGTGACCACCCCTGGCGCACTTTAAGTAAACCCGGGTTGGTTTACGGTCTTTAGTTGCAAGAGTGAAGTTGTTAGCAAGTGCATACTCCTGCATCTTAGAAATAGCCACAGTCATGTTGGCATAGCCATTGACTGGTGTAGTGGGAAAGTCTTGTTGAACGGGATAATATTCATTTCCGTCGATAAAAATTGATTCTTTATTGATAGTATTCATGTTGAAGTGATTTCTATTGAGCGATTGTTAACATCGTTTTTACAAATACTAATTTGTAATGATAGAAGTAGCACTCTTGTTTCTTCTGATAAAAACACTATATTATGTAAAAGATGTCTAATTCTTACAAGATGAGTATATAAAAGAAAAGAAGGTTTTATAATGGGTCTTTCACTAATTTCTTCAGGACACAACTTTTTTTTTACTTTCAGGTACTCTGTTACCATTGAAGGCCGGACCATAGTCACTTTTCAGGAGTCCGGTACACAATTAAAATCGGTGTTTAGAATATTTTTAGTACTCTATAGAAACGTCGGGCCCGAATAATAGCTGTTGTATCAATAGTTTTCTTCACTAAATATATATATATATATATTTAGTGTTCTTTTGTGTTTTCAAGATTTCTAAGTATATTATTTGGCCAAGGTTGTTTGCATTGGACAAGGAGTAGACAACACCAAGAAAAACAAAGGGTTGCAAGGAAGGGAGGAAGAAAGGAAGAGGGGGATATGTGGGTTTGTTCAATTGGGTAATCTGTATTGATATTGTTATTCTAGGAAAAAAAAAAAGAAGAAGGAGAGGACGGGTAGATCTATATAAACTTTTGTTTTTGTTTTTTTTTCTACCCCCAATTCTAATCTTTAGCTTCTTTCTTTCACATAAAATCTCCTCTTTGGAAGATGAACTACTTGCTTCAAAGAACAGCAAGAAATGTATATATATATCTATTAAGCTAATAGATTAAATAATTGAATAGTTAATAATTGGGTATCATTGACATTCAATTCTCATCTAGGTAATCCCCCTTTTTTCTTTATATATACAATAAACAAGTATTCATACAGGAGTTAACTTTTTATACAATTTGTATAAAAAGGAACTTTCTCTCTTAATCTTTCTAAGACCCAAAAAGAAATTGTTATAATTGATACAATTTTGGCTTGGGTTTTATTTTATAGCAAAGAAATAAGAATAGATAATATGTTAAGAATCTAAAAGGCTCTTTTATATATATATACAATCTATGTATATGATGTATATCACATCCCTTGCCTAAATTTGCCTTGCCTAAATTTGCCTTGCCTAAATTTGCCTTGTCTTGTCTTGTCTTGCCTTGCCTTGCTTTACATTACCTTGCCTTTTTATTTATTTATTTATTTATTTATTTATTTATATTAATATTATTTTTGCACTACAAATAAATAAAAAATTATTATTATTATTATTATTATTATTATTATTATTATTTTAAACCTTGGTTTCTCTCTCTCTCTCTCTCTCTCTCTCTTTCTTCCTTATATCTTATCTTAATATATATATATTCTTTATTAGATACACTTCACAACTCTTTTATTCATTCATTCCTTCTCCTTTTTTTTAATATATAAAGAAGAAAGAAAGAGGGTCTTTAATGAAAGACAGGTCATTGACATCTGAAATCACTACAACCATAAATAACAGCACCAGTTCCATTCACCCAGTCCATCGTCAGCCTAGTCACTCACCAGAATACAGAAACCCTTGTAGTCTTCTAGACAACACTAACCCAACTATGCCTGGAACCAGACCGCGTTCAGGCTCACACCATGACGAAGACCGAAAAACCCATTTTCTATCCAAATTGATCCAGAACAACAAGCGCCACGAAGGACTCGGTCCGTCTGTGTCAGTCATGACAATAGCCCCCAATCAAACCCAGAACATAACCATCAATCAAAACTCGTCCTCTTCGTCTTCTTCACCCTCACCTTCGCTATCCCAACGTCAAAAGAGGCGCACAGGTCTACCTGCAAGTTTAGTCGTACCAGACAGAGCACACTCCGACCCAAATATCCCCATCAGCCCACATACAAGAGATTCAAGTTCAACAAAAGGAACTCGTAAAAAGGTAAATATTATTACTATTATTATTATTATATAATAATCAATCAACCTTTTTTTTTTTCCCTACCCCTCATCATTTCCCCCCCTTTTATTTATATACTTATATTTGAACCCCCTCTTTTTATTTTATCTGCTTGGTTGTAGAAAACGAATCGAACTCTCGACAGGATCTTCAAAATGTTGGGCAAGGTAATGAAATGACTATACATCCAATCCAATCCAATCTAATTATCATTATTTGTTATTAATCGATTTTTTTGGGGGATTTTTCATTTGTTTATACTAATCAGTCTAATCATGATCCTGGACCTTCGATTGCCAAGGAAGGAGAAGACGAAGATGAAGACGAAGATGAAGAAGACGACGAAGAAGACAACGAAGACGAAGAAGTTAATTATCCGCATGAAAGACGATCGGCCAGTTTTGGAACCACTCGATCTGATATCTCTGGTGGTAAATAAATAAATTCATTAACAACAACAATAATCTTATTCCTTTTAAAATAAAATAAAATAAACAGCTAAATACCATCGTACTCGATCCTCTCTATCGCCATCTGTTCATCTCAGTCCATCCCAAATCCCACCCTTACCCCAGACATCACGATCTCTCAAGGCAACCAAATCAAGCCAGGAAAAGGGAAAGGGGTATTACAGTACATCGATGCGGCGCTCCATGTCGTTTGATACTCAGTCCAGGCCCAAGAGCTGCCTAGTTATTCCCATGCGCTCAAGTGATCCAACCATCTGTAGATCCCCTGAACCTATTGTAGCACAGCAACAGAAGACATTGATATTATCATCATCCGTATCATTAACACCAGCATCATCATCATCATTGCTATCAACAACAACAACAACAAAATTATCATTATCCTCATCATCCACAACCCCAACAACATCCGTAAATTCTATCGCATCAGCATCAGCATCAGCATCAGCTGCATCTTATACACCGCCTACAACTGGTGGTAGTTCATTGAACAAACAACAGAGATCAAAGAGCTCGGATTTCCCTCGAAGCTTGAGAACCATCGATCAGACAAAATCAGATGTGTCAAGTTGTGCAGATCCCTGCCTGTCATCCGGATCCACCAATCGAACCACAATCAAAGAAGAGGAAAATGAAGTTGAAGAAAAATATGAAAATGGATTTAAACTCAACAACAATAGAAACAACAACAACAGTATAGAAACATATAAAGACAAAGAAGAAAGGGATCTCCTGCATGCATCATCTATTTTGATTGACTCTCACACAAGCAGTATGATTGCCGGAGACAGACTCTCGAAACGATTGAGTGGGGGGCACTATGGGTCTGCAGGAGGACTGATGATGAGTACGCTGCTTCCACAAACATCGCCGCCATTGGTTGTCCAGGGCCCACAAGTGCTTGAGATCAATAACACGAATGGCCTTCTAGACGACGACGACGGCCAGACAAGTATCAGCACAGAATACACCGAGGAACAGAGTGTGGCGACCAGTAGCTGGTCCATCCGTGGTCCCGAGAGTATTGCGTGCACGGATATTAGTGAAGCAAGTTCAATGTTACACACACCGACTGATCATCAACGAAAAGGAGGAGAACCGAGGGGATGCGGACAATTGGATTCAGGTGATGGAAATGATGCTGAAGAAGAAGAAGAAGAAGAAGAAGAAGAAGAAGATTGCCCTGCAGATTATGCAAGACGTATATGGGAAGAAGATGAGACTGTATGTGGTGATCTTGAACATGTAGCCGAATGGATGGGAAATGGGCAAGTATTTTATTCTGTTTTTTAAAAGAGTTGAATTATGAAATTGAAACATCTTTTTTTTTTTTTTGGGTGTAGAAAACCATTGAGTACAGAAATATTGAAATACTACATGTCCCATTTTGACTTTACTCAGATGAAGTTGGAAGATGGATTTAGGTAAATGGTACAAGTGAACAATTTGGAATATTTATGCGTGTTTTGTAGAACGTTGTGCGGAAAACTTCACCTAAAGGCCGAAGCACAGCAAATTGACAGAATTTTGGAAGTCTTTGCACAAAGGTATTTTGCGTGTAATCCGATGTGTGTATTTGGTAGTTCAGGCAAGTTGTATTTATTTTTAATTAAATTAAATTGAATTGAATTGAATTGAATCGAATTGAATTAAATTGAATTAAATTGAATTAAATTAAATTAAATTAAATTGTAAACTAAAATGAAATAAAATATTTAAAGATGTCATACATGCCATCATCTACTCCGCACTGATGCTCAACACGGATCTTCATGTTGCTCAAGGCGACTACAAAAAGATGTCCCGGTCGGCATTTGTGCGCAACACGATGAGCGCAATTCTATCCCAGGGCAATGAGACTACTAGTAGTAGTAATAGTAGCAGTAGTAATATCAATAGTTCTGGCTATTATCAGTCAGACACTGAAGACATGAGGCGCACACCAAGTACGGCTAGTTCAGACCTAATGAGACCATTTGCAACCACACGTTACAGTAAGGCGTGGCAGGTTGAGATTGAAACTGTCTTGAAAGTAAAGTATTATACCTCCAAACTATTGCTATCATATTTATATTTATCTTTGTTTTTGTTTATGTTTAGCTCATGTACAACTCAATCAGAGGACGCCAAGTACTTCATCCGGTACCTAAACACGAGGCGTCCCATCAACATGCCCGTCGTCGTAGTCTGCAGGTTACCGGTAGTCGAGTTGGTGCATTCAAACGCAGTGTCGGGACAATAATGTGGAAAGCAGCTCGAGAGAGTATCTTTGTAAACGATCTAGCAGAGGCAAGTAAAAATAATAATAATTGATTATTGATTGACTAATAAAGTCAATATAGTTTGATGCCATGTATTCACCTGCCCTACCACCCAGTCCTCGCTTGGCAGGGGTAATAAATAATATAAGAAAAGCAGAAATTAGATTCTTTGTTACTTATAAGAATAAAATAGCTGTCGACTCCTGAAGTGCCGACCTTTTATGGGGCCGGAGTACCTTACTATAAAGACGGGCTATTGGTCCGTAAACATCTACTTGAAAAGGCCAACCAGAAAGCGCGACATAGAGAATGGAGAGATTGCTTCATGGTGGTCGAGAAAGGTGAGATAAGGATGTACAAGAGTGATAATGCAGGACAGGACCCACATCGGAAGAGTATGATGCGAAGTACGATGATGGCTAGCCGGGCCAACATTTCGGAAGCATTGTCACACAGCCAAGAGATGACAGATGTTCGTGAAGGCTGGCAGGTAAGTGAGTTAAAAAATACAAAAAGAACGATGATTTTTTTTTTATTAATAATAATAATTAGAGGATTGGTGAAATAGACCTAAAACATACGCTGTCGAATCCTCTGCCGTCTGGATATAGTCGACAAAGACCGCATGCATTTGCACTCCAGCAGCCGAATGGAGGAGTGTATTTGTTTCAGGTGGGATCGGCTTCGGAGGTTCTTGAGTGGGTTGAGACGTGCAACTATTGGGCTGCTCGAGAGAGTAGGGAACCACTCACAGGGGGGATTAGTAACATGGAGTACGGCTGGGGTGAGTGCCTGGACGGAATTGGACTTGATTCTGCCGGGGATCCCTATTACCATCTTCTACAGTCAAGAGACACGACTGTCCATGAGTGGCAACCACCCGTGCCTCCGTCTGGCCCAAGTACTATGGACCAACATGCTCAATTGGGAGCCTTGCACCGGCACGTCAGGGAACTCAACGAGGAGTTGGACAAGCATCGGGACATGAAGCTCAAAATGGAGCTCCGGGTAAGCAAGAAAAAAATATATATATATATTAGAATAATCATTAAAATAAGTGAATAAAATAAATAAATAAAATAAAATAAAATATGAAAGAATCAATGAAATGAATCAATGAAAGTGTAGATGTTATTCTTTATATACAAGATATACTTCTCCTTCTATTCTACTCTACTTTTCTACTCTACTTTACTTTACTTTACTTCTTCTCCTTCAATTATCCCCCCTTTTTTCTCCCTCCTACTAAAAAGCAAAAGAAGAAAGCTCCTTTTTTTTTTTTTTTTAGTATTTGATTTAAATCTCCCTTTTGTATTCTGTCTTTATTGTTTTCCAAAAAGTATATATTTTTAACTTTTTTTTTCTCTCTCTCTCTCTCTCTCTTTTTGTGTGTGTGTGTGTGTGTGTGTAGTTCTTAAAGTCTCAGGGTATGCAAGCCATGACTAACTGGGAAAATAAGTCACATTATTTACTTCATGAGATCATCAAATACCAGAATTACTGTGATGCTATTGAGAAGGCTATCCTTGCAGGCAAGGCAACACCAGAAGAGAGAAAAAAGGCTCCAAGCGTAATGCTGTCCCACCCTTCAAAATGAATCTGTGATACGTTGCCTTTTTATTTTTATTTTTATTTTACACACAGCACGTTTATATAATATGTTATTATCATTATTATCATCATTTATATTTCTTACCCTCGTGGGTTATTTTTACCATTATTACTATTACTATTATATATTCTCCCCTCAATAATAGGAGACATAAATAATTTTATACAAGTGTGTAAAAGAAAAGGCTTGGTTTCTCAACTGGGAGTGAAAAAGGAAAAGAAAAGAAAAATTGACTTGTAGGCTAATCAAGAAGTAGAAATAAAAGAAGTGTGTTCAGATAGGATGATCCCCAAACCTGGACTTTCTTCTTATATAGATTTTATATTATCGACAATTTATTTATTTATTTATTTATTTATTTAGTTTTGTATGTATATAATTCCATGTGGACAAAAGGCAAAAAATAAAATTATTATTATTATTATTATTATTTTGACAGATAAAATAAGATAAAATATACTTGATTAGAGTTCATTCCTTTTTATACGCTCCTTTTCTTTTTATTTATTTACTCTACCTCTTTTTACCTCTATTTACTTCTTCTACCTATTTACTCTTTCTACTTCTTCGTCTTTCCTTTTATATATCTATATTTATATTTATATATTTATTTAGGTTAGGTTAGGTTAGGTTAGGTTAGGTTAGGTTTGGTTTAGTTTGGTTTGGCAGTCAAGCTTCATCTATTACTAGCTCTAATTTTCCTTTATATATATATATATATTTATTTATTTATTTATATAATTCTTATTCTGGCTTCCCCTTTTTTAAACTCTTTCAATTTTAATATTTTTATTTTTATTATAAATATATTTTATATTTTCTCCTTTTACTCACTCTCTTTCTCTTTCTCTCTCTTTTTAATCAGTGGTTGTATTTTTCTTTTATTATTATTTGGTCTGCAAATGCTCCAGTTCTATTGCCTGGTCTTGCTGGTCTCGTCCTTCTACATATCCCCGGCCATATGTCAGAATGCCTATGTTGTAGAACTGTCTTCAAAAGAAGCCCTTACCCACTTCAACGCCCAATACAACACTCGATACACTTACGATTCAGACCTTCTCCGAGGCGTATCCGTCCAATTCGGGTCCACAGACGAAGCCTCAATTGCCCTTGCCCACCCAGACATCAAAAACATCTGGCCCATCACACACAAATCACGCCCGACCAGCACCAGCACAATTAATATCAATATCAACAACAACAATAATAATAATGATAATTATCCATTATTACAAACATTTGACAAAGTAATTCATCTTTTTTTTTTTATTTATTTTTATTTACATATACAGATAGGAACGCCACCAAATATCGGTATTCTATTTGGTTGTATGATTTGCCATCTATTGTCATCTTATTCTGTTTATCTAATAGGACGCTCCAGCTATGCTAACAAAGGCCAACAATGCCTATAGAACGTTGGGCCAGAATGGAAGTGGAATCAAGATTGGCGTAATTGATTCAGGTGAGTTTCAAGAGACTATCTTTAAATAAATAATGAAATATACAAGTCTTGCTATACCATTCTCTCTCTTTCTTTCTTATCCCCCTTGGCTTACCATTTATTGTATTGTATTGTATTATATATATATATATTCATTTTGGCTCTCGTATAATCAGGTATTGATTATACACATCCTGCATTGGGTGGTTGCTTTGGTAAAGGATGTAAGGTCGCCTATGGCTATGATCTAGTCGGCGATGACTACAATGGTCGTCCTGAATCGATCAAAGAAAGCCATGATCCCATCGATAGCTGTACCTCTAATTCCAGTACGTCGACCACAGATATTCATTTAATTAATTAATTAATTAATTATAGGATAGCAAAAGAATCAAAAATATTACTTGAAAGATTAAAATCATTATCGATTCTTATACTATATTTATTAATCTTTAAACTTTTTGTAGCTTCTGCCACTGGACATGGTACCTTTGTATCAGGTAAATAATAGGCCTCTTTTAATTACCAAATACGATTATCTTGCTTTGAACAAAAACAAACAAACAAACAAACAAAAAAATTATATGTGCTTAATTTTTATATATATCATTATTATTATTATTGCAATCATTCATTCCTCTGTCTGTCTTTATTTTATTTTATTTTATTTTATTTTATATAGGCATTATTGCTGCAGATGATAAAAAATATGCAAGTTATTATTGTCAAGTTACTTTATCTTATTGTCTCTAACCTTTATATATCATACATTTGCTTAATTTACAACCTACAGAACTGGACAGGTGTTGCACCAGGAGCTACCTTGGGCATGTGGAGGTAAGAGCAAAAGACATAAAGACATAAAAAAAGAAGAAGAAGAAGCGAAAGTGATGCCATCCGCTGTGCACAAAATATTCTTTTGGTCAAATACTCAACATCTCCTTAATTATTTTTATATATATATATATTTTATGCTTATTTCTATTAGGGTTTTTGGCTGTAATTATGGTGGTGTATCAAACGATATTTTGATCAAAGCAATGGAAATGGCATACAATGTAAGCACCTTAACTTGGTAGCACTACATATACTTTTTTTTTGTTGTTGTTAACAATGATCTCTAGGATGGTATGGACATTATCAATATCTCCTTGGGCGACAACGGTGGCTGGGAAGAAGATGCTCTTTCTGTAGTAGCCGATCGTTTAGTAGATTTGGGTGTACATGGTAAGAATACTAATAATCACATACTTTTCCATAGATTTATATTTTATTCATTCATATATTTATTTATTTATATTAGTTGTTGCTGCTAGTGGAAACATTGGTACTAGTGGTATTTTCTTGACAGCAGCACCAGCCACTGGCCGAAATGTTATTTCGGTAGCCTCTACTTCAAATAACTACTCACCTGCTTTTATGATCAATATCGAAAGCCCAAACTCAAAATTCTCTATTCGTAAGTAAACACTATATGCAATGAACAAGAAAGAATATTAACATTTCTGTTTTCTGTTTTTTTTTTGTTTCTTTCTTTCTTAGCTTACCGTACCTTTGTAAATCAACCTGTCTCATTCAACCAAACATTTAGAATCACTGCAGCCAGTACTAAATTCAACCCGACTTTTGATGCCTGTCGCCGCAAGGATCTTCCTCGCCACATCTACGGTGGTATTGTACTGATCCGCCAGGGTGGCTGCAGCTCGCTCCTCAAAGTGAGCAATGCGCGACATGCAGGTGCCCAGGTCGTCTTGTTCTACACTGGCACCACAGGCACGACCAACTTTGAGGTCCTAAAAGAGGCCACTCTGCCCGTCGCATTTATCAATCTCAGCGACGGCAAGCAGGTGTTTGATGCCATTAGCCATGAAAACTCCAGGCTTTTCTTCCATCGGTCCTATGCCCAGTTCACGAAGCTCATGGTCGCCTTACCGGCCGACAAGTCTTCGGTCGACCAGATCGCATCCTTTTCATCCCTTGGACCAACAAACGAACTCCAACTCAAACCCGAACTCACTGCCGTCGGTGGAAATGTGTTTTCGACAATGCCAATCTACAAGAATGGCTATGGATTTATGTCGGGCACTTCAATGTCAGCCCCCTTTGTTGCTGGCTCGGTTGCATTATTATTGAATGGCCTGGAGAAAAGGCCAAGTCCAGGAGAAGCCAAGACACTACTAATGAACTTTGCAAATCCAAGTAAGTTGAATTTCTTTTTTTTTTCTCTTTCATATACATACAAAAAATTACAGATGGACTACTTGTAAATATTATATAAAAGAGGAAATATACTATTATAGAATCAATACCCCTCATACACATGCACATACCTTTATATATACTTCTTCTATTCATTATTTCATTATTTAAAAAAAAAACCAGAAAAGAAAAGCATAGTCTTTATTGTATTGTATTGCATTACATTGTTTTGGTTGTTACTGTTGTTATTACTGCTGTTTTTTGTTGTCTTTATTATTACAACTACCATGTTTTCATTCTTTGATTCATTCTTTGATTGTTACTATTACTATCAATATCGATATCTAATTCATTATTATTATTATTATTCCCTATTCATTCACTATATAAATATTGATCGATTTTACTTAAATATATATACATATTATTTATTTATCTAATAGCCCAGCCCCCTATTGCTAATCTGGCCCAGTATGAAGATTCTCCTATCCGCCAGGGCGCAGGATTAGTAAATGTGGTTCAGGCCATCGAGGGCTACCGTACCTTCCACGTGTCACCCGCCAAATTCAGTTTCAATGATACCCAGCACTTTAATAACCATCAGGTTCTCACTCTTCACAACCACAAAAGCACTCCTTTAAAAGTCAAGCTGAGCCACTCTCCTTCGCTCACTGCGACTGGATACGATCTCACAAACCCTTCGAGCTACGTGCCAACCGAACCGATCGGTCTGTCGGTCTCTGGCCAGTCCTCGGTAGCCAGTGTGAGCTTTGAGGCAACCACACTCACCATCCCTCCAAACTCATCAAAGTCCGTCAAGATCTCCCTAACCCCACCAAGCATCTTCAATCCCCAATCTCATGTTATCTATGGCGGATTTTTTAAAGTCGACAGCGAAGATGACCAGATCAGTGCCACGGTTCCTTATATTGGCATGGTCGGTAATATGGGGTCTTTGCCTATTCTGCAACGCACCGAGAACTCTGAGCCATTTCCTTTCCCAAGTATCGGCAATCCTAATGGTACGATTCTTCAGAGACACTCTCTGGGCCACTATGATGTCACTCCTGGAAGCACCAACCTTCCCTTCATACTCGTCCGTCTCTTGACGGGTACGGCGATCGTGCAGCTCCAGGTTGTCCAGGTCGACTACGACGATGCCAAGAACGACAAGGTGATCGGAGATATCCCGATGGAAACCGGCTCGAGTGGGATCAATACTCGTGTCTGGCTGCAGCGTAATACACTCCAGCTCACCGAGAGCTCGACGGCCTACCACAGCTGGCAGTGGAACGGTGTATACCTGCCCAAACCCGACGCCACGATTAGCGGACACAATGATCCGGACGTGAAACCCAAGCTGGTCGAGCCCGGAGTTTATCGTATCCGAGTCCGTGCCTTGAATGTGTTTGGTAACCGACAGAACACATCTGACTGGGACACTTGGACATCACCTAATCTAAAGCTCCACCGATTTTCACACCTGTTGCCTAGTCTAATTCTTTCATAATCTAACCTACATTACATTAACTACCTACCTACCTACCTACCTACCTACTTATATATTTATCTATTTATCTATCTATTTACTTTCTTTTCTTTCATTATTTATATATAATATATATTTATACTTTTATTATATCTTTATTTTATTTTCTTCCTTTTCAAAATATATATATATACATTATGTAGAAGCAATTCGATTTGATCATCTTTCATTCAATTATCCCTCTCTCTCTCTCTCTCTTTTTAATATATATATTTGGCTGTTTAATTTATTGAATGTATAAAAAAAGGAAGGATTTGTGGTTATGTATTTTGCATAGAAAAAAAAATGAATAAGAAGCTTTGAAATACTATGCAATTTTTAATTAACTGAATAAAATATCATTATTTTAGATAGCTTACCTATGTATATTCTTTCTACCCGTTTCTTAAAGTCCAAGTAAAAATATATAAATCTTGCTAGCTAATCCATTAAACCATCAACGTAGGTGCAAAAAGTGAATTACAAGATTTGCCAAAATATTCTAAACCCTGATGTTTCATTTTCCCCTTTAAAGCTAGGCCTTATCCTCTGGATAATTAAAGACATATCTACCTGATATTTTTTCAAGTGATATAGCATAAATTATATAAAACTGTTCTTGGCTAACATGTATTACAATCTCAACAGTCGCTTTTATCTCAACTTTCATGTCAAATTTAAAATTTTAGTATAAAAGTGGTACCCCCCTCCCAACAGCTCCAATGTATTTTATTTTACAAAAAATTTGGCAGGGATTTCAAAAGGTTTATCTCAAAATGCTCTTATCTTCTACAAAAAAAAATGTATATGAAGGGGAAGGTTGGTACGAAATGGTTCGGACACCCACACTCATAATCATGTGACTAGAGTCAAGCCTTCAATACACGCCCAAAGGCAAGAGTAGTTGACCAAACACACGGCTCAAGTGAAGTCACACCCAGTCTGTCCTCACATTTCCCACCCTCTGTCAATAAGTTTATTTATATATATTATCATTATTAGTATTAGTATTCTTATTCTTATTCCTATGGTCTCTTCTCAAAGGACATAATTTGCTACTGCAAAGAATCTTTATTGTATTTCTATTGTAATTGCCATTGGCATACCATATTCTTTTTTCTTCTTCTTGTCTATCAAAACCTTTTATTGCAAATTGTTATAATAGTAATGAAAAAGATAACTATATAATTAAAGGGACGGCAGAATATAATATATACATCAGTTGTTTAGAGTAAGTCTCAGCAGCACATCTTTTAGATTCGAAAGATACACCATTGAATGTAGTCTCTTAAAAAAAGAAAAATATTTTCAATGATAAGGGTGCTAAAAGCAATTGTCGTGGGTTCTGTCGACGGTTCTTTCTGTAATAGCCTTCAATACTCGAGATTCTAAAGAGTTTCCGAAATTGTGAAGGTGGCCTTTTCGTTTGTTTGATTTAGTATAATAGCGTTTGAAGATTATCTCCACAACATTGTATAGCCGATCAAGGAAAGGAATACGCTGAGGCAGTTCGTCTAATGATAACGGGAGCCTGATATGATCTAACTATATCATTGCAATCACATTGCTATCATTGACTTGAGACATAACAACAGCTTTGTTACAACTGGATCTTCATTATATTCGTCATTGTTTTTTTTAAAGACCTATTCACTAGTTCCCCAACTTTGGTTGCACCAATTATTCTTGTCATTGATTCACAGTTGATACTGTTTACAATCGTGATAACTTTGATCATGATCTCCTTGGGGAATTTTGATTGCTGTTTATTGAAGCCAGACGTATCATAGAGACTTTGGCGGATATCGCTTATATCGCAAATAGAGTGCTTATCCAGATCCAGATGATACGCGTGTTTGCCTATCAGCAAGACATTTGAGAGAGAACGAAGATGCTGCAGGTGCGTCTCGAATGTCAAAAGAGAAGTGTTGAGCAAGTCAAATACGTAACGTTTAGATCGGCTTAAAGTTTGCGGAATATCTTGAGGGTCTATGGTAGTATTGTCGCAAAGCTCAATGTTAGGAGCAATAAGGTCCTTAGCTTCGCTTAGACTAATTGTCTCTGTTGTTTCTATTGTCTTGAATGAAGTAGTACTATCTGTGATAGCTGTGGTAGCTGTAGTAGAGTCTGCGGGTCTAGATGAATTGGAGTTTGGCAGGCTAATGGTGGAGTGTGATGATATCACTGATGGTGATAGTGATTCAATATTGTGATGATCGTCTTGATTTTCTTTATCTCTAAAGGCCCAATATGCTTTGACTGCCTTGGTCTTTTTCCATTTATTAAAAATTTCCAAGACTTTATCTCTTTGCTCAATATCTTCCATGTATTCGATCACATATTTGAATCTTGCCGTTGCTTTTCTTTGTGCGTAAGTCTTGAAAAAAAAAAAAAGTAAGGTGAGAAATCTCATTGCTGTTTTTCCGTAACCAGTTTATTTCGCTGGGAAGTTTTTGCCTTCATTTATTGGATGACATAAGTATAAATAATTGCCCTTTCTTTTGCCTTTTGACTGATTTATGAGAAAAAATATTGATTTTTGAGTATAAAGAACAAAGCGCAGGAAAGTTGTGTACCTTACGGCATCATATCAAATTATGTGACATGGACTTTTGGAATTGAATCACAACCACTGCACAAATAAGACAAATAAGCAAATATTGGTTACATGAGATACTGAGGCTGTCGTTATAGTCGAGCTCTTTAATGACAAGTGTATGCACACACACACATTTATATACATATATATGTATAAATGAAATAATAGTAAATAAAATATGGAGTATTACTTTATCTTTTCCTGGCATCAATTACAGCTTGGTATCAATGTCGCATACTACCTGCCAAGCAAGTTCAATGAGGTTGAGAGCTGGTCCTTATTTTTTTTTATATATATATTTTAACAAGTAGCTCTAACCTACTCATTAGACCATTACGAGCGCATTTTTCTTTGTAGATCTATGCCATTACTGCTTCATCAGTAACAGCCCGGGCCCTTTTTATTTTTTGTAAGACCAATCTGATTTTTGTTGATTGGAATGTGAATGTGATGTTGGATTCAATTGAAAAAATATCATTTATTTTATTTTTTATATATTATTTTTTTGCTTGAATATTTGACAACTTTTAGCGGGAGTTGAAATATATTTCAGCTGTGAGTGTGAGTGTGTATGGTCAATTTAAAAATGGCATGAATCTTGGATCCTTTGAATGTTGCTTGAAAATATTGAACAACAGGGGATATTGTTTCAGTAACAGACTTTGGTGCGAATAAATGAGCTAATACGAGATTACTCTTTTTTTTTCTTAAATAACCAGAGCTACTTGTTGCTATTTGCCTACAAGACAAAACGAAATACATGAATTCCTTTATTTTTATAAAAGGTACTAATATACTATAATATATTATCCTCATGGTGTTTTCTATGATTGTACTATGATTTAAAGTATTTTTCCATGCGCATATATATTGGAGGAGTGCTAATTGGGCCATATGGCAGGCCATACCGAACTGTCTTAATGTCCGACTCGGACAGATATGCACTCACAAGAAGCAACAACAATCCTCAGCAAAAACAAGTAAAATCACTAAAAACCCAATTAAATATCAAATTACAAGCTCCGTCTACTTAAAAACATAAATAAATAATATATTATTTATTTATAATCTAGATTTGAAGCACAAGTCACACTACCAAAAATAACTTTCTTATTTTTATTTTATATATATATATAATTTCTATTGTTATTATTCTTATTTTACTATAGTGGTTTTTGTCTTTTCTTTTTCTTTTTTAATCTCTTTCGATCTTTTTATCTCTCTATCAAATCAGTCTCTCAGTTTCTGGGTGCTTATATAAACCTATATCTAAATTAAGTAAATTTATATATTAAAGTTTTATAATACAAACAATTACAAAATAAATAAATAAATAAATAAATAGATTGAAATTGAAATTTATATATATAAAATCCTGTTTGATTTTTGATTTTTTTTTGTTTGTTTTAATTCTTTATTTATTTATTATTTATTTATTTATTTATTTATTTATTTATAATTTGACGTTGGGTCATCAAAGAAAAATAAATAAAATAAGGCTCGAGGCACCTTGTATAAATAAAGAAAATATTGAGGAAAAGGTAGCCAGAAATGGAGTGTTTGCCTGTAAAGTTCAGTGTCAGAACATTAAAAATAGATACGAATGCAAGTGATTCTAGACACAAACTTAAACTCCGTTCCGAGGAAGAGCTTTAGTGAGCCCAAAAACGGATGTTGATCGCATGGGGCTTCCAAAAAGTGGCGGTTCCCATCCACTTTACCATCTCTTTCACTCCCCCCCTCTTTCCATTCATCCTCCTCCCCCCAATTTCCCCTCTCTCTTTCTTCTTTCTTCTTTCTTCCTTATTGATTCTCTTCCTCTCACTTAAACTCATCACTCCCCCCCCCCCCTTTTTTTTTTTGGAATATTTTTCTTCTTGGAATTTTATAAAAGGATTTGTTCCTTTGTTTCCAATTGATCTTCTCTTGAACCTTCATCTCTCACTTCTACATCCACCAATATAAATAACTGTCAATTATTATCTTTACTTCATAACAAGATGACCATTACTGAGACAATCCAAGCTTCCCATGTCGACGCTCTCAAGGCTCGTTTTGCTGCCGCTGGCCAAGAGCACGTCTTCCACTTCTACAACGAGCTCTCTGCCGAGGATCAGGCCAAGCTCTACAAACAGCTTGAAACGATCGATGTCGAGCGTCTCAACGTCATCTACCAAAAGGCCATCCAAGGCGCCGAGGCTGCAGGTGAACAAGACGCGTCGCTCGAGCCCCTTTCGGGTGAAGTATTCGAGTCTGTCCTGAACTCATCCGCCGAAAAGCTCCAGGAGTGGGAAACCATCGGCTTGACCCAGATTGCACAAGGAAAGGTTGCCGTCATCCTGATGGCCGGTGGTCAAGGCACTCGCCTCGGATCATCTGCCCCCAAGGGTTGTTATGACATCAACCTGCCCTCTCACAAGCCTCTTTTCCAGCTCCAGGCCGAACGCATTCTCCGTCTCCAGGAGATCGCCCGCCAATACAAGAAGCCCGGAGATGGCGTTGATTCCATCATTCCCTGGTACATCATGACATCAGGCCCCACCCACGGCCCCACATATGACTTTTTCAAGAAGAACAACTTCTTTGGTCTCAAGGAACAAAACGTCATTTTCTTTGAACAAGGTAAATCATTTAAATTACAGCAGCTGCACAAAGTTTCAGGAGTCAAAAAGCACAAGAGACAGATTTAGGCATACACACATATATGTATATATGCATATATATATATGCATGCTTATGCGTGTGCTTTAGATAATATCCTTCTTCTTCTTTTGTGAATTATAATCCTAATGGGGGTTGTTTGTTGATGGATAATTAACATACTATTCTTTAAATAAAGGTGTTCTTCCCTGCTTGACCATGGAAGGAAAGATCATTTTGGAAGACAAGGCAAAGGTAAATATAAATATAAATATAAATATAAAAGAGAAAGAGAGAAAGAAAAAGAGATTTGGAGACTGGAGACTAACAAATCCAAACTTTAATCTTTCAGGTTGCTATGGCACCCGATGGCAATGGTGGAATTTATGCAGCTGTGCAGAACAAGGGCGTAATTGATTCTCTGAAGGAGCGTGGAATCTTGTACACTCACTGCTACTGTGTTGACAACTGTCTTGCTCGCGTGGCTGATCCTGTCTTTATCGGCTACAGTGTCTCCAAGGGTACTGACTGTGGTGTAAAGGTTGTGCGCAAAGAACAGCCCGAAGAACCCGTCGGTGTTGTGTGTCTGCGCAACGGCAAGTACGGTGTTGTCGAGTATTCTGAGATCACAGAGGAACTTACCCAGCGTCGCAACGAGGATGGTTCGCTTTCATTTGGTGCTGCCAACATTGCCAATCACTTCTTCTCGACCGCATTCCTCGAACGTGTGCCCACATTTGCTGCCGAATTGGAGTACCACATCGCCAAGAAGAAGATCAAGTTTGTCGATCTTGAGACCGGTGAGCAGATCAGCCCAAAGGCAAACAGCGGTATGAAGCTTGAGTGCTTTGTATTCGATGTGTTTCCCTTTGCCCACTCCCTGTCCGTTCTTGAGGTTGACCGTAAGGACGACTTCTCGCCTCTCAAGAATGCCCCCGGCTCCGGTGCAGACTGTCCAGAGACTTCAAGACGTGATATTGTTGCACAACACGTGCGTTTCATTGAAGCCGCTGGTGGAAAGGTTGTCGGTGAACACAGCGATGATCTGGACAAACTCCACTTTGAAATATCCTCCTGGGTCACTTACTCTGGTGAAGGTATCCGTGAAATTGTCCAGGGCAAGACTATCACTGCACCCGCAGTCATCGAAACCAGAGAAGATCTTATCCGCTTGGCCAACTAAATTCCCCCCAAAAAAGAGAAAAAGAGAAAAGAATCTTACGTGCAAACGCACCCCATACACCATATACACCATACACACACACATACATACATACGTACATAAGTACATAAGTACAAACAAACATATCCCTTTTCCATCCTAAAAAGCCCTTCTTTGTTTTTGCTTGCAAACCAACAACAACAAGAACGACAACCTTCTGCTTTTTTTTTGCTTGCCGTTTCAATTTTTCTATATCTTGCAAGCATCCCCTCTTCTCTTCCTCTTTGTTATTCGCCCTTTGTCTTTCCTCGCCGTCCTCGTCCTGCCTGCTTTCAATTCTTCATCCCTCCATTCAACTAGCATTTTTTCCTCTATATACTTCTTCTCATTTAAAATAAAGATAAATAAATAAATGACAAGAATTATACAAGTTTTTTTAAAAAAGAGAATATTGATTTATTTCATCGGTGTTTTACGGATGTTGATTTATTTATTTTAATGATTTATTTTTCGTCGTATGATAAAACCATAACATACATGCTCCAATTTGAAATGTATTTCGAAAAAAAATAATATTTTTATTTACAAAAGAGTGAAGTGATTAACAGCTATTAAGAAGAGTAATAATAAATAAGAATTACATAGAGGAGTGAGAGATTGAATGATGTTGTAATGTAGTGTAGTATAGTGTAGTGTATTGTATTGTATTGTAATGTAGTATAGTATAGTGTAGTGTAGTGTATTATAGTGTAATGTAATGTAGTGTAATGTAATGCAGAGAGTATATGGGTTGGGTTGCTTGGCTACAAACAAGGTTGCATCAAGAAGAGCATAAGTAATTATATGTATATATACATGTTTGTGTATGTGTTTGCGTGTTTGTCTACGCTTCTTCGTTTATCCTGCTTAGTCTTGTGTATGCTCATCATACGCAGGCGGAGGCTGTGCGTGATTTTGTTTGTGTGAGCTGTTGCGGAATGCAATCCACTCTTGTTTGGCGTTCACTCGCCGTTTCTTCTGGTAGGCCAGATAACATGGACAAACAAAGAATCCACCCGGCTTCTCGCCTTCTTCATCAAATGCTGGGTTCAGCAGCGCTTCTTCATATGTCGGCAGAATCGAGTAGTCTTCTTTGAGTCTGCAGTCAAGAATCGTAATAGGAACTTCAAAATAGACTTCTCTGCGCTCTTCATCTCCATTCGTGAGCTCGATTTGGATTCTTAGCCGGTGGCGAATCAGAATCTCGTGAAAATTTGTGCTGTGATTTACTTCGACGCAGTTGGGTAACGTAAACATGAACCGATATTGGAATGAATTGGCACCGATCTTAATGTGGGCATTTTTTGTGGAGACCACCCGTCTGAGCTGAGTCATTGACACATCCTCAATGGCCAGACTAGGGTCAATCATACTAGTGGCCGTGCTCAGTTTGACCTTGAAGTCGTTCTCTTCGGATCTTCGCACATCATACTCTGGTAGTCGATAGACTCGGCGCTCGTTGAGAATAACCGAAAAGGACTCGAGGTGAACTTGCTTTGTGTTGGGATTGACGGTAAGCGTGATCGGAAAAAGAGTGCCTGACGAGGCAATCGATGTCTCGACACATAATGCGACGTCGCACAGGTCCATATGTCGGGATGTTGTTATGGAAGGGCTGGGTAGCGAGTGAGACTCGAGTGATGCGTCTGAGGAAGACATTGTACTGAGTACTAGAACATTGCGTCTACAACGAAGCTTGCTCTGTCCGTTTGGCCTGTTGACCATCACCTGGAGACTGTAGTTCGTCTTGGCCATCTCGTCTTCAATTGTGTCGGCCAGGTTGTTCGGGAGTAAAAACTCAAATGGCCAACGGTGTAAGCCGATTCCGAGAATTTGTTTGATCTGATCATCTTGAGCAGACATTAACACCAGTTCTTGCTCATGGATTTTCTTTTCGTGCATTAGTTTCATTCCCCGTGAGCCTATGCCTATGAAATGTCGAGGACCTGTCAGTTTTTTTTTTATTATTATTGGTTTTCAATCCCCACAAACACAAACACACAAAGGAGAGCGTGTGAATTTTTCTTGTATTTCCATTTGATAGAATTGAAATCTAATCATATCTAATGGCGTGAAGATACCAAAAGAAACAAAACCTTGTTCCTATTGTTTTATTTTTTCTTTTTGGATTTACCTTCAGGCCACAGCATTCTTGATTGACCAACAAATTGGATTGTGATTGATGAAGCTGACATTGGCTTTGTCAGAACCAATTCAACTTCTCCTCGAAGGATGTTTGTAACAGGATCTCTGGGATTTCCCCGTAAGATGACCACTGGTTCTGTCAGTGCGATTGATAGCTGACGGTTCGTAAAGAATGGAACCGAAACAGGCATCTTGAGTATGATGTATACTTGGTGGGTTGGAAGTAAAGAATAAGAAGAAGTATTTTTCTTTAAAAAAAATAATTAAATAAATAAAACAAAGAAAAAAATAAATATCAAGAGAAGAAGCCTTTTTATATATATATATATATATATATACATATAATAATATCGTGGACCGTTTAAACTGGGTTTTGTAGAGTGACAATTGCCACGCGAATTGAAAATTTTCACAAGCAGAATCCAATCCACTCCAAACTGAGTTTCTTGTTCAAGATTTTTTTTTTTTGAATGTGATCTGTAGTCTGAAAATTATTGGTTAAAATAACTATTCTCCTTTCTATCGGTTAATGCTATGACCGTGTATTTTTTTTTTATTTCTCATTTTTGGGATTTACCTTTCAAGAATAGAGCAATTCATTACCTAGGCTAAAAAAGTAAGCAAGATCCTTAATATCTGAAATAATAATTAAAGTATGATAACTGCATGTAGATAATTGTCAAAGGAATTATTAGTATATCATTACTCAAAACTAGTTCTTGAAGGCGCGATAAACCAAGGAGATTATTCAATGGCTGTGAATTGCAAATCATAGCACAAAACAATGCAATGCAATACAAACAAGGGCGTTTTATGCTTCTGTTGCTGTCTTAAAGAGTCCAGACCAGTAATTATATAGATTATTGTATGCAATTCTAGATCTTTTGTCTATTTATCAGTAAAGTTGTACAGCCTTCTTGAATTTCGTACAGGCAATAGAACACACATTTATGCATCAATGTAGATGTATATATATATATGTAAACTTAAGCTAGATGGATAAAATCTCAAATAACAAATGTATTTGAAGAGGTATATTTTCTGATCCAAAAATGGGACTCGATGTCTACAAAGGTTTCTTTTTACTACAATAAAAACTAAATCAATTCAATTCAATTCAACTCATATAGAATAAAAGGATCTAAAATTTCAATTAGATTTCGTGAATTTGAATTGATACATTTGTTCTTGTAATTCTGTAAATTGAGGCATTTTGTAGCACAATTACAAAGCAAAGGGTGATTTGTACACAGATTGAATCGAATTGAATTAAAACCAAAAATAAAATAAAAATTCTCTTTTCTTCTTCTCGTTAAAGAAACTTGCTTTCACTATTGTTCCTTTTAAACAAACTTAAACTCACTTTTTTTTTTTGATCTCCTTTATCATTTACTTATAAAAGACCAAAGATATATATATAAATAAATAAATAAATTATAATAAAAATAAAAAGCAGAGACATTTATGTGACTCTTGAGTGACGACATTTTCACATATTTTATATATATATATGAATTTCTACTATGTTTATATATATATATATATATAAAATAAAGGGGACGAATTTATTTTTTTTAAAAAAATAAGAGAGAGGGAAATAGAGAGAAAGCGTTGTCGTGACAACCCAAGATTTGATCTATTTAATTATTTAATTACTTAATTTATTATTTAACATTTTCTATTAACCTTTTACACAACTGTTTCAATTTTTCTTTTTAAAAGCAATTACAAAAAAACCAAAAAGAAAGAAAGAAAAGAAATCAAAGAGAGAGAGAGGAGATAAAAGATAATAGAGAAAAAAAAAGCAAAAAAAAAGCAAAAAAAAAAGAAAGGACAAAAAGGAACTTTTTTTTTTGGTGATGGAGAGCACATGGTCTGAAGTACAGCACACATGCGACATTGGCTTGAACAAAGTATCGCCCGTCTCTGCCCTCTGTTGGGATCCTTACCATGAGCTATTATGGGTGGGCAATGACTCTGTAAGTCGCGCAACCAATATAATACCTTCCAAAACAAAACAGAAACAGAAGAAGTCTATTTTCTCCATCATCAATACATTTCAACAATATAATGATAACGACAAGCAACATAATCACCAATCACTACAAAAAAAAAGAAAAAGAAAAAAATACTATTACCACAAAAAAGGCCATACTATGATACGCTATAAGATGAAGAAGATTGAATGAACGAACGAATGAATAAAAGAACGGACGAATGAATATATAAATTAATTAATTAAAAAGAAAGAAAGAAAGAAACGAGTATATCATTGCAAGGCAATTACACTCTTTTTGATGTATACGTTCATTTATACATAAAGACATATGCATATATGTATATTCTTCAGTCATAAAGAATTTATGAATAAATAAGAAATGGATTTATTTGAAATGAAGAGAAATAAGACAACTTATATGCATAGTGTCTTACTCTCTAGGGTCGTGTGGCATCATATTATGGAAAAGGATTACAACGCTACACCTCATTCAAAGCCCACAAAGATCAACAAATTCGACAGATCAGGGTGACTGACCGAGGAATCATCAGTCTCAGTCCCAAGAGCATTCAGATGCGAGACAGACGAGGCATGGTCAAATGGAACATTAGGTACTTGCCTTTGTACAACAAATCCCCAAAAATGAACAAATATAAACTTCTTTGTGGGTGTCGTCTTTCTTTCTTTTTTTTTGTTTGGTTTGCTCCTCTTCCTCTTCTAGTAATGAACACACCCGCGATCTACATTGCATGATGGCAACCACATTGATAAGTGGAGAGTTGTTGGTAGCAGGTCAACAAGACGATATGCTGGTAGTTAGTATGGCTCGTGGCACTGTAACTCGTACAGTCCCAGGTGCATCAAATATCGTAGTAATGCGCAACCTGCCTCGAGCTATCTGCTGTGGATCATTACTTGGAGAGGTTACCTTGAGAGACACACGGACGATGAAGGTCGAACAGAGAGTACAGGCACACACTGCAACACTGTCAGATATGGATGTTTCAGGGAATCTGCTTCTCACTTGTGGATTCTCACAGAGGTTCGTTGCTTTCATGTGCCAACCAGATCACCACGTGTATTTAATGTCATATACTATCTTCGAAATGGTTTCTTTCTTCTTCTCTTTTCGTTGGTTTGCACAGACAGGGTTCGTTAATTATGGACCCATTAGTAAAAGTATACGATATACGAATGGCTGTACGATCATTAGCACCCATACCATTCCCCAGTGGACCCATGTTCCTAAAAATGCACCCAACCCTCAGCACAACATGCCTGGTTGCCTCACAAACAGGCCAATTTCAGATGTGTGATGTATCGAATCTAACAATGGGATCTTATGCACCTCCCGCCCAATTCTACCAAATCCAGACTTCGAGCTACATCACAGCCATGGATATATCTAGCTCAGGACAGGCATTAGTGTTTGGTGATGGAGCTAGCTTTGTGTACGAATACGCCGACAGAGAAGAGTTCGAAATCAATCCCTATTCATTACCATTATCCACGCCTGACCTCGTCGCACCTCCAAATGTGGTGATGACCGAAGAGAGGTAAATAAGAAAAAGACAACAGCATACACCAGGGCTTATACCAAAAAAAATCCCCCAAAAAAAACCGTTCCGCCCATACATATATATATATATATATATATATGTGTGTGTGTGTGTGTGTGTTTGGATTTGTATTTGTATTTGTGTATTTGATGCGTGTATATCTACGTACATCACAAAGTCCTCTGTCATCGATCGGTATGCCATATTACACTGAACCTTTACTTTCCGTATGGCCATCCAACACTGTGTATGAGGTCGGTCACCCAGCTCCCCAGATCGACGAAGAAGTTTTGAGAAATATGAAGATGATTGATTTTGTTGGCCATGCACCAAATCCTGGGAATATGCTTCGTAACCAAGTCGCACGCAAGAAGAAACATGCACACAAAAGAGACGTACCCAAATTTAGATCTGAGCAGGAACGCGAGCTTCTTCTAGCGAACACTGTTATCCTTGATGATGAAGAACCACATGTAAGATACAAAGTAGATTATATATATACATGTAAATTAGCGAGTGACGTCTTAAAAGAAGTCAAGACTTTAAAGCTATTACTTATATTTATTATTACTGTTATCTGATGTAGCATTCTGGACGTCGTTCATCTTCTACCGGAGATCTTCGAAAAGCAGATCCTCTTGGTTTGATTATGCCACAGCATTATCGCCGTGTAGAAATCCAATACAGTAAATTTGGTGTAGACGATTTTGATTTTGGGTGAGTGGTAAAAAAAAAGAGGCACTTGAATCACTAAATATGTCTAGAGTACGCACATTATAAACTTTGTTATTCTTACATAATCTCCACAATCATAGATACTATAATCAGACCGTTTATGGTGGATTAGAAACACATATCCGTAACTCGTACTGCAATTCTCTTCTTCAAATGCTTTATTTTACTGTTCCTCTACGCAAGATAGCCAAATCTCATATTGGCACACCTTGTCCCAAAGAAAACTGTCTTCTGTGTGAGCTCGGTTTCTTGTTCCGTATGCTTGACGATGCCAATGGTCAGAATTGCCAGGCTACAAACTTCCTGAGAGCTTTTAGTACTATTCCACAAGGTAAAACAAGACAGGTCAAGACAATCATAATATAATTGATATATTTTAATCATGTTAAAATATAACGCTTTTTTTTCTTTAGCTGCTGCTCTTGGCTTATTTGAGCCCGAGACACCCGATCGCAACATATCTTATTCGACTCTTATGCAAAACTTTACTCGCTTTATCATGGAGCAACTACACCAGGAATCCAACGCATCGAATGAAAACCCTTTGATCTCAAAGATTCTCAATCTTGACAATGATGTAGCAGGGGCTTCAGTGGAAGAAGAGGGCCATGAGAATGAATACGAGGCTGTGAAATCGGGAGATTCACTTGCTGTTCCTTCACCTATGCAACAGCTGTTTGGACTTCAGACCCTCAGTCAAAGCAAATGTGGGAGTTGCAACCACGAAATATCTCGCATTACATATCCGTTTGTTGTAGACATGCTGTATCCCAAAAAGGTATGTTTTTATTTATATGTATATGTATATATGCACATGATTTCTTTTTGTGTTTTATAGTAATAATAACTCTCTCTCTCTCTACCTCTCTGTGTGTATATTTAATATATATAGAGAGAACAAAAGTCTCGCAAACGGTCGTTCACTAGTGTTTTGAAAGCAAGCATGTATAGAGAAAACCAAACCAAGGCATGGTGTCCTAGCTGTCATCAATACCAACCAACCACTACCAAAAAGATCATTCGTGGCTTACCTGGTGTTTTATTGATCAACTCGGGAGCTTCTAATAGTGACGAGGCCGCCATTTGGCGTCAAAACGGACCCAATAGTCCCAAAAACTCTCTGTCTTCTCCGCAGATAGAAGGTCAAGAAAGTGACAATGGCCAAGATACGCCTTCAACTCCAGCATCATGGTTGCCAGAGAGGTAATCACAAAGAAACAAAAAGAAAAGCAAAATAGAATAGAATGGATATTGATTGTGTGTGGAATTTTGTGTTAGGTTTGGCATTCATTTCAATGGATCAGATATTGCCATCAAGGCACTTCCACCAGGGAAGGAGATCCCTATCGAATTCAAGGGCGCACCAGACACATGCGCTATTTACGAACTATCTGTAAGTTTGGATACGTGTACTTACTTGACCATTATATAACTATGCGAAATATACATTACTTTTTTTTTAACATAAACGTACAACCCTAGTCTACCATTCTACAGATTAAGGCTGACGAAGAGCTTCCTCATTTGGTTGCTCAAATCAAAAGTAAAAAAAAAAGAAAAAAAAAAGAATAGCAAGGGGTTGAACAATAATTTTATTAACCATTTATGATACTTTTTTCTTCTTAAAAATGATAATAATAATAGTACCTACTGATGAACTTGAAGAACATTCAAAAACACCTTGGTATTTGTTCAATGACTTTTTGGTTAAGAGTATTCGCCATGATGAAGTACTTTCTCTCAAGGGAACGTGGAAGGTAAGTTTTACGAATTATTTCTTACATATGTATATATATTTGTGTATCATTCATTTTTATTTTTTGCTTACAACAATGCTAATATCAGTAACTAATTGAATAAATAATGATTTGATAGACGCCCTCAGTGTTACAATACACTCGTATTGATTTAGATTCTTTGCTTGATCTTGAAAAATTGCCTTCAGAAGTCGATTATTCTTTATTATTCAAAGACTTGTCAATTGCAAAGTAAGCAAGTTTTTTTTTTACCTGGGTCTTTTATCTATTGTTCAAACACACATTAATTAATCAATTAATTAATTATTATTATTGTGTGTGTGCGTAAATGACTTTGTTAGACAACCTGTGGTAGAGCCTCGTCATGAGATATTAACTCCTGAAGAAATGCCCAAGCCTGGAACAATTGTAGCCATTGATGCTGAGTTTGTTGCTCTTAACCAGGAAGAGACTGAAATCCGTAGTGACGGCACCAAATCTCTTATTCGTCCAAGTACGCTCACACTTGCGCGAGTCAGTGTGTTGCGAGGAGATGGCGAAAAGGAAAATGTGCCATTTATCGATGATTATATTGCTACTAGCGAACCTGTGGTGGACTACTTGACAGAATTTAGCGGTATTGAAGGTATGAATTATTTTATTATTATATTAGTGTATTTTTTTGGAAATATATATATATATATATATTAATACTAACTATTGTTATGGTGTAGCTGGTGATTTGGACCCCAAGACCTCAAGATATACTCTTGTTCCACTCAAGGTGGCATATAAAAAACTTCGAATGCTAGTTGACCTGGGCTGTATATTTGTTGGCCATGGATTAAACAAGGATTTCAGAATTATCAGTAAGATTTTGCTTTTTGTTTTGTTTACCATAGCTTTTATTACTTGTTGTTAATTTTGTTAAGTTTCTTTTTATAGATTTGCTTGTTCCTCCTGAGCAGATCATTGATACTGTTGATATCTATCATATTCGTAACAGACAACGGTAAGAACACAAGATAGTCACTAGCTGAATATAATGATAACAACAATATTCTAACCTATTTGGGTGTATTAGTAAAATCTCGTTGCGATTTTTGGCGTGGCATCTTCTGCATCAAGATATTCAATCTGAAAGTCATGATAGTATAGAAGACGCACGGACAGTAAGTATTATTACTGAATGTTGATAATTATATATATATAAGTGAATATTAATTATTATTATTTTTTTTAAAAAAAAATAGGCACTTGTGTTGTATAAAAAATACCTTGAATACAGAGAAAACGGAACATTTGGTCAAGTACTTGAAGATGTGTACGAGGCCGGCCACCGGGCTAATTGGCTCAAAGGACCCAAGGATGCCCTGTCTCGAATTCCTACCACGCCACAGATTGAATCTGTGTTAGCTCCTAACCAAATTTTTACAGTTGCTGGTTGGCCATAGTTAAATTTTTTGTGTATAGTGTGTATTGAAAAGTCTTAAATATTCTAACCAGCCAAAGAGCCAAAAACAAAACAACAAAACAAAACAAAACAAAAACAAAAAAACAAAACGTACTTAAAAGGGGACCTTTGTTTCTCTCGTTGAAAGAACAAAAAAAGTAAAAACAATACAGAAAGCAAATAAAAAAAAACTTTAAAAATGTTGCACCCTGAAACTTGTAGCTTGTACCGTCTTTGTATTTATTTATTTATTTTGGCTTTGATTGTGCTATAATTCATTTCTTATAGACCCACAAGTGTGGGATATCAAAGTCGACCAAGACTATATAACATTCCAAAGAGACAGACAGACAGGCAGGCAGATATTGAGGTTTATATCACAAAATTAAGGGAGTAGAATACAAGGAGGAAATATGTTGGTGTTGTAATAGAATCTTCGCTCGATCCAAACATTTTGTATTAGATCGACTATAATTATTAAAAGGCTAGTATTTTAAGATGGTTGAATTTTAGTTTAGTTTTGTTAGAACAATACTCTCTTGCTAATCGAAATACATTATATAAGCCTATGCATTAATGTGTGTGAGAGTATAAGCGTATAAATTATAAAGTCTTTGGGTACAGGTACAGACACATTGGTTAATAATCAATCCAGTCTTGTATAAATACTAATCACCACTAACTTCAACGCATATATCTTACAAAATCTTTTTCTTTCTTTTGGGCACAACTATATACATACACACATACACACCCATATATTTACTAATAAGCCGTATATATATATATAAGAGAAAAATATATAAAATGAGTAACAGAGCCACAATCATAGCACCCTCACCTTTGCGCTTCTTAAGAGCTTACGGAGGCTACGAAAATCCACCCCATTTATCCGCTTCACTAAGAAATGTGTCATGTCGAGAAAAATACCCGGACAGCCAAGTACCAACTGGCCCAATTATACCTGAGCATACACAGAAAGAAATGGATCCAATTTTAGACCACACAGACTATTCATTGTAAGAGTATCAATTATATTTTACGGTATTTGACTAAACCAAAAAAAAAAATACATATGAAATTAAACAAAAGGATATTTGATCTGTAGTGCAGTGTTTGAATTAAGAGCTATCGTCGGTTCTACGCCATATACCTTGTACGAACCCATCAATCGGAGGAACCATTTTGATGTTTCCCGGGAAATATTATTATTTCCTGCACCAAGTCGTGAAATGAAATGGATCGATTATGATGTGAGATCTACACCACAATTAACGGATAAACAATTATCAAATTGATTAGGCTCGCATATTTTAATAGTAATAGTAATAATGACAATAATAATCTAATGGTGTGAAAAAACCTAGCTTGTGGGCATTGCAGCAATTGCAACATTACCAATATCCTTTTTACGATATTTATTGTATCTTTATTTACACCAAAAATAATCAATATATAGAATATCGTGAGATACAAACTTACAAATACACAAACAGATCTTAATTAGACGAGGCGAAACGATTATATTAAAAATAAAAATAAAAAAAGACGAAGACGAAGAAGAAGTCTAATGATAACATGTGTCGCGATTATCCAAACAGTTTGTTTGCTAAGAAACTGAGACATATCTTTAATTTTTTTAGAAAGAAAAATCAACAATATAAAGGACCTTATATTTTATCAGAAGAAGAAGAGAACCAAAACAAAAGGCTGTCTGGCGATCTGTTTTCATTTTCACTGATAAAAGATGCTATTGATCAATATTATTGTGTTCATTAGTGTCCCTGTCTTTGGACTTGTCAGTGAATCAGTTTATGCTCGAGTCAATACGTCTCAAAGTCTTTTAAGTAGCCAGCCCACATACATTGTCAAGCTAAAACACAGCTATTTAAACAGTACTACCTTTGGTAAGCTTGTATAAATATTATTATTATTTTATTATTATTATTTTGCTTGTCTAGGATTTACACACTAATCAACAATAACAAATGAAGCAACCGAGCCAACAAATTTTATCAATCAACATTATTCAATCTATCAAAAATCAAAGCTATCTGCAGCAGGAGTTAACTCACTCGAATCCAACGAGACCGACACAGAAGATGACTATATTAAACCAATACAGCTCAATCGGAAGCTGTCAACCGTCGCTGGATCGTTTTCACCTACATTTGTGAGTTATCTGGATAAATTGGAAGCAGTTGAATACGTAGAGCCAAATCAGATCTATCGGGCCACTCGCCAACCGAGTCCACCAACTGGGAAGCGACGAGGACGACCAAGGTTTCCAATTTCACCTTTAGCCAATTGGGGACTTACACGAATTCACCATCGCAAACGCAATGATTTTTCAGAAGGATCGGCCGATCCCAAGGGAGGGTAGGTTGAAAAAAAAATTACCAAAAGAATATTGTTAAGAATGAAATAATCAAAATAAAGGCTTTCAAACTAACCTACACAACGGTGTATAGGAGTGATGTACATGTCTATGTGTTTGATACAGGTATCAATGTGAACCATACAGAATTTAGCGGACGAGCCACTATGGATGCAAATTTTATTGAAGGAGAAGATTCTATTGATCTTGCTGGTCACGGTGAGTTTATTGCTAATGATATATTGCGTTTGACACGTTTAATATATAAAATATTGTATGCAGATGTATACTAATGTAAGAGTGTCTATTGCTTAGGAACTCATGTGGCAGGAATTGTTGGTGGGGATACATTTGGTGTAGCCAGAAACGTCAAACTCCATGGAATCAAGATTCTTGATCGATATGGAGACGGAACAACTATTGCCCTGTTAAAAGGTAATTTTGTAGATATGATGTATTTATTGACTCATATATTTATTATTGAATAATATCATTAACAATTGTGGGTGTTTGTGTGTACTATACAAAAAAATTAGCTATTGAGCATGTAGTGGAAATAGCTGAACCAGGAAAAAGTATAATAAACCTCTCGCTCAGTGGTCCTCGTTCAGCCATGATTGATGACGCACTCACATCGGCGGTTCTAGACCACAATATCCCGATATTTGTCTCGGCAGGGAATTCTGGGGACGACGCCTGCCAATACTCTCCTTCTGCCAATGAGTATGTATTTCCTGTAGGTGCTTCGTCCGAGAAAGATTCTTTGCCATTCTTTTCTTCGTATGGACCATGTGTAAAGATGTATGCACCAGGTACAAACATCATTAGTAGCTGGTTGGGACAGGATATCAAGATACAGGATGGTACAAGGTGAGACAAAATCTAGATTTTTGTTTTTTTTTGTTGCTGCTGTTGTTGTTCTTTATTGGAGTTTAATTAACAAAGTATGGTATCCTTAAAGTATGGCAAGTCCACACGTAGCCGGAATTGCTGCCCTTTTGATGTCAAGGAAATATTATGGTACCGTACAAGAGCTGTATGATACCTTGACAGAAGTAGCTACCAGAGACATTCTTAGTATGTCTCCATACCAGGCTGGATCAAGCCAAAATTTACTTGCCTATGCACCAATTTAACCTGTAAGCAGTCAAGTCTTCACAGAATTAATAATCTACTACATAATAACATTATTACTATATGTGTATAAATATAACAGTTTTACTCGGGATTTTATAAATGTATAAATATCACCTTTTATTTTTCTTAATAAAATCATTTTGAAATTATATATAAACAATTTTCGAAAAACAGAATGACATGCATTCCTTTAATTTAAACAGCCTGTATCAAAAAACTATACGTGCGCTAGTTATATCAAAGCATAATCCCAAGTAAATCTATTTAGCAAGTCTCCAATGGCGAAATAAATCATATTTTTTCCGATACAACAAACCAATTAAAAAAGAAACTTTCATCAAACACCCACACAGCGATACATAATATAGCTCTATACTATAATGTTGACAAGGAATAATATTTAGCAATACATTCTTGATAATAGAACCAACACCAAATAAAAAGGTAGAGCAATGAGTGGTAATAATAAAAGTTTTTACACTTCTTGACTACTTCTGTTAACAGTTTTCTTTAAAATGGTTTTTCTTTCTAGCGTTGTGTCAGGTAATATGATGATTTTGTAAAGTCCCGAGCGGTAGAAGTAAACTAACCAAAAATAATAATAATACTTAGATTCTAACCTTGCTGAAGAGGACTCTGCAAGATATGAAGACAATTCTGTCAATATGACAGTATACGGTACACGCTGGGCATCCGAAGACATTCCAAAGTAAGCCTTCGATTTCTAATATCTTACTATTTTTTTTTAATGTTCTAATGAGACTTTATACTGCTGTTGCTTTCCTTTCTTTAATTCTAATTAAAAATAATAGATATTCTTTACCAGATGTAAAATGCCACTGATACTAACATCTAATATGTACTTGATAGAAGATATTTATAAGTAGTCTATTTTTCTTTCTTTCTTTTTGTAAATTAGGGAGAGATGCCTCCGAGTAAGTCTATTGTAGCTATGTAGACATATATACGAAAGAAATCAAAGTGAAAAGAATATTTACTGATTACTATGTTTCATGTAGAGGTTGCATACCGTTTAATAGATGACGAACTGGCAGTAAGAAGTCATTTTACTTCTCTACCATAATCAATTACTCCCTCTCTCACACACAAATTATCGATTTTTATTTTTTAGTTGGATGGAATTCCGTCTTTAAATTTAGCTAGTTTTGTCACTACATTTATGGAAGATGAGGCAGAGAAACTGATGGTTGAGAACTTGTCAAAGAATTTCATCGATTTTGAAGAATATCCTCAGACTGCAGAAATATCCGTAAGCTGCTCTTATAATTAAAATAAGGGAATAGTATACTTCAAGAATAAATGACATTTCTTTTTTTTTTAGAATCGATGTGTCAATATGATTGCTCGTTTGTTTCATGCGCCCGTAGGTAGATCTACTGAAGAGGCACTGGGGTGCTCTACCATCGGATCATCAGAGGCTGTAATTCTTGGTACCCTAGCGATGAAGCGTCGTTGGCAACTTGGACGTAAAGCCAAAGGTCTATCTACCGAAAATCCGAATATAATATTGGGAGCCAATTGCCAAGTCGCTTGGCACAAAGCTACTCGGTAAACACATTATGATTATTATAGTTTACTTACTATCTTGTATTTGCCCCCCCCCCCCCCCCCCCCCCCAAAAAAAAAAAAAAGACTGACTAAATTTTGTCAAAAAAAAAGTTACCTTGAGATTGAATCAAGAGAAGTTCCTTGTACAAAGGATCTGCTTTATATGGACCCAAAAAAGGCAGTCGATTTAGTGGATGAAAATACAATAGGCGTTTGTGCCATTCTAGGATCCACGGTAGGTACATAGAAAAAATTATAGCAGGATATATATTTATTAATACGTGATGTTAGTATACTGGACATTATGAGGATGTAAAAACTCTTAATAGGCTCTTGGAAGAGAAAAATAAAGCTACTGGACTGGACGTTAATATCCATGTGGATGCTGCTAGGTAAAATTTAGAAATAATCAAAAGCTATTGTATCCGACCAATAGGACTTCATCAATTAATTGTTTTTTTTTATTACTGTAAAATGATCATAAAAGTGGCGGTTTTGTTGCTCCTTTTGTTACACCCGATCTTGAGTGGGACTTTCGTCTCAACCGTGTTGTGTCAATCAATGCATCTGGTCACAAATATGGTCTGACTTATCCCGGTGTTGGCTGGGCTGTGTGGAGAAATGTTGAATTCCTACCAAAGGACCTCGTCTTCAATGTCAATTACCTTGGTAGTGAACAGGTGAGTAGCTTAATATGTTGTACAATATATAGACAAAATAATATACGATTTTGTATTTACTCATTTACTCACATTTAAAAAAAAGGCCTCTTTTACTTTAAATTTTAGTAAAAGCGCTTCCCAAGTCATTGCACAATATTATATGTTTGTTCGTCTTGGCAGAAAGGGATTTACTAGAGTAATATCCAACTTGGTTCGCACTGCCGACTATCTCGCAGAAAGACTTGATAAAACCGGGCGCTTTATTATTTTAAGCGAAAAAGAAGGCCGTGGATTACCACTTGTCGCTTTTAGACTCAAGAATGAATGCTACTATGATGAAGTATATTCCTTATTCACCTTTTTTCTAAAAAAAATATTGTATGCTAAAATAATGAATTCTAACTTCGTATTTGCTTTTCAGTTTGATCTCGCATCTCATTTGAGACAGCGTGGCTGGATTGTCCCAGCGTACACTATGGCCCACGCTCTTGAAAAGATGAAGCTCCTTCGTGTGGTGGTGCGTGAGGATTTTTCGCATACCCGTGGGTCTCTGCTTATACGTGATATAATGGCAGCTTTACAACATCTTGACTCGATGGATAAAGCTTCAATTGATAATTCTCGGTAAGTTTAAGCAATCAAATAATACGATTTTTCTTAATATTGATTAATTATCAAAATAATCTTATTTGTATTCTAGTTCTCATAGAGCCAAGCACCGCCATAGTGCCTTTCACAAGATCAGAAATAATGAAAAGGCTACTAGTAACATCAATACTTCAGAAGACGAAAATTATAAAGAACCAAAGAGCGCACCAGGAGTCTGTTAAAGGCTCTCATAAAGATATTTTTTTTTGCTTGTTTGTTTGTCTTTATATAAAAGCATATATGATGTCTGTTTCTTTTTTTCTTCTTTTGGTTAAATAAAATATAAATTGTATATACATGTACTGTGTTTTGTAGAATGTAAACTATAATGCAACTAGCCAAAGTAAATACGCGGCTCAATCCAGAACAAAAGAAAAACTACTATGGACCTTCAAACTTCCTTTTTTGTGGAATGTGATCCGGTGGAGGACGTGGGAGGGGTAGATTTCTTTCTTTCAAACAGGCTCGACAGTACCATGGATCAATCTTATTCTCAAAGTCTTCGATTGGTGGATCCTCGCATAATTGATGAACACAGCCATCACAGCCATCACAGAAATATATGTCGTTTCCAGGTGCATGCTCAGCAATAAAGCAGGTCTTGCACAGATCTTGTTCTTTATCAGATTCTAATGGTTCTGGGTATTGCTCCTCTTCAAAACTGTAGTCGGCCATGGTAATTACGCCATCTTGTTTTAATGGTGGACCAGATGCATTGGACAAAAGCACCTTTTGATTGCAATAAAACAAATAAACTGGTCGATAGGTCTGACCAAACACAGAAGGTTCTACAGTCCTTCCATTATCTGTAATAATGGACGCTCCTCGAATATCTGCCCATGCCTGCACGGTAGAAATCTAAAGTCCCAAAGATCAAGTTCCCCTTTCTAATTTTAAAAAACCTTTCTCTCTTTCTTTCTTTTTTTCTTTTTTTCTTTCTTTTCTATTCTTTACCAACATTTTCACAGTCTGATTATATCATTTACCTTTTGATTATCAGATTCTAACGAAGTCTCTTCGAGAACGCGCCAATTGGTGCCCGCATTATCTTCAATAAAGTCTCTCATATACACACACCATTTATCGGATGTACCCATTATAGTTGTCGTTTGTTTCATCAATGCTCCGATCAGGACAAAATGAGTAGCCGGGAACCGTTGTAACTCATACCGATCTCTCGAAAACTGTTCCAATCTCAATTCAACCAAGTGTTCCGTTCCTTGTCGTTCCTCTGGTGATACATTTTTTTGTAAATATTGAAGCGTTCCAACCAAGACAGAGTCCAGAGGTATTTGTTTTCCCTAGCATCATATCAATATCATGCATAATTTTCGTTTAAACTACGATTTCATCTTTTTTTCTTTTAAAAAAAATACCTGGCTGTCCTGGATCGAAAATCGAGGGTCATTTTCTACTTTAAACGCTGGGCTCGCTAGTTCGAGATCGATCAAAGATCTAGCCTATTGTAACAACCATATCAGAGACAGCAAAAAAAGACGAAATAACTATGGCTATTCTTACTCACGCTACTCGTCATAATCTCGAAATGAAGAGCTGCAGGTTCTTGGTCATTTTGTTTTTTCCAGTCAATATCGTTCCAGTCTGATTCATCTTTTACTCTAGCAGCATGCCAGCCCCAGTTTACAATAGGCTCTTCTGCTTGAAGAAATGTTCTATGCAGACATGTGTAAAGAAACTTGTTGATGTCTGGCAAATGCCCACATTCCTGCAGGACATCCATAAGAACTCCATAAAAATTGACTTGTTTTTGTCCAATCCTTTCTTCGGTCAGATGGGGAGGTATAACAAATAGTTGAAGGAGGATGCGTAAGAGAAGGATTCGCGGAACACAAAAGACGGGAACATCCATCGGGTAAAAATTTCTTCTTTTTCTTTTCTTTTTTCTTTTTTTCTGCAAAGAGTAGCAAGAATTATTCTGAAATATCAAACGGTTGAGAATGGTATGAGTGATAGTGTTCTGGCTTTTATATCATTCTGTTTCCTATCAACAAGGTCATGGCCACGTGAAGTTTACATTGTTGCGGTGATGAATACACCAGTTGTAGACAACATGCAACCCACCAGACTAAAAGGGTTTCTTCCCCGCTTTCATTAAAAGCAGTCATAAAATGACTGTTTTATCGGTAGTGAGTTACAGAATTATATATTTCTGACACCTTGTAATTAAATTAATAAGAGCAAGAAAGATTAACCAGAGTTTTTTAACATAAAAAGAAGATATATATATATATTGACCTCCAAAAAAATCTGACAGCCGAATGAAAATCTCCACTGTGAAAAAATTCAATAAAAAAAAAGTCAACCAACCACGCTCGCATGGCCCCAAAAATATAAGAAGCACATAAAATACTAATAATTATGATAATGTTAAATCCTCTGTAGATGTCAAGATTAATTTTCACATAATATAAACACTTGATTTGCTTTCTACAATTCATGAGATATTGGTAGAGCACATTGTTTTCCTTTCTCTCTCTCTCTCTCTCTCTCTCTTAAACACAAAGAGCTTTGAGTTATAGAGAAGAAGCATAACAAAAAATTCCAAGTCCAGCATATTTAGGCTACAATTTGGTAATAAACATATGAATTTTGATATATTGTGCGTTCGTTGATATTTTCAACCTTTTATTTATTTATATGAAATAGACGATAGATGAACTAGATAAGACAGAGAAAAAGAAAAAAAAGAGGCAATTTTTGTTATGGATACTGCGGCAGCCTCGAAATCAAGTTCTATTGAAGCATATAATGTTTTTTTTTCTTCAATATTTACCAAAACTATCATAAGAATATTGTAAAGAATCTCAAGAAGTAAGGCATTGAAGTAAAAAAAAATCACCCTCGATAGAGAGAGGAAAACACGTCCCATATTTAGACGAAATGCAAAAGGACAAATGCAAACACTATGCACATAATAGACAGGTGATATAATAACTTATATATACTAAAGGTATAATCCTGCTTGAATTTATATCAAATAAAGTCTTATTTGTTTGCATGTATTCTCAATAAAACATACAGTATGCTATTCTCTAAAAGAAAAGAAAGATCGTCTTCATTTAAAAGTACCCTCCTTGTCATTTTGGACGAGAAAGTACCAGCGTATAACGCTTACAAGAAATTAGAAAAATAAGACAGTTTAAATGAAATCAAGTGTTTCTTACTAATAGCATCGATAGCAATCAGAACAAAATACCACATGTGGGCATCACTTGGCTTATAAATACTACTTCTGTTTAAACGTTGATTTGTAAGACCTCTATATTATCATTTTTTTAAAAGCTGTGTAATAGGAGTAAGTAGAGCAATTTTTCTTTAATAAATATTATTATTTTTAGTTAAACGTAACAATCAAACATCATATTTTTTATAGTAATTTTGATGATGTTGAGTGATCGAATAGTGTAGATTCTTTAATTAACAATGCTAAATGCTTTGATGACAGAAAAGGTAGTGTGTAAAAAATAAAGTCATGCTTTTAAGCAGCAACTGGAATGTGGGGAGACGCCGTCTCTTTAGCCGGGAGATCATCCTCGTCAGCAAGAATAAGCATTTCTGCAGCAGGAACCTTGATTGAAACTTCTGGCTCTTCAATGGGCAATGAAACCTGTTCAACAGTATTGGAATCTTTATCATTTTCAGCAATCTCTTCGGAGATGTGCTTTCCTAGAACTTCCTCGATTACTTCAGGATCGCTTTCTGTTACTTTCATAGGTTTGATCTCAGCAATAGGTTCTTCCAATACCAAGGGTTCAACGGGAATAGCATCACCCTGAGCATGCACAGGAATATCTTCAGCAGTTTCATCCTTAGCAAAAACAACCTGGTGTGCACTGTCATATTTATGCTTTTCGTCAACGACGGCATCATCAATAGGAGAGTTGTAGCTAGGTTTATCTTCTTTTGATGCGATAACAACCTGTTCAGGTTCATCATTTACAAGGGCAATAATTTCATCGGGTGACTCTTTAACCACAATGGTTTCTTTGGGCAGTTCCTTGACAATGAGTGTCTCCTGGGCTTTTTCCTTTGCAATAACGGTCTCTTCAGGGATTTCTTTAATCAGAATCGCTTGATCTGGGGACTCTTTAACAATGATGATAGTCTCTTGAGGAACTTCTTTAACAATGACAGTAGTTTCTTCAACCTCATCTTTCAGTACAACGATGGTCTCGCCTGGATTCTCCTTGACAGCCACGACAACATCTTCAGGAAGATCCTCAGAAGAAGCAATCTTTTCAAGGACATCTTCTACTACGGCTGCAACTACAGCTGGTTCTTCTTCTTTGATAGCTTCGGCATCTTTGAGTGCGTGCTTGACAATATCTTCGGAAACTTGGGGGATATTTTCAGATACTAAAACATCTTCAGCCAGCTCTTCAAAAATAGACTCAATAACACCTGGCTCTTCTTTGGAAAGAATAACTTCTTCTTCGATATCTTCGGCCTTTGACTCTTCTTTAGTAATAGGGACAGCTGGTCCGGGTTTATCTTCAATAAATTGGGCAACTACTTTAGCTTCTTCTTCGGCGACCTTAAGAATGTCCTTAGAATCTTTTTCGATGGCAGCAACAATGATTTCAGGCTTCTCTTCAACAGCTGTGCTTGATACTTCAGGTTCTTCTATGACAACGGCAGCTACTTTTTCAACAGCTTCAGGTTCTTTTACAGCAACAACAGAAGCTTCTGGGGCTGCGATAGTCTCTTCTACAACCACTACAGACTCTTCTGGGACGGCTGTAGGCTCTTCTACAATTGCGGTAGGCTCTCCCACGGCAATCTCTGATTCCCCGGTAACAGCTGTAGGTTCTTCCGCAACAATGATAGATTCTTCTGCGGGAATTGTAGGCTCTTCTACGGCAATTTTAGGCTCTTTTGCAGCAACCGTGGAGTCTTTTACAGAAATGTTAGGCTCTTCTGTGACGACCTTGGGTTCTTCAACAACAATTGCAGGTTCTTCTGCAGCGGCTATAGGTTCTTCTGAAATGACCTTAGATTCTTCTTCAACAATTGCAGGTTCTTCTACAACGATCTTGGGCTCTTCTTCAACAACCTTGGGCTCTTCTTCAATGACCTTGGGCTCTTCTTCAATGACCTTGGGCTCTTCTTCAACAACCTTGAGCTCTTCTTCAACAACCTTGAGATCTTCTTCCACGACCTTGGGCTCTTCTTCACCGATCACAAAGTCGGCTTCAATCTTCTCTTCTAATACAATAACAGTGGCTTCAGGTTCCTCTTTAATGGCGACACTAACAGATTCGGGCTCTTCCTGAGCGTGTTCTGCAATTTTCTCAGATTCTTCCTCGATTACGTTAACATAAACCTCTGGATCCTCCTTAATAATAGAAGCAACAATTACTGGTTCCTCTTCACTGGCAACATCAGTAGCAGGAACAGGAACAGCAGCAGCCTTAAACTCCTCCTCGATGACAATTTGACCGACATTATCTTCAAGAATGCTTACAAATACTTCATCTTGCACAGCAGGGATTTCAATCTCTGGTTCCTTATCCTCAGCGATGACAGATGGTGCTTCCTTGGCAGCAGGTACTTCCTCAACAATAGTCGCGGCTTCTTCTTCAACCACGGTAGGACTGAATTCGAGTTCCTTCTCTTCTACTTTCTTCACCTGAACGATTTCGATAATCTTTTCAATCGCGGCAGGTACTGCCTGAGCGATAGTCTCTGCGGTACTCTTAATCCCAAACGTTTCAATCTCTCCATCTTCTGGCTCCTCATCAGTAATAACAGTATTAAATTTTGGCTGTGGAACATAGCTGTACAGGATATCAGCGAGATGACGAAGAGGCTCTGGAGCAGACTTTGATTCTTGGATGTCCAAAAGGCCAGACGCGATACGAGCAAAGATCTCGTCGACATCAACATACTTGTGGAAAATAGTACTCATATTAAATCGGAGCACCCGAAGTTCAAATATAACGCGCTCAAAGATCATTTGGATAGTAGGTAAGAAATGCTCGTAATAGAAATGTTGAACGTTGGCTGGGAAGTCTTTCAAGGTGGGTAAGAGATATTTGTGATAGTGAGCGTGAGCATGTTTACGGGCACCATGAATTTGTGGTAAGAGGGTTTCGTGATAGTGATTCTGAGCATTTTTACGAGCGTTATGAAGTTGTGGCAAGAGGGTTTCGTGATAATGAGTGTTGGCATTTTCACGGATAGACTTAATTTGTGGCAAGAGTTTCTCATGGTAATGCTCTTGTGCAGCTTCTGAAAGGTAGTATAACTGAGGAGAAATCTGTTCACGGTAATGCTTTTGTACAGCTTTAGCAAAGAGATTCAGTTGTGGAGAAAGCTGCTCATGGTATTGTTTCTGGGCAGCGGCAGAGAGATAGTTTATGTGTGGGGAGAGGTGCGTGGTGTAGTGCTTGTGAGCTGCATTTGTGCAGATAAGCACATGGGGCTCAACCTTGTCCTTATAGTGCTGACGTGCGATATCAGTGTAGATATCGACTTGAGGAGAAAGATGAGTGGTATATTTCTCGGTGGCCTGGTTTTTCAAGAAATCAACCTGGGATTTAGCTTCGTTTACATAAGGTTTGACTTGCTCAATGTAAGGCCGGACTTGTTCAAGGTAAGGATTGATAGGCTCAAGGTATGGCTTGACCTTCTCAAGATATTCCATTGCGTAAGGCTCTGCAGAATGCCTCAAACTCCACAGCTTCTGGTTGACAGGATCTACAACAGCGCACGCTAAGGGATAGTTGACTCGCGCATTGTCACTGCAACCGTTGCGAACTACATAGAGCATGGTTCCGGCCACGGTAGCAAGTGCCAGGCAGCGTACTGCAGAAGATCGATGGGTTCTGGACGACTATTATAGTAAAGGTAAGTCGGAAGTAAATATTTGTAAAGATGAAATCATGCTTCCACATGTTTGTGGATGGTTGTAAGTATTTTACCTTTGTGCGAGTCTCAGTAGCGGTGATTGCCTTCTGTAACACAATCCGTGAAGGTACGTATTTTGTATTAGTTCACGCTTATTTGACCTATTTAGCGAATCCCGCCGACGGAGCGGATATTGGATATATTACCTTGGTTTTCTTTGTCTTGTTCTTGGATTTGGGAGGTGGAACAGGAGTAGATGGCCCGGAGCTGGGTACTGGAAGAGGTGCTTCTTTTCTTTTTGGTGGTGGAGTAGGAGGGTTATCCACGAGCTGAGACTTGAGAGCTGCCGACAACATAAAATGACGCGTTTTTATATAGAAAAAAATAAATGCTTTCTTGTTAGGACTTACAGGTATTTGTAGCTGTTTTCTTGGACGTTGAGCGTTTGGGTGGTGGGGAAGGCGGGAGAGAAGCAGAAGATGTGGATGGGGCAGGAGAAGCTGGCTTACGAGTGCCGTTTTGCTTTGCCGTTGTATTTTGATTAGTATGTTTCTTTGCCATATTGTTAGTAAAGAGAAGAAGGTGAAAAAGGCAGATTGATCGCACTTTATAATGAGATCCAAAAAAAAACTTTGGCCCGTCACAGCTATGTATTCCATTTAAAATGGAATCCCATTGAGCAGAATTTCATGAGCTTTTTTTTTTGCTTTAAATAAATACATCTTTAAATTTTCTCATTTACACATTGTATACATAAATATATATATATGGGTTCTCACTTTACATATGATTTTATATTTAAAAATATTTATATTTTTATATCTTTAATATCTTTATAATTTGATAAAATCAATGGTTATATAAATGTTTTGGATTCGATTACGGTTCGGATCCTTCCGTCCGTCATTAAAGCTCCACATTAGCCCCGAGAATGATGGGTGAGCGGTGAATCTTTCTTTCTATTTTAATAATATGATATTTGTATGGTAGAAGTTTGAGAGCATAATTTCTGTCATGGGCCTTTAACCTTTGCCTTGTCATTGATTCCCAGCTGGCGAACCTTTTCTATTAATCCATTCATAGAATCATGCAGTTTTTGCACCTTGATTTCTGCTTCTTCTGGGGTGGTTGGTCTATCATTCATGTGAAGATTTGAAAATTGGGCTGCAATACCCGAAATGACTTCGGAAAGACCATCGTCATCTGCATTTGCGAACAAGAAGTCAGACAGACCATGAGTAGAAGACAAGTGTCGAGGAGACCCAAATGTGGTGATATGTTTGTTGGATAGGTGTGTTACCAGCACTTCTGTGATCTACAGCGATGTATTCAATAATAACAAGCAAGACCCTCTCGAAGCAGCACTTACCGATTCCAGATCGCCGTATTCACTCTGTGCACTAGAAGACATCCTCCTCTCCTCAAACCTTCCATTAGATGCTCGTTGGATTAATTGTTGTGTTAAACGAAGGTTGTCCAGCTTCAGTTTTGCCAGTAAAAGGGGTGTCAGTCGAAAGGGATCCGAGGCAGGTACGCTTGCCCCTGATGAATAGCTATATTAATATATGGTACTGAAATGATAATAGGATGTGTTTACCATGCTCTAGTAAAAGAAGAACACATTGTACATTGTTGGCCAGTACAGCTAAAAGGAAGGCAAAAGTTAGTAAAGCGTTGAAAAACCAAACATAAATTCCGCAATCTAATAAATCAGATATAATAACATAATAGAATAAGAAAGTATAAGAAAGCATGCAAAGATTTACCCATATGCATAGGTTGAAGTCCATCAATGTCGCCAACACCATTATTCACATCTGAACCCGCAAGGATCAAAACCTTTGCCAATTCTGTTGCTTCTCCTAAATCATCCTGTCTTCCACAGGCAATGTGTAATGGTGTCCGTAGATACTTGTCTCGGATGGTGTCTGGATTAAGCTCAGGAAGGGCAGTTAAAAGGCGACTCACTGGACAATTATAGATGAGTTTTGGAATGTGGGGGATTACTAATCTCCATCCTTTATTTAGTCTTCTTCAGTTACCTTCTTCTGCTGTTTTTCGTGCGCATGCGTCTAGGAGAAGAGAATCTGATGGTGAAAGTTGAAGCAGATCTCGCAGTTTATCTGTATGGCGAGTCCGGTGTGATTGGAATGACTTTGTGATGCGATGGTTGCCGCTTTGCATAACAACAATAGGAACAAATGTCGGGCGTCTTTCACATTAAAGAGCGTACAATGCAAGAACTCGCTATCTGCACTAGAGTGACGTTGCTCCGCTAAGGCATGTGTTCACGTGCCATTTCGTCATTAAGATAGGTAAAGGCCAAGTTTTCTTTTGGATTTCCTTTTCTTTTTTTGTTTCTTACAAAGAAGTTGTCTGTTTGGCATGTGCCTATACTTCTTCTGTCTATGCATGTATATATATTTATGAGCATTTAATTATAAATTAGATATATGAAAATATTGTTAATTGTTAATATCTCTCTCTATATATATATTTTATATTTTATATTAGAGAAAACAAAGAAAATTAATAAATAAATTGAAACAAGTAATTTTGTGACGGTTATAAAGCCAAAAGACACTATGGATCATATATCAGCCATAATTTTTATGTGCCATTAATTTTGCCGTATAAGAAAAAAAAAGCTATCTTTGTAGAGGGAATAGTCGATTATTTCTTAACTTATATGATTAGTGATTTTGTACTATTGTTAATTAGGAAATATTTGACCTTTTATATATATATAGCTTGAGTATATAGAGCATCTGTTAAAGTCATGAGCATCAAAAATATCTATTGAATGACTTGTAATGCTGACCACTTTTTAGTCCAATGAACAAGGTAGTGCCTCTAGTTCGATTAAATGACTCTACACAAAAGGTTTCAAACAGCCAATGGACAGACAGAGTTATTTGGGTTTATAATAGAAAGGCACCTCTGAAATCAATGGGTGCCTGGTTCAATTGAATGGCTTGACAATATTAGAATTTGTATAGTTGTATATTATCAAACAAAGTCATTAATATTCTGTCTCTTGAATGACCGGAATACACAATGGGACGAATGGGAAAAAGAGGCAAGGACTATAGTCAGTAATGCGTGATAATATATTTGGTTTGCTTCTAAAGCTTATTATTCATGACGACAGTCTTGAGGAAGAATGGGCGGCTGTCAAAGGAATTGGCGGTACGATTCATATCACAAGATTCAAAAAAAAATTAACACCAAAGAACAACAGGGAATCGTGTATTTAATTCCTTCAAAGGGCCTCGGTCTCGGATTCGGAGGTCTATCTAATCTACAGAATATATATATATATATTTTATTTAAACTTTTTTTTTTTTTAAAAAAAAAACAAAAAAACAAAAGAGACCTGTTTATTTGCTTTCTTCCTTCAATAACCTTTAACAGATTTCCCAACAAAAAATGACCCTCAAAAAACCAAATACTCCTTTGACACCAGTTCAAAGTCCCTCAGACCTCTTTTCATCCATCAGATCGCGACTTTCACCACCATATCTTCCCCTATCTTCCGATGACAGCCAAACAAAGCGTCTAGAAAACCGACACTGGAGACTATGGTTTCGCAAGTCAGGGATAGATATCAAACCAACAACAATTTCCCCAATCACACCTCCTTATTCATTAGAAGATATCCCACGCTCGTCTACCACACAGCCAATGCAAAATATTGTGCCAATTAAACCACCAGATATCCAGATTAGCCTTGAACATGAAAACGATAAGGAAGATGGCGATAGAGAGGATGACGATGAGACCGTATTTGACGAAGACAATCCAAACGCAATAAGTTCACACGATGCTTCGATTGTTTTCACCAAACAAATACCTCAAAAAGTCTGTCGAAAATCTCTCCTTACTATTTTACTCAGTCAGAAGATGCCTACACCACTAGTTCTTGTTTCTAGAAGTACAGTCCCCAACACCCAAGTGTCATCTCTTGTCTCCAAAGCAAAACTTATTCAGAATTCGAATACTTGCCTTCACAGTAGTCTTGTACGGTCCTCAGAATGGAGATCTCAGACAAACGCTCACCCTACCCAGATGCCCCTCTTAGAAGCATGTGAAGACAAATCAATCAATACCACGCCTTATGATCAGCCCTGGATTGATAGTTTTCGGTGCTGGTAGCCAAGTCTCTGTCTTTTATTTTATCATACCCCTTTGTCTATACTCAAAACTATATTCTGATATATATATCTATATCTATATACACATATTTAATTTATTTTTATAATATAAGATAAGTAAGATAATTATGCACAGCCTACTGCTAAACCATTCACTATTATCGAAAGTCATACGTGTGCAGGATCATACTGCATATATTCATCAGTTAAAAATATATTTCTTGTCCATAAATAAATTCCAGTGAACCATCTGATACAAAAGGATTCTTACTTTACTTTATTTTATTTTACAAGCCATCTAATACAACACATACGCACAGACATAAATAGATGTATATTGCTATAAATACCAATATCAAATCAGTATGGTTTTTTCCACAACTTAATGCATATTTGAATTGCCACATAGCTCACAAGTAATACCAAAAACTATAATCGCAATAAAAATCACATAAATGAAGCACTCAAAATTCCAAATATATATTCTAATATTAATAAAATAATAATCTGTAGCACTAAAGCCATTGCTTCAAACATGCAATAACCCAAACAGAAAGTACTACGAGAGTCGGACAAAGGGTGGGAAGCCAACCTTGACTATTTCTTCCACGCGGAAAAAGTGGTAATTTGGTAAATTACCCAATCATCCATATTAGCTTCTATTCATTGCTCGTGCTTTTTTTGCCAAATACAATTTTTACAAACGAACCCAAACTTTTGAAAGCTCGCCACTTGTCCTTTAACTTTATACATACTATTATTAATATTTTAAACAAACTGGCCTTGTCAGCCAAGCCATCTCTCCCTTTCCATTCATTCATTAACTCATTGACTTTGTTGGCCCACTTACTCCATTCCTTACTAGCCAACATACAAATACAAACGGACACACAAGCCTATCTTTATATCACTATTATTCTCAAGCAGAATTTCGTTGTGAATTCTTCTTTCCTAAGTCTTTAATTTTATTTATTTATTTATTTATTTGTTTTTTGGTCCAAAGAAACACTTTCCAAAAAGACACACCCACAAATACACATTCATAATTATACCCAATCCTCTGTTGTCATGGCCAGAGGTAAAATCTCGACCTTTTTGCTTTGTTTATTTAGCTCTAGTGGCTATTATTGATTAGTTTGCCCAAATATAGCCGATGTGCGCTACATCTGTCAACGTGCTGCCAACGCCATCATCTCCGAGATCGGCCCATATCGAGTCTCGACAGATGCACTACAAGCAATAAACCTTTTTCTCGACGAATTTCTCGTTCTCCTTCTTACGTCTTCAGCATCGCTCGATCTTTCACGCATCAAATCAGTAGTCTTTACACTCTTACCCTCAACTCTGGGAAAGAATGCAATTGTAGAAGCTGAATTAGAAGTAAAGACGTTTACCGAAACTGAAACAATTGACTATGAAGCCTATGAGCGTATGCGACTCCTAGGCCAATCAGAACCCTTTCCTACTCAAACTGTATTGCCGTGCCTGAGAGATAAATGTTTTGAGTTTTGCACGCTTGCTGACAAAGAGGATCAGCAGCAATGGATGGCACTCAAAGCGAAACCACCAAGCGATATTATTATTTCACCTATGGTGGCAATTTATGTCACAACAGTACTTGAACATATGGCTGAGTATATTCTCACAGGTGTTGTAATTGCAGCAGAACATGAAGATACTGAGTACGTGCGAATTAAGGAAGTATTTTTGGCCCTTATTGATGATGTCCAAGTTGGCGATGTCTTTTATCGCATGGATATGCGCGAAAAGATGGAGGTGAGCCTTGTAGATTAATATATATATTTAAGCCAAAAAAAAACAAAAATTAAATCTTTATATCATAAAACAAACAACTTGTCGAATTACACTGTGTATAAATCAATTATTATTTCAAGTGGTGATTTTGCGGGATATGCATATTTATCTCTGCATTGTTTATTGTTAGAAACGTGCAATAACACTTGGCTATCGACCAAGAAACTCAATGACACCTTCTCGTACTTCAAGTCCTACTCCTTCGCGTAAACAGAACTTTTTACCTGATGCCAGTAAGAATAATCTTTGAACAAAATATAAAATAAATCTAACAAGTATTTTATCTATAAATCATTTTTTTATATAAAATAATAATAATTATATATACATATAGTGAGCGAAAGTGTCAATGGGAGCTTCATGGATATTTCTTTTGATGATATGGATCTCGGTTACGATGATGATCGCACAATTGCCAGTCGACCCAACACACCTTTTCGTCCAAATTCTGTAATAACACAAAATAACAATAATACTACCAGTACTTTTTACGGCGTACAATCCACCCAAAAAAAGGCCTATAAAGTATTCAAAAAAGATGAATCCAACACCCTTGATGTCCCCGAAGGACCAAGTTCATATGATCCCGATGCTCCAGCAATGAATTTTGAAGACCTGATCCGTTCAGGATCAACAGTTCGTGTCTCACTAACGCCTAACCGTCTCCGATCAATTGAGGTCAAAGATCTTGCTGCTGTCCAACCACCCGAATCCCCATCCTGGGAACGCCGATCCACCACCCTTCCCCGTATTTCTACACCCCCAGCGCCTCGCCCTGAGATGCCATTTATTCAATCTCCGTTGGAGATGCCCGAGGAATCTATTCATCCTACAGCACCGCCAATCATAGAAGACCCAACTCCAGAAGCTCGATTTGAGAATCCGCGCGAAGCTCCTAAACCACCTCAACACAAGCAGGCAGCTGTGGTAACACCTTCACGCTCAAAAAGGAAGCAATCACTTGACAGAGTTCCAGAGGAACCAAAGAAGATTGACGAGCCAATTTTGCGACGTGGTAGTATGAGTAGTCGAAAGAGCCGAGAAAATCTTCGTCGTCAGCGTGAAAAAGACGAAGAGTATCAATTACAGCAGCAGCAAAAACCTCAAGAAAACCAACAGGATCAACCACAACAACAGCCACAACAAGATCAACAAAGCGTCACTCCTTCTATTCCATCTCCTTCACTTTCTCACCAAGACAGCCCAACTGTTGTTGTACACACACCTGTTCCTGAGAATGTAATTTCTACTGCTCCTGAACCTACACCTACACCCGCAACAAGTACCGAGCGTCAGACCAAGGTTCATCGCAAGGGTTCATTTAAAAAGTCGTCAAAGGCTCACAAATCAACTCCTGACTTGAGTATCCATCGGGACTCTGACACTTCTTCTGTTGACACAGCATCACTCACTCCTCGCCCGGAGCGCCCATCGATGAGTGTAGCCAAACGAGCATCTGTACTTGCCAGCCGTCGTCAATCAGCTCATGAAGACGGCATGGACCGTCAACCCGTCCGCCTCTCGACCGCTGGTTCGGTTGGTTTATCAATCAAGGCTTGGGATGAAATTTCTAAGCAAAAACTTCAGAAGGAAGAAGAGGAGCCCAAAGAAAAGCGACGTTCAATGATCCACCAGTGGCGGGAAAAGATTGACTCTGAAGATGATTCGGATGCTTCTTCTCGTCGCAAAGAAAGTGCTGTTTTAGACAAGGTCTTGAAGTTTGAACAAGTCAGCTCGCTCGATGACTATAGAGCATCGTATGTGTCTCGTCGCGAACGTTTCTTGTATCTCCAGAGAGATCCTATTGCTCTTGAGCGCAAGAAGCCAACTCCCGTCAGACAACCTCGTGGCATTGACGCATCTGTGCAAACTGAAACAGTAGTACCTATTGTTGCTGTCAGAAAAACAGGTGGAAACTTTGGTGATGATGATACTTTGACTTCTGCACCAATGCTTATGTTGACTACTGAAGATGGTAATGGTCGTGCTCTTGATAGAGCTGATTTAGATAGCGAACATGGCATGGTCGATGGTGACGAAGAATGGTTCTTACAGGACGATGAATGGGAGGATGTACAGGATCAGGAAAGTGCTGTTGTCGATTGGCTTCTCGGTGAAGCGTAATAAATACATATTCGCTTAATAAAATAAAATACAGCCTTAATCCTTTTCCTTAGAAAACTAAACGCACATACACATACACATATATAATATATATACAGATAATATATAATACATTCATATTTTGCTTATTACTATCATTATTAATGAAAACTTTTTTTTTGAAAATATTCGTTTGCATATCTGCACTTGATCGGTTACAGTTAAATGTCATATTTATATGTATGCAATTTTGAATTTATTTGTGGAAGATTTGATATACACAATGTATGAAAGTTATTTTTGAAAGAAATAGTGCTCTAGTCAGTTAAGCTCCATATTATTTACACAGTACCTTATCACACTTTCTTTTTCATAGTTTTAGTTAAAGTGGAATATTCATTGCAGCAAATACAGCACTTAATCGTCGGTTGAAACAGAGAGATTTCTGGGAAAGACAGTTAGGGCAGACGACATGTTTGCGTTCAATCATAGGTTTTAAGCACTTTTCGCAAAAGTTATAGTCGCATCGAGTGCAGTGAAGCGATTCGGCTTTAACCAAAGGAATGTTAAGTCCGTCTCGATATACTGGGTCGGCTTGACGGCATTTTTGCTCATTACAAATCATGCATTGAAACTCGGGTTGTGTCAAGGCATTTTCGATAAATGTAAGGTGGTCTTTGATGTTGTATTCTTTTTGATAGTTCAAATCAATCAATCTCATCCAGATGCGTTTGTTCATTTGATCGCCTATCACTGCTTTCCATATAGCATGTGTTGGTATATATGTACCAGAACTTATATTAGTGCGTCTGATGGGTTCACTTGCGTCCTCTTGATCCATTTTTCGCATTGAGGGTCGGTAGCTATTTGTCAGATGAAGTTTCTTGTAACCAGGATCAGGAACAAGAAATTTGAGAATTGAACGAAATCCTAACAGTTGTTGTATACGTTCTTCATTTGGCTCCTGTCTAAGAATCCTTTTACAATGTCGCCTTATGAATGCCCCCCGTAAAAAAATCAATCAATAAATCAGAGATATTTAGTACTTTGAGAAAATTGATAAAAAAATAAAATAATATATAGACTTATCTTCAACGGTCCATGGAGCAGGCGAAGGATCATCTCGCTTCAAATGGAATCTCCAGACTTTGTGGCCTGTGTAGCCTATCTCAGACCAGTAGCGTGTAATTTTATAGATTCCATCATAACGATATCCTTGGCTGGGACCATACGATCTTTCGAGTCGGCCAGACTTTTGGGCGTTTTTCGATAGATTGTAGCCTCGGACGACACGAATTGGAGCGCTATCCTTCCACGCGTCCCCAGAATCTCCGCCAGTTATAGTGTTGAGGCGTACATTGCATGACTTGGCCAATAATAGATTCGATCGAGTGAGGTCTTGGTCAAAGGTTTGTATGAGATCGCTTCCACTACGGCCACCGCTTCCGGTGTATACAAATTCATCACCTTGGTCCTCATCTTCTGGATATTCGCCTGACATCACAATAGAGACCACGTAACCCATAGACTGTGATCCTGAGATCCCTGCAATGGGTGGTCTAAGACAAATATATTGATAAGATATGGTGTCTATACTCTAAGCTTCTGCTTACCTATGGACTCCAATCGAGCTCATAGTCATCCTCATATCAACACAGTATCCTACTGGTACGTGAGGAAGAGGGCCTTGATGTTCAGCTGGGACTATGTTCAACCCAGTTTTTCCTGCAATTGGGTTGGTTGACCATTGTACAGGAATCCTGCGTTTGTATCTTCCAGACGGGGAGATAAGGTCAATGCGTTCTACACTTCTAGAAAATCCTGAAGTTGCTTTCATTTTAGTGGGGCCAAAAGGAAAATCAGCGGCAGGCTGTTTGATTCTTGGTGAAAGAGTTGCTTTTTGTGATAAAGGACGAGGTACGACAGTAGGAAATTCAGGTGTTGAATCAATTGGCTCCGTCTACAATTTTTTTTTGAGACAAATGAAAAGTAAAAAATAATAATAAATAAATAATATAAATGAAAGAAAAGGTAACCTTTATGTCGTTTGAGATATTTATTTGGACCACTGGAGAAGAAGTCTGTTCAATGTTGGTTGGTGCTTCATTGTTTTATTGGTATTTATATACAATGTTGGTTGGTTGGTTGGTTGTTTTTGATTTATTTGTTTTTTTTTTCATTTTATGTATCAGTGATTTATTTAAATATTGATATCATTTGTTTAAAAAGCTAAAGCTGTTACCGAGTTGTTGTTTTAAAGGAATCACTCTAATTGTATCTCCTGTCTTGAGATTGTAATCTTCAATTAATCTGCCATGATTAACCATTTCCTATTGTACTCATTAGTGTTATGTACTAAACTTTAATACTATTTACAATGTTGTCATTTGGGACTAGTATGAAGGAATCTTGATCTAATCTCCATTTAGCAGTAATGTATTGTTTTAATTGAGAGACAGTGATGTTTCTAGTAGAGAGATCCAAGGATATATATCGATTGGAGGGGTGTTGTATAATAAGACGCATCATTATGGTTTTGGATTATAAAGTTTTCTCCCTCTCTATTTTGGCTGTAACACGATGCTCACAATATAACAGAAAGTAAAGATGAACACAATTTACTCTTGATCTTGAAACCCCTATAATTTAAAAATAAAGTATTTTATTTGTAAAGAAAAAAAAAACTTTTAATTTTGGTTAGCAAGTGGGAAATGACTCTTGAAATGGAAATTCTATAATTATTATTTTATTATTTTTGGAAATTACAAAGTGCTAAGCGAATCCATTTGAAGTTCTTTGGACCTTTTTCTCTCTTTTGCTTTCTTCTTTCTCTCTAGCTCTCCACACATTTCTACAACCCTATACCACTTCAAAGATGTTGCGCAACTCTACCTGGCGTAAGTCTTGTTATTCAAGTTGGCCAAGGATATTAACCCCTATGCATTCAATCAGGTCTTGACGAAACCAACCTGGCCAACTTTGGCTCAGACTTAGAACACGCTCAACGTAAAGAAGAAGCCGAGCTTGAAGAAGTCTGGAGTTATGAAGGCACCCCTATTGGGAATGAAACGTAAGTCTGCAATAGCTCTACTTGAAGGCTCTAATAGGTTTGATTGTAGTGGAATGTTTATTTGGCGTGTTCAGAACTTTGGTCTTGTTCGTGTTCCTGAAAAACAATATGGCCAATTTTATCAAGGTACCGTCATATATATATATCTGCATATGCTCATATTACATTATGTTGTATTGTATTTTAATCTTTATACCATATATCTGTAGGCGACAGCTATATTCTCTTAAAGGTAAAACATCACATCAGCACAGTCAAAGTCTTTGGTCATTGTACTTTGATAGCATGGCATGACACAACATAGCATAGCATAAACGGCATTTTATAGTTTATCGAGTTTGGGTTTAATAGGAACAAATCAAATGGAGATTGATTTTATTTTATTTTATTGTATTTTATTTTTTCGGCTTAGACCACTACTAAGCCTGGTTCTGACAGTCTTGTGCATCACATTCATTTCTGGCTGGGCAATGAAACTTCACAGGTAACGCCAAAAGAAGTTTTTAGGCACATCTTTTAGAGTCCATAATGCTAATGGGCCAAGAAAAATTATAATAACAATAATTAGGATGAGGCAGGAACAGCTGCTTACAAGACCGTCAAGTTGGATGATTGTAAGCAACAAAGCCAATGAAAGAAAAATCTAAAATTTAAAACTAACATACAAAAAAAAAGTCCTCGATGGTTTGGCTGTTCAGCACCGTGAGATCCAAAACAGGGAATCAAGTCTATTCAAGAGCTACTTCCCTTCATTGACATATCTCCAGGGTGGCTTTGAGAGTGGATTTAATCACGTGGAAGATGAAGAATTGCCGACACGTCTGCTGCGTGTCCTGAGACCATCCAGACTTGAGAACAGTCGGACCCACAATGCTGTCGTGATCTCCCAGGTGTCTTTGAGCTACGAGAGTTTGAGTTCCCAGGCCGTATTTGTACTCGATACTGGAGATATTGTCTATCAATGGCAAGGCAGTCACGCAAAGGGCGTTGAGCGAGCAAAGGCAGCAGAGTTTATCGCTCAGTTGCTGGGCGAGCGTGGAAGAGGCGAAATGGTCGTGGTTGGTAAGTAAAGTAGTACAGCTTCTTAAAAGAAAAGCCGAGAAGCTCACAAGACGTTTGTTGTGTGTGTATGTATGTGTATGTGTATATAGAGCAGGGATCGGGAGGTGAAAATATATTTTTTGAAAAATTGGGCTCAAGTGGTCCTATTGAAGAACATGAAGCAGAGATCGAACAAGAAGAAGAAGAAGAAGAAGAAAAAGAAGAAGAAGTCACAAAACAGTTGATGTGCCTCAGCAGTTCGGGACCTTTTGGTTTAGGACATCTTCACTTTGACTTGGTCGCCAAGGACACCATCACGCGTGACATGTTTGACAGTCAACACGTGTATGTGTTCGATGTTGGTCACCAGGTTTATACTTGGATTGGAAAGCAGGCAGGCCGTAAGGAACGTAAACGCGGACTTCAATATGCCCAGGATTACATTAAGCACTCCGGAAAGAGTCCCTTCACTCCCATTTGTCGTGTAATGGAAGGCGCTGAAGATGAGTTATTTGAAAGCTCACTTGAAGGCTGGCAAGGATGGTAGAAATAGTGTATATACATGATATATATATTTTAATATTGTTTTTTGTTTTATATATCTTACTTTATGTATAAAAATTAAATAATTATTATCATTATCATTATTATTAAATATGAAAATTTTCTAGCCAACCCATGCCCGGCCTTGATGTAAAGGAAGAGTGATTGTCTTGTATTTGTTCTGAAATTAGATGTCTTATGCTCTCTGCAGGGTGGCGTAGAAATGAGGTGGTTTGAGGGTGAATTGGGGTAAGAACGGCACTGGCAATTTTACTATGTTTGAGTGTAAATGGTGTTCGATTCTCTTTTTGGTCGCAGAGTTTTTGGTCGCAAAGGGCAGCCGACAAAAGTGAACGACGGACAACGGGCCGGGGTGGCTGGGTTTTGATGAAGCAATTCTCGATTCGCTTGATTGGGATAATAAACTCGTCGTCGTCCCAGTCACTCTCGCTTTCATCGTCTAGGTCTTCATCGCAACTGTCTTCCTCTTCTTCCTCTTCATCTTCATCCAAGACTGGGGTGGTGGTGCGTGAACACTCTGAATGAGGTGTGGTCATTGGGGTCGGAGAGAAGGATTCGTGCCACCCGTCAGACACAGGTGACAGAGTGGAGATGAATCGCTGGATATTTGGCGGACTCCTGGCTTGTTGATCAGCTGGTAGGCCAACTGAATGGTGCCACAACCGCCAACACATGTTTTCAAGTCGTCGACCATGTTCAATCTGTTGCTTGCATTTTGAGAACACTAGGAGCTATTAGTGAATTTCACCTCCTTTTTGTATTGAAATAACTAAGAGGTGCTTACTCTGCCACATCTTTGTCATATCTTCACCACCAAGGCTAGGAAATTTCTCTAATGTAGGCATCGATAGTGAAAGTATTGGTTCACTGACGTTCATCTTTTTTTTTGGAAAATAAAATAAAGATAGAGATTAAGAAGGGTGAAAATACAAAATAGATCAGTTTTTATAGCAAAAGCACATTCTTTAGAGTCACGCTTCAATGGACACATGGGAGTAACGCCAGTTCTTCTTTCCATCCTGCCTGACCAACTGGCATAGCAACAGACAACCCATGTGACCTTTGCCACTATAAGTGTCACACAATTACTGTGATGGAAGCAGGGCACGGACCTTTGTTACCAGGGTTCCCGACCAAAAAAAGAACAAGCAAAAAAAAACTATTGTTATTTTGGCGTCCTTTATTGCTATGTACCTTTTTAGTAGTTTATTTATTGCTGGGCAACAAAGACCTGTCAATTTGTCATTGACTCCAAAAAAAACAGAGGAATTGTAATTATAATTATAATTATTCTGTGGACATGTGTGCTCAACAAGAAGTATTCTTTTCAGCCTCCAAAATTTCCTCTACGCACATAGTCAGTATATAATTTGTTCTCATAATAAAGTAGTACAGTCATTTCTTGCCATAATTTATACTTTTTGGATTTCATAAATATACGTAGATCTCTTACTAAGATTGAGGATCTACATCGATAAGAAACTAAGCATTGCTTACATACTCTTTCTATCTGGGAAGCTGTCAGAATGAACTCCTTTTTTTTGTTTAAATAGAGGCTCTGCATCTAAAGTAAGATCCAGAGCCTCCATTGTACTGTATTTTATTTTTACTTTAATTGATCTCTTTGTGTTCATAAGCCAAACTTGCCGCTTTTATCCTTTTCGCTTATCTACCTATCATTTTCTTTATCGTGCTTGTTGTAAGAACAATTTGTTACGTCAGCCAAACGTACTTTTATAGCCTTTTAGTAAAAGTAAATAATACAAAATAAAATATAAGTGCTGCACAAAAAAACAAGAGCACAATCTCTTGCTATATTCTCGTTGAATCTTGACTGAAAATGAAAATACATCAAAACAAGTACTTTATTCTGTGTGAACCACAGCATCATTATTACCATTACAATTACCGTTACAATTACTATTACTATTGCTATTGCTATTGTTATTGTTATTGCCATTATATATTATATATTATATATTATTACTATTACTATTACTATTACTATTATAGATTTATTTATTTATTCATGTATTCGAGGTTCATTATGTAAGATGTGATGGTTATTAAAGAAAAATAATACAGATTCATTTTTGGGAACTAATTTGATTAAATTCGTCGAGAACTTCTTGCTCCATTTGTAATGGAACTTGCCTGCGTTTGCTGAGTTCGGCGGGAGGAGCGCGATGGTGCACGAGCAGCTGGCCTGGAGAATACAGACCGATCGGGCGTAATACTGGTGAGCAGCCGAAGAACCCGACGACTCCATGTCTCGGCATCCTCAGTATGTTGAGGAAGAGGTGTGGGTTGAAAAGCTTCCTCTGCGAGAGACATCTCATCCTTATCGGGCTGAATAATTTCTGGAGTCTCGTGAACCTTTTGGTTTTGTTTTCTCTTCCGTCTTATGCACACGCACAGTATCAACCCAAAAACTAATATCGGCAGCCCCACACCCAGTCCGATCTCTAGGCGGCGGCCCACTTTTGTGTTCCAGAAATTCTCATCATCTTTTGTTCCCAATGGACTCGACACTGAAGCTGACGTGCGGAGAGGGATATTGGCAAGTGGGTCATAGAATGTTAACCCGTTATTTAGAAATTTATAAAACACAACTTGTTTTGTGCTGTTGAGAGTAACAATAGCTGCCTTGGTGTCCGAACTTGGGGTCTCGATACCTGAGTAGAGTGGCTGGACATGCAACGGTTGAGAAGCGAACTCGGACATTGTGATGTTCCAGACATAATTTGGTGCGGCAGAGAATACAAACACGCGACCCATTCCATCTTCTGTTATAATAACGGGGCTCGGACTATGAAACGACCCGATGTAGCCTGTCCAGCGGCCAAGTGTGGGATCAAACGCATGAACATGGATCGCATACCCTCCAGTAGACATTGACTCGGTAGAAAAATGGTAGATTAATGCTCCTGCTACTACAAGCTCACCCAAATTGGTACTTGGTGGTGTGAGATCAGTCGGCGCCAAACGTGTCCATATCTTGGGCTCTACGTGGGTAGAAAGCAGCCAGGTGTCACGCGAAGATGTGCCATCAAATAGAACAAGAGTGCCATTTGCCACAGCCGATCGCATGGCTGGCTTTCCGAGTGTTTCTGGCAAGACACCAAATGTGGTGGTGACATTCATAGTTGAATGTGTCAGATCGACAGTTTGTATAGTATTGTTCTTTAGTGGACTGGTCACGAATACAGCCGAGCCATCAGAAACACCACAGTAGGCAACATCCTGGGGCTGGAAAGACGTCTTTTTCCATTCAGTAGGTTGGGTAGAAGAGTCGATTTTGATATAATAGAGAGCAGGACTGGACTGCAGTCCTTGACCATAAAAGTACAAAGTGTTGTTGTAGTTGAACGTACAATTATGTTGCTGCCCGACATGGTCAGCTGTTAGTTCTGCACCATAAGTCTTGGATCCCAGCAAAATAAAAAGGAAAACAGTTGAGCCGAACCACACCAATGAACCCATTTTATGAAAACACAACTGTATGTAAAGAAAAGCGTAAATAAAATCGCAAAAAAAAGTAATGAAAAAAAAAATACACAAAAAAGTTTTGTGTAAAAAATAAATGAAAAATCAATTAATTATTTGTTAGAGCTGATATAAATAATAAATTTAATCAATACTTGATCTAAAGTGTTGCTTAATTAATTAATTTATTTTTTCTTAAAAAAATGTATATAAAAATATGGTCTTGAGACCTTACCTGGCAATTAGATTTTTTTTTCTTATTAACAAATAACGAAACAGAAAGAGAAGTTTAAGTCAAGTACATTAATCAACTTTTCTCTATTTATTCTTTAATGGCCTTGTCGTGAACGTACGCGTTGTGCATTTGGTTAAGGGGGCTCTCTATAGCATTTGCATTCAGAATTCTTTGATTGTGAGCTGCTCTTCAACAACTTACAGATTTTTTGTGCAATTCTTTTTTGACTTGAGATCTGATGGAATTCAACCCCCTTAACATATCCAGTAAAAGAAAGTCATCAGGTAACAACACATGGATAATAGTTTATTACAAGTAAGTCATCAGCACAGGCCAGCATGACAATTCAATACTTTTGGCTTAATTATTATGAGCCAAAACCTTCTGTGTTTTGAAATTTCTCTCTCTCTTTTTTTTAAACATTGGAAAGATCTATTTTTTTTTAAGAATAAAAAAGAAAATCTCTTTAAAGAGATCCTATTGTAACATGTGAAGGTAGGAAGCACTGTTGGGGCCTTTGTACCACGCCGCACTGGACATCCCGGGTCCGATTGTACCACAAGATACCTCTCTATTAACTGTTCACGATCATCCCCACCCAAAAACTACAAAAGCCCTTTGGCTTGTTTAAAGGTTATATGAACTCAATGCTGCCCTTTCTTTTCTAGTTCTTCATTTATCATACCTTCGTTTAAATATCTTCATTCTGAGCTGAGCCCCTTATAGAAAAGCCAGCAAAAAAATAAACAAACACACCCACAGATCAAAGAAAAAAAAACAGAATGCCTTCAATCTTCTCACCCGATTTCCTGACGAGTGAACAATTGGCTAACCTCAAACTGTACAAGTATGCGGCTGTCGATCTGTCTTTTACGTCGAGATATCTCTTGGTTCATTATTGGAATTGGGCTGTTGGTTTCTTTCCAATGCGTATGGCGTAAGTAAAATCAAGGTGTCTAATGACAGTAATAAAATCTAACACCATATTATAGTCCAAACCTGATTACCCTTACTGGCCTTATGTTTATGATTATCAATGTTGCATTTGCTGCTGGATTAAGTAATGAGATGGAGGATGGTCCACGGTGGATCTACCTTAGTTTTGCTGTTGGATTCTGGCTGTACTCAACCTTTGATAATGTGGATGGCAAACAGGCCAGACGCACAGGAACATCTAGCCCTCTTGGAGAACTTTTTGACCATGGATGTGACGCCCTCAACTGTTCGTTCGCAGTCCTACTCCAAACAACTGGACTTGGACTTGGACAGACACATTCTACCGTTATGTTGTACGGAATAGCTATGTTGGGATTCTATCTGTCCACAATTGAGGAGTACCACACGGGAATCTTGTACCTGGGTTATATAAATGCACCAACAGAAGGTGTTATTCTCACATGTGTACTCTTCATTTTCTCATTTATTTATGGTAAGACATTTAGGCCAAATCTTTGGGCGCACGGGTTTAACCTTAGTTGATTATTGATCTCTTTTTATTATTTCAACAGGGACTGGAATCTACAAGCTCCCGGTGAGCACTCTTGTCAAGATGGAAGGCTTGCCTACTTGTGTAGCCAACCTCCCAATCAATCAGGCAATCGTGTGGTCTATTGGTCTCACATTAATTTTTATGCACACACCTTCATGGTAAGTTGGTCTTAATGTGATTTGTAAATGACTCTAATGACTGTCACTTGGAAAATATCTTAGTATGTACGCCATGTACAAGGCCTGCCGTCAGAAGAACAAGCCATTTGTGCGTACCATGCTGAATGACAATCTTCCAATTATTATCTACACCATCTCTTTTTATCTCTGGGCTACTTCGCCTTATTCAATCATCCTCAGTCATCACCACTTTTTCCTTTATAGCATCACGACTGGAATCGTATTTGGAAGAATTGCTTCAAAGGTTATTTTGGCTCATCTGACGAAATCGACTTTCCCTACTTTTACTGTTCTTCTGGTGCCCATGATTGTGGGTGCTATTCTTACGAATTTACCTAGAGTTCCTGGAGTGTAAGTCTTATTTCTTATTATTATTATTCTGCTGTTTAAATATATAAGTATACACGTATATATTATATCTATCATTATTTTTTACATACTAAAACTCCCCCAAATTTATTTTGTATCTTAGTGCTCCCATCTTAACCCCTCAATCTGAGCATTATTTCCTTTGGGGTTTCTTTGGATTTGCGCTCTTGGCTTATTTGCGCTGGGCAGTTGTAGTAATTAAGAGCTTTTGTTCTTACCTCAACATTAATTGTTTGACCATCCCAAAGAAGTATTCCGAAAAGATTCAATAAACTTACAAGAGTCCCGTGTGCTGGTCTGCATTGGGGCTTTGCACTCTGTTTCTCATACATATATATATTATGTCTTCACCCCCTCTTTGTTGATTTTCTATGCTTGTATTTCCCTTTGCGAATTGACCCGTTGTTTTAAGGATATTCTCAAAGAGATATTATTTATTGTTTTTTAGGTATTGCGGGGACTATGCACATTAAATACAGGCTGTGTACATGTCTTTCTATATATATGTGTGTGTATGTGTTTTTCTTTAAAAATAGTAGTATAAAAAACTTACTATCCTTCTGTCTTTAATTCATTTAATGTACATGTAAAAATAGCTTTATATATATATATGTGTGTGTGTGTGTGTGCTGAACTTGCTCAGTCATCAAGGATGATGTTATCCATCTGTGCAGAAGAATCATCACAAAAACTCCTTTCTGCAAACTCAGAATCCATAGCATTTGTTTTACCAATGGCCACATTATACTCTTCTTCAACAAATTTTTCGAGTTGATCGCCAGTTGGTTCGGATACTTGTCCAATATTAAACCTATTTGATGGTGTCAAGGCTGGGATATTCTGCTGAGTTGAAAGTTGCTTTGAGTAATGAGACAATGCTTTGTTCAAGAACTCTTTTATGAAATTCTTATTTTTGCCTATTTCAAATGCCTAATAAGATTGTTAGACAAACAAGATGAGAACGTGGCAATCGATATATTCCAATATATTATCAACCTTTTGATAATGCAAAATAGCATTTCCAAAATCATTTTTGATATGACAGATAATACCCATTGATGTGTAAATATCTGGATTGTTCTGATTGTAGCTCATAGCTAGTTCAAAACAGTTAAATGCACGATCGTATTCTCTAAAATAAATATTTACGTTTTGTTTAGCACACGTATATCCATACATAGAAAATATTGTGAAAACAAGTACAAATAAAAGACATACTTTAGATAACGATACGTGTGCCCAAAGTTGCACCAAAGAGCTTCCCACATCTGACTCATGGGACCCTGCCGATTGTATGAAAGCGCAAGTGCTTTTCGTAAGTATTCCAGTGCGCCGATGTAGCTATTAGTAAGAGCATAATATTAAGTTATATTCTTTATGTTAGCGAGTGTCTTTTTCGCTCTTACTCCTTTTTGTTGATATAATAAACAGCCAATTCAACTAGTAGAAAAGGGTCTGTTTTGCACATATCATAACTTTTACTCAAGTTATCTAGAGCATTATCCATATCACCCAAACTCATGTATTGTTTTCCAATATACATATATGGCAGATGTGAACTAATGAATATTATGAGAATATGTAATAAATATATATATGAGTGTGTGAGTTCGTAGTTTTAATACATACCTTGTAACTAGTTCATTGCATGTGGTAAACTCTTCAATTGCAGCATCATAATTATGAAGGTATGAACTGGCAATGCCTGATCCTAGCCATGCTTTTTCCATGAGTTTATCAGAAGCTAACGCCACTCTGTAATAACAGTTGTTTAGTAAGAAGACAAGGGGGTTATAGTTTTGTTTGTTTCCAAAAATAAATATCAAGAGATAATGTACTGAGTACCTAAAATAATATTTTGCTTCGGCATAGTCTTTGATATATAAGTTGTAAAGTCCTACTGTGTACCAGGTTACGCTATCATCTTGCAGCGTATTAGCAAGATCCTGGGCAAGACGGTAAAGTTCAGATTTCATCCCAAGTTCGTATAAACATGTAGCGTGTGTTGGTATAGAGTGTGTGTAATACGGATCTTCTCGGCGGATCCTAGAAAGTGATACAGAGAAACGGTTTATTATGTTTTGGATCAAGATTCTTGTATTTCGTCTGAAATTTATGCATACTTTTGGCAAACCTCTAGGCAATCTGAAAATCGACTATTAGCCAGAAGTGTGTCTGCTTTACTTCGTAGAAAATCAACACTGTTTTGTAATCTAAAGTTTCTTTCTGCTTTTATTTGGGCTTCTTCGATATCTGATATGTGCGAAAACTATAATATGAATGTTAATAATCCTTTGTCGACACAAATTAAAATAATAAATATCAAACAAAACTACATTTACCCGTCTTATTTTCATCGTGTACATCGATCTAAAAAATTCCTCATGGGATCCACAATGTTTTTCATAGGGTAAGGTAGTAATAAATTCCCACTCTAAAGAGAAAGTGAGTGAGAATAAATGCTTAAGCAAAAAAAAATGGTCTCCTCTAATATCAAAAAATAAATAAATTTACCTGCTTCTTCATCCATTAATTTGTGTTGGACCATCAACTCCAGTGCCTTTATACATATACACATATACACATATACACACATATATAAACACTAAAATTATTCTTTTTGGATCTATACAAGTTAACCAAACTTACTTCGACACACCGTAGATCAATATGAAGAGCATCTTTAAAAGATTGCATAGCATTTTGAGTATTTCCAGTTTTCAAATAAACTTTTCCACGCTCACAACACATTAGTGCTTCAAGCTAAATATATACATATACACATGTATATGTAAAGTATGAATATTTTTGTCTCAGTTGTAGTAAATTGATATACTTGCTCTTATACTCTTTGAACGATCCCATTCTTCAATAGTTGTTATTGGCTGTTAGTCTTGTATAAGCAAATAATGTTTATATTGATGCTACCTTGTTCTTCAGGGAATGGATTTGAACGGCCAAGATAATCCAAAGCATCTTGCCATTTTTCCAATGCTATCTATAACAATAATAAATAAATAAAAAAGGCTTGCTTTCCAAGAAAGAAAGATATAGAAACCGGATTTCAATCTTGGCATCTTTCTTTTTTGTTTGTTTTTTGTTTTGTTTTGTTTGTTTCTTACGGCGCATAATCCAGCCAAATAACGAACTTCAAAAAAACGACTCAGGCCTCTTTCTTTGTTTAAGAGTGCCAAAGTTCTTTCGTATTGTCGTGATTGGTAATAAGCCGTAGCTAATTTATGGATATCTTCATATGAACCTGAATTTTTCTAAAATAAATAAACGGTATAATATGTATATCTATCTACATCTGCATAATTGTCTATTTACATATATATATTCTAGATAGAATTAATATAGAGAAAGTGAAAATTATAATAGCAAGAAAGCTATATGTAGATGTGTATGTACATGTGTATTTGTATATAACAGAAAAAGGAAACAACACAAAAAAAACACAAATCGCATATTGATCAGAAATCCGATTATTGTTACTATTTTTACCTGATAAGACCACCATTTTTTCAGCATAGAATATAGCAGTTTCGTAAGAATTAGAATCCATGGCACTAAAGTACAATTCTTGCAAAGGATCGGGAGCAGATCTGATGATGGAATGTGAGGTCTCAGATATACGATGTGAGGATACTGGTTCCACAAATCGGCCAAATGAATGATCCTGCTCGGTGAGAATACTATAAACTCGATTGGATGGAGTTCCTGGAGTTATACGTTGGAATTGAGGTGAACATTGAAGGTTACGTTGCGGTGAATATGGAATAGAAAGTTGAGGAGAACGTTGGTAATTGCGTTGTGGTGAAAAGGGAAATCCACGTTGGATATTAGCTCCACGACGGGTAATGGGTGACACAGGGCTGTGGTGAAGACTGTGGCGAGCATTTTCTGATGGTGAATCCAAGAAAGCGGACAAGCAGTCTTGATTGGATGGATGAATTGGTGTAGTCATGGCGACAATAGATCTTCAACTCAAGAACATTCAAAAAATATGGAATAGTAAAGAAAGCAGGAACGCGATGATGGTCTGTGTGACTGGTGCAAGGCATTAAGTATTGTATTTTCACTAATTGTTTGCAAAATGTTAATATTGTAGGGGGTTTCACTAACTTTCAATTACTTACTTGGCTTTCAGGTTTATTAGCTTTCTTTGTAATATTTAGCCAGTAGTAGTGAAGATCGGAAAAGCAAGCAGTTGAGTGCTAGATCACTTTTTTTAAAAAAGTTATTTCATGCATATATAGGTATGTATGTAATGTTAGTTAGACGGATATTTAACACATAATTTTCACTGTATTACATATGTCCATTTCTCTCTTTCTCTAACTTTTACCTTTATGAATTCGGCGAACAAAAAATGTACTCCCTTACGAGCATAACATGGGTACTGTTACAAATTCATAGTACCACAATCGTTAGGCTCAATGTTAGTTGTCTGATAATAAATGTACTCCTTTTTTTAAAAATTAATTTCATTCAATTATTTTTTCTTATATCAAAGTACCATTACCCTAAAATTGTACCATTAAAAATACATTCTACTGGAGAGAACTTACCTTAACAATCAAGTGTGTTTAATTTGTATCAATGTGCTGGTGTATAGTGATTGGTGTATAGGTGTTTATTGTAGAATCTATTTCAGGAATCCATTTTGTGAAGAATTTATCAATGCTAACAATAGGATATGATTAAAAACACACGGTACTTTTTATATATATATACTTTTAACAGACGTTTATTTGTGTATAGCTTACTATGAGTCTGAAGATGATATTATTTTCTGATAGAGAAAACTAATAGTCAATAAACGCTCTAGATTATGTAACTCATGGTCACCCTGCATTACTACTCTATGATTCATCAAGAAGCATACATTTTCTTCTAAAAGTGATCATTACTTCTCAGCTAGAATACAGATGTAATATTCACCGAATTGCAGGATGGTTTATACTGTTCTCAGTAAGGAGTATGAGAATAAATGTAGTATAATAATTAATTTGATATATTGCAGATATAACGAAGCCTACTTTTGGTACATATTGACACTTGAATACGGCAAAATATAACCTGTCAAAGTTCTTTTTCTGTAGCTCATTGTTTGACGGCTCACAAAAACAATTATTATGAGAGACGAATCTTTAGCACTTTGTTTTATAAAGATAAAGAAGAATTGTTTATTCAAATGAGCCTTCTACAATGCCCAAGATGCCTGTTAGCCTATCGAATGCTATATTTTCTTTTCTTTGGGATATTACTTGTTTCCCTATGTATTCTGCCTTGATTATAGGAACGTTCCCTATATATGGAGCAACTATGGTAATTTACGATCCAAAGTCTAGGAAAAGTCCACATTTGTGGGTGACAAGTTGAGAAGTCGACTTGGTACTAAATACTTCCGGATTGGGTATTTCCTTCCTTTTTTTTTTAGGTATGAATTAAGAAAATTCTGATCGAGTCCTTTTTATCTGCTTTGTAGTATAATGGGGAGCCCAAAGTTAAATGTAGCACTTCGGTAGCTTGTAGTTTTGAGACTGACTTCACCAAGTGTTCTGACATTATGTGCTCGTTGATAGAGTCCAGAACCTTACACAGTGGTTTTACATACTTATCCTTTAAACCTTTGTTGGTTAAAGGTATTCTTGAATATGGTCAGACTGTTTTTCAAGAAAATATAAAAATGAAGACTTAGATCCAAGCTTGCCCTTTTGATATTGCTGTAAAAAAGAAATATTATTCTAAAATTGTACTTTTATACTCTTCCGATTTTGTTCTCAAAATAATATTAGTAACTGATTTATGATACGTATAACAGATATTCTATTACTATAGCTATCTGGAGTATCTCTTTCATAGTGACAAAGATGTGTCATCCAGTTATATATCAGAGGTTTTATTTGTCTCTTTCCTGAACTTTTAGTAGCAGGCCTGGAATATTATGCTTTTGTATTACATTCCATCTTGAAACTTCAGTAACATATGCACACCCTTTTCTTCGTAAAATTCTTCCCAGACATTCGGTTGTACTGTTTCTTTAAGTTCAGGCAATTGGCGTGGTCAGACTAAAAGGAAAAAAAAAGGTAAAAAAAGGGGATTTTTCTTAACGGCTCTAATTAGCTAGTCTTCCTCCAGTGCCACTTGGATTGAGAATAAGAGCATGTTTTTGATGGAAAAAGTGTGCCGTACGATGTAAGGCCTAGAAAGACTTGCAATAAAATATTCTCGCTTAATGACAGGGATAGCATTATAAGCACAATTTTACCTAGTATGCACTTGAAATAAATTTGAACTTTTAAAAAGGTACCCACACCAATTGTCTGAATTTAAAGTAGAAACAGTAAGAGTGTACAGTATTACAATACCAGGAAACCCCAGATACCTCTCTATCCCTCTATCTCTTTTTCTGTTTTCGCAATGTCCGTTAAATTACCATTTGAAATCTTAGGCATTATATCTAGCTACGTTTCAAGACGAGACATGATACGTTGCTTGACGGTCTGTAAATCATGGAGAGCTCCATTTGAAGATGCCTTGTGGGAAACAATAGAGATTGATGGCTATGGAAAGATGGTCGCCATCTGCAGCAATCTTACTACTCTTTCAACTGTGTATCAAAAGAATGGTCATCGAGTACGAACTTTGACATTGTGTGGGCACATGTGGATAGTAAACGAAGAACTCTGCATAATTCAACAATATTTTCACAAATTAAAGCACTTAAACATACGCCCAAGTGCACTCAGCTGGTATGATTTTGGAAAGCTAGCGAATTGGGACTCCTGGAAGTCCTTGACACGTCTAGAAATTCACATGACAGAGCTTACCGGGGGTGACAAAGAAGAGGAAATTATCGAAATGTTAGCTTCCCTTCCTAATCTTAGGCATTTATACCTTGACGACGATCTCCCCCTCAAGAAAGAACATTTCACGTGGAGGGCGATAGAGAAAATTCATCTCTATTTGCCATTACTAGAATATTTCGAGATGGGATCGCCACTTGTTGCTATATCCCAGCACGATTTGCCAGATATTAAATATATTACTCCAGCCAGCAATCTGGCTATAGTGAAGATCAACTATGGAGTGATGGATCTAGGATGGCTATATTACTGTGCTATAAAATACCCCAGTATTCATACATTTGGATGGAAGATAAAAGAGGATAACAAGAGACCATTGTATCTGGAAACAACTGATGATGAGCCATCCGATGAAGAAAGCCAGCAAATTGAAAGTTTACCAGTACGATTAGCGAGATCAGGTGTCGAACAAAAGAAAGCAATCTCAATGTTCTCTAAACTTGCTTACTTTTTTCCGCACTTAAAAATTGTCGAATTGAACGATAAACCCAATTCTGAATGGCAGCATACCGTATTTTGGAAACTTATCCGCCAGTTCCGCGTGCCACTCAAATGCGTTGACTACGATTTTTACAACACTGATATTGACACAGAAAGCTCCGGAAAGATTATGAATGAACACATACTCGCATGTTCTAATTCTCTTGAAGCCCTTCGATTAAGAGCAGAAGTTACAGCTCTGTCTTCTGTTTTGGGAACATGTGCCGACCCGATGTATCCTAGCGTGTACTCATGTTTGGTAGATCTTCACATCTCATTAGTGAGCAAGGAAATCGAATTGGATATTCTTTTGAATCACTGTCCCGTATTAAGGTGGTTGCATCTTTCCGCTCGCCCGATTATCCTAAGTGCTGGCTCACTGGTCAATCCGGCTACTCATGGCTTGAAAAGGATAAAGATTGAAGACGCAAAGGTTGACTGGAGAATTTTCAGCTATATCTCGCTCCGTTGCAAATATTTAAGCCATATGAGTTTATTCGATGTAGCTGTATGTGGACCGATATCTCAAGAAACGGGAAACCTGTGCCTTGATATGTCTCATACACACTTTAAAGATCTGAAGTTGGTGAATGTAGATTTTTACTCGTTAGAGGATATGTACACTGAAGAATATCAATGTGCTGATGAACTCATCAACTTTATATCTTTTGAACAAACCGAATCTGCTCACTCCAAAGTATTCGATACCCAAGGCCCTTTGAATACTCCAAGTGAAAATCATACTCAGTCGACATGGTTTCATCTTTGTTTGAGTAGTATAAACAAGACACACCAGGAATTACGGAAGCTTGAGCAACATCAAATCGAGCTTGCCCAAAAATACTTTCAGTCATTTCACAACAAAGATCATAATCTATCTACAGAAGACGCACAATATAAAATTTCTGGACCAGTGGATAAAAACGGTTGGGCAAAGGATCTTTCTCATGGATATGTTACTCTACGTTGTGCGTACTCACTTAATCACCTTATTAGTGCGTATTATCAGCAATAATTATATAAAGAGATTAAGATCAAGTATTCTTAATGTACCACTTACACATATTGAATACGTATGCTATTTAACTACAGTTTAACACTCATTCAATCATTTCACAAGATGTTCCCCGTAGATAATTTAAGTATATATCAAATTGATGTATTATAAGATTTGTATATTAAATAAAGAAAAGAGCAAGTATTATACCCATTAAAATATTGATTCAAGTTGATTTTTTTTTAGTATAATATATATATATATATTGTTTAAATTATAGATCAAGTAAAAATAGAGGGTTAAACAAAAACAAAACAAAATGTGCCTTTAGTATTAGGCTCTTACTTCGGCAGTTCCGGCTAGTCTGTTTCTCTGTCTAGTAGGCTCATATGAACGAACAGCTACTCGACTAGGTTCAGCAGCCAAACTGGAAGCAATCGAATCGGCGTCACTTGTTTCCTTTGAGTCCGTCAATTTTTCAGAAACCTTTGATTTGAAGCGGTAGTTCATAAGTTCTACAAGAGTTGAAAAAAGACCTGGCCGCTGTCTTCCATAGGATGTCAAGGGGTCTTGAAGGCCAGTTTGAGCTCCTGCAATTGGCTGTTGTCTTCCACCATATGCCAAATGGTTCTGAATGGCAGTCTGAGCCCCTGTGACTGGCTGCTGTCTGGCGGTTACGTTTGAAGCACCAGGCTGTCTGATACGATCCAAATAAGTTTGCTTTTGATCCAACTTTCGCTGAGTTCTGTATAGTCGGCCAGTAATATCGTTGTCGCCCTTTTCGACAAAGTCGATAATCTTTGCTTCAAGAGCTTTTGCGATTTGGCGGCGTACGATACCGATAACCATAGGATGAACAGTCTTGTACAAAAGACTACATATTGTCACTCATTGGTAAGTACTATATTAAAGCTTAAATAACCAACTAAATTTACCCGTGGCGGCTATCCTTAATGTTGAGTTTAAGATCATCAACATTGCACTTGCAGTATGTAACCTGGAATGTGTTTCTAGGGTTCAAAGAATTGCTAGTAACTCTGACAGCAGCACTAATGCCCTTTCCGCCCATCTATTTTTTTAAGAAAAAAAAATTGAGTACTATGCAAACATACGCATAATATAAGCTTAGCAAAATTAACAAACTTACAATAAGCGATGCTACACCTCGATCAGATATTTTTGGGAATCCAGTCTTCTTTTTATAGTAAAAGACAACCTAAAATAGAAAAATATATCAGTATTTTGCTTCAATTTTACTTTGAAACTTCGTTCAACTTACATCCTCTACTACGGCTTGAATCTCTTTCATATCAATAAAGATAGATTGTCGGTCTACATTGCTCACATTTGTCTTTGGGCTAAATCGGGAGAAGTTTTCCATCTAAAATAAAACAATCATACCAAAAATTAATGTATTGTATTTAAGTCGAATGTCTTTGTAAAAGAAATATTACCTTGATGTCAAAGATATTTGGAAGCATTGTGTCTCCAGAGAGCACCACATTCTCAACAACAACGTCAAACTGAGGGTCACTGTACTCAATGCGAGGAATAGGAACGTATTTAATCTGTTCCAAAATAGCTGGTAACAAAGTCTTGCGCATGTCGGTCAATAGTTGAGGTTTGAATGCAGGGTTCCCCTCACTTGAATTAAAAATAATCAGAGTATATCAATAATCATTTTTCAGTGTATCTTATGTTTGGCAAAGATGTTGATAGCTTACCTGTCCAGCCACAAATCCTTGTGAATATTTCGGAGACGCTTATTGATCTCGAGAGCTACGGGATCTTCAGCCATTGCTCGAGAGATTTCTTTGGATTCATCCAACATATCGTAAAACAGGTGTTGATACCGGCCCTTGGTAACCTTTTGGCCAGTACGAAGCAGCTTCTCTCCGTCTTTAGTAGACTGTTCTGAATCGACATACCCAGGATCTTTAAGTAGGCGTTTGAGATAACCGGTTACCTAATAACAAAACGAACCGGATTAGCTCCACTGTATTTTCATGTAATGAGTGTGTTTTTGTTTTCAACTCACATCCTCATAGTATCCATGGAGCTTTGAGTCGTTCTTGATATCATAGAAAACCTTCTGGATGCTTTCGAGCAAGGGATCGAGAGATTGACCTTGGGCCCAGTCTTCAAAGATCGCCTTAATTTCCAGAGCAGCGTGAGACCAATTGCCATTTGACTCCATATTTCCGGTGGCATTTGAAGCAACGTTTCCGGCACTCTTGCCGGCTTCTACAACATTTTTGCCCCATGTGCTAAAGAGATAGAGAATAAAGTCAATGGCCTTTTGGTAGTCAGGCTCCCTTTGGACTTGATGCATGACTGTCTTGAGACGATTGATGAGCTCTGTTTGCTTCTCGGGTGGAAATTTGTTGTGGACATATGCTTTTGCGTCCTTGGTCTGCTGCTGGGCACCCTGCTGCACTTGAGATTTCATCTGTTGGTTTTGATTTTTAATCTTGGATTTAATGTCCTGGCTTTGGTTGCGGACTTGATCCTTCATTTGTTGACCCTGGTTTTGCATTTGAGATTTGACTTGGTGGGCTTGTTCAATTCCATTTTGACCTTGAGCTTGAGGATTTTGGGCATTTTGGTAGTTAACAGGCTTGTAATCTTCATAGCTATCGTTCTGGTTTTGATAGAAGTCGCGGCTTTCTCTTCTATCTTCGGAAGTACTATTGCTACTATCACTCCACATTTCAGGATTTCTAATATCATATCCATAAGATTGGTTCTGGGCTCGAACTTGAGGCTTTCCTTCAAATTCGTTCTGTCTCTGGAAAACATCTTGGGTCTGATAGGTATCCTTGCCTTGGTAGAAGTCTTGGTTCTGGTAAGGAAGGCTGCCTTTTCGGTTCATGTTGCGTACATTGCTAAGGGGGTCTGAATCGACAGGGCAAGAGTAAGGGTTGGGCTGAGTAAAATGGGAGCTAGACGATCTTCTTTCGTGTTTTTGATTTCCGCGGACATCATCAACAAAATTTTGGTTGCGCATGTTGTCCCGGATCTCGTATTCGTGGGGATCGCGACCAATATAGTTTTCAGAATTGTTTGAAGTATGGCCGTTGTTTACCATTCCAGATTGAGCCACGCCACCACCATTAATATGAGCAGCCTTGTTAGATAGATTGTTGATAACTTGATCTTGCTTGCCGGGATCAGCCATCTCTCGAGTCTGGTCGGTAAATTCTTGGGTCTTTTGATTGATTTTCTGGCTCATGGATTTGGCTTGCTCGCCCATATTCTGAGCTTGGTTTCCGGCATTCTCAACCTGCTCTCCTGCCTTACTGGATAGATCTGACACCTTTCCAGATGCATCGCCAAACATTTCTCGAGCAATGGACATCATCTCTTGCATAATATTTCTAAACTCTTCGTTCAAGAGAATAATTTTACCGATAGTGAACATTGATCTAGCGCCTAATTTGTTGTTTATATTAATTAAACCATCATCTTTCTTTCATTAATAATATTTTAACTGACCACTTTCTGCGTCACTTCTTAAAGTGTGCTGGTTTGCTCCTGAAGGCAATCCTACGCTATTGACGTCGTCTATTTACATTTGTTTAAATATGATTAATAAACAGGCGTTTGTGTGATAATGTTATCTGTAGTACAAACCTTTTCCAATAGGTGATTCAAGCTGTGACATGTGGTAGACAAGCGACTGGAACAACTCATCGCTGTTCTTGTGCGCCAAGGTCTTTTGAAGGGTTACTAATAGCTTTCGCATATCCTTGAGAAGGGATTGGCCATCTTCAGACATCAAATGCTTGCGAGTCTCGATCGACGGATTATCAATCATACTTTGAAAGAAAGATGTCATTTGGTTATTTGTAGGCAGTTTACCGCTACGGACAGCTTGAACAAGATCAAATGTCTTTAGCTTGTCGTTTACGGCCATCTCTTTCTCATTTCTTGGGTTCCGGATAACATTCCCTGCAACAGCCTGTGGGGGTGCTGTTTGGTTCAACTGTAGACCTACACCATTACGTTCACGCGTAATTGGGTTTGTCTGAGGGACAATATGAGGTTTGTTGACATTAAAGGTTGTAGACATTGTTTTCTCTTTTATTACTATTGTTACTGCTTTACTTTCCTATGATAGATTCCATCCTTTTTATACAATTATTCAACAGAGCTACTTTCTAGCTTCAACTGATGTCGTCATGTAAAGGTGAGGTCAGCAGTACTTTTTTATGAAACTTGACCTCCACGATCATTGATTATGCTGTGATACTTGGCCATTATATTTATTGTAGTCTGATATTTTAAGTGAATAGAGAAAAAAAAGATGGTCGTTAATTGAAAGCCTCTAAAGAAAATGTATTATAATACAATTAGTATCCGCACAATCGGTGGCTGCATAATAGGATAAACTAATGCAGAAATGCGGAAGATCCTATGCTGGTAGTACATATGCTTATGTTTTAATAATAATAAAGTCGATCTTTTGCTTGTCCTTTTTTTTAATATATTTAATTAATGTTTTATAATGATAAGGTGTAGGTGTCCTGATAATCTAGACCAATAAAAATGCAAGTATAAGGCAATTGTTTTAAAGAAGTGAAAAAAATGATAATATAAAAGCCAAACTCCTATATGTGATACGATCTTCATTTTATGCTAGGGTATCTCTTTTTAATATTATAATATAAATATGTATATAAAATGTCATTATCAGCCAATCCTGATCAATCGGAAAACACAAGTGGTTTGAAACCCACGGTTATTGTGTTTGAAAGAAATTTTTTGTCTAATTATGTATATATTTATTTGTTAAAGTCCAAAGATTCATCAGGATCGGTGAGAACAAACACATCGCAGAGGTGATCGATATCCTTTGTGTACCCTGTAATGAGATCTGTAACCTTGAGACCAGTTACACGCTGTAGACCAGGTGTGAGAGGGAAGAATTCAAGTTGAGTTTCTGTGGTGCAACTGGGGGCTAGATCACCCAGTTGTCGGCTACTGAGTCCACTCAAAAGAACTGATCCCATTTTAGTCTTGATGGCTGAGAGAACTAGCTTCATGTTTTGCCCAGAGTAGTTTCTGATTCTCACTCCGAGTTGGAATGGTGTCTCCAGACATACTCGAACTTGGCCCTCAGTCAACCAGAAGGGCTGTATCTCAATGTCTTCCAGTAGAGGGGGTTTCCGTGTCAACTGGGATGTCTGTAGACGACCAGTGTCTCCCATGGCAGAGCGCCAGACAATGTCAAGCTTTCCCAGTGCATTTGTTGTGCGTGCAATTCGATCATTATCCTTATCACGAGGAGTCAGTAGATAAAGATACTGGCGAACATCCTGTGGGTGGATAAAGTTATCTCCAAATACAGAAGCCCCCTCTTTAAGCTGCCCCTTTGAATTGTAGAAACCGTTCAAGTCATTGAAGTCAAAGTGTTCCGATGGCTCAAATCGCATACGTTCAAGGTACATGGGACCAGCCGACACATTCTGAAGCTGTGCCTCCAAAAATACACGGCCTTCCCCATGGTGGTTGAGCTTGGTCTTGACGGCTAGAGGGTTCGACACCTGAAACTTGTAGAATTTACGAAAATGCCGCTTCTTGCCATCCGGGGTGGTATAATGAGTTGAACAGACAAGGATGTGAACTCCGAGCTCTTTGATTTCATGCGTTACTGTCGCGTCATACGTCGTTTGGGGATCAAGAGTTGTCCTAGGTGTCGCAGTAGTATCCGACAGGACAAAACGCTGAGAGGATGTCTGCAGTTCAATCTTTACTCCTACTTGGTGCACTGCATATTCGGACTCGTTGTTTACGCTCACAAATGTGCCAAAGCTTTCACCCAAGTAGATGTTGCCAAAACTAGACGGCAGTTGCAGTATTTGACTTAGTCCAAAGTCTCGTATCTGTATTTCATTTTGAGCCACAATAGGATGCGATGCGGCAATGTCAGAGATAAGAAGCGACTCGAGTCCTTCTACAAGTGGGGTCGATTGAGGTGATCCCTCATAGTAAACTGGGGAGTGTGTTGCTAAAAGCGGTCGTGAAAGGCGTAACACCTTTAGCGATAGTAGATGAGGCGTCAGTCCATCATCTTGTAGAGATGGTGATGGCGACAATGGTCCTGGACCTCCACTAGGTGGAATAAGAGGTGATGTGTAAGTAGTCATGCACTCATTCACAGGCCAATGCAGGCAACCACTTTAACCAGCCAGTTTGCGACAAGTCACGATGGATGCTATTCACACCATATCTTCCTTTATTTTTCTCGCAAGATTCATCGTTGGTCATCATTAGTTAAAAAACCAAAGAGAAAAAAAAGAATGCCAGATTAATTCTTATAGATAATAGCATTATTTATTTATAAAAGAAACCCTTTTTTTCTGGCACAACCTATTACATTTAATTTATTCACATTGGGGATTGGTTTATTAATGTATTTTTGTATTCGGTCATGATACATCAGGGAAAGGAACTGTGATGTTTTTAATATTTATTTCTTTTAAAAGATCATAATAATCTAATAATTGAATAGTAAACTAGCCTATGATCTAGTTTAATTTTAAAGCGTATTAAGCACCATAAACTCTTTGGGTGCATTTTGTATATGAGCCATTACGAATAACCAAATATCTGCATAAATACTAAATAAGTAATCTTGCTATATTATAGTCATTATTATCAGCCAAAGAGTGAAAGAGTTTTTTTTTAAAAAAAATTCTGTAGTATGTTGAATCTTTATTTAATTTTGTAGCATTCTATTAAAGGTATTACATATATACGTTTTCTTGAGATCAACTCTATTTTTATTATCTTTTCAACAAGAAGATTCTGATCTCAGGTTTCCATTCAAAGTTTATGGTTGTTTTTGCTTTTATGTATACTTAGTATGTTCTTGCCTTGTATTTGAGTTTAAAGTTGAGTTGAGAGAATGGATTTATTGATAGAGATAATATGCTATGGATTGATATGCTGGACTTTGTTTTACGAGGTATACAAATGATGGGCTCACTTAGTCTTTTTCCGGGGTAATTTCTGGATATACGGCCTTCACGTAAGATTGCTTTTCCACAGATTCAACGAGAGCTTGGCAAGATTCCGCTGTCAAATTTCTAACTTCCAAAATGCTTCCGTGAAAGTTCTCATCAGCAGAGACATTTTCAAGGTTAAGTATGGCATACGTGAATTCATCGTGCAGGGACTGGACCATATAATTTCCAACGGCGATAGACTCGTTTTTATTAAACTCGATCTTGTATTCTTTAGGTATCATAGGATCATTAAAATTGTGTGTCATTCGAATAACCGTGGCTTGAACAAGTGTAGACATAATCCATAGTAGACAGAAGATTCCGGAAAGGCTTGAACGAAGAGAGAACATAGTGAGAGGTGAAGTATTGTAAATATTTAATATTCCAATCTATTTTCTTGCTTCTTTTTATACCTGCATAAAATGGCTTAGGTACATAGAGTATAATATCAGTAGTCATGAGGGTAAAATCCAACAGTTTTTTTTTCATGCTTGTATAACAATCATCTGTGGCTTTAACATAAGAGTTGTACAGCTGTGTAGTTACACTTAACCGTATCCAATGATATGTACTACTCGATCCCCGAGAGAAAGGGAAAGCAAATAAAATATAAGCCTTTTATGGATATTTTATACAAATCATAACGGTAGATATAGTCCGTCAGAATCGAAGCAGTCTATAGAATTGCTTTTACATCACCTAACCTTCACCAGGCTATAAGAGAGATGCCTTGTGCTGGGCTTGGTATTCACGCCATTTAAGAAGCTCCAGAGATCAAAAAAAAATCCGGCTGACAAAATCAGAGCGCAGAATTCTCTGTGTTCAAAAATGGTATTACTGCTCATCATAGTTTCACATTTATTCAATGACTCAAATGGACGGAACAGAATACAGACTTATGAAATTAAAAAAAAAACTTTCAGTGAAAACTTCATATAACTTGAATGACTAAAGAAAATCCCTTTGAAAAGGTAGAATGGCCGTGGGTATTCATTCTCTAGCTATATAATACAGTTACTGTTTGTTACATTTTTTCTTATCGGTGTATTACTAGAAAATATATATGAGTAAAAACATCATTAAATATTTTTTAAAGAAAAAAAATTAGAGGAGACATGATAAAAGATGTGATAAAAAAGGAATAAATACAAGGGAACCAAATCGATTCGTTATATGATCTATCAATTGAATTTATTTTATTTTCTTTCTTTTAAGCTGTATATGATTCAGATAACCTTATTGTTTTCTTTTTCTTTAAAAAAAAAAGATAATAAATATTAACATAAAGCATTTCCATTCCAAAAGACAGAAGAAATCTGTATCCCCAGGGTGGCCGGCTTCATGGCGATTTTTTATAGGTAGCTGTTTACCTAAAGGATTGGGTGGCATAGATTACTGCAAAGCAGAAGTCGTCACTGCGACTTGTTTTTAAATATTTCATATTTTCTAAATTGAATACTAGGTAAAATCAAAAGAAAGCGTTCTGTATCAACGTCTTTGAAAAGAGGTGGTACATAATGAAGTATTCTCGTTTCTACCAAGGGGGGAAAGTTAAAGCTGGGCAGAAGGCAAGTGAAGCATGATTTGACAAATGAGAAAAAAACACAAGCTAGAGTACGACAAATAAAATCAGAAATGGTCTAGAGTTATCTTAATGAGAAGGGAGAACGGTTTAGTCCTAGACCTTAGGTTGAACACCAGTTGTCTCATTCTTATGGGGTCGGCTATTGTATCATACTTCAGAAGCAAGAATGGGATATGATTTTACTCATTTTTTCAAGACCCAACCTCATGACAATGTGAGACGGAGGGATGTTACATGCAAGGATAAGCTCGGATTATACCCTAGTAATCACAAGTCTACTTTGGTGTTTTCTATTGTTTGTTTGTTTGTCTATGTTTATTTATATGCTTTTTTTGTAGTTGCGTGTGTAGACTTGTGTACGTTACAGCAAACCATTCCCCTCTAGTATCTGTACTGATTAGTATAAATAGCTTCCGAACTTCTATTAAATAGCGAACATCTTTCTTAAGCTTAAATCTCCTTCTCTTCTCCTAATTGCCCAAACTAGTTCATTTCCAAACTTCTTTCTCGGAGTTATTGCAGGAAAACATTACAGGCAGCCCGGACGTGACTACAAACATTTAGCTCTTTAATCAACATCGCAAGTAAAAGGGATGCGAGAGAGTTGTGGCCTATACATCTGTTTTATATTCTTTTATATTTCACTCACTCTCATTTTTCAATAAATATAAGAACCACATAGATGACGAAATGATATTCCAATAATCTCGTAATTTTCTTTGAATAAATCAAATAGAAGAACGCCCATATGATATTTAGATTGAGAGATTATATAGAACCTGACGGTCTATGTTTCTTCATTGCACTAAAGGTACTGCTATTCACATTAATTGTAAATTATACTATTTTCTATAGAATATTTACAATCCACAACAAAAATAAGAGGTTTAATCAGCTCTTGATGCTTAAAATTTTGATACAATGACACAATAATAACAGAGGCTTCGAGCTGTGATAATTTCAAGTATGTTAAGATAATTGGACATTAATTCGCAGGCTAATACGAGAATTGGCAAAATTTTGCCATTTCCACTCGAAAACACCTTCTCTAATGATTTATTATTATTATTAAAATATTGGGTTTATTATATAAATATAAGTGTATATATATATATATATATTAGTATTAATATTATACAGTTAAGGGTTAAAGCATATAAATATTGGTCTACTTTATAAGATAAATAGTTTGTAGCCTGTTATTGTGGAGGCTAGAACAAGTGCTAATCCTGGAAACACAAATAATATAACAAACAAGAAGCAAACAAGGGCATTGGACATGAAATTTGGATCAAACAAAAAGACCCGTATTATGGTAAAGAATCCTGAAAATCCAATCCAGGCCACCACCAGCCATTCAGTCAAAGTGTTGATTCCGTAACCAGCCCAGAAACCTATCATAAATGGCGTAAGTGTACTCGCCACAATCACCACGGCCTCCCACCACCCGGCCGGCTGAGAGGTTATGCTGATTCCGTTGTTTATATGGTCTCCAAGTACCACCGAGATTGTACCAGAGTCCATGGCACTCTTTTGTAGAACGTCATAAGCAATCGTATCTCGTTCTTCAAAACTCTTTCGGAGAATCGTTGGCATACAGCCCAGAAAGCCACTAGACGATGATTGTGCGTTATTTGGGCTCTGGTATTCCAGAGGGTCAATCCGTTCTCCTTCTGTCAGACAATGTATACTGTATGCTGCAACTTGGGTAGGTAATATAATAGCCGATAGAGTTTGAAAGAAGGACATGACCATAAATACAATCAGAACAATTTTGAACCATCTATCTCCCGAGTCAATAACACATTCATAGACAGTAAAAGCCATCTGGATGAAACACATGAATATCTGGGTGTAACAAGTCTCCTCTATAAAATAGGCTTGCTGGAGTTCGTCAATCATACTATGGGGAAGGTAACGAACGAGTGTTGGGTGAACTGGGACTTGGTATATACACACGGACCCAGAGCCAGCCACTCTCATGTTTTCTGTTCTGGGACGGTGGACTGGTTGGCCGTCCAACTCGTTTAAGCGATTGAATCCAATGTAAAGGTTGCCGTTTAGAATACAGTGCTTTACTTTTCTGGCCTTTGTAGGACCCATGGTTTCTAGGATTCTAGCGAGGTGTGATACGTTGTCGTGTTCTCCGTTGTAGTAAGGTGAAATTGATTCTTCTAGTACATCTGACCACCGGTTCTGAGAATAGAATTTTCGCATGGTTGGATTACTCAGACTTCTCTCTGTGAGGTCTGCAGCCGTTGGTGGAGAATGTTGGTAAGTAGAAAAATATCCAGGAACTTCTGCAGCTTTAGTAATGGTGTGGGTGCTGTGTGAATAGATTGATAGCCAAAAAAAAATGCAAGGAAGAAAGAAAGTGATAAATAATATTAATAAGCTTGGTACGAAATCTACAAATGTAGAAGATTCTATTTAGTTAATAATTACCTGAGATGATTTATACCAAGAATTGAATTTGATCTATATACTTTGATTACGGACCCAAAGGCTTCATGTACACCACTTGTAGGCCAGGCAAAAGAACATAGACGCTTATATACTGCAAATAAAAATGTCGCACTTCCGTCGGGTCTGACTGTCATGATGTGGGTTACATAACAGAAAAGGATCGTTTTTACGACTTGAAAAATGATAAATTGAGTTTCTGTAAAGCGAGAATCTGGAAAGACTTCTATATCAGATGGAGCTGCAGAGCTGACAGGTAGCATTAGCAATACAATGCAGCTGACACACAAGAAAATTCTGCGTGGTCTTGTATTAAGCGTTGTTGATCGACGACAGAGGAAAGGCATAGGATGTTGAGTAAAAGAAAGAGACAAAACTCGATCGGCGGCACCACGTCCTGTAGATGTATATATACACGATCACTGATACAGACCTTTAAAAAAAATTACAGCTTCCGCGATCTATGGGCTTACTGTACATCTTGAGTGCGACGAAGGCTTAAAATTTTGTACACCTCATTACCAACCAAGCGACAGTTTAATTTTACAAGACTAACGTGTTTCTAGTAATCCACTAAAAATACAAAAAAAAGGTTGAGAAACTGTATTGTCCTTTTACCTATACCTCTTCTCTTTATTTTTATGCTATAATTTTGAAATATAACAATTGATATCTACTTCTTTAAAGGAATTGCTTTTCGTTTTCAATAAATATCGAAAAACAATCCCAGCAATAAGCAAATATTGTATACAATTAGTATTTTTGGATATTCTGTTACAAAATTACTATATTTGTAGATATAGTTATATTAAAGTCTTGGTAATAAGAAGGGTATTGCTATCCTTGCTCCCCGAATTTGAATTGATCTCCTTGGAATTGGAAGACGTATCTGCTGGTATAGTATACGGGTAGGGGATGGTTATATTTAGCCGTGTAACTAGTGGTGGAGGCTTGTGTATTTAGGTTCCGAAACTCTTGTTCTGAAGAAAACTACAGTCTCACTTTCTTACCAAGGCCATTTTAATTATACAACAGGAAACACCAATACTGTGTCTATGCAATACTCACATATACACAGACACAGACACACACCGACAGTTGTGTGACAGGGATAGCTTCTGGTTGATTCCTCCCAAGATGGAAATGGCATGAAAAAGTTTTAGGGGTTTTATTTTACTGGTTTACCTATTTGTACAGCGTTTGTAGCTATAAGCGGACATGTCTTTGCTGACTGTTTGAAGTCCTCTTTATTTGACTTGATTAGTATTGAATTGTTAGTTCTCATTTGTTTTCTTGCTAGTAGACTAAGATTATAAATTTCTGGCGCAGTTTAGTATTGGCTTGGTATAATATTTGGATAGGATAATAAAAATATTTACATGTTTATATTTTGTTAGAGAAGTCGAGGGCTCATTTGTATCAACAAGAGTTGCTTTAGGTTTTATATTACCGTAATTAAAATAAAGTAAAATAAAATAAAAAGTTATACACTATCAAAACTATGCTTGTTGGCGATGAACAGATCAAATGATCCCCCCCAAAAGGCTTTGCTTAAAACGCCATTAGATTCATGGTTTGTTGTATGTTTGCAATGTATGGAAAACAAAGGGGTCAAAGAGAACCTTGTTTAAAAGATATATATATTATTGACATGTCCAAGCTTTTAGAAACCATTGTACGACATTTATCTGGTAAAAGTTGGTTTGTATGGCAATAGACAGATCAGAAACTCGGTTCGATTAAGTGTGCTACTTTGAATATAGTCAACCCAATCGGAGACTCACATAAATCGATTTCTGTAACCATATTATATATATATATATATTTGTATGAATGATTGTTTTTTGACGAATTGATTTAATGGTCTAGACAAGACGATATTAAATACAGTTGCAATTCTACTTCAACTTAAATAATGAGTAAAAAAAAACAGAGCCATTACTGCTATTCAAAGTATCATTATTTCTGGTGTCAATACAAAGAAATAGATAGGGAGAGAAAATAAATTCATTTGATGTAGAAATAGCATGTTACATGTGATGCATTTATCATCCTTGTTGAAGCTCACTTTCTCTTGCCTTACTTTAGCCACAAAGAAGCCACATATTAAAATATCGTCATTAATTTTCATTATACTATATATTGAAAATTAAATGTTTTTGATATATGTATAGATATATGTATCTCTTTAAAAAGATGAATATTTTTCAGCATGAACTTATAACACAAAATACTAGCCCTAAGAATACCATATTTTTTCTTCTTCTCTCTAAATCAGATAATATATTTAAACATCTTTTTCGTTTGGGAGCCATGAAGTTCAATATTTTTGCCACTTGTTCTCTATTCCGAGAATATTTTTAAAACTAGGTAACATGGAACTCTATATCCATTAAATCAAACCATTGGTACATCTTGTTACGTTCTATACAGAATATAGGAAACATTTGAATGTTAAAGGTCTTTTGGGCTGTATAAATATGTAATATATCAGTATTCTGCACCACCAAATACCTTTGGTTGGATACACTAAACACAACCAAGCTTTCTCATTTCTCATTTTATTGTTTTCAAAATAGACATTAATTCTTTATTCTGGTCCGTATATAAACGTTAAATCTTCTAGATTCTTGGCTGTACTCCATATATTCGTTTGACAAAAGATACGATTTAGAAACATCATGCCTTTTTTTTGTTCTTTAGTCGTATATACTAATGTATTTTATACTATACTTGATACCTACTACTTGCGCGGAACAAAGATAAAAATAGTTTTCAGTGATAGTTATTCGTAAAAAGAAGACGATAGACGCTTGTTAATTATAGACAACTATATACAACATGTAATATTTAAGCAGAGTTAGCAAAGAACTTTGTGCTTTGAATATTTTAAATATCAAAAATCCTACACTTAGTAGCTCTATAGCATTGTACAAACACTTGTATCAATTTATTATATTGCAAATACTACTGTTGCCTTGGTCTAAATAATTGAGCAAAATTAATTGCCGTATTATCTCAAAAGGTAGTGTAAGTTTATATCATCTACATGTAACATCTGTAAACGAATTAGTTTTATTATAATTCTAAAGCGTGATTGGTATTTTTATGGTTGATTGGGTTTGGATTCACTACATCATTGATGCTTTATATAAGAAAAAAAGGTCAATTACTTGATACTAAAGCATTACCTCGGCTGTAAAGAATTTTTCTCTTTAAAGAAAAATTGATATACTTGTGCTAAAATAATCCCAAAAATATAATGTGAGCTACTTTGATATATGATAATGATCTTCTACTTATTTATTTGACAGCAAAAAAATTACAGAGTTCTAGGGTACTTGTTTATCAAATCAACATTAGCACAATAATAATAATAATATATAAAAAAATTGAAAAGGCTGGATTTTATATATATATGTATTGGAGCACTTCAAGACATTTATAAGCCCATTGTCATCTAAATCTTATTTGTCCGATTCTCTTCTGAGTCTCCCAATAACTTAAAAGCCCCTACAATATGAATGTATATATTTAAGAACTCATTACCTCAATAATGCCACAAGTTCAGCGTAGTTCAATAAAAGATTGCTATGGAACTTTTGCCAAGTAAAATAAATAAATAAAATGTTTACCCGACTGGTTAACTCAAGTTAGCCTTTTGAAATTGACTCTATCCTACACATATCGAGTATTTCAAGTTTGAACAATCAAGATTAAGCTATTGCGTATATTTCAAAATGAAATAACAAGATTACCAACATTTCTGATAACCCAATTCTTATGCTCGTATTTTGTGCCGACTAGATAATTAAGCTAGACATAAGTATCGTCATTGTACATCTACAAACACTCTTCTACAATGATAAGTAAGCAGTAATAATTCTATGATCCTTTCAAGTGCCAATATATTTGGAAGTCCTGTAAGTGAGCGGCCTTTTCCTTTCTGTTATTTCATTTTGACAAAAAAAAATAAAGATGTTCAATTGATTTGTCTGACAATTGATGTACTTGACCATAAGGTAACAAACAAATAAACCAAACAAACAAATAAGCAAGCAAAAAGTCTTTTAAAATAAGGCAATAATATTAACTTTGGGAATAAAATGGTTAGGCATGCTTTTCAGAGGTGAGCTCAAAGTGTATTCACTTATATGGTTTACTTGTTACTTGTTACTTATTCCTTAATTGTGTATTCTCCCACCGGAAAAGTTCTCTAGTTACTATTACTGCTATAAATATAAATATATGTATGTGTATATTATTTAGTAGCTTTAGAAGCATCGATGCATCCAGAGTAAAATATAACGGATAGAAATATATAATATTCTGTATATCGTGAGCACAGGTATGGTATCACAACTGTAGAACAAAACTCACGTCGTGGTAACACCTATTGATGGATCACAGCCATAAAACCTATAAGCAGATGAGGCTTTGTTCAATTACTACGCCCAAAAAAAAAGAGGAAGAAAATATATAGCTTTGCCATTACTTACACTACCGTATAAAAAGAAAGAGAAAAGGGGAAGCTTTTAAGAGATTTTTGAAAGCTTTTTTTTAGGAGAGAGGTTTTTAAGGGTTTTTTTTTTGTACAAATCACCTCTCCTATGCCAATACACACTACGAAAGAAAAGGGGTGATTCAGAAGCCGATTTTTAAAATGCTTATGATTTTTCAAAATCACTCTCTTAACCGCTCCTTTTTCCCCCGTAGTGACAGTACAGTACAGTAAAATAATAATAAGTAATTAACTAAATTATCCAAAGAATTGAATGGTTTATCAAAAAGGCATCTTGGGAATAACCAGGTTGAAATAGTTATCATATTACTGCCAGTGGTGCTTGCCTAAGACTTCTTAGCCTTCATCTCACATAACAACCCTCCAAAATGTCTTTTCTTAATTCCACGATACTTCCAACTTTATTAACATGAGTAAGCTTCTAAGGAATTGTTTTAACACATCGCAATTAGTAAAATTTGTGTCCGAAGCTCAATACAGTAGCAAGACCTCACTTCTGCAAACAATTCCCAAACTATAATTAAGCCATGTCCTACAAACAATTTGAGTTGGTACATCTAGAATAATCTTTAAGAATAAAAATAAATAAATAAGGACTGGCTATAGTATAGTATATTATTTTCAAATATCATGATAGGTTACACTTGGCAAGGATTTGAAACTGACTTGAACTTTTTTTTTCTAATATAAAAAATGACTGCAAAACTAATGTAATTTCTTTTGAAAATACCCTTCAAATTTCTTCCAGAATCATCCTTTTTTCCCCTGTAGTGTAAGTTTTAGAGTTAGTTTTCTTTTTCTTTTTTGAAAGTAAAATAAATATATTAAATACTTCTATGCCTTGGTTATTCAATTTATGAAGTGTGATATCTCTAATAATTTCAAGTGAATCAACTCTTTAGATTCAATAATTCTTAAAGACTTTTCAATGATCCACACTAGAGATGTTTCGATTGTCTATAGATAATATACTCATAAAAACATATTTAAAGCAACCGAAAGTCATTAAATACACCAAATATTTTCACTTTTCTTTTAGCTTTATCAGTTGCTTAGCTATACAATCATTTGGCTATACACAAAAATAAGATACACAAACATGCATTTTAACCCTATTTATTTATTTATATTTTCTTTATTAATAATTATATTACTATATGTCAAATTTATACTTTTTATTATTATACAACTTCATTAAGGTTATTGGAAGAAGAAAGAAAAACTATTTAACTGATCTCTATTGGAGTTCCAAAGATATAGCCGTAGACTGTGGCACTAAGAACTAGTCCCATACCTGGGACCAACAATACAATTGTTAGGACAAGATATAACTTCCAGCCAATAAGGTAACTTGGATCAAATAAAAAGATACGAAGAATATGAAATGGAACTCCAACAAGAATCCAAACAAGGACAAGTATTTCAGTAATTGTTCCAGCCATAAATCCTGGCCAAAATCCAAGCATAAGCCAGGCAACTGTGCTACCAAAAATAACAGCACCCTCCCACCGGCCAGGATTCTGGACTGCAATTGTAATATTAGCACCTGTAGGGTTGCTTATCACAGCTTTAACGAACGCCGGTTTCATCCCAGTCTTGTACAGTACATCGTATATAATGCATTCTCGATCGGTAAATATTTTCTTTGCTCTATTGGGAAACATATGAAGGAGGAATGACGCCAAAGGATGAGAATGCTCTAATTTACGTTTTTCTAAATATCGGTATGGATCATTGAATTCGGCCACGCCTTTAATACTATATGCGACTACTTGAGTAGGTAGTACATATACTGATACGAGTTGAAGGACTGACATGGTCATGAAAATTATCATGAGCACCTTGGACCATTTCTGCCCGGTGCCTTGGATACACTCATAAACGGTATAGAAGAGTTGAACAAGAGCGATAAATGTCGTGAAATAGGCGTTGTTTTGTATACCGTGCGATAGTTCAAGTTGATCAATCATTGGCTTGGTAAGGTAACGTACGTAGCTTGGATGAACAGGTAGCTGGTATTTACAGCTTGCTCCTGGACCACATATTGTCATGTCAGAAGATTCGAGTCGTAATTTGGTTCCATCCTTTGAAATCAATAGAGTGTTGGTGCCAAGGTATAAGCTACCATTAAGAATACAGTTCTTGACGCGTTTGATTTTATCATCTTCCATACTGTGAAATCTGTTTCTTAGGTATTCAAGATTGTCGTGTTTTTTCATCTCAACATTTTCGACTCCATTATCAACCTCCTCGGGTGTGAGGTCTTTTTCATCTATAAGTAGGGGTACGTTTGGGCTACCCCAGTCTTCGCTCTGTAAAAAAGTTTCGTTTACACTTCTTTCGGGAAGAAGTTTAGGTGGAACGCTATTAAAATTGTAAGTATAATTATGCAAAACTGTATTAATATTTATTTATTTATTTTTACAATTTTTTGATAAAACTGTATATTTTGTATGCACTTACGTCAAATTGTTGAAACCAAAAATTCTGTCTGAGTGTCTTATTTTAACAATTGCACCAAATGATTCGTAGACACCACTAGTAGGCCAGGCCAATGCTGACAGTCGTTTATACATGTTTGGTAGCAAGGTTGTGCTAGAATCGGGGCGAATTGTCATAGCATGAGCAAGATAAGCGAGAAGAATGGTCTTGAGGACTTTAAATGCGTCAACTACTGATTTAGAGAAGTGGCGTAAAAAGTAAGCCTCCATATCAGATTGGTCCTGGTTTTCTTTCAAGATAGTCTCGATGGGTGCAGCAAAACTAAAAGGCAGTAGGATGATTATAAATGCAGAAACCATTAGGATCAGCTGGCGATACTGCTTATACGATAGTTGGCTATGCATTGGTAAAAGTATATAAGGTGGATGGTCTCCCTATTCCCACTTTATAGTTGAGATTGATACAATAGAAAGAGTTGAGAAGGGTAAAGGAGTTATATATACATATAAATAAGAAGAATAAATACGAAAAGGAAAACAGGTATATTTATACGTTTTTCATTTCCTTGTAATGGTGTAGAAGGCTTGCAACAAGAACCTTATTTAAATTAGAAAAACAAAAAGAAGTAGCTTAGATTTTTTTAGTTTATTTTTACCAAACTAATCAAATATAATAAAAGTCAAGCCATTAATTTATAAATACTCTAATAAAAAAAATCCGTTTGACATAAAGGACGAGCCAATGATTGAATAAATCATCAAAAGATGAGCAATCTGAAAATTGATCTATTCTGATAAATTGTATTTATAAACAGCAGTGTAACCTAGTTAAACAATAAGCCATGCTCATTCATAACAACACAACGAAAAGAAATATGTTTTTAGATAAATAAATATTGGCTTAGTACTTGGTACTTAGTACACTGGATACATTTGATATTCTCAAGTAATTATCCTTTTCAATAAATCCGGTCTCTCTCTATATCTAATCGTATGTGCATGGGTACATGCCTGTGAACATTTGTAAATTAGTACGCTTGTTCAAAGGTACAATAATAAAATTCCAAGTTTATAAATTTAGATGAAACAAATATGTAAAATGTATATTATATTCAAATTCGATGAAGATATTGGGATCCCATTATTCGGTAAATTTGATTGTTTTTATGTGACAGCCAAGGCTCGGTTAAAAAGGTCGGACATCCAAAATGACGTTGGAAGTCGGTGGGTGGGTGGGGGGAGAAGGCAGGAGAGGTATAGGGCAAAAGGGAGTGCGCCCACAAGGTAATCCTCCTCTTTCACGCATCTATTGTCATAATGGTAATTTTTTTCTTACAGTTTCCATTGAAGAAATACACCACATCACAACTTTGTCGAATACCAATGATGGATGAACAATATGGATTGATGGATTGAATCAAAATGAACACCAAATCGAATGGATTGAAAACACAACCCAAAACCTTACAACCTACACGATACTATAATTTGGACATTAGAATTGGATCAAAATTCATCAATTAATAATCATCCTTTGTTTCTTGCTTTCCCTCAGGCCCCCGCCAAGAAGTCCACCGGCAAGAAGGTCGCTCCCGCTCCTTACCCCGTCAAGGGAAAGGCTGCCTCCAAGGCTCCCGTCAACCCTTTGATTGAGAAGCGCCCCAAGAACTTCGGTATTGGTCAGGACATCCAGCCCAAGCGCGATGTCTCCCGCTTCGTCAAGTGGCCCGCATACGTCCGCCTCCAACGCCAGAAGAAGATCATCTACCAGCGCCTCAAGGTCCCCCCGGCTCTTAACCAGTTCACCCAGGTTTTGGACAAGAACACTGCTACCCAGCTTTTCAAGTTGGCTAACAAGTACAGACCCGAGACCAAGGCCGAGAAGAAGGATCGTCTCCGTGCTGCTGCTGCCGCCAAGGCCGAGAAGAAGGAAGTTGCCAAGACTGACAAGCCTGTCGTTGTCAAGTACGGTATCAACCACATTGTCGCCTTGATCGAGGCCAAGAAGGCCCAGCTCGTCGTCATTGCCGATGATGTTGACCCCATTGAGCTCGTCCTCTACTTGCCCGCTCTCTGCCGCAAGATGGGTATCCCTTACTGCATTGTCAAGGGTAAGGCTCGTCTCGGTACCGTCGTCCACAAGAAGACCGCTACTGCTCTTGCTTTCACCGACCTCAAGGAGGCTGACAAGGCTGACTTCGCTAACCTCATCTCTGCCGTCAAGACCAACTTTGGCGACAAGTGGGAGGAGCACAGACGTGTCTGGGGTGGAGGAATCAACGGTCCCAAGTCCCAGGCCAAGATGGCCAAGCGTGCTGCTTTGGCTGCCAAGGAGATTGCTGCTCGCCAGTAATTTTTGTTCTTATAGGAACTGTTTCTTTATTTCTTGGAATAAATATTTAAAAAAAAACATTTTGTCTTTTTGGCTTTTAAAAATATTGGTGTTTATTTATCGTAAGGAAAGTGTTTGGTAATTAGTTAATTGTTAATTATACAAGTATCAGGGCAAGTGTATTTCTTTGGGGGCATCAAGTGATTGAGTGAATGAGTTTTTTTATGCAAGAACTTTTTTTTAAAGCAGTGTAATTGTAATATGAATTTTTAAATTTTTTCTTTTAATTTAAAGGGACCTTTTTATGCGAATGTATACATTGTTGTGAAGAGTATGAAGATGATCTGTTTGAATTCGACCACAACTAATAATGATATAACAGATTACGCCAACACTTGACTTTCCTCCTGACTAAATCAGCCGTCACATTGCACCTACCTAAGATTAGGAAATAGCTGACAACTTTTTTGAATACGTAGGATATATAAAATGTCCAATTCATTTGATTCTTTGCGTTTGACCTTTTCCTTTTATTAAACATTCTACTACCACATTAGATATATATATATATATATATATATATATATATACTTGTGCCTTATCTCCTAATTATTCAAAGCTTACAGTAGAACGCCCAACAGAACATCTAGTACACAAATAAGGCTACGAAACTGTGAACAGCATAACATATTGATTTTGGAGTTCCTAAGTGGTAAACCTTGGGTTTGCAATTCTGGTAAACATATATGCCTTCCGTAGACATCTAAGTGATATGGCGCACTATAGTGTTTTGGAATAAGTACTATAGTTATTTCAAAAGTTTGTAGGATAAGGTTTGTGATATTCGGATTGGATAATACGATTATAAGAAAATGACCTAATTCAACTTTTAATCGACTTGGCTAGCAAGCTATCTAATGTGCATATGTAGGAGATTGATCGATTGTTACTTTGAAAATATCAAAGGTGTCAAAATAGTACGACAATGTCTAGAAGATTATGTGCAGCCATTTAAAATATTTATTGTAATTATTAGCGGGGAGACTTGTTCGATTGCCTCATCAATCAGAAAGAACTACAAAAGAGATATAAGAAGTGTGGAAGAAGGGCATGGAAAGCAAATGGGGCACATATGCTATCTCTTGACCAGACAAGCTGACCATACCAACAAGATAAACATAGAGTATAGTGCTTCCTTCCTAAACTATGAAAAGACATGATTGATACAATTATCGTACAAAGAAACATAGACAGCCCAAAAGACGTTTATACTTATATCATTATGTGTTCAGATAGATATAAAGAATAATTTATTTCAACATTATCAATATATATAGATATATTGTGTATGTTATTGGCCTGAGCCTGTAGGTTCTTCGCACCAAAAGGATTGGGTAAACGACAAGAATCATCCGCAATAGACGTCTTTCAATATCCAGATCGATAAACAGCTTTGGAGAATCTATTATGCCAATACTTGTACAGACATATGTTTTTGAAGCTTCATATTGGTGATATAGATAACCTGCTGAATTCTTCTCTGGCCAAGACCTAAGAAAAAAGATGAAGATTGGTTAGATAATTGTCTAGTTGAAACAGATAGATTTTTATCATACTCCAGATATCCAGATAAACATAAAATTGACTTTATTATTAATAATAAATTTTATATACTCAAATCCATGACTTTGCTAGTAAAACGTAATAAATATCCGATCATCTGCTGAAATTTGATAATTAGTCTGAGCAAAAAAAAGAAAGAAAGACATAGTAATTAGTGTGAAGGTAAGTTTTTGTCTCATATTTTAATTTATGCTTATATAAAATAATAATACATACAAAATTATTCTTATTCTAATTCTAATATAAATTATTACTATCTTTTGTATATATATACACACACAAAACAGAAGCATACAGACACACTTGTACTTCTATATCTATTCCTCATTGTCGTTATTTTTTCTTTCTTTCTTTCTTTAATGTACTCAAACGATGAGCCCTCGGTGTTTGTGTGTGCCAACCCATTCAACATTCCAGCCAGATTACTCTCTGGAAAGGGTAGACAACTTGGTGTATATACATCAAGTGCAATGGTACATTAATATCAATACATCATAATTCTATACATATATGAAAAGCAAACAAAAAAAAACTAATCTCTTTGAGTGTTTAGATTGCATGTGGTTGGTGGTGCTTTTTGGATGCTGTGATTCAGTCTAGTTCAGTTGTGGGTGCGACTCCAATGGGATTTGAGGATTGGTTTTCTGGAATACTGACAACGTTTGGAATGATTGTGTAAGTGAGATATAGGTAAATTCAAATGTGAATGTGAATTGGAATGATATTAACAATGATAATAATAATAATAATAATAATAATAATTAATTTTGTATTTCTGTAGAGTGAATATGATTGATAAGTCCAGGCTTTATGGAGAAGCTTCTCAGTATGATAGTGTTGCTTGGAAGGCTCGCTTATTTCTGTTTATGGGATTTGCACTTATGGCTGGAGGATTGGCTGGATCTATTGTAAGACTTGTTCAAATATGAGGGTTTATTTGATATTTTTGCTTATAGTTGTTAACCTTTTTCTTCTTTAACAAAAAAAAGTGCACGTTAATTCTCAAGTATGTTATCCATTTGGATTCGACTGACATTTACTTTGGAGTAGCTGGAGTGATTCAGAATTCGTTGATTATGCTGAGGTACAGTTCATTTTAAATATCAACAACAACAATTGTCTTTAGGCTAATTGATTTATTAACCTGGTCTTATTGATCTATAGTGCTATGGTATTATGGATGGCACAGAGCGCGCAGGGAGTAAGTAGCTTTATTTTCCATGAATCTCAAGACTCTGATCCTTTCTTTTTTTAATAATAGGAATTTGTATACAATGTTCAACTCTAAGAGTATGTTTTCTTCTTCTTCTTTATACTATACTATACTATACTTTATATACGTATCTTTCTCTTCTTTAAACAAAAATCATATATAAAAAAAAAAGAAAGACTCGTACAACCAAACTCAATTTTTCTTTCGGATCTCAAAATCAAAGTCTAATTTTACTCCTTCCATTTCTCGCTCTTCTTTAACAATCCACTCTTTCTTGATTCAACACAAAACATGTATATAAAGTATAATTTACATATAATTGAAAAGCCAGGAACATTTTCGTTTAATGACTATTTTTTTTTTATTTATTTTTCTGAAAAGACAATATATATATATTTGGTACAGGTACCATTCAATATAAATAAAGGAATAGAAAGGAAAAGGGAAGAAGTAGTATAACAAGAAGAAGAGGAAGAAGGAAAGAACATTTACAAATTTACATTAAATCCTTGTAATTGTTGTAATTGCTATAATTGCTGTAATTATAATTATAGCTATAATTATAATCATAATTGTTGTAATTATATTTTCTTGGCTTTTATTTTATATAATTTTATTTTTTATTTTTTATTATTTTTACCCATTTATTCATTCATTCATTTATTCATTCTATATATTTATATATACACATATAAATATTATTATTTTTTTTATTTATTTAAAACAATATAATAATTACCACCAATATTGTTACTGCTACTTATACTGTTACTAATATTACTTATTGCCAGTTGCTGCTATTTCCGTTACTATTACCATTTACTATTAATAATAAGAATACTTAATACGGCATATTACTTATTACAACAACAACAACAACAACAAAAAACAGAAATCCCTTCTTTTTTTTCACTTCTTTCTCTTCATCATCATCACTGGATCATTAGTACATCACAATGTCCGATCGTCGTAGTGGGATGGTCCAGTCAATTGGCTACCATCACACTGGCTCGATTGTAAGCAGGGCAGTTGCTGCTGCTGCTGCAAATAACCACCATTCGAGTCGAAGAGCAGGCAGAGGTTCTCGACGTTATTCAGTATCAGTATTCTATTCAATGGCTGCAGAGCAAGACATAGAAGTAGAAGACGAACTAGCTAAAGGTAAATATACACATATATGAAATAGTGATAATAAAGTACTATTATCAACTCCCTTGTGATAAAAATGCAAGACTTCTTTCCTTCTATTTCTATCATTGTTGCTCTTCTTCTTCTTCTTTTTACTACTGCTACTACTTTTTTATTACACATAATAGCAATTATTGTAGCTATTAATAACAATTACAATTACAAGCACAGTAATAATAATAATAATAATAATAATAATAATAATAATAGAACCTGTTTTTTTTATATCTTCTCTCCTTTATATTAAACGATTTTTTAAGCACAACGCTCCTTGAGAGAATTAAAGACAATGATATCTGTCCAATCCAAAAAGAATTTTACACGTGAACATGATGTTCGTTTCCTTGATGCTCGTATTGGACTTTTGATCCAAAGCAGAATGGCCCTTGAAGAAGTAAGTCAAACTTTATTCTCCTCAATATATAAAAGAAATCAATAGATGAACCAATGGATCAATCAATGGATCAATTAACCAACCAGGCCACACTCAAACCTTTTGTTGTGAGTAGCAAAATGAAGTCGTGTCTCGTTTAGAAGAGCACGATGAAGACAATGATGGACACTACCCCGGCAATCTCCAAATGCAGCAATACGGCAACCTATTCTATCTCCTACAGAGCGAACCTCGCCACATTGCCACACTTTGTCGCCTGGTCAGCCTTTCGGAAATCGACAGTTTACTCCAGACCGTGATGTTCACACTCTACGGAAACCAATACGAAAGCAGAGAAGAACATTTGCTATTGACTATGTTTCAGGTAAATCACAAAAATAAGATTGATAATTATGTTAATCTCACACGTGTTTTTCCTTTTATTTTTGTATGTATATTATGTATATTATATGTATAGAATGTCCTCGCGTGGCAATTCGAGACTACTCCCGAGTTCTCCTCCCTCCTGCGCGCCAATACTCCTGTATCGCGCATGATGACGACTTACACGCGACGTGGTCCTGGCCAGTCCTATTTAAAGTCATTGTTGTCTGAAAGAATCAATGAACTGATTGTCCGTAAAGATGCCAATCTACAAATCAATCCACTCAAGGTAAAAGAATGATTAATATATATATATATATATATATATATATATATACATAAAAGATAGTAAAACTAAAACTAGAATTAGCATTAGCATTATAATTATCATTAACAATAACACCAGTACTAACACATAATAATAATAATACTAATAACCACCTCATAAATCATTATCCACACAAAGGTCTATGCAGAGATCATTGACGAAATGGAATCCATGGGCACATTGCCTGAATACATGCCCAGGAGTGTCACACCCGAGGTGGCAGCTGCAAATCCTCAAGTGCAGGCCATGATCAAACCTCGCCTCGAGGCTTTGTTGGAGGTGGCAGATGGGTTCCTGAGCACGATTATACACTCACTTGATCAGATTCCATACGGTATCCGTTGGATCTGCAAGCAAATCAGGTCCCTGACCATGCGAAAATACCCCAATGCCACTGACGATGCCATCTCATCTCTTATTGGTGGATTTTTTTTCTTACGGTTTGTCAACCCGGCAATAGTTACTCCTCAAGCATACATGCTCGTCGATGGTCTTCCGGGAATTCATCCCAGAACGACAGTTACATTGGTAAATATATATATATATATATGCATATTAATATTAAAAAAAAAACTTTATTAGATTGCAAAAATGATTCAAAACCTGGCCAATAAACCAAGTTATGCCAAAGAAACATACATGATTCCTACAAATTCATTTGTTGAAAACAACAAGGCACGAACAAGTGTGTTTTTAAACGAACTGTGTGAAGTGGGTGATTTTTATGAATCGCTCGAGATGGATCAGTACATGGCACTGTCCAAGAAAGATATCATGATCAGTATAACTCCAAACGAAATCTATGCTACTCAGGCATTGTTGGAACAACATCTTCAAGTGCTGGCACCTAAGCCCAACGATCATTTGAGACTGCTGATGTGTGAGGTTGGTCCGGCACCACCTCAAGTACCTCGCAAGGAAAACAAACCTCTTGATCTTTCTCTGTTCAGTAGATGGGAAATGCCCATTCAAGGTAAATAAATAATGTATATATATATAATGGAACTCTTGATGAATTGTCAACTTTTATTCTTATTCTTATTACTACTTTGATATAAATAGATCTTACCATGACACTCATGTCCGAAAATAATATTACTCAAAATGACATTCTTTACATGGAGACAAAGGCCATATTTGTCCAGATTATTCGTACAATCCCTACACTTGCCCGTCAGCCACTCCGATTGGCTTTCCTAGCCGAAGCGGCGGGAACTTCCAAAGATGCTCAGTTGGTGACCAAGGGTATCAAGGTTAAGGAAATGTTGCGTGAGCTGGAGACAGTCGGGATTGTGGACCCTAAGGATGGACACCGCTTCCTTGCACAGGAAATCACACAGGAGCTGGCTCACTTGGGGGATCTTAAACTCAAGGTGGTCAAGGAACTAGAGTCACTAGAGAGTGTGTACAAGACCATTCAGGACCACAACAATTACCTAAGAGGTCAGCTGGAAAGCTATCGGGCCTATCTTCAGAACGTGAGGTTCCAGACAAGTGGAGGCAACAAGTCAAACAACACAAAGCAGGTCGGAATTGGAGTCGAGGTTGTCGAAGCAAAGACGAATACAAAGAAGCAGGCAAAGGTCCATGTGCAGGGTCCATTCAAGTTCACTCATCAGCAGCTCGAGAAAGACGGCGTGATTGTAGCTACAGAAGTATTGGAGAGTATCAGGGTTAATGTGTACCTGACCATCTCTTCACCTCTTCCGGGAACATTTATCATTGAATTGAACTATCGAGGTAAGCAACATTTTTTTTTTTCAATAAAATAAAAAAGGGGGAGTGTAACAGATAACTGAAATTGTGATATTATCAAGGACGCGATAAACCGATATTGGAAATTGATCTCAAGTTGGATGACTTGCTTGAAAAGGTAAATTTTTACAAATGGCAATTAGCATACACACATAGAGAGAGAGAGAGAGATAGAACAATGGAATAACATTGTGTGTGTGTGTGTGTTTTTTTTTGTGTACTATATTATTCTAATTGTTATAAATTATTGCTATGAATTTTATTGTTTCTAACTCTAATCTAATTTATGTAAAACAGCAACAGTACAATATACCCGTATTAGATCTAGAGTATCTCAAACTCAATGTGGGAAAGACACTTCAATTGTTAACAAAGTCCTTTTTGCCAAAGTCAAAGTAAGCTGTTAAATTCAACATTAAAATCTTTCGTCTACTGATCTTTATAATCTCCACATAGAACCGGTTTCTTTTCCTAAGCTGAACCCCTCCTTTTTCTTTTTCTTTTCCATTTCCATTTCCTTTTGCTCTTAAGAAAAGATAACTGAAATACCTTTTTATATGCAGATATGAAAGGAGAAGAAGAAGAAGAAGAAAAGAATGGCTGATCGTACAAATCTCATTGTTTGTAGCGTGTTCTCTTAATATGTATACTTTCTATTTATTTTACTTTATTCTACCTATTTATTAATTTATTTATTTATTAATTTTATTTTACATACTTTATATTATTTCCTTTTATTTATATATTTTATATATACAAACCATACAAACCATACAAATCAAGCAGACAAGAAAACAAGAAAACACGCAGAAAATAATAATAATAATTTACTCATATATTCATCTTTATATTATCAATGTTTTTGGATTTTTTTTTTCAATTTTCTCTTGACAAATATATATATATATATATATATAATAGGTAGTTTACTAATATTCGGTAATCAAGACTTGATAAAGATTAACAAATCAGACAAGTATCCCAAAGGAAGAAAAAATAGAGAAATTGATATTATATATTTATTTGAAATGAATTTGCTTGACAGAATCATGGGCTTCTTTCACATTCATGTCTTGGCTGTATGCCTCAATGTAACGCCATGATCGGTTATAATAGTTGCGGACGTTAGAAAGCTTTCCAGCATTATCAAGAAAAGTATGAATATTCTTATCCAGGGAATTGTAAGTATAGTCACACTGAAGACGAACTTCACGCTTTGCAGAACCCCAGTACCTCTCGATCCAATTGCATTCGCAATGGAACTTCGGGTACAATTCGAAGATGTGACCAGATACTTCGACAGCCTCATGAAGAGCAGTTTTCTGTGACATAAAATCTGGCTGAGAAGCTAGAAAATGATGTGCACAGCACTTGCTATCCTTCAGAGGCGTCGTTTTTTACAGTCCAGTCCCCATGTCTTACTAGGATTGTATGGGTCCTTCTCCAACCACATACCACGCTCCTCTAGGATTGTACGGACACCCTTCACGTATTTCACCTTCTTCGTCACCCACTGCCCGCTCTTCTTTGTGAACCACTCGTCCTTCTCGTAGTACATAGACTGTACTTGTTCTTCACCATCCCGGACAAAAGTAGTATCCCTCAGTGTACAAAGATCATCTTCTTCAACCTCTTTGTCACCTAAGGTTATTTTGTTTGCTATTAAAGCATTTTGACTGTACGCCTTGTGGTTTGTACTTTGATCGAATACAAAGACGGCCTTACATCCAGGGTGAATTACTTCGAATAGAGGAATTGCGTTACTCTCCAATTGCTTCAACATATGAGCACTAGTCCAGTACCCGTCTCTATCGGCTCCAGGATGGAATACCTCCCGACTAGACCATGCACCATTAGACATTGTACCATGGCATGCACATTTGAATTCACTAATCATAAGTGACATGCCAGGACCCTTCTTTCGAATTGGATTTTCACCTTCCACTAGCCACATAGCTTTCTTTTCCATCATTTGAATAGAAAGTCGACTCATCATGGGTGACAAAGGACATGTTCTACTTCATCAGTTGATAGCTGTGGCATAGTTACTTCATCATTCTCGCTAAATCTCGCCATCTTCGTCTTACAGCCCATCATTCGATTTGCCCATTTCTTTCGATATTCAATAACATCGGCTCTCTCATGACCATCGTAATAAATGCCTTTGGAATTTTTTCTAAAGATATATCCCCCATTCGTGAAGATACTTCCAAACTGTACTTGTTGAGACGCTTCCTGGAATTCAAAGTTTCTTTTTTGTTTTTTTTAACAAGGGTAGTACTGCGACCTTCTGGCTTTTGTTGCTGGATCCACTTGGAGATAATAAAAGTCTTGTATTAACGTCTTTTATCCAAGAGAAGAAAAATAAAACCGGGAATGGGAGCATGTGGTATGATTTCCTTGTTGACATGGTGTTAATTTGATCTGTGCTGTAAAAAAGTCTTCTTTTTATCACTTGAGTCAGTGGGGCTTGGTGAGCTTGGTGGGCTGGCGGGCTAATTGCAAACTGCAAAAGTAATGTCGTTTGTAATTCTCGGTTTTATTTTTGTCATTCAAGAAAAGGATGCTTTATCGACTTTGCTTTTGATGTTGATATATATATGTGTGTGTGTGTGTGTGTGTGTGTGTGGATGAAAGGAATCTCGGCTGAATGATTATGTAATTGTTTAATTGATATTTTGTTTACTCGAAGATTTCCTGGGTGATACACCAAAATGTAAATAAACAAAATAAAAATGAATATAAATCAAGCGTACCAGTCACTATCACACTGATGATTTTTCTTTTTATTAAAAATAAATAAAATTGACTGGCTGACTCACTGAAAATGCTGTATACACATAGTAGGTATATATATATTATATTGTGAAGATATTTCTTATGCTGGGTCAAGCGTTCTGAAAGCTATCTATTTGAGGAATATATTTAAAGCGAAAAAACTAGATTTAAAATAGAGAGACCGGGTGCAAGCAGTTTTATTATTATTATTATTTCAGCTTCTTCTTCATCTAATTATCCTGTCTCTCAAGAAGCTTGGTGTAATTACCTTGTTTACGAGCGTCTTATTTGCGGATGATATTTGTAACTGACAATCTTACCTACAAAATGACCCTTGACACTCGCAATACTTTTCCATGATCGTCTGAAATATATATGTATGTATTTATGTAATGCTTGGGAGTCAAGTAGATCCGTTTGCAAAAATTCCCTCAATGTTTGTCACTATACTATACGCATGTCCACATACGATCGATCAGCATATCGTTTTTTCTTTATTTTTGCTTGATTAGTTAATAATTTAGCCTTTCTTTTCTTTATGACTTACACATGTGCATAAAATTTCGAAATATGCTTCGTCTGATATAAATGCATAATCGAAACTGGTTCTTATTTGGAAATTACCAGCCAAACAAGCCATAGATCATGCTAGCTGTTGCAAAGAGGTTTTATTTCTGTTGTATCATTAAGGATATCATGCCACAAGCTGTAGTCTCGCTTTCTTTTCTTTTTCTTTTTATTTAACTATTTCTTTCTTTCTTGATGATATAAGGAATTTAGTCGTAAGAAGAAGAAGGTGGGATAGGAAAAATATAATAGAAAAGGACGTATTTCTGGTAAAAGTGACAGTAATTTTATCTTTCCGGGGGGTGTATGCGTGTGTCAATGCATGTATTATATGCGCATATGTATATATATATATATATATATATGCGATAGAGAGAAATATACGCTTTAAATAGAGGAGGGGATGTAAGGAAAGGCAATATAATGTAAGATGAGGTGAGATGAAGTGAGGTAGCCATGGGTTTGATTGACTGGAAAATAAAAACGCAAAAACTCAAAATAAAAAACATCTCTTGTTTTTGTTTTGTCTGATAAATCGGGTTGCTTAAAGCTAAAAATGAGAGCAATTGATCCCGGGGAATAATTGTTTACTTACTTGTGTTGGGCATAACAAGACTGATCTTCTTTCCATTTATTTTACAGCTGTACAAAGGTCTGGAAGGCGGGAAAGGGGCTAAAGAAAGAAGAAGAAAAAGCGAGGGAATGGGGGAGGGGGATGGTTTCCAATTAAGGTTTTGGGGTTGCTCATTGTGCTGTTGTAAGTCAACGGACATTTAAAGAAGTATAGTTTTAGACATGCAGATTCCAACAAGACAACATTTGAACCTAGAACTTTGGAAGAAGAAGAAGGGATAGAAGCAAAAATACTAGTGTCTATTCCTTTGCCTTGCTATGGTTAATATTATTATTATTAGCATCTAAGAAGATAACTACAATTGTGTTCCTCTTCTTTTAAGAATTTCCCGGAATTGAATACATTTTGGACTATTTTTTTTTATCTTTTTAGGCAAGTTAGTAAGGCCAAAGAGGTATACAAACCTGTACCTATCTTATTACTGTTATTGTACCAAACTTTCCAAAGTAGTCTAAAGCTGAGAGAAGAAGAAAAGTACTAATAGAATTTAATGATTTAATAATAATAAAAGCGCAGTTCCTGAGGAATTTTCCTGGGCAGTTAATTTCAAGCGTTCAATCAATAAAATAAGGATACGCACTTTGGTTATTGATGCCTAATATAATATATACACAAAGCCTTGCTACCCTCAAATAACATGATTGGATAGCATTAAGCTTGTATTTGTACTCAATATACATTCTTTATATATAAATAAATAAAAAAAATTGTGCTTTTTTATTGTGTGTTTGTGTGAAACGTATCTTTTTTTTTTTGTTTTACAATTATTATTATTTTTTGGTTTTTTGGTGGTTTTTTTTTGTTTTTTTTTTCAAGTATCACTCAGTGTATAATAATGATAATAATATGTATAATATATATATAAATATATATGTATATATGTATGTATATATGTATGTATATATGTATGTATATATGTATGTATATATGTATATGTATATGTATATGTATGTATGTGTGTGTGTATATAGACAGAAAATAAAAAGAAAATTAGTAAAGAAATTATCAATATAGAAATGGCATTGTGGGAATTGGGTTTTACAAAAAAGGGAAGAACAAGGCATGAATATATAGAGAAATCAGTATATAGCATAAACATATAATAAAATAAAATAAAATAAAATAAAAATGAGGGCATAAGTGTTTTGTGTAAATGTATGTGTAGGTGTATTTGTAGGTGTAGGTGTAGGTGTAGGTGTGTATAGGTTTTGTATGAACATGTAAGGTTGTGTATGTAGAATTGTATGTATATAAGAAAGAAATAGAAAGAAAGAAAAAAGGTCCTTCAATTGGGTACAAAAACGGAAAGGTCGAGAGCTGAAAAGCCAAACATCGAAGAATGGAGGGAAAATGGCGTTGGTGACTGAAGTGGGGACAAGGAAGGTGCCGGGGATGAAAGTGTGTGGGGGAATCCAAACGAAGAAACCAATGGAGATTGAGAGTCTGAAGATGAACTCGATGAAGAAATGGAGGAACAGTCAAATTGACCAGAGTGTAACCAAGGAGAAATATCGACAGGATCCTTAAGAAGAAGGTCTTGGTGGCATGGGTGGAATAGGTCAGTGAATGAATCATTCAAGAGACTATTGATATCGACCGCCTGCAGTGATGGGGTTGGCATAAAAGTTGGATCAGGTGGTGGAAAACACCCAAGATTATTTTGATTCTGATGATGATTATGTTGCTGTTGCTGTTGCTGTTGCTGTTGCTGTTGATGAGGTTGTGGTTGTGGATAGCCTTGATAATCAGATTGATGTTCTATATTGTGTTGCTGCTCATGGTGGTGAGTATATTCCTGCTGGTGCTGAGCAGAGCTAGCCACAAAAGGAGAAGTAGCCATAAAGAAGTTGTTCAGTACACCGTGACTAGAGACTAGTGATAATGGAGTAGGGTTAACTGCCTTTAGGACGTTGATTGTCTGCTCAATTTCATTAGAGTAACACATGCTGTCCAAGCTCAGGTCTAGCCGAATAGACCCAGCCAGGGTTAAGAAAGGCATATAGCAAGTCAGCACATGGCGTCTGTTATTGGAGTGTAGCATCTGGTCGGCCATTTCAATCAAGGTTGTGGCGGCATTTGTGCAGATGGTCTTGCTCATCTTTGTACTTTCTACCATGCCAGCGTTCTCGACCGAGCAAGACGATGAGGATTGTTGTGGTATCGATTCAAAGGGGCGGTTGTGGACGATTATCTGGGCAGCGTAATAAGCCATACGATAGAACCGAGCACTGGCAAAGGACAGGGCAGAGTGCTGGGGCTGGTTGTAATTAAGGTAAGAGGGCAGATTGAGATACCAGTTTACGAGACGGTCATGGGATTGCTGACACACTGAGGCAGTTGAGCCATGGCGGCCTTCATTCATCCCGAGAATAAGACAGAGGCGAATCATTTCTGCAAAGCAAGTGACCTGAATAGCATTAGGTGTATTGAATTGACTCTGCTGATGTTGGTGTTGGTGTTTTTGAAATTGAATTTGTGGTGATAGATGATTGTGATTGTGATTGTGATTGTGATTGAGGTTTTGATTGGCGGAATAAGCAATTTCTTCGTTTGTGAGACCAAACAGCTGTTCATCTTCAAATTGAGGCCACTGGCAGTCCCAGACGTCCAGATGAGGTCTCAACCAGCGTTGTTGGCCTGTGTTCCCAGCCATCCATTGGTCTGTCACAAATGCGACCCAAAAGGCCCGACGAAGCATCTCAGACTCCAGTAGGCCGACACAAGGGTCTGGGTCGTGATACAATTCGAGCTCTTTGACTAGAGACATCAATTGACGGCGTAGGTTTGTAGATGTCTGGTGGTGGCCTGTGAGGTAAGCGTACCAGCACATCAATAATAGTCCCTGTAAGAATCAGATTATGAAAATGAGTACAGGTCGTTTAATGAGATGAATGACTTACTTGGATAGTCGAGAGAGAGTCTCTTTTGACATTCAATAAGAGTTTACATTCCTCAAATGCGTCAAGAGAGGACTGGAAGTTCTGGGGCTCTGCATAATAAAGGCCGAATACATCGACGGCTTTTTTGAGAAGAGGATCAAGGGAGTGTGGGGAATGGGTGAGCTGGTGCATGAAATGAGGGCGGGATAAAATGGGAAAGAATAGGTTAAAATGGCTAAAATAGTCCTGGGCCCACTGGGTCGAATTGTTGGTTTTTGAGATGGTCTGGTGGAGGTGAATGCCATGGCTGCCCTAGAAAGTAGTCATTGTAGAATGGATCTTATCAGTAACCATGCAAAAAATATATATATCTTAATTCTATAATACAAATGAATGAATTTTGTATTCTGCAACGTACAGCCGTCTTTCTAGTGATATCCTTGGTTTGGGTCTCAAGACAATCTACGGTGTTTCCGATCAAACTTAAGAGGGGGTTTGGAGAAGAGCAAACTTGAGGATCTAGAGTATTTTGCCAATCTAAAATAGAAATAATATACAAATATATATATATATATATGGATTTTGATTTTGATTTTGAAATTAAAAAAAAAAAATTAAAACATTAAAATTGAATTATTTTAATAATTGATTATTATTATTTCTTTCTTTCATTTTTCATAATATGCATAGTGTGCCTAGTGTGCATATACACAAGTAAGGAATATAAAGACTATTGAGGATGTTTACTTTGTAATGGTTTTTGGAAAAGAGATTCAATACGGTGGGCGCGACTTTCGATGACTTCAACCTTGCCCTTTGGAGGACCACGTTTTCGAGGTGGGTCTGAATATTGGCATGGTATCTTCATTGAATGACAGCGAGAGCAGGTTGGTTGCGCACCGTTACACTTGACTTTCTTCTTGCGACAGACGGTACATGCAAGAGTCACCTTGACACGCTGAGAGGTAGGTTTAGGAGTCTCTGGGCGTTTCTTTCTATGGTTGATCTTGGTCATACTTTCTTTTTCTTTTTCTTTAAAAATAATAATAGATATGTATGTATATTTTATATAATTATTGTAGTTGTGGCTTTTTTTTATTTTTTTAGAGTTTGAAAGTTTGGGGGCTGTATGTGAAAGAAAGGGAAGAGGAAGAAGAAGAAGAGAGAAAAAAGAGGGGGGAAAAAGAGTTTGGATATTTATATATAAAAATAAATGTTTAAATAATAGACACAAAGAGGGAGAGAGGAAGGGAGAATGATCTGAACCGGTTGGTTCGGTCACAAAGCAAAAAGACAAAAAAAAATGTGGGGTATTGAACCATTAGATGGTTTGTACAAAGTAAAATATACAAAAAATGATGGGCCAATTGGGTTAATTCCAATCAATGGGCTTTGTTTAACAAAGATACCTTCAAATATAATAAATAATAAATTTTTGTATATAAAATATTTTATTTTATTCTGCTGTATTCTAACAATCAAGGCACACAAGATCGACGCCCATCTACACACACAAAATATTTTTATAATATTTTTATTTTTTTGACACCCCCCAAAAAAAAATTAAATAAATTATAATTATAATTATAATTATAATTATAATAATATATTTTGTTTCAAACTTGACATTCTTAATAATATATAATATAATCTATTTATTTATTTACTTATTGTCAATTCCAAATAGGTCCTCAAGTCACCTGACACCCTTATTTTTTATTTCCATCAAAGTCCTATGAACATTGACAAGTGCCGGGAACCACATGGCATAAACATTCTACACATATACCACGCCCTGGTCATCTATATATAGTAAGTAGTACTACACGCACCACACACACCACGCACACCACACACACCACATACATACATACACAACCTACATTTTATATAAATTTTGCAAAAGTTGTATCTTTTCTTTGTTCCTACTTTCCTGTTTATCTTTTTTTTTTGTAATTTTCTTACAGCTAAATACAAATTCTGTTTTGCAGAAATACAAATATGTAAATATTTATTATTAAACTATCCAATAGGAATCGTCCTAGCTATCTATTTCTTTTCTTTCTTTTATGTACTTTACATCTACCTTACCACGTGGATATATAAATAAATATATATTATTCTTAAAGATTTGTATCAACCGATATTTCATTACTTCATTACTTCACTACACACACTACATCACAACACTTTTTATATATTAGGTGAATGTTCCATATAGAGATACTTTGTGTATCGATAGAGAAATAACGTGGTTTTCAGTTTATATCTTTAACCAATTTGTGCAAGTAAATAAGTATATTTTTGTATGTATGTATATCTATACGCTCTAATGAGTAAATAATTGGATAATTGGATAAATTTTATACATCTTTTTTTTATCAAACAATACAAAAAATCGGATGCCATTCTTTCCTCCCTTCTTTTCTTCTTTTAATATAAAAAATGTCTTAATATTTCTTCTGCTGTTACTGCTGTTATTATTGCTTGTCTTTACCCAATCACATACATTTGCCTATCCACGCCCTGGTTGTTGAAACATGTTAGAAGTATAAAAAGATCGAAGATCATGATAATTAATGATAAAATAGACAAAAACATAGTCACAACCGCTCACACATGCACAGCGCACATACTTACCACACACCACCCTCACATTACCACACTAAACTAGTGCACACAATTTTTTTTTAAAAAAAAAATCACAATATTTTGTACAAAATCATAAACACTTTTCTTTGTTCTTTTTTGATTTATTTTATTTCAATTGTATTATATTCTTCTTGTCTCTGTCTTTCACTCATTTTCAATGTCGTCATTCGAAACGGAATCCTCGACTATACTAGGCTTGTCAGCAATAGTATCAAGGGTACAAAAAATAAAATAAATAAATGCTCAGGTCATTCAACATCTAATTCTAATTCTAATTCTAATTCTAATTCATTTCGAATCATTCTCTATAGGCATCTCTTGTTATTTCTTCAATACACCTATACCCTCAAATATTGCTCAACAAAAGAAATTCAAGGTTCGATTATTCAATACAGATCTGTCTATTTGTCTATCAAATTTCATCTGTATACTAATCAAAATACTTTTCCGTTATCTAGCGTAAGAGGACTCTCGATTGACTATCTATACCTAAATATTATTGCCTGTGGATTCTATTCAGTAAGCAGATATTCAAATAAACGAAAAAGATACATAATCACAATCAAAAATAATAAATTTCCTTTATTCATTTATTCATTTTAGGCATTTGCAATCATATTCACGACGTGTGAATCTACCAGAAATGAATGTAAGAAATCCGAGATTTTAATTATTGCGGACCGCTTTATTAGTTTACATTATTGTCGTGTGGCGAAGTCTAATTTCACTTGATGGACTTGTCTCTAAAATATATTATGTGATCTAGACCTACAAAAATATGGATCTCTAAATGAATACATTCACCCAAGCGAAGCCATTCTTGCTATTCATGCATTCTGTCTATCGGCCTTTCTATTATTCCAAACCACTATTTATGAAGCAAGTCATCAATACTATCATCTACGCACCTATACACCTATACTTACACTTATCAGCACATAAACATATGAAACAATCAATCAAACAAAAGCAATTGATCTCTGATTATAATCATTTGCTTGTTTGTCTATAGCTCTATAGCTCTATATATCTATAGGTGTATAGGTGTATAGGTGTATGATTCTTATTTAACATGGAGGTTAATGTTGACATTAATACTAATATTTGATCCATATGTGTTATACGATTGTTAAATTAATTAGAAAAGTGTCAAACAAAAACTCTCTTCTGCATCCGCTGCCGTCATCTGGGCAATCTTGATGGGCGCGGTTCTCATAGTTCTTTCGGTGCGGTATGGTAACACCACCTGGGCTGATGTAGTGTACTACTTTGACGGAGTCGGTTACTTTGCAGCCATGATCAAATACTTACCACTAGTAAGTAAATAACGGTAATATTCTCGCTCACTCCTTTATTCACTTACCTGGCTGTAGGTCAAAGTCAATTCCAAGCGTAAATCTACCATCGGTTGGAGTATTCAATCAATCATACTGGTAAAGTATATCAGCTATATATATATATGTATTATATCTATATGGATATATGAATATATATGTATACACCCTTTGCTGCTTTTTATAAAAACTAAAACAAATCAAGGTTACACTATATCCTCCATGAGGCTCGTTTTGTACAATTCTCTTGTATTCATTTATAATATTGATTAGTATTAGCATTTTTTTCTTCTATTTATGTCTTACATGTACATACTCTTTCTTTGTCTGTTTATAGGACCTCTTGAGCGGACTCTTGCTCGGTCTTCAATCTATTCTTGACAGTACAAGCCAGCCATCAGATATTATAATGGTAAGCAGAGATATATATATATATATATATATATATATATATTTATACATACATACATATTGTATCTCTCTCTGTGTGTGTATGTGTGTATGTGTGTATGTATGTATGTATGTATGTGTTTGACAGTGTAACGTTTGGGGTCTGTGCACTCAAACTCCAAATACAAAATTTTGTTGTATCTCCTTCCATATTTTACATGTACCAGCATCCTGCCAAGTGGTGAGTAAACCAACCAGAACACTTTTTTTAAACAAATTAAGCAATTTTACTACATTTTACTTTTATATATTTATATATATATATATATTGACCATTATTATTATTATTATTATTGCTGTTGTTGTAGCACCCTGGCCATCGTCATTATCTTGTTTGACCTTGTATTCCTGTATCAGCACTTTGTCCTCTACGCATACAGACGCGACTTTTACTATTATCATCACCAGCGTAAACTGAGTTACTCTAGTGACTACGATTCTCGATATTCCGAACATTTTAGTTTCAATAGTAACAAATCCGATAACCAATATGGAGCAGCAGCAGCAGTAGCAGTATCAGCAGGAAGAGAAGAAGAAGAAGAAGAAGAAATTGTTGATTTCAGACAAGATGAATATAATAACAGTGACAGTAATAGTAATAGCAATCCCCTTGTTACATCAAGGTAGCGTAAGAGTCAAAAGCGTTCAAAACCAATTAACCCAAACCCAACACACACACACACGCGCATACAAAAAATATGAGAAAAGATAAAGGAGAGGGCAAATCCTTTATACAGACTTGCTGGACATCTTATTATCAGTTCTTTAGCCCTCGTTATTATCATTCCCATTCTCATTACTGCTGTTATTATTATAATTGATATTTATTCTTAGTATCTACACTTAGTTCTAGTTATTTTTTTTTATCTTATATTCTTTTTAATAATAATAGTAATAAAATGTTTCAATTCTTGTTACTTAAATAATTATATTTATATTTGTATTTGTATTTATACATGTAATGTTCATTGGATTTGTCTTTGAATGGCTTGGCGCCATACATAATTTATATAAACGTTTCTAATGAAGAGAAACGTGTGTGGGTGTATTATAAGATATTATTATATTAAGAAGAAAAAGACACTAGCAAAAAAAATCAAAATAAAGAGCTATTAGAGATATATAGATCCGGTGTACAAAGCTCCTTGGAACAACCTACAGATATAATAATACACACACAGATATAGATATATATATATATATAAAATTAGTATCATTTTATCCTTCAACCCAGCGATCACTGTGTAGATTCGGTCACACCAACGAACCTTGTCGTACACAACCACACACACACACACACACACACACACGCACTTTGTATATATATTTATATATAAAGGTGTGTGACGCAGTTTCACAATCCTGTACAAGTCATTCTGACACGAAGCTATTTAGCCGTGTATCCCCACACCTTTTCTTTCGGCACTCTTCTCTTCTCCTCTTGTCTCCCCCCAAAAAAATAACACTCATTCATTCATTGACTTGATTCATTCACCTTCGCCGCCCACTTCTCCTAAACCATACACGACCTCTACCACAAACACGAACACAAACACGAACACAAACACAAACTCGAACTCGAACACAAACGCAAACGCAGACACACGTTATACAAGATCCTTGAATTTATGGCCGCAACGGTCATTAGTTCTTCATCATTGGGTAGTTTTGATTCTTATTTATGAGCGCTCAAAAGAGGTGGTTAAGAGAGCCAGTTTGATATATATATTATTTTTACTTTTATTTTTACACACTAATTAATTCAATTACAACAATAGCTAAAAGCATTTCTAGAACTAATTAACATGTTTGAAATCCATATAATTATATAAAAGAATAAAATATTCTACGTGCGCGCACATTAACACACATAGCAAAAAAAAAAACAAACAAACAGTAAAGAATGTAATACTAGTCCTATTTACACTTTATTCCTTTAGACTACATAATTATCAACTGCCTTTTCATATTTTATAGATTTTTTTCTTTTAAAAAAAAGATGGACTACAGTAAGATGATCATTATAAAAATTATTGTTACTACTATCTTACTGACAGCTTCATTATATATATATATTTAATTGGGTATAGGAATGAATGAATGAATATAATTATAGCCAAACGGCTTGAGCGCTTCTTTTGGAATCTAATATTTTATGCCCGTGAACAGAATACAATTGAAGGATTTCGCTGTTATTTTTTTTTTTATTAAATATATAATAATATATCATAATCTATTAGTTGCCGTATTGTACGCGCTCTGAAATGAAGCGCTTTGGCGGAAGAACCACGCTACATCACAAGTGTAGTACGGACCAGCTCAGATCTCTAAGAAAATAGCAAAAAAAACGTGTTTTAAATTATCATTGTTATTAAGGATAACGACGATTATGGATGATGATGGTTATAATTATAGTGATAGTGATGCTTGAAGTACTATGTAGAATATGCTTTCCTTTCTCTCTTCTCTTTTAGTAATTTACAAAGCGCGCGATCTTTTTTATAATAACAATACATTGATATTTTTTGACAGTTAAAATATCATTAATGATAATTCTACCATTAACATTAACATTAACACTAAAAATAAAGGTAAACATGCAAAAATGACAATACCAGTACAATACAGTACAGTACAGTACAGTATAGTAAGATTCATTAGATATTTTGGGCCAAAGAGAAAGAAGAATAATAATGTATGTATGTATATATAATCGACCTTTCTGGAACATTTCTAGATTTCTAATCAAAACAATAGAATTAATAGTAATGGTAATAGTAATAGTAATAAAAGCTATATATACATATAAAGAGAGTTACAAGTAGTATCGATGCTCCAATCACATCAGAATCGAGTGTGTAGACAAGGTCATCTGATTTTCCGTCTCGGGTCTACTACCATTTCTGGTACAGATTCTGTCAGTTTAAGAAGTTCAAGGAAATACAATCCAAGAAGAAAGAATTAATATTCTTATATACATTCAATCGGTACATACAAATATGTCTCATCGATTATCCTATTCCCCCCAAAATAATAATAATAATAATAATAATATTATCTTTAGATGTCTGGTATTGTACACCAATGCCATCGACATCACCATCACCATCATTATCAATCTTGTCTTTTCCTCAACTCGTGGTCTTGTAGACCGTGTCACAAACCACTAAACAGACCACACACATTACAATACAATACGCTGTTTCTTTTTTGAAACAAAAATAAATAAATAAAAACATAGTGTATATTCTATAGAAGAAAAAATTATCTTACTAATAATTCGTTCACTCACTCATTCATTCATTCATTCATTCATTCATTCATTCATTCATTCATTCATTCATTCACTCACTAATTCACATTCACTCATTCATTCACTCACTCACTCACTCACTCATTAATTCACTAATTCATTCATTTGCTCACTCATTCACTCATTCCTTCATTAACTCACTCATTCATTCACTAAGTTTCATAGTTCTTCGTTTGTGTGTAAAATGTGTGAATTGTATATTCTGGTGACAGTGACAGTGACATTTTCCATCATTCTCTCTTTTCTCTTGCTTGTTTGGTTGATATTTCTTTATACATTTTTTTCTTTCTTTCTTTCTTTTTCTTTTTATAATAAGTGTCTTCTTTTTCTTCTGCTTTTGTATGCGTGTGCGTGTGCGTGTTCGTATGCATATACGTATACGTATATGTGTATTTGTGTATATTTGCGTATGCATGTGCGTTTACGTTAGCGTTTGCGTCTGCTTTTGTTGGAATTTTACTTGTTTCTAGCATAGTACTCGTATGCCAAGGAGTGCATCTCTGGGGGGAATGGCGAAGGAATTTCGGAGCGACCGGGGCGGGAAATTGGTGACCGTAAAAAGACTGTCTGACAGGTGTTGTAGTTGACCTCGAGATATTCAGGTACAAACAAGAATGGCTGAGAAAAGGGCTTGGGTTCAAAGTTCAATTCGGTTCCCTTTTCACCCTTGAGCATCTGAATAGCGTGAGGGTCGACAGTAATCACATCGCCGTCCTTGAGCTTATGCGAAGGGAAAGCCAACTTTTTTGTATGATGTGTATGTGCGTATGCGTATGCGTATGCGTGTGCGTGTGCGTGTGTGTGTGTGTGTATGATGTTGTGTTGTTTGTGTTGTATGCGTATGGGTATACATGAATATACAAATACATTTTTTGTGTTTTACATTTTTTTATAAATTCATTAGTGGATTGGTCCCATTGTAGAATATATTATTCTAGCTACAGTTACATCTGCAACTGCAAATTTTGCTATAATTTTGCTAATTACACGGAATTAATCATCATTACCTTTTTTCCGTTAACCTTAACTTTGCCGTGAACGCACAATTGACGGGCTGCGTAGACAGAGGGACAGAAGTTGGATCGGAAAACAACAAAGTCCAGACGTCTCTCCAACTCGGCAAAAGTCAATACGGCTACAGGGGCGTGGGGAACAGTCTGAGAAGCGACATTGATGGTGGGCAACTTTGCATCAAAGAATTTGCTCTTGAATTGACGTTCGGTAACTTCGTCTCCGTGGTAAGCACGAGTTTCTCTCTTAGCAAGCCATTTCTGCTGGAAAAGAGTTTTGGTGGTAAGGTAGGGAAGTTCCTTTTGGGCAATGTTGAACAAGTTGTATTTGTTCCAGGACATGCGTCCAAGTTTTCGTGACAAGGAGTAAATGGGCTTTCTCATGATGACTGGACTGATTTGACTACTTTCAAACCAAGAATAATTCTTACAAAAAAAAAGAAAGTATGTATGTGTGTGCCCCTTTGGTTTTCTATCTTTCTTTCTATTTTTTTTTTGACTTGTTTTTTTATTTTTTGTTTTTATTTTTGACGTCCCGGCTTTAATGGGGTAGTGTTGTTTTGTGAATTGGAAATCACCGTCTTTTAGCAGTCATACCCTGGCCAAGACAGCAGCCTTTGGCTGTAGTGTAATATATATTTCAAGTGTGAACCAAAAAAAAAAGATAAAAAAAAATTGTGTTGTTTACACCAACCCTAATATTGAGCTAAAATTTGCTTAGAAATAAGTGGGAGATTTTAACTTTAATATACATATATATGATTGCATATGTAAATGTATGTATATTACAATTTAATTGTGTATAATAAGTTCAAGCGGTATGTTCACTTGATTTGAATATTGATTTGAGTAACCAGCTTGTAAACGCGTATCTTCAATAATAACTTTTGACATCTTGTACATACATGCATACATGCATACATGTATAAATTTATATTTATATGTAGATATGTGCATTGGTGTGTATATAATTTTATATTACTTTCTCTTATAAGAAATAATAGAAAACACATGTATTCTTCTTTGTTAATAAAAATTAGGTAGGATAGGCATTTTTCTTTTATTTATATTTATATCTCATTTAAAGGTCTTTTTTGTGTGTGATTTTTCTTCTTCTTTTTTATAAGATGAAATAAAAATGGTCAGATATATGTATGTGTAAAAAAAGGGCGATTTTAATAGGTTTCTTTTCTTTCTTTCACAAACACACCCCTGGACGCGCATTCTTTTTCCCGTAGTGAGCTAGTTTCGACTTTATATCTTTTAAACAAATGCGTATTTCTTGTGTTTGATTTTTGGAAGCATTTAATAGTAATTCTGGCACTGGTACTGGCGCTGGTACAAACACAAGTACAAACACAAGTACAAGCACAAGTACAACAGTTACAGATTTATTTATTTTAAAGTTAATTATAAAAAATGAAAATAAAAATAAAAATAAAAAACCATGACAACATTTAGTGGGATCTTATCTTGATCTTTCTACATCTTTAGGATATAATTAACTATGACAGTGCTGGTAACTATGGTGACTATGGTAACTATGGTGATGATATTTATTATCTCTATGATACGAAAATAGAAAAAGTTGCCTTAATGGGAGTTTACCTATAATCTTTCATTCTTTCATTCATTCTTTCATTTTTTTTTCAAAGCCTCGGTGATTCACCCAACCCTATCTATTGTGTTTCATCTATATTTATAATAATCGGTTTTTATTACACCGGCGTTTATCCTACAAAATAGAAAGGAATAACGAAACCGTAACCGTAATAATAATGATAGTAATAGCAAAAGGGGTGTTTTCCTTCTATCTATCTATACCTCTATCTCTTTTTAGTTATCAGCTTTATCCGTTAAAAACATCGGCTCATATAAAGATATGGATACAGAGATAAATAGAAAAGAAAAGGTTTCTTTTTATTATTTTTGTTATTATTATTTAAGGAAATTTGAGTCAAGAACATACACAGAGAGATTATTTTTCTTTATTCATCAATTCCACAATTGATATATTTGGATATCCAGATCGAAGCACCAAGATCTTTCTTTATATATATATATATATATCTCAAAGATAACACTTGTACTAATTTTGATAATGATAAAATTGACCCCACAAAAATTAAGAGATTGTATGTCCACAAAAATCCCTCGCATTTCTTTATTTCATCTTTGGTGTAAAGCCGGATACTTCATTCGTGAGAAAAATATGTATATATCAGGTATGTATACAAAGCAATCTGTTGAAGCCAAAAATCCAATCATTATATCGTAATATCACCACTACTACTAGCATTACCACCATTATTATTACCATTAACATTACCACTGTTGCTGCCGCAACTGCTCCTGCTACACATACTATTTTTGGGAATCATTAGCAAACTTTGCAAGGAATAAATAAAATATTAGCTGTTCAGAATAAATAAATAATAACCAATCAAAACAGTTTTTAACAACGTCTCAATTACTCTAAATTCTCTTCTTCTTTTAGATGCTGTATTTAGTCTTTAATAGAGCCAATGATTTTCTTTATGTGTACAAGAATCGTTTCATATAATCTTCCTGGGGGACATTAAGACTTATTTGACTATTATTAAAATCAGCAGTATCTGAAAAAAATAATATTATCTAAAGATCATGTTATAAGATTATCAAAGTTAGTCAAAGAACACAGAGCCAAAAAATTAAATAAATAAATAAATAAATATTGTCCTGCTGATTTACAAGTAATTATTGGTTAAAGGCAAAGTACCAAGAAAAGGTGAAGTAGAATTGCTGAATAAATTAAAATACCTTGCAGAAATCCCTAAACAATTTATGTATATACTTTGTAGTTTTAATCTTAACATATATTATTATACTTTCATTAATTGTGGGGAAATGCATACATACATATATATTTTAACAATAAATCAAATTTCAATAAGCACATACATTACACAAACATACACACGTATATAGTATGTATTGTGTATTGGACATTAGCCATTGTTGTTGTTTAATATGTACTATTTTGTCAATCGTGATCAGAAAAACAAAGAATCATTGCTCAAAATTGGTTTTTTACGGGCATATTGGATATCTTACAACCAAAAAGACTTTGTTAGAATGAAAGCAAGGAAAACGGAGATTGGGACAATAAATGCCTTTTGATTAATATTAATAGATTCGAGTCGCTTTAACAAACACATTCTAACCCTCTCCCCTTCCCCCCCATTTTATTTATTTGTTATATACAAGAAACACTATAAATATAAGTATAAATAAATATATAAATATTTTGGAAACTTGTATCAAGAAATCCCCCCAACCCCTATTGACTTTAACTCTTAACCTTTAATATATATATATGAATATAGTTTGTATTGATTAATGGTCTATGCTTAAAGCAGAATAAAAATAACAACAAAGAATAAGATCACTAGAAGAAATCAAACTTAAATATAATATGAAAATGGTCATTTTCTTCTCCTAATAAAAAAAAAAGAAAAGAAAAAGAAAACTCTCCCCAATAAAAGAAACATTTCAAAAAATCCAAATTGAACAAGGTAGATTCCATGCTTGTTTTTTTTTAAATTTATTAATAAGTAATTTAAGGTGCAAATAAATAAATAAAAAACCGAATAACTGTTAATTTTACTTAACCTATAATACTGTTCTAACAGAGATGAGTAAGCAATCACCAAGCCGGATGATAGTAGCAAGACTTAATTTTAAAATAAATAAATAAATACGTGTAGATAATGACTAGAAAGCCTCATGAGCATTTATTCAATAGAAAAAGTTCAAATAAAACGGTTTGTTTTATAAGTACTAAACAGTATATCTATTTATCTATTGATATGAAGTAAAATAAATCGTCTCATTAAAAAAGAGATGGATTTACTCTTGTATTTTTCCCTTTTTTTTATTATGATTCTATATTGGTATTTGCCATAAAATCTGCCGCTATATTATTATTGTATTGTATTATATTACATTATATCACATTGCACTATACTATATTATTGTTATTGTTATTTTAAAAAAAATACCTCCAAAATTTAGAAATTCTCTCTGTAGCTCAAACTCTCTCTCTCTCTACACATATACACACACAACAAACGAACGAAAAGGAGAGAGAGAGAGAGAGAGGAATAAATATAGAGAGATTTAACCGCTTATATCCATCTTCATGTACTTTTCCTCTTTCCATAACAATGAATCTTCGCATGGTCTCTTCAAACTGAGTTCTTCCTTGGTCTTCAAATTGTTTTGATTCGATTCAATTCGGTTCCACAGCCATCGAATAAGAAGTGGAATACTGTATCCAGTCTGTATTACCCGGGTCATCTTGTCTTCATCAAATACAAACGTATTCCAGCCTATGGCTTGATTGGTTTGAGTTCCAGATAAAGGATCGTGCTGGTCTAAGCGGACTACAGGACGTGTGGGTGTATCAATTGGAATGCTGATAGCCAATGGAATCAATACAAGTGGTGACAATGGATGAGTAGGTGGTAGAGACAGTGTGAGGTGGAGTGTATGAGGATTGTTGATAGACGTAACTTCAATGTGTAAGCAAGTATCTGCAGAACCTTCTAAAGTAGTAAGCGTATTAAATTAGATTATCCAAACAATAATAGCAATCTACAGATAAAATAAAAAGAACTTACCTTGAAGGATTTCGTCAAGAGACAATGTGTGTTGATTGCTGGTGGGTAAAACTGTATATTTGTGGGATGTTTGATAGAATATGCTTTGAAACAGAGTATTGTACATTTGCTGTTGGCGAAGGCACTATTCCAGAAAAATATTATTAAACATTAAATCCAAAGTGTAGCTATATTATATATATATATATGAATCTTTACCTGAATGATGTTAAATAATTGAACAGGATGATTGAAAGGTATCCGGTCAATAAGTTTTCCAGATGTTTTTTGAGATCCTGCCCATTTGTAGACCTGCTCTTTACTACTATCCACACTCTACTCAACACAAACGTAAACATAACATTCAATTATCTGTATAAGTACAATATCTATCTACTTACCAGTCTCAGTTTTCCATTGGTCTTGAATATACTTTCTTGCTCTGTACTGGATTGATCTGTTGTCTTTTTGATGTCAGTAACCTACACAAATCAATACATGCATTAAAACATCGAACAAAGTAAATCTAAAGCTAATTAAAACTATTAGTTGATATATTTACTAGTAGTTCTTCTAATGAGAGTGCATCAGAGCTTGGGTTTGTGGTAGTAGTCTGGATTTTCGAATCTATTGCCAAAAATAAAATAAAAAAAATTATGAGTTATACCAACCAACCAACCAACCATATATATATAAGCTGTTTTTTTGTACCTTCGTTAGAAAATCCGGTGATTTTCATCAGCTTCTGGACAATAAGGTCAGAAGCCGGGACAGGTGGATCAAGAATTGCCACAAATCGTACAGGAATTGAGTGGAGTCCAGGAAGGGTTGACAAAGGCTTTACAAATCTCATTGCGCCAATAAATTTGGGGAATTCTGTTTCCTTGACTATCTTGTAATGCATTCTAAACATCCAAAACCAATAAAAATTAAAACCATGTTATTATTATTACCCTTATTTGTAATATTATTATTCTTACCCATTAACGCCTTCCTGAACAGAATCTTCTGTTTCATCAAACCCCAGCAAGTAATTTGTCCTTGAAGGAGGTAAGAACTGTTGCGGGTGAAGAGAGGCTTCAAACGAAATGTCCAGTTTGTGAGATTTGTAAAGCAATTGATTGTTCTGATCTACAGTAAAATTTGTTTTTTTTAGTATAACTAACCACTTGTGCTTGATTGAATATAACAAAAAATTACCTCTGTCTATGCTTTTCTGTACTGATTTCCAGTCGCCACCGAGCACATACTTTTTATCAATCCAGTAAGAAATTGACACACCCGGGTGATCCAAATACAAACTCGGGATACCACGGCCCTCCATTAATACACTTGCCAAATCATCGTCAAGTAGCAGCCTATAATACACGCAAGTATATTTAATTTAATAATACTCAATAATGATGTATTCTACTTACACTTCTTGGCTGTAAATAGCCTTAAGATCAGCTAAGAGCCATTTAGTTATTAGGAAAAAGTCTGTAGGGGCATATTTGACGTTCAAACGGTCCAAGAGGGCCAATGTTCCCAGGTTACGTTTAAATAAACTCAAGCTTTTCAATTGGAGATTCTCTGCCAGCATATTATCCACCTAGACACAAAGAGATCAGTACATACACTTTCGATCAACGCCCCAGAATTTTAAAAACCAAAGAAAAAAAAAACATACTCTTTCATCCTGATCATTCTGGAGTGCCTCTGATACATATGTCACCTTTGCGCGCAATACACTGCCAGTATTATCGATATCGATCTGATATATCTATCATTAGTACTCTTATTCACCTTATTCACCTTATTAAATTGCTACATTACATCCACCACAATTACAGTTCCACCAAGAGTAATTGTTGTCATTGGAATTCCATAAGCAGTCTTTTGCGATGAGTCCACAAATGTCATTAGCCTATTATTATGGTTATTCGCAACCAAGTTCTTTACATTCAACAAAAAACCCCCAGGCACTGTTTCTTTTTTCTTTTGGTGTGCAAGATTCTTACCCAATAGACTGAGCCAGATGCTCAATCTTTTGGATCTTGATTTTCGCCTTTGATTCTTCAGAACTATCCAATGATTCATCCAAATATTCTTGCGTACGTTTCAATGTATCTTTTACTTTCAATACAGTGCTCTCTAAAAGTGCTTGTTCCTAATCCCAACAATAAGTTGATATATATATATATGCTTTCTTTCATTTTAAGAAAAAAGAAGTATCCTTACTTTTAAATGAGTAAAGTGTTTACGGAATGCAGGGTCTGCTCCTGACCCCATCTTCATGACATCTCCCAATACTTCGGTTTCGAACTGAGAGCAAATGGTGCGAATGGAATTGATGTGATTCGTAAACTCTTGTCGCACTTTGTCGATATTTACTGCTCCAAAGGCGTGAAGTTCTGGAACCGAATCAATTTATATAGAATTTAGCTTTTTAAATCAAGATTGGTTGGAGTAAATTGGTAAAAACCCAAAAGAAAAAGATGAGAAAGAAATAATGGTCTACCATTGCCAGCAGTGACAGGACATGCGGGATCGAGTGAATTAGATTGAGAATTCAAGAGGGCTGGACATTGTCTCTTGAGATTCCGTAAAGTTTCTTGGAGCCTAAACACTGATGTGCTGATTGCGTTTTTAGGTTCTGGTGTTTTGGACATAAGGTCTATTAAGAAAAATACATTTAGAGGGGTTAAACAAGAATAAAGAAAGAAAAAAATAAGAAGAAAAAAGGGTACACGTATGAGAAAGAAAGATATAGTAGATAGAACAAAAAAAAAAGCAGTGACATGAATTTTCTGCTTGAGACAAAAGGAAGAAAAAGAACTGGATTAGATGTAAAACATTTACGTCTTTAAAATTCAATGAATGTTTCATTCAAAAGAATCTTCATATTTGCTCATACAGAAATAATGCAAACACACCAAAATCATAAATGGAAATTTCACAGGCCGTCAAGTAAAATATAACACAGAAAAAGTAAATATTATCCAAAATTATATAATCTTGGTTCTAAAGAAAAGAAAAGAAAAAAAGGTTTACCCACCCAAGGTAAGACGTGTATAGCTCTCGGTCTTAAAGACAGCTTTGATTAATATACCGAGTGTATACTCGTCGTCGTGCTCTTTAAAATGAACCATTTTGCATAGAAAGATTATATATATATATAAATACAAAAAGCTTTGTTGGTTTGGTTGTGCTATATCTATTAAACCAGATGTGTATCTTTTATTTATACAAAAAAACCTAGCATTGGTTGGTTTCGAGACTCATACCACGGTGAATATAAAGTTTTCAGAATGAGTAGTAATTTAGCGATGTGTTTTATCGACTTGTAAGCGTTTGAGTGTATGAGTATGTGTGTGCATGTACATCTAAAACACAATATTCACCAGCAAAGTATGTGAATCTTACTATCAAATTAATGCAAGATTCCGACCGTGACAGCAAATGGTAATTATTTGATGCTGTAAATATTCTAGTTTGGGGGAGGGAAGAGGAGGGGATTATATCCCCTATGTAGATTATATATATATATATATATGTATGTGCGTGTGTATGTGTGTGTGGCTCTCTAATTCTTGTCATTAAAGCCCGTATCTTATAATAGAAATAGAAATACAATTATATATATATGAAGCAAATATTACAATCTATGGGTTCAGGTAGATTTTGCTCGTCTCCTGTCAGCAAATACAAGTTTACCAAACTCATAACTTGAGATCATGATGGCACATCCAGGCGCAACCTTGATGACACGTGGTGCAGTTCCTCTAAAGAAGCCTTTGTAGCCTTCGCTTGCAATGATATCTTTGATCAATCGGCTCAACGGCATGTCTGTACGAAGGGAGTTAGAACAATATATATGATCCTTGATTGAGTCTAAAGGTATACCTTTTATTGAGCTAATCTGACGTTGAGTCTTGATTACATCAAAAGGAGTTGTGACTACAGAAGCAAGCTAAAAGAAGAAGAAGAAGAGAGAAATTAAATATATGTATATTGTGAGGTATATCATTTTTAACATGTTAAGTAATACTGCTTACCATGCCAGAAGAAGCGCCGGCAATAAAAGACGATTGGAAATTAGACATTGTGTCATGCTTGTAGCTAGGCCTTGACTGTAAGTGATGTTTTATGTTTTCGTAGCCCATCCAGTAAAATGCTATTCAAAAGTTAAGAGTTAGATATTTAAGGAGATTTCATGCAATATTCTTTTTTACCAGAAAATGGCACATCTCTCAATAGAGTAGATGAGATTCCTCTCCAAAGAGAGGTCGGTCCATCTCTTTTTACCATCTCAATAATGCCCTTTGATACACCTATGAGAATTTGTATGTATAGATAAATATGTAAGTCAGTAAAGCATCATATATTGTTTTGCTTTTGCTTTATGTTGGTTTACCTGTCACTCCATGCTTGCCTTCTGCTGCTTGTAACCGAGTGCGAAATAACTCAAGGGGTGAGATTATAGTTGCTGCCACAACTAATGCATAATGTTGTAGCTGTCAGCACTGGTATACATTATTCTTAATATCATTTCTTCTTATGTATATAGTACTGTTGAAAGTAAATTTATGCCAACCTACTTCTTGCAAGTGCACCAGCCCAGAGAGGCGAAGAGTCATGCAAAACTGAGTTGGCAAATCGAGAGTTCTGAGTCTGCTGTCGCATCCAATCATAGCCAGCAAAGTATATAACGGTTGAAGGGACAGCCATAACCAAACCAGCTGATAGTCCTCTCCAGAGCATAAAAAACCCTTCTCCATGAATAATGCTCTTCATGACTGTCTAGTATTGTCCATGTTCATAAGTATCAATCCGTATAAACTGTCTTTGTGTTTTTGTGTGTGGATTTATATATTACTATTTTACTTTATTTAATTTAATTGAATTACCAAAGTTCCACCATTCAATGCGGGTGTGACCGTGCTAGTAAGTCCCCGTTTGGGTACATCTCTGCTTTGCATTCGTACCTTGACGACATCGAGTGGCGTCACTAAAAAAAAAGCAACATTATGTTAATTTACACAAACTTGTTTTGATCTGACATTTTTCGCTTATAATCCACTCATCGTCTACATTCAGTACATACTCAGCAAAGTAGTGAACACACCGCCAGAACAAGCAGACAACATGCGTTCTGCAGAAGTGATCTCGCCAGCATTCGGAATTGCTGAATTCTGAATCACATAGGCCTCATCCACTTCATAAAAATCGAGTTCGTTTGTATCAGCCATTATTAAATAGTATGATAAAGAAGACGATATATAAGAATATATATATATAAGAATATATGTATATATATGAGTGTATATAATTATTATCTTTGAAAAATAAATAAATAAATAAAAAGTTGCAGTGAGTGGGTGGGGGGGTTTGGCCGGAGATGGAATCCAGCCTATATTTTTCATAGAAGGAATATTCTTTTTCTGTTATAATTAGATTGCTTTTAAATGAAGACTTATCTGATCCGCTCCCAAAAAGCATGAATACAACAAAGATCATAGCTTCTCTTCTTTCACCAATTATATTAAAAATCTAAGCACTGATTTCAAAAGGAAAAAGAAAAAGAAATGAAGAATATATGTATCTAAGGTAATTAATTCGACTCTATCTTACCCCTTTATTCATTCAGATATATTTCATGTGTTAGAGTCAGAATCAGTTTTATCATACATGGTGAAACATCATTAACCTTACCTTGTTTCCTTAACACCAGGGTCATTTGTTTTGTATTGAATAAACGAAACATGACACTATTTACATTATATTTGACGGTATTAGCCACCCTCATATACAAATCACTAATATATGTGTCCTGTCATCAAACGCAACTAATATTCTCCAAAACTCGGGCTTATAAGTGATATTCAACCTGTACTTCTTTTGATATTTTTTATCATCCTCTTTTCATTTCTTATAGGCTCCATTTTCATTGTGGCAAAGACTTTCACTGTCTAGATTTCGGCCCAGTCTTTGTAAAATATTATTTAGTTGGTGTCTTGACTGGTTCCACAGTTTGATTGGACCTTATCGACTAATTCCTCTTCTAGTGTTTAAGGTTCTTGTAGGAACTACCATGCATCGATTATGCTCTCGATAGGCTTTTGAGATTTACGATATGCACCGTTCAGATGCCATATTAAAGTGACCGAGAGTTCTGACGAATACGCTGTAGACAGATTTTGTTTTATTGATTTGATTTGATTTGACAATATAAGATGATGATAAGGCAGCCGGGGATCCCTGCCAGATTACAGGGGCCGTCTCCCCCTTATCGACACACACCTAGTCAAGTTTTATCATTTTTATAATCAACTGTGTTCTTGAGGAGATCTGGCTGTAATTTGGCCCATTCTTCATTCAATTGGCGTACCACATTTCGAAGATATTCTCTCTTTTCATCCATAGATGTCGCACCCCAAGCTTCTTCATCCGTCGTTGTGGCCTATCCGGGTTACTATGATCAATAACTGCTACCGTACTTTACTTTCTAACCATTCAAACCTTACCTCGAGAAGATCAATGCATTTTTCTGGATTTTCCAAAAATACCCCCACAAAATGAATCAGATAAATCCCGCAGTCACTACCATTCTTCTGCTGAGGGACATTTGCATGAACAAGATCGGGCTTAATAAACGTTGTTTCTGATCCATATCTTGCTTTTGCCTCATGGTTTAAATATTTAACCATGTTCTTTAGGATGCTTTTTCTTTCAACACCGATCGAGTCTAATAAGTATATACGAGGTCTACAATAGGATATATATACATATATGTTTGGTAAGCCCAAAGACTAGCAGAATGATATAATATAAATAAAATACTTGCTTCCGATCCGTAGGTTTCTCAGATAAACACTGGTCGATATTACAAGCTATCATTAAAAACCAATGCCCACTACCGAAGATTATTGCCAAAAATAATTAGACACAGAATAAAGTCATGAGTGCAACATACACACCTTTCATTTACAGGAACAATCAAGTGCTTCTTCTTAAAGAGGTCAAGATTAGAAGTCCATTTTTTCAACGAAAATTCATTATTTTCTTTTTCGACCATTTCGCGCAGGTAAGGGTAAAAGAAGCAGTTGAATATGTGAGTATCTTTCCTGGCCTCCGGAGCCTTTACTGCAGCCACATCTTTTGACCAAAGTAAGAAAAAGTCAACCAAGGTGTCGTTGATATATACACCCAGCTTTAGTTTTTCTGTATCTCGACGAGTTATGAGAATCTTGTTTCTTTGATCTTTTCCATGAAATGGGTATGTGAATAATCTATTACATATATATATATATATATTGGCTGATTAATGAGACTAATTATGTGTATATATGAGATTTGATTAACTTACATTCCATCTTTACCGTATGTTTCATCCTCGTCTTCTGATATTTCAATAATGTGTGGTTTAGGCGACAAACTCTTTGAGACCATAACACAAGAGCTTAAGAGACAAAGGATTTGAATATATATATATTTATATGTTTATATTTATATATTAAGAAAAGACTACTTCATTGTTATATAATGACCAAAATTCCAGGCGTACCTTTGAGAATCAGATTCACAGGACAATGTAGGACTACGCGGAACAAAAATTCCTTTATGACGACCCCGTTCACTGTTTTCATTTGAAGGTACATTGATTTTTGTAGGGATTCGTTTCTTTCTAACAAAACCCTCGCGGTATGACGGTGATGATGAGCGTTTTAAGCGTCTTTCCAGTTTTTGCTAATAGTAGTCGTAGTAGTCGTAGTAATAGTAATAACAATAAAAGAAAAACAGACAGTTGGTACACATATAATTAGGTATAGACGTTATAAGATAGAATAAGCCAAGATAATATGATATTGGTATATTTACTTACCGGTAATAAAATATTTTCATATTGTTCCTTGTTGTTTGTGGAGTTTTCTTTATATTTCTACACAAATTTATAATCATTTATATGTATATCTTCTAAAGTGCTTGTTCTTACCACTGCTATTGATTTCTTATTTGGGGCTGGTCTAGTTACTATATACATATATGAGAAGAAATTCAAGGCATTTGGAGGTGTCAATAGATGATTAGGTTATTTAAACGAGAGAGGAAAATGAGTTCTTGATCAACTTACGTGACAGTTCATCTTCATCGCTACTAACCACATGGGAATATTTATTATTTAATAAATTAATCCACTTTCTTTTTTTTATATTGGCATCCGCCTTGGGTATTTCGGTAATATTGGATTCTATATTTGACATGGACAACATGGATACTTTGGTATTTTCATCTTCAGAAGTATATGCTGCCTAAGTGATGATAAATGATTGAAAAGAAGAAAAAAATAAATCAAAAAAATAAATAAATAAATGATAAGCTTGATTATTACTCATTATTTGTTAAGTAATGAATGATTTCAAGCGTGCCTTTCTTTTTTTACGACGTTGAGATTTCAAATTTGAAATTTCTATACAAAAGAAAGAAAAGAAAAGAAAGAATGAAGTAAAGAAATATAGACATAAATGTATAATCAATATATATATATATAAGTTAAATTTGGTTATTAAAGATGCACATGACTATGTATTTATAAAGTGTCTTTCAAGTAATACAAAAGAAGAGTAAATGAAGTATTGTATAATAGGAAGAAAAGTTTGGCAAGCGCACATAATCCGCGTATTATATCATAAAATGCACGACCATTATGCATGCATGTATGTATGTGTGTATATGTGTGAGTTCTTGTGAGTTCTTGTGAGTATACTTGATCTACAAGGCATACACTTGTGCAAAAGAAAAAGAAAAGAAAAGAAAACTTGCTTTTGACTTTTTACAAATTACCTCTTTATAGCAGCAGGTATTAAATGTGTCTACACCCACCCCAGTCAAAATAAACACATTAACACACATATACATACACATACACATACACACATGGAGAAAGAAAATAATAGCAATGAAAGAAACCTTCTTTTTCTTCTTCTTCTTCTTCTTTACCCGATCTTTCGATTTCTTCTAGTGTAGCTTTCTCAAATGTTTGCTCTAGATTATCAATATAGTCGTGTGTGGGTTGAGCAGATTGCTATCATATAGAGCATGAACAATGAATAAGGAATAATTTTTTTTTGAAAGTACTAGGATCTATCTAAAGGTCATTTCTCTATAAGGAGGCCTTAATAAGCCAACTTACAGAGCGTGTGTTTACAGCCTTTTCTTTAGACTTTTGACTGCGAGTTCTCGATTTATATTCATTCTTAGACGTTGTTTCTCGGTCTTTTCTAGTAGATACGCTCTACATCAATCAAATGATGAAACCATGAGCATTGATCTCAAACAAGAAAAAGAAAATAATCAAAAGGATTCTGCTGCAATTCAAACAACAACAAAGAAAACAAAGAGAAAGGAACCAATCATTTAGATCATCGGATACAAAATTACCTTTGCAATTTTCGCTTTTACTAATTCAACGTCTGAATCATGCTGCCTTTTGCGATTCATATTGCATTTGTGCATTTGTATATGAATACGCAAGTGGGATTTGACCTTTAAATACTATTAAAAAATTCACGTGACCTAGAAGAGCTGTAATATCCTTGGAAGAGTTATATTCACAACCTCTAATAAAATACAGTCTATCCTGTCTGTGGGCCTTGGTTTTTGTTCAGTTCTTACCAAGTGCATTTATTTAATGTTAATGAGGAATACTTGAAGGATATAATGAACTTAATTGACATTTTCAATAGAGTATATGAATAGTAGACGAATAGAAAGCTATGCTAGACTCGTAAATCACACTAATCATTGTGTTCTACAAAACATTTCCCAAAGCTTGAAGCAGAATAATTGAATTAAAGCCTGCATTCTGTTGATCTGACTCACGTCAGTAGATTACAAGTAGAAACCACAGGAAGCCACACATTTTATGTAAAAATAGAACAACAGAGCCACCATTTTTTCTTTTTTTTTTTTTAAAAAAAAAGAGGTATCAAAAGACCAATTCCAATTGACCCAAGTGTACACTTCTTTAGGTTAAATACCAAAAAGCTATCTAATAAAATTTTTGGTTTAATTTCACTGTTTGCTGAATCTTATTACAGACAAATATCAAGGTAAGTTGGTTATAATTTTTAATATTATACTATAGTGTGTAAGAATTATGGATCTGTAGCCATACATCAAAGATCCCGGACAAAACTTGATTTTTCTTAGGAGAATAGTGGCAGTGTAACATTGCACAGAATAGCATGCATCTGTTTAAAGCTCATGAGGCTGTACATGTGGATTTTGAAGAAAACTTTAAAGCTCTCAAACACAAAAATAAATATAATTTTATTCATTTAAACATTTAAACATTCTTTGACTGCTTGAACTTATATATGTTCTTTCTATAAGGTTATAATATATATATATATATATATTATCCAAAATGACCATGTTTTGTTCCTCTTTTTCAAAAATACATCCCAAAGATTATCAAAATACTACATTATGTATATACTTGATTCTCTGTTTCATGGTGGTAGATTGTCTGGCGGCACCAGTTGTCGTAGAAAATATTTTGTCTCCCACAGAGATTGCAGCCATCACCATGATGAGAACATTCTTTTTATCATACCTGGCTCACGCCAAAACAGTACGACCAGATTCTACTACAATACGAGCAGCAACATTCTACAAACGTGTATCAGCTTTGGCATTTCCTACAAGCGGTATATACGATGCTGTTGGTTCGATGATCAGAGTGTTTTATGGAGACAAAATACTTGGAATCGAATCATTTAACAGATTTTTAAAGAAGAAGATGGTATCGCGAAACGTTTTTGACTATCGACACCAGCCATATGTCTGCTCGGAAATCTCAATTGACACACCTACCCTCAAGAAAGATTTTCAATATAATTCACACGAAGAGCATTCAAACACCACTCCATATATATCTTATCTGGCTAAAGATCCATCGAAACAGTGGGTCGACCAATACAGAGAAACGCTAGCGGAATTTAACAGCAAGAAAAATGACAATGCGCCATTTCTTGCAGCGCTATTGCATTCAATAGGCCCACTGAGGGCTCGGAAAGTAAGACACTGTATTCTTAACGGAGGTGTATTCATTGGATATAATGAATACAACGGTACAAACTGCATGAGACGGTATCGTCTCACGTCTAAAGACATGATATTGGCTGGATCAGGAGCAATGTGCAGATATCAAGTCCCAGTTTGTTCGAGCGCTGTTAGATATTTACCAGTTGATATGATCAATGAGCTTCAGGCAGCATCTTTCATTGACAGTACCTCATATTTCCAAGTTATGATCACTCTCTTCCAGCTGGGATACACACTTTATGAATGTATACGAGGTATCGGTAACCGATGGTCAAAAATTGTTATGATTGTCTTCACGATAATGTCAGTGTTCCAGACCATGTCTTTGATGGTACTACATACTCAGGTAGCAGCGTTTAGCATTCGGTGCAAGAATGAAGAAAAGTTTCCCGAGTGTCCTCTCATTCATGACTCCAGGTGCAAAGCTGGGAAAGCTAAGAATTGCTCAAAAGATGCACCACCAGATACACCAACAGATACATCCACGGATCTCTTAAAAAGTACCTCGTTTGCCCATAAATTTACATTCATCAGCTCGCTCATGGAGAGAAATTGGGTTTTCTGTCCGTCCGAGGACACTGATCTCAACCGAGTAAGACGAAATGCTGCGCATGATGTCATGTCCAAGAGTGGTGTGTCACCGGCCATGATCAATGAATTATTTGGAGACGAAAAGGCAGATCTTGTTGATATATCATCCCATCCTGGTGGTTGGTGGGAAATAGTGTCCTTCATGCTAGGTTCAGCTTCTCCGTTTCTGCTAGGTATCTGGGCAGGTTATGGAGCTTCAGCAACTGTTATGTCTTCAACAATAGGTTGGATTAGCATCTCGTTTGGATATTCATATACTTTCATTCGAACGTTTTATCCGACTTACTTTATCAACTTTCGGTTCAAAGATCTCCAAACATCGCTGGTTGTTCTTTCTTATGCTTTAATGTCGAGTTTTGGAATAGCATACATTATCCAAATAACAATCAAAGGATATCTTTTTTCTGACGATGACGGATAAACCAAAGTAAATCATAAAAGAAACTTTCAATAAAACTTAAAAATACAACAATAGCCTGTCAACAAGCTCTTCAACAAGCAGACCTTTTGAAAGCCATGTAAAGACGCGGATCTATGAATAATGGTTTACCTGTAGTTAATGAATTGACAAAAAAAAATAGGCTTTCAAAAGCCTTTTTTTAAGGAGGTTAAGGTGGGTTTTTGAGTGAAATTTTAAGCCAAAAAAAATAAGCTTTTAGTATAAGCTTCTTTTATACTTATTTCTCACAGAACATTCATCATTTTGGATTGTGTTATTTTTTAAAAAAAAAACACTTATGTACGGACCTATACTCCAAGACTGGTACAGAGTTTTTATGTTTTTATTTCTATTATTATTATTTGCTTCTTTCTCTTTGCTATTGTAATTCAAAAATAGAGCCACATTTTTAATATTCTACTCTTGAACCATTAGTATTACTCTTGTGATGTTCTTTGCAATCGACAAAAGGAGCTCAATTTTTAGTACAAATAATAGTAAAGCGATTCATTGTATTGCTAAGAAAAAAGTAATGGCCTATAGAAATATCATCTTGGGAACACCTGCCGATAACCAGTTTGGAAACGAAGGGTTTCTTATTATCAGTGGTGCTCTTCTAGCACTTTGCAGTTTTTCCTCCCACACTAACACTCCAAGGCATCCTCTCTTGTTCTCACAGTACTTCTTTCTTGGTGAACATATCTAATCCTAGTCGAAATCATGCCAATGTGTTGTAATTGGTGAACGATGTGCCGAAAGGTCAAGTCAGTAGCAAGGTTTTGATCCGACAAACGATATTAATACTAGACTAAAGTCATACCAACCAAACAATCTGGGTCGGTGTAGATTGAATAATATATGAGTTATGATAGAGAAAAAAACAACACTGGTTGTGATACTACCATATAAAGTCATGACAGGTTACATCTGGTGTTTAAGAGCAGCGATATGTGTAAGTGTCGTGGACTTGTTTAAGATTTTCAATAGATGGCTGGGAGCACAAATAATAATACTTGAATGCATTCCTCTTGTTATTAATTTCTTTTGATATAATTTCTAAGCATATAGTCAATTTAAATGGCTTCAAAGCTATATTGTATTCAATATACTTAGTTTTTAAACACTTCCATAAGTTATATATTGACCATAAAACTACATTCAATGTGTATGATCACTTTTGAGTGTATCTAGTTATTATTATTTTTTTAAAATGAATTCTCAACCCATTCTAAAAAGGAAGTTTGATCTGTCGTGCTATGGCCAAGTGCTATATAACTCTATCAATTGGCGATTGCCTGCATAACAATGCACAAAAAAAAACTCCTCATTTTCCAAGGTATTCTTATAAGTTGACATCAAATTATAGCGCATCATTATAGATTATAACAATCTCAGCTATTGAGTATCATGGGACAGCGACACATATCAGGTTATTGCCGAAATATCAAAGTCTTTTCATGAATGTCCAGCTATAGCCTAGGTAAAATGTTATACCTCTCTTGGCTTATTCAATATTTAACACTCCCAGAATTTGCTACTAGAAAAACAAAATCTAGTTAAAGTGGTTGTCATTTGTAGTGTAGAAATAAATATGTGCTGCGATAAATACACAAACACACATTTAGATATAAATTCTCATAAACCTCCTAACTGACAATGGGCGAATTGACCCTATAACCAATAGACAAGCAGTCGTGTGACGCTCAAGACTAAAAGACCTGTTCGTCTTCTACTCTATTTATCCCCCTTATTCTCTTTTTTTTTTCTCTTTCACCTTTGTTTCTTATATATATATATTTATTTTATATTTTTATATTTTTCCTCTGATATATTTTCTTATTACTATTATTCACTATGGCTACCAATATATCATGTAACTGCGCAATAAACAATGCTATACAATCTCACGGTAGCAACATAACAATCACAGACGCGCAAAAGACTGGCTCTGACAAGAGTGACTCTTTTGTTCTATACATCATACAGTTTCAAGTGTGTTGATATTCTTTAATGATCATTTATATGTCTTTGCATATTCTCATTCACATTCTCTAGAGTAAGCTTGTGATGCGGCGGTATAGTGAGTTTGAATCTCTCAAGACAGCTCTTACCCATCTGCATCCTGCTATTTTCGTACCACCAATTCCAGAGAAGCATGGCATAAGTAAGTCTTTACTATTCAAGGCACCCACCTCATGTCATTCCGATAGCTGATTACGCACACGTTCAGAAGCGAGTCAAGGACGACAGGGAAATGATTACGAAGCGGAAGCGTACGTTACAGCGATTTCTTCGGCGTTTGGTTTCCCATCCGATCTTGTGTCACGAACATATTTTTCATTGTTTCCTTGATACAACAGTAATGTGGGTAAGTAGTAAAGGCATTATATACATATATATATATATAAAACAAGTTTTAATTATACGAGCTCAATAGTCGACTGTCCTCAATCAGCCGCCACTCTCAAATACGCCCAAGGATATCTGGGGAGTTTCTTTGCCGACTGATTTGTCGTTTGCGTCATTAGCAAAACTGCCTTACGGAAACTTCAGTAGTAGCAGTATTCCAGTACCAAGTGCTTCACATGTACTTAAGTCGCCTGACCCTCGCTTTTTGTCCTTTGAGCGGACGGTAGATAGACAAACACATCATCTTCACGCTGGCTTAGATAAATCTCAGAGGCGGTTTGTGAGAAGATTGGGTGGTAAGAATTACACATAAGATCAGTTTTAATATATATATATATATTCAAAAATTTCTAACGAGGATTTTTGCAGAGCTTACCAACGATGCAAATTCACTGGGATCAGTGTACAATTCATTGGGATTAAATGAAACAGGACCAGTAGCAACCGCAATTGCAAACATAAGCAAGGCGACTCACAACACTGGTAGAGAAACTCGCATTATGGTAAGTATGAGTAATGTGTTAAATTAATGGTCAAGGTTATCTGAATTTAAGATAATAAATCTTTTATTTTCCAAAAGGTTCGGACAATGGAGTCTGAAGTATCAGAACTTATGCACGAATATTCACAATATACACGCATTGCTAAAGACGTACTTAATTATTGGAGGCTCAAAAAAGCTCAGCTAGAACTCATCGAGGCATCGCTTGAACAAAAACGACAAACACTAGAAAGACTGATAAATACAGAAAAAGAGGCGGCATTGATAGATGCTGCTATGCAACAGCGCTCGCCACTTGCTACTTCTCTTACGTCAGATGATATGGGGCTTTCAGCACAAGATACAGACGACACAGACTCGCATTCGATCGAGGATGGTTTCTTTGCAATAAAAAAGTCAACACCAGTCAAAGAAGTTATAAATATAACTTCTAATACCTACGAATACCCGACCGGTGCAAGTGCTTTAGCCATAAGAGAGTCCAAAAGTAGATCCAAAAAATGGTCTTCACCTAGAAAATTACTCGATGCCGTGAGTACAACTATTCAGAGTATGATGGACGTAAACCCTGATGTCACTCGTCGACAACAAATAAGTGGTCTCAAGGATACTATTATACAAGTAAGCCACATCCTGTTTTTAATAAACGAGAAATTGACGAGATAAGTATTTTGTGTATTAATTTACAATCATAAAATGAAAATTAAAAGCTTGAAAAGGGAATGGTCAAGGCACAGAGCGAAGTAGAGGATGTAGCGATAACTATCCAACAAGAAATCGAGCGGTTTAACCAGCAAAAAGAAAAGGAACTGCGAGTAATTCTGATTGCATATGCTAAAGCCCATATTGTGTATTGTGAAGAGGTAATCTTGGCAGGGATGTTTTTTATTAAACTCGAGTAACTGACGTGTCTATAGAACTCGCGTGCATGGAAGGCAGCAGGAGAAAAAATAGGTAAAGCAACAGAATGAAAACCTTTACCCTATTTCTGCCGTGGATAATGTATCTTAAATTCCAATTATATTGACATTGGCTACAGAAACTAATAAGGGATAGATTATAAACCCTCTAACGAAAAATGTAAAATCAATTCAACCCGCAAAAATGAAAAAAAGAGATAGAGAAAAAAATGGTATAAAATATACGTTTAATAGGGTAGAGAAAGAGGATATGTCAACTAGCTTTCAAATACCCATAAGGTTATCTATCACAGAGAGGGGGTGCTTATAAGCCTTGGCTTCATACACGTATATACATTTTTCAAGCACACGGCAATTGTTTATATTTAGGCTAGCATAGTACGCTGATTGACTACAAGCAGTCATATAATATTACTCTGACCAAAACGACCCTTGCGCTGTTTGTTTGGTGTACCTGATAGAAAGAACACACACATTTTAGTACACATAATTATTTAAGCCTTTTTTAACAAGATTATTATTGTTTATTTATTCGTATAATGTTCCATATCCAAATCAATAGATGGGCCTAATTCTTAGCTTACAAACAGAGTGGCAGAGTGCCCTGAAAAGATCTGAGGGGCGGTCATGAGAATGTTGTGATCAAACGCCGGCTCTGCCTGCCTCAAAGAGTACGATTGGATGTACTTTTTGAAAGCGGTGTGCATCCCATGGAGACTAAGCCTCTCCGTGGGTATCCTTGAGTGGTACTGTCAGGACTGATGGGGGAAGATGAGGTGTGTAGGCGAGAAGAAGATATCAGGATTATAGCCGGACTCGTCCGGGTATAGATGTGTGACATCAGCCAGCAAAGTCCGATGGTTTCTTGGCTGACCAACAGCCCGTTCGTCGAGTATAAAATAACGCGATTTCATGTTCAACATATGATTGCACACGACCGTCTCTCCAAGCCATCCTGTCCAGGAGAAGACAGTCATCTTTTCAAAGAGAATGTTTCGGTTGTTAGTTTCATGAGGGATGCGCTCGAAATGCTCAGACATGTCAGCAGTACAGTCAAGCAGAGAGCGGAAATGGACTCACTCAACGATCTGGACGATACGGATGACGAGAGCGAGGATCCTTGTAGAACGGACGGAAATGCAAGTGATTCAGTTACTTGGAGGCTTAACCTTACGCCAAACATGATTACTCTCGAGACAAATATTCAAACCTTGGCTGGCTTGGAGAAAGTTCTCGAACAGCTGCGACTGAATGTTAATCAAGAAAACATGGAAGTTAACGGACGTCGCCATCGCAAGGCAGTGTGTTCAAACGAGTTTGAGATGAAGTCCTTCCAAAATGCAATGTCAACCCTCCTCGGCCTGGGCATGATGGTACGAATGTCCAAGCCAGACGTATTTCGGCAATTCAATTCGATACAATTGATGCAATTGATGCAACAGTGCGTTGATGCTTTTTTGACATGCGAAGGAGCTTTCTTTATCGATTCTGCCCAGCTACTCAAAGATACACAAAAAGTACTTACACATGCAGATGCAGCCACAGAGTATCCAATAAAGACACTTCTTGTTCTGAGTATCTGTTGCATGATGATCCGACATGTCGGCTTTCACAATCACCTCCCTCCTGCAGTTTCTCTTGGACTAATGCGGAATTATTATGGACAAGCACGTGTTTTGCTAGAAGATCTGTTTGACTGCCATCACATATCTGTTGTCCACGCATTGTTCATCCTCTCACTTTTTCCTCGTGGACATGCTGATTTCTTTTCACCTTCTCGAACACGCTCGCCACTACTACAAACTGCGCTTCGTATGGCTCTGGCTATGAACCTTCATCGAATCGATGTATCTGGCCATGCGCCTGGTAACGTAAACGAATATCGACGACGGTTCTCTTGGATGTTACTGTGTGCAGATTACTTTGCAGAGTCGAATGCAGTGGGGACCACTGGGTGGATTGCACCTACTGAGTGGTATGTTAATTTTCCAGATTCGCTGCCAGGTGAACATAATGCTAGCAGAATCCAAGCCTTTTCATATTTTTGCCGTGTTGTTATGATCAGAAAGATGCACTTCTTCCGATCCACTTATATGATTTCTCTACGATCTACAAAAGCACTTGCGGATGGCCTGGACAACTACATATTCAACACACTTCTTGACGATGGTTACTCGCACCTTCGGCTAGACCCAAATAAGATATCGGGGTGGAGCAAAAGTGACCTCGAATGTCTCCTCATCAATTCATTTCACTGTAACACATCTCTCATCGCTCGACTACCATTTTTGCCACGGGATTATCTTGACAGCGTTCAAAGAGAAGCGCCCGAGCGTGATCGAGACATTCGTGAAATACACCAACGATTGTTTCATTCAACCCAATCCCCACCATTCATTCCTTTCATGCATTCTAATCCTTCGCCTTCATCCTCGTCATCATTATCATCATCTTCTACCAGAGTTTTGATGAAAAACAATCCTGAACGTACCACCCACTGCATACTGAGCTGCCTGGAGATATCTAATCGCTATACCCTTCTTCTGGAAGCCCTTGTTTCAGTCGACCCATCTGGATGTCACCAAAGTCCAGTTTATGGATTACTTATGACTGCGCTTGTATATCGCATATTTATAGCCAGTAATCAAGATACCGATATTGCTCGCGTATCTCAAATCAACCTTATCCGTACGCTACGTCTTGTCGAGCGTTGTAAATCTGTCTATGGCGATGCTGTTCTATATTATCTTGAACAAGTCATTCCACGATGGGTAGTTGTACCTCTTGAGGAGCCAAACGAAGCCCTAGTGTTCAAAGCAACACAGATCATAAATGGCCTCAAGTCGAGATTAAACCAAGATTTAATGGCCAACTTTAGGGAAAAGAGTGAAGAGACACAAGTCAGTCAAGAGTCTGACATAAAACCAGAGAAATTTTAATAAAAAGAAACGCAAAAAAAAAACAAAAAAGCAAAAAAAAGGCATAAACCGAACCAAACCAGACCAGACCAAACCAAACCAAACCAAATCAGACCAAACCAGACCAAACAGAGAAAAGCAAAAACTTCCAAAAATATTATCAGGCATTGCATTGCATATTTTCCCCCTCTACTCATACATATTTTATTTTACTTTACTTTACTTTCTTTGTGTTTCATGTGTACAATCGTTTTTGCGCATTTCTTTTTTTTTGTTTTTGTTTTTATAATAAAGTCAATCAGAGGAAATATCAGGCTTTAATAAATGTATGGCTTGTGGCAATAAGCTTGCACTAAACTGTTCTTTCATATTATTTTACCCTTTTATACTTAGGTGAGTAGCTTTTTAGCAATAAAAATAAAAAAGAAGAGTCAAATAAAAGCACAGGCCACGCTGTTTTCTAATTTACAATAAATAATAAATAATAATAATATAAAAAAAATCGATTAAAACCAATAGGGTGTTTCAAATTTAGATCTTGAAGGATTCAAGGTTTAGATATTTCTATCGGCGAACTTAAAAAACAAGTCAATTTCCTAAAAGGATTCAGAAACTATTGTAATATCTGTAAAAAAAAATATCTAAATCAAAAGACTTCAAGAAATTTCTTTTAGACTTTTAGACTTTTAGAAGTTGACTTAAGGGTTTTTTTCTACATGCCTTTACTTAGGGAAATTCAGTAATATATTTTCATATTAGATGTTATTGGCTAATTAATAGACAGCAGATAGAAAATACAAACCTTAAATTTTTTAAGATTTTTAAGCTTGAAACACCCTATTGAATCAAATCAGATCAAACTCTAAATTATAAGACTCAGATTATTCCAAAAGTTTTATTATTATTTAAATGTCCGTGATAAGGCCAAGGCACAGACCCACGCTATGTACAGAAATATTAAAAAGCGCAAATCCTAGAGTGTTCGAGCTTAAGATTGAGGCAAATTATGATTTTTTTAGATCAATGAGAATTCGGCTTTAAACGAAAAGAAAGGAAAATTGAGAGAAATCATTGTTAATTTTTTTTTGTAGAATATTTTACCTGTAAAAACCTAAATTTCTTTAAAGAAAACCGTGTTCAATACGGGGATATATGCAGTTGAGAAAAAGATATTCGTCTTGAGAGAACAGAGCTGGTGCACTACGCCAAAAAAATAGGAGTTTTAGAGGTGGTTTCACAGGTGGTTCCGGAGGGGAAGTCAGGGCGCGTTTTGTGTCCTCCCCCCTTTTTTCCAACCCTGAGTTCATGTGCATTTTAATACATCTCCGCTTACCGGTAGTTTTAAGATTCTATTAATATATTGATAACCTTTTCTTTTGCTAATATTTGTCTTTCAATTGGACAAAACTTCTTTAAGTATAGGTGAAATATTATATGCCATTGGTTACTACTAATTCATTATTCTTTTAATTTAGATTCTTTTAAATATTTCTTGCTTAATCATTGTTTTTATTGGATAAGACATAATTGCACTGTAGTGTATTTTATAAAAATACATTTTTATTGGTTTCTCAAATGGATATATTTTTTATTTATCGTTTTTATTGGTTATTACACTACACAATTACATTTTATATATCACTTTTATTGGCTGTTATGATAGACATTACATTTTATACATCATTTTTATTGGTTATAAACAGTCAAATACATCATATACTTCCAATATTAAATATACTACTTTACACTGCAGTGGATAGTTACTTACAATTGCCTCCTTTGACGGTCTTTCCAGAGATGACTGACTCTTGCAATTGATGCCCAATTTTGATGGCATCTGGTGAAATCTATACCAACCCTCTTAAGCATGTTTGCATGTTTATTGCAAATCATTGTTCGATCACATCGCTGGTGAGAATCCAATTCCTGCCAGCACAATGATACAGCTTCCTCTGGGTAGACAGCTTGCAGTTGCTTTGGCCAACGACCGCACCAGAAAAGAGATGTTGTATCGCCACCATCATACGCAAAAGGCTGATGGCAGCATTTCCGATGTCTTTGACGGACAGGCATACCAGTCAAAGAAGCATCTTTTCTCGGGTGAAAACGACATCGCCATTTCGCTGTCTGTTGATGGGTTTGCTCCCCATAGTGTTCCGGGTTCGGTAACCATTGTCCACGTTACCAACCTCAACCTTCCCCCAATGATCCGCTACGAGCGCAGCCGTATGATCCAAGTCGCGATCATCCCTGGTCCCAAAGCACCCGCCGACTTCTGGTCATTCCTGGAGCCTGTTCTGAAAGAACTTCGGGTTCTCCAAGCCGGTGGAATGGTTGTGAAGACACCATCTGGAGATATTAGTGCAAAAGTCCATGTACTAATGACAACTGGCGACATCCCAGCTCTGGGAAAGATGGCTTGTCATGTGGGCCATATGAGTAAGGATGGCTGCCGCATCTGCCACGTTGTGGGTCAATCTCCTGGCCATGGCCAATATTTCCGAATGCCATCTGCCATCACCATGCGCACACCGGAAAGTTTCAAGCACTTTGATGAGGTGGCCTCATCCAGCAAAAAAGGGTTAACTGGCCAATCTCCCTTCTCCTTACTGGATTCCTTCTCTGGTCCGTTCTTCTTTGCATTGGATGAAATGCACGGCATTTGTCACGGCATTGGCAAACAGGTCTGGGGGCTCGTGTGTGGCAAGTACGGAAAAGATCATCCTCTCTCTCTCTCTCCCTTGCTGCTCAGAAAGAAATTGGTACTGCCATGGTGTCAACCAGAAGAAGTATTCCGACATCTTTCCACGGTGCATGGATCAACATCGCAACAAGATCAGGGTACTTCCGGGCTGTGGACTGGGCTGACTTCATCTTGTTTGTTATCCCCACGCTTGTGGCAGAGCGTGTCCGTGACCAAGCTGCCCGTAAGGCATTGCTTGACCTGGTGCAGACATGCAACCTACTCATGAGCTGGGAGTTATCAGCGGAGGAGAAAACCTTGATCAAAACGTAAGCTTTAATTATAATTAATATTATTATTTTATAACTTGTGTTAACTTATCTTTTTTTTTTAGAAATCTCGTCGCATGGAATGCGTATCTGGAAGCCTCGCTAGCTAAAGGAGAGGTCCAGCTCAAGGTCTTTACGATCAACCAGCACCTCCTGCAGCACTATCCCGCAATGATAGAAGCGTATGGTCCCCCCAGAGCGTATAGTGCACGATCTGTCGAGAGGGCGATTGGGGAATACTCGCGAGCAATAAAGAGTAATTCGGCAATTGGAATCAACGCTGGCAACATCATGCTTGGCTTGACACAGATTCGACAGATGAGAGTTGAAAATTCAATAACGACAATAGCAACAGTAACAGCAACAACTCTCCTTCAGTATGACGATCCCTCTGCTGGTTGGCCAATTGACCGAGAAGGTAGTAATGTTGGTACTGATTCTGACATTGAGTTCTGGGGGCCTTTGAGGAACAGAACGATTGTTGATAGTTTTGGAGGCATTTCTTGTCTTCCAGAGCTTCTTCAAAAGTTCTACGAATCAAAGGGGGAAGAGTGTAGTATGATTGAAGCAGCCATTAAAACAAGCCGTAAGGCATTTGTAAATGGTTGTGTTATTGACTCTGCACTCGACCATAATTGTGTAAAAGAAGCACATAACGTCAGACTTCAGGTTCAGGTTGATGAGAACCGCAACATTGGGCAAAGCTACTCTCCAGTCTACAAGGATTTCTTTGGGAAGGTCGTCGTTTTCTTTGAGCACAAGCTCAACAACAAGAGGTGGCCGCTTGTCCTTGTCAATGTTTATGCAGTTCGTTTGGTAAATAGTATACCAGCAATCAACAATGGGCAAATGAAGCCAATGGTAGTTCACCTGGCAGATGTCAAAGAATTAGTTGGTTTGGTGAAGTCGGACGCGACTATAAACACAATAACAACAACAGCAACAACATATGCAGTGTGGCCAGAGCTTAACCGCGGCCCAAAACTGTCACTTGATTCTCTTGCAGACTTATAATTTTTTTTTCTTGTAATACATTATTTTTTTTCAAATTGTCTTAACATATTCTATCCTCCCAGCAAAAAGTTTAGATATTTTTCTCTCTTTTACCTCTGACTTTTAATAGTCATCAATTGCAATCTACATTTACTAAAAATGTAAAATCTGTAGTTAAAATGTACTTTTGTCTATCAGTAGATTTAATTTTAGGTGGTCAATCTGCTTTTTGTCAACCTTTTCAAAAAACAGAGATTTTCTAGTTTCAAATTGGATTTTTGGTGATTTTTTAATTATTATAGGCCAAAAACAAAGTCACAAATACAAAAAACCGCCCCTATTTGTCGTAGTGGTAGGAACTATAGTTAGATTGTGGAGCTTGTATTTTATTCAATTGTGGTGTCTATACCACAATTACTATATCGAACATCACTGTATCTAGCTCTGACTATATATAAATATATAGATTAATATCAATAATGAAAATGATAATTTTAATGGTAATGATAATAGTAATGATAAGGTATGAGGGATGAGGATATATGTTAAATTACAAGACAATGTAAACAAATAATAATAATAGTGTAATGAATACATAATGACATGCTTAAATAAATAAATAAAATGCAGATTTACAATAAGGTGAAGTGTATCTATGACTTTGAAAATTTCCTGGAAATCGGTTTACACTGGCATATAGCTAAACACAGTGGCGACAAAAATCAAAGTAATTCCAGGAATCACCATGAGGAACGTTGCAAATGGAAATGACTTCTTAGTAATGTAATCGGGCTCGAGGTAGAAGAGTCTCAAGAAAGTAAAGGGTATACTGCTGATGATCCATGCTAGTACTATCCACTCTGTACGTGTATGTCTTTTGTAACCTGCGATGATTCCAAGTAGTAAAGGGATAACTATTCCTGACGAAAGAACAAAATACTCCCATTTTCCTGATGGCTGCGTTGAAATGCCCTTAAGCTTAGTTTCCTTTTCCACAAAAAGTATCATACCAAGATGGGATGGAACATTGCTTTTTGCTAGAGCGTGCAACGCAATCCGAGCATGCTTTCTTTCTGATTTTTCGGCGCCTTGAGTAAGAAGTTTCATAGTACTCTGCAAGAGTTCATCATCTGTTATGTAAACCGGTTTGACCTCCAATTCTTCACAAAGAGCTTCGTATCTCTCAAGGTCACTCTCGATACTAAATGCCGAAACTTGCATAGGAAGAAAATACAATGAGGCTGTTTGCAGGATTGACATGATAGTAAAGATGCCCAGAATAAGTTTTGACCAGCTATCACCAGAACCTCGGATTATCTCGTATAAAGTGTAGCCCAATTGAATCAAGGAGATAAATCTAGGCAAATGAGACGATTCTTCCAAACGAGTAGCTTCTTTCAGTTGATTCAGCATAGTCTTTGACAAGTAGCGAATGATCTTTGGATGGACTGGGATTTGGTACATGTGTTTCGACCCTGGACCGGCTATTGTCATGGTTTTTGTTTTATAATAAAATGGTCTATACTCTTCATCTGCATTAACTGTGTTGCATCCAATATGTATACTGCCACTAAGTATTGCCTTCTTGAGACTTTCTGCTCTTTCTGGCCCAATGTCTTCTAAAATCTTCTTAAGGTGATCCCCATTATCATAAATCCCTTCTTTAAAGCCAGCCCGAGTTTCGGTGAGTGTCATCGTATCAGCATATACAGTGATGAGGGTTTCGCTTTTTTTGAGTACTCTTCTTCTGTTTTTCGGTAAAATAAACTTTTCAACGATGTCTACTTCTTCATTTTCGGAGATTGTTTCATTGATTGCTGACCCATAAGATAGTTTCTGGTTGTTTTGAGTGATATTTGGTCTTATCTGTTCCGGGTTTTCATCGCTAAAAGTGACAGTAATTGCTGAAGAAATCGTGTCATAAGCTGTGATTGTTTTTGGCGACTGGGTTGGGGTTACAGCCGACAAGTCCTCTGGTGCCAATGGGTATTCTTTTATTTCCGGGCTCACGGAAATCCCTCGCGATTTTTGGAGATGCTTCTCTTGATAGGTACGGGTCCGTATATTGCGTTCAATATGGTGCTGAGAATAGAAATGCTTCGCGTCTGACTTATCACTTTCATTGGAGCCTTTATTGCTTTCATGGCTAATAACTCTTTCTCTTCTTGATTGATCGTCCTTTGTTGATTGCTTTTCCGTAGATTTATTGATTCCGAGAATATTGTCACCGTCCATTTTTTTTCGTATAGAGCCAACTGCTTCATATATGCCGCTTGTTGGCCATGCTAACGCGGACATGCGCTTATAAAGTGTGGGGAGGAAGCGTGTACTTTGGTCGGGTCGAACAGTGGCAGCATGGGAGACATAGGCCAAAAGTACGGTTTTGAGGACTTTCAGTGCGGTAATTTCACTTTCTGATAAATGGCTGTCAACATATTCACCGAGATCAAAAGGGGCTGCGAAACACCTCTCTATCATATTATACAGCAGTATACATAGTAATAGTTTGCTGCTTCCAATAAAAGATCTCAAGTGGGCAAAGTGTGGCATATTGTCTGTACGAGGAATAGCAGTTTTTGGTTTTTCTTTAGAAATAAAATAAAATAAAAGGAGAAAGAGATGTAGGAATGGTTTGACGGAGTGTTTCTTTTTTATTCTACAAGAAGGAGTGTGTACTTACTCTAGGAACGATACATGGAAGTTATTGTACACAATAGGTTAGAATTGTGTTACAAGCATACCTTTTTTAAAGTTGTGTTTATTAAGTTTGGCAATACATAGTTTGCCAGGATGATGACCAGGATGAGAAATAGTACAACAAAATGACTAGGATGAGAATATATTAGAGTCACATAATATAAATCGGCCCACAAAGATTATCGTAAAAATACTTTCAACTTATAATGAAAATCAGTATATCAATAGTCATACATATTCTCCTTCAATAATCTGTGTATAAGGCATTTCAGAAATGTTGTGGAGAGCAAAACCAATACTTTGATTCACAAAGGTTTCGATCAACCTCTAATGATCTCTTGTACATAGAGATACTACGAAGGTCAATGAGGATATGTAGTAATTGGTTATAGAAAGTATATGTTAATATATAGCTATGAGTGTAATTATTGATAGATACTTTACATATTAATTTACTTGAATTCATTGGAGAGTCTTCTCTTTGAAGCCGTTTGTTCAAAAGGAGTTCACTGGCATGGCATCTCAGCCCATTGCGTTGTACAAATACAGATACAGGTACAGGTACAGGTACAGATATAGTTACATATTTAAACAGAGTTCTTGAGATGAAAGTATAATTACACTTTCATATTCAACAGTAACAATAGTAGTGTATTAAAAAGTATAGGTAGCTATATCACTTGTTTACTTATTTTTTGAAAAAAAAAATGGATACATTGTCACAATATCTCAATGTTTAGTATGTCTCATTTACGCTTTAGATTTATCAGCATACCCTTCTTCTGTCAAAAAGGCATATGATTTTGACTGTATACATCAAAGAAATCCGAATAATACTGTAACACAAGCAATAAATTCTAAGCCTTGTCTGTGTAAACTACTTCTGCGCCATGTAACTCGAACAGATATACCTTTTCGCTATTGTCTTTCACATTTCATAGACTATTTTTTTTTGTCTCATTAATTATTTTTAGATATAACCTATATCTTTCCAATCTTTTCTTCTCATGCAGTGTAAAATATCACAAGTAAAGAATAAACATTTGTTAGCATAAGTGACACTAGACTTCTCCGTAAACGGTACACAGCCAGCAGTACAAGTAAATGTCTATGTCTCCAGTTTGTAACAGAGTTTGAATATTTAATGACGTATAAAACTATCCTTTATTCTTTTTTTTGTATATTTTTTTTATTCAGTACAAATATGGTAAATATATTTATACTTTGTTTTGCGCACCATCCCCTTCAAATCGATACTGCGGTTTTTCTTTCTTTCTTTCTTTCTTCATTTGAGTTAAAGATGTATACTGCGCCTCGTGCATATTGTAAATAAATGCAAGTGTAAATATTTCTGTAAATCCAAGCGTAAAGCAACTTTAAACACTCTTTAATAACAGTAGCAGAGGATTAGAGGAGTGGCTTAATAATTAAACTGTAACCAGCATCTGGAATAAAAAAATTATGGTATATAAATATAGACGTGCTGAATAATGATAATGGTAATGGTAATGGTAATGGTAATGGTAATGGTAATGGTAATAATAATAATATGTGATCCGTTACTAAAGTTCTAAGAATAAAAAGTCTTGCGTTTTCATGGCTGAAATGCATTGTATCATTTTTATATATAAAAAATAATTGAGCTCAAGGATATTAAAATAAACGCTAAAAAGCTAATTATAATTTACTGATCTACAAACCTTGAGTCTTCTAAATAACATGGCAAATAATATCCCAGCCCCCCAGAAAATATATGTTAAACTAAAGTCTTTACTATGGGCTTCTGGGTTTTCTGAATTGTATTGCCCTTAACCAGATAGACTCATTGGCTCTCAGCTATAGAACAAAGCATATTCCTAGCCTTTTATAGGGTTTTTACGTCCTTCCGTTTTGTAATTCAAAGCAGAGATAGGATTTTTAAGTGAAAAGAGACAAAGTAATCTATAAATATTTGTAAGTACAATGTTTTTGATAGACAATATATATATATCCTTATTTAAGCTGATCTTTCCCTTCTTTTTTGCTGGAAAATAGTAAACACGGATTCGATTTATGCGCTATTGAATATTTTATTGTCAAAACTGGATCAACGACGAGCATCTATTTTGATTGCTTATTGTATTAAATTAATTCAACACTACTCTATTATATAGGTTATATTGATTAAAATTATCATACATTTTCGTGTAATTTATTGATTATATGTTTATACAAATGTAATGCTTAACTTTTGGTAGCTATATAATATGTCAATTTTACATGGTAACATATCCAGTAATAGTAATCATAGCAACTAAAAATAAACCTGGAATAATATAAAGTATCGTCATACAAATAAACAAGCTCTTCTTATTTAAAAAGTTCATGTCAAACACATAAATTCTTAGGACAGTCAGAGGGAAGCTTCCTAAAAGCCAAGTGATAACCCATTGTTGCGTGGTATTTCTTTTCGAATAATCAGCCACCAAACCAAGAAGTAGAAATATGGCTGGCGACCCAAAGATTACGAGTATTTCCCATATTCCAATCGGCTGAGGTGTAAAACGTAGTTTCTTAACGACAAGTTCTTGGCATATCTCTTTAATGTTTTCTGCTTTTGGATAGCAGTTTCTGAATATGTAGTATGGTGTATCGTTCTTATATGAAAATAGCTCTTGGAACTTTGGTGGCAAGCTGCTATATACGATTCTTGATACTGGATGCAGAAAGGTGTTTTTTTCTATACCTTGAGATTCCGGATCCTGAACCCCAGTTTCTTTCTCTAGATCGTTTTTGTTTTTGGAGGAGTCATAAATCAAACTAAAGGCAATAACTTGGGCTGGTAAAACAATAAGAGAAACTGTCTGGAGGACGGACATGAAAGTATATATGATCATCACAAGCTTTGACCAACTTTCGCCTACGCCTAAAATGATTTCGCCCACTGTCCACAAAAGTTGAAGTAGAGTTATAAATTTGACTAGGTGTCCAGAATCCTCTATTCCAAAAGCTTGATCAAGTTGTATAAGCGTAGATACAGGAAGATATTTGATGAGTGAAGAAGGAATTTGTATCTGGTGCTTACGCACTGATCCCGGACCGGTTATTGCCATATCTTTGGAAAAGTATGGCGTTATATTATGCATTTGTTTGCCCATGTTATTATCAAATCCAAGGTATATGGCTTCATTAAGTATAGAATTCTTTATAACTCTGGCTTTGTCATCTCCCATATGTCTAAGAATTGTATCGAGGGCGTCTGAGTTATCTTTAATAATTTTCTGTCCTCCCAAACTTTCTACATCTTCAGCAAACTTTTTCAGGTCGTCATATTTTTGTTGTGCGTCATTTTCTTGTAAAAGTATGCCATTTTCTGGATGTGATATCTCAGTCGTCTTTTTCTTTTCTGGCCTTTTTCTATCGGGAAGTCCGATAATTTTATCACCATTGATCCGTTTTATCATTGAGCCGATAGCTTCGTATATTCCGGAAATCGGCCATACTAAAGATGATGCCCGTTTAAATATCCCAGGAAGCAGTAGAGTCGATTGATCAACACGAACAGTCATTGCATGAGCCACATAAGCAAGTAGAACTGTTTTAAGGACGATAAAGACCGCTTTCAATTTCTCGCTTATAGTATTATCGATGAACGTGCTAATATCCAAAGGTGCTGCCGCGCACTCCAGTAACTGTATGCTGATCAGAAAGCATATAGAAAAAAGAGCATTTTTTTGACGCTTGTTTTGTAAACGATTGACATTGTATTTTGAAAAAAGCATTTTGATTTACTTCTTGAAGACGAAATTTTCGTTCTCATATTTATATAGAAATACCAATAGAAAATGGGCTAAGCACAATATTTTCAGCCTGAGTCTCTATATAAAATACAACTACAGCTTTTAGTGATGTGAATTATAAGCCATAAGTGTATGTTATAAATAAGTGATGAGTAGTATCCTTGTATAAGGTTCTTTGATGTTATTAAACTTATTTTACTAAACTTTTTTTTATCGAGCCAATATTTCAGATCAAATAATAAGAACTTGCTTAATGAATCAAGGGCTTAGTATGGTATTGTAGGCTTTTGTGTGTAATAGAGCGCTTATAAATGTGTGTAAATTGTGTAAATTAACCTCAAGATGAGCAAGATACTTTTTTTAGATAGTAGTTTATATGCCTAGAATTTAACAGCCTAGAATTTTCTTCCAAGTTGCCTTATCGATATTATTAGTGGATACATTTTACTTTAGAAATATTTTTAATGTACTGTATTTTATACAAGTCAAGAACCTTTCCTTGCTAAATTATATATTTTACTAGTAATGGCCCAAACACAAAATATTTGGCTTATGAACTCACATCTTCTCTTCACTTAATACATGGTTATAAAAATATAGAGGCTTTTATTAGATTTTTGTTTTATAGAATAAGTGTACAATGAAATATTGGAGGGAAACGAGGTGCGGGCTCATTTTCCTTTATAAAGCTCTACATAAAATACGTAATTAAAGAAGCTCTAATATTCAAAAGAAGCTCTAAATCTTTTTTTTTGGAAACAGGCGTTCTGTGAATTTATTTATTCAAGTAAAGTTTAAGTCAAATCAAATCAAGATAAATCGAAGAAAAGAAAAGCAAATGGTAAATGAAAATAGCTATCTATATCATCCGAATTATGTTATACTTAATTAAGCAATTGGGCTAATATTTCAAATCTTATATAGGTCAATCTTATCGTCAATTTAAAATACGTACCAAATAACAATGTAGCTAAAAGTTTAAAGAACGTAGAGCATAGAGTGTATGTTGGGTCTAATATGAGTAAATAACGCCAAACGTTTATATATAGCTTAATATATCTTTAAGGAAGTGTAAGCACTCAGTAGACTGACGAGACTAATGTAATCTATACGATGTTATGAGGCTTGGGGTAGCTCAAGAGTAATTGAATATGGGTTCCAAATTTAACTTTGGCTGGTCAGAAGAAGTTGCATATTTAGAGTAAGTTACACCAAAACTAAAGGAATGTTTTTGAAGTAGAGTGGTCGAAATAAATCTATATACAAGCCTTTTTTTTTAAAAAAAAAAATAGACAATTAAATGAACAAGACAAATAGAGAGCCAAGTTTTTCAGAAAAAGGCATTAACTAGAAAGGAAGTAACCAGAAATATGAGAGTTAAAACAATAGTATGCTACACGCAAGTAATAATTGAGCGGTATTTCATGCAGATGACAACGAATTTCTCTAGTAGAAAGCATATGAAGTGTTTGATAGAACTAGTAAATAGTCTATCAATAGTATTACAAGATTCAAAATAGAGACTGAACAAAGTTAGTAAGAGTCATGTTTTACTATTGACCTGGATCATACAAGCTGTTGAACACAAACTAAAACGGTTTAAAATCCAATCTATATGGCTTATACAAACAAATGTTGTATTAAAGTATTTTTGTAAACTATATTTAATTGCTCATCAAGACTCACATGAGATATATCAAACTTTTATAGTAACACATTTACAGTCAAGGTTGAGACACTTGAAAATCCCTCTTATGTAAAGCAAATGAACATAGAGAAGTAAGTTGAAGTACACATTCCAGGAAGATTGCAAACGATTAGATGTTTATTTATCTATTAATCGATTATTTTTGTTCAATTAACACTGGGAAACCTGTGTTAATGGTATAATGGGGTTTTTTGGCTTTTTAAATCTTGTACAAGACAGCAATATAGGTCATATTACCACACCTTACTACACTCTTAGGAGAAATTATATTACAATTACTAACATGAATTACACCCTCTGTAGGAGTAACCAATTACACGGCCAACAAGAGTAACCCAGTGCAGTGTCCAACTTAGGATATTTCGTCTCGTCACATTCAAAAATAGAAATTTATGGCAAAGAAAAGAAAATGTTGATACAGAATATCTCTCATTTATAAACCTTTTCTTTTGAGGGACCCAATTATAGCTTACATCTAGGTAACTTGGATGTTTATATAGGTATCCAGTAAGTTCAAACACAATTAGTTTAAGAATATAAATAAGGTCATCTTAAGTTCTAATTTTGTGTAAGACAGAAAGAGACAAACTTGTGATATTTTAAAATGTGCTCAAGTTCTAGTTTTATATGCTGCTTTACATCAAATAACCACATATGCATAATACAATCTTATTCTTATGCTTTAACACAAGAAGACTTGGATCAAGTATTCATTTTACATATGCATTACTATAAAGTAAAATGAAAGTACAATAAGGTGATATTATACTCAGTGAAATATTGAAAAGGATATATAGTGTATTTTATTCCACAAATCAAACAAAATTGGGGGTTTATGTTTTTTTTAACGTCGAGACTCAGTCATATAAATCAAAGTAGTGTATGTATAATTTACATAAATTCATAAGAGTACTTACAAGTTTCAAAATCAAGTTAGATTATTATTCACAGAGTCTCTTTACTAAATTACTACGACTCTCCTGCTGTATATCCAGAATAACTGAATTGAAATTTTGTTCAATGAACTATATGGATTTCATTATTAAAGTCCGGGTACATACTACAAAGGGTTTAAAGACTAGGATGTACAGAAATAAGATGAACTGCACTCAAAGCCCGATAGAGATATAATTTTGTTTATTCCACTCTTACAACTATATCGAGCTTTGACAATATATAAAAAATAACGCACAGATTTTGATGTGAAACGTGGTTAATGGAGATGTATATTGACAGCTAAAATACCCGAATATAATTCAATCCTTCCTGGGTACTTAATAGGATACAATTAACTAAATGGGATGTTATAAATTGGATAACATTAACAGGTTTTAAAGTCTACTTTGAATCCTGATAACTTTCTATGCCAAATTTACAAAAGAGTAAAAAACTTACGAGTCTTTTCAGATATATCAATAAATTAATGATTGTAATACTTTTTCAAGCAATGTCTACATAATGTTTTGTTTTTGTTCTTACAATTTTTAAACACTAACAGCAACTACTCTATCATTAATGCACAAATAAATACGATGATTATTTTGAATAAAAAAATTATTATATTTAAAGATGTAGATATTCTACATCTAATATAGTACATTTTCTTTTTTTTTTGTGTCAAACAGAAAATTCATGTTACTGCTTTTTTTTGGCCTTTGCTTTAATCTCTATCTTTTTCTCTCATACGCGCTCCATTTTTTCTCTCTTCTGCTTTAATTCTTCTTGTAAATGCACTTTTCTTAGTATAATTAATGTCCAAAGTACCAGAACCTAAAAACGCAATCAGCACATCAGTGTTTGGACTCCAAGAAACTTTGCGGAATCTCAAGAAACAATGTCCAGCTCTCTCGAATTCTCAATCTAATTCACTCGATCCCGCATGTCCTGTCACTGCTGGCAATGGTAAACCATTTTTTTTTTTGCTTTTACCAATTTACTCCAACCAATCTTGATTTAAAAAGCTAAATTCTATATAAATTGATTCGGTTCCAGAACTTCACGCCTTTGGAGCAGTAAATATCGACAAAGTACGACAAGAGTTTACGAATCACATCAATTCCATTCGCACCATTTGCTCTCAGTTCGAAACCGAAGTATTGGGAGATGTCATGAAGATGGGGTCAGGAGCAGACCCTGCATTCCGTAAACACTTTACTCATTTAAAAGTAAGGATACTTCTTTTTTCTTAAAATGAAAGAAAGCATATATATATATATATATCAACTTATTGTTGGGATTAGGAACAAGCACTTTTAGAGAGCACTGTATTGAAAGTAAAAGATACATTGAAACGTACGCAAGAATATTTGGATGAATCATTGGATAGTTCTGAAGAATCAAAGGCGAAAATCAAGATCCAAAAGATTGAACATCTGGCTCAGTCTATTGGGTAAGAATCTTGCACACCAAAAGAAAAAAGAAAGAGTGCCTGGGGGTTTTTTGTTGAATGTAAAGAACTTGGTTGCGAATAACCATAATAATAGGCTAATGACATTTGTGGACTCATCGCAAAAGACTGCTTATGGAATTCCAATGACAACAATTACTCTTGGTGGAACTGTAATTGTGGTGGATGTAATGTAGCAATTTAATAAGGTGAATAAGGTGAATAAGAGTACTAATGATAGATATATCAGATCGATATCGATAATACTGGCAGTGTATTGCGCGCAAAGGTGACATATGTATCAGAGGCACTCCAGAATGATCAGGATGAAAGAGTATGTTTTTTTTTTCTTTGGTTTTTAAAATTCTGGGGCGTTGATCGAAAGTGTATGTACTGATCTCTTTGTGTCTAGGTGGATAATATGCTGGCAGAGAATCTCCAATTGAAAAGCTTGAGTTTATTTAAACGTAACCTGGGAACATTGGCCCTCTTGGACCGTTTGAACGTCAAATATGCCCCTACAGACTTTTTCCTAATAACTAAATGGCTCTTAGCTGATCTTAAGGCTATTTACAGCCAAGAAGTGTAAGTAGAATACATCATTATTGAGTATTATTAAATTAAATATACTTGCGTGTATTATAGGCTGCTACTTGACGATGATTTGGCAAGTGTATTAATGGAGGGCCGTGGTATCCCGAGTTTGTATTTGGATCACCCGGGTGTGTCAATTTCTTACTGGATTGATAAAAAGTATGTGCTCGGTGGCGACTGGAAATCAGTACAGAAAAGCATAGACAGAGGTAATTTTTTGTTATATTCAATCAAGCACAAGTGGTTAGTTATACTAAAAAAAACAAATTTTACTGTAGATCAGAACAATCAATTGCTTTACAAATCTCACAAACTGGACATTTCGTTTGAAGCCTCTCTTCACCCGCAACAGTTCTTACCTCCTTCAAGGACAAATTACTTGCTGGGGTTTGATGAAACAGAAGATTCTGTTCAGGAAGGCGTCAATGGGTAAGGATAATAATATTACAAATAAGGGTAATAATAATAACATGGTTTTAATTTTTATTGGTTTTGGATGTTTAGAATGCATTACAAGATAGTCAAGGAAACAGAATTCCCCAAATTTATTGGCGCAATGAGATTTGTAAAGCCTTTGCCAACCCTTCCTGGACTCCACTCAATTCCTGTACGATTTGTGGCAATTCTTGATCCACCTGTCCCGGCTTCTGACATTATTGTCCAGAAGCTGATGAAAATCACCGGATTTTCTAACGAAGGTACAAAAAAACAGCTTATATATATATGGTTGGTTGGTTGGTTGGTATAACTCATAATTTTTTTTTATTTTATTTTTGGCAATAGATTCGAAAATCCAGACTACTACCACAAACCCAAGCTCTGATGCACTCTCATTAGAAGAACTACTAGTAAATATATCAACTAATAGTTTTAATTAGCTTTAGATTTACTTTGTTCGATGTTTTAATGCATGTATTGATTTGTGTAGGTTACTGACATCAAAAAGACAACAGATCAATCCAGTACAGAGCAAGAAAGTATATTCAAGACCAATGGAAAACTGAGACTGGTAAGTAGATAGATACTGTACTTATACAGATAATTGAATGTTATGTTTACGTTTGTGTTGAGTAGAGTGTGGATAGTAGTAAAGAGCAGGTCTACAAATGGGCAGGATCTCAAAAAACATCTGGAAAACTTATTGACCGGATACCTTTCAATCATCCTGTTCAATTATTTAACATCATTCAGGTAAAGATTCATATATATATATATATAATATAGCTACACTTTGGATTTAATGTTTAATAAGATTTTTTTTCTGGAATAGTGCCTTCGCCAACAGCAAATGTACAATACTCTGTTTCAAAGCATATTCTATCAAACATCCCACAAATATACAGTTTTACCCACCAGCAATCAACACACATTGTCTCTTGACGAGATCCTTCAAGGTAAGTTCTTTTTATTTTATCTGTAGATTGCTATTATTGTTTGGATAATCTAATTTAATACGCTTACTACTTTAGAAGGTTCTGCAGATACTTGCTTACACATTGAAGTTACGTCTATCAACAATCCTCATACACTCCACCTCACACTGTCTCTACCACCTACTCATCCATTGTCACCACTTGTATTGATTCCATTGGCTATCAGCATTCCAATTGATACACCCACACGTCCTGTAGTCCGCTTAGACCAGCACGATCCTTTATCTGGAACTCAAACCAATCAAGCCATAGGCTGGAATACGTTTGTATTTGATGAAGACAAGATGACCCGGGTAATACAGACTGGATACAGTATTCCACTTCTTATTCGTTGGCTGTGGAACCGAATTGAATCGAATCAAAACAATTTGAAGACCAGGGAAGAACTCAGTTTGAAGAGACCATGCGAAGATTCATTGTTATGGAAAGAAGAAAAGTACATGAAGATGGATATAAGCGATTAATGCTTTATTTCAACGTTATATATACTTTTCACTAAATTGCTCAAACTAAATATTGCTTGATTTTTTTATGAACAATTTATTATACTCTTTCATTTATCTAGATTCATTTTTTTTGTATTGCTTGTGTCTGCGATAAATATTTAACATAACTCTTCCATGTTTTATAATAAACACAGGAAACCCTTTTTTTTTTTTAAAAAAAATAATTTTCTATAAAAATTGTATTTTTCACTATGAGAAATTAATGCTGATTCCAATGGTGATTTCTGGAAAATACTTATGGTACTTTCCAAAAAAAAATCCAATCGGAATCAGCATTTATTTTCCATGGTGCTTCTTATAGCTCTGTTCATATATTTCTGACTTTTTGTATTGCTATATTGGTATCTATGTATAAATTCTACTGTAAGAGGCCAATGTTAATTTTCCTAACAAAATAATTATAATATTTCGATACAAATCCAATATGTGGTTTTAACATATACAAATGGGTTCCAAGTTCTGGGGTAAATTTGCTTGACTCCGCCCCATGCAAACATTCCATTCCATTCTAAACATTCACTTTGCAGAAACTTTGTATAATTAACCTTATTATAACCAAGATAAGATGTGGTATACGAACCCGAGAATTGCGTAGAATCTGAGTAATCCGACAAATTAATACGGGCAGCTGTTTTGCTATTCGTAAAGGCGGAGAGTTTTTCTTCTTCTCAATAATGATAGACTAATGATGTCCAGATACTACACGTGCTGATGTGCACATCATTATTGTCTGTGACTGTGGGCTCTCGTTGAACTCGTAAATCTTTGGTCTACCTGTTGATTTTTTTTCTGGAAACACGACCAGTACATTGTTTATTTTTCATTTATTTTTCTTTCTTTTTATTATTTATTTATTTAATCTTGCCTCTCTGCCTATCCGCCTGCCTGACTACCTCCCTGGTCTGCAAATTCTTTCTTTGTCCTGTTATCAATGCCCCCCTTCAACGCCCATCCCGCATCTGGTGACGCGTCAATAAGTGTTTCCTAAGACCTCTTTCTTCCTGTTGCGCATCCTCCTACTTCCTTTCTCCATCGTCTAAAGACAATGAAAAAAGCATGAAAAACAAATGAAGAAAAACCATTTGCCTTTTGTTTTCTTGCTTTCCCTCCTTTTGGCATTACTCTATTCCGACCCTGATTATCCTGGAAAAATACGCTTTTGAAAATGCACCCGAGACGAATGACGTTAAAATCTGCAAGATTGAAGATGAGCTCACAAGCGTGTGCTTCTTTTTTTCAATAAGCATTCGCTGTCCCCCTCTTCCTCCAATTACAATCCACAATTTCGAATTTGGGGAGGATTAGGGGGAGTGACAAGGTGGGGGTGGTTAGAATTTTTTATGTAGAACTGATATCCAATTATTCTGTTGTATTCATGTATGTATATGTATATGTATATATTATAGATGTCGAGAAAAAGACAAGTTTTAGAAGTACTGGAGTCAAACCTGAATGGTGAACCAAAGGCCCCTTACTAAAAAGCTGGAGTGTGGGCTACCTATACATATAACTGGTGGCTCCTGTGTTGAATTGATACAAGAGGAACCGAGAGAGAGAAAAATATGCGCAAATACTACAAGAGTGGGGCAATTCTAAATGGTCGGCTCCCTTTCTGTGATATCCAACCTTACCGTCGCTGGTGTGGGCTTATACGCAAAATATTATGTGGTCGTGCTCGTCCAGGAGGGAGCTTTTAATAAACGACCACAATATAAGCGTTAAACGTTTATATTAATTTTAATAAATCAAAATTTCAATTATGAAAAAAAAAATTAGAGGAAGATGGATTGTAGTGTTTATTTGCAAAAACAAGAAGTGTATGCATAAATGTTAAGCACATTATACCTTTTGTTTTGTTTTGTCTCTAGATTATAGACCGGTAATCACTGGAATTATTATAGCCAAATTTACCACCCCTCTCGTTGTAAGCTATATAACTAAAGTTACAGAGCCTTGATAGTGTTAAAGCCAAATGTTAAGCTTTTGAATTTGATCAATTACTTGAAATAACAATAATAATATTGAATCCAAAACCCGACATTACATTCATGATTCTTGTTGTCTTTGTCTACGTAGTCAGCAGTCACTCAAGAGTCAAAGAAGAGGGCAAACCAAGCTTTAAGGAAAAAAAAAAGAAAAAAGAAATCGGCATCCATCGAAACTATGAATGCAGTCAATAAAGGCGGACGTGGTGTAGGTCGATTGCAATGTAGATACAACCTTAGACTAATCGATATAAAACTATTATTTTTACTATTGTTCTTAGGCAAGACTTCCACCAGAAGTAAACAGGGTGCTGTTTGTTAGGTATTAAAAGAAACGACGCGATCAAGATGAACAGTTGGATTATTAGATGAATTATTGCATGTCTCATTTAATATAATTAGAAATCTTCCTTTCAAGATTACCGCTGAGGAAATGTATGAAGTTTTTGGAAAATATGGACCCGTACGACAGATCAGAGTGTACGTACACTACTTTTATATATAGCTATCATGTCATTATTGTTGTTGACAGCTCAATGAATGTACAAAATCTAGTGGAAATGCAACAGACACACGAGGAACTGCCTTTGTAGTATATGAGGATATCTTTGATGCAAAGAATGCGTGTGAACATCTTCAAGGTTTTAATATTCTAGGTCGTTACTTGATTGTTCTGTATTACCAGCAGAACAAGGTGACCAAGAAGATGAATCTGCAGAAGAAAGAAGAAGAGCTTAAGGAACTTAAGACGTAAGTGCTATTGGCTTTGTGGATAAGTTATGGATATTGATACTTGATTGTAGGCGTTATGGCGTTGGTGATGATTAATATACTGGCATTGACGAGGAAATTCACCACCATTAACGGTAGATGAGAGGGGGACTCCTACACTCTCGCTACCTATTTTATTACTCCCACTCCCTCACTCCATCTCCCTACAAATTGTTACGTACACACACACCCACTCAAACATATATATATACATACACACCCGGATAGAGATTGCTCATTCTGTTTCCCAGTATTTTGTCAAACTTTCCTTTTTTACATTTCACGCTGCCTTGATTTCCGGATGTAAACCAAAATGAAAAATAAGATTATGGCTGATAATCTCTTGTGTTTTGTACGAGTGAGCCTGATACAAGGGCGTAATTCGACTATGTGATCTGTATGTTATCTATGTAGCCTACGCACAATATATATATATATATTTGGTTATACTACTAGTGTCTATCTAGGCACTTGTTTGTTTATCTATTTATTGGATTTCAGATACATGTATTCTTGACTGTAGAATGTATGTTATCAATAGATTGGTCAGTTGGAAGGGCCTTTGTGATGTAGTAAGTGTGTTGACTACTCAGCTCTTGCATGCTTTTACAGCTAAATGCATCCCAAGAATAAAGGATATACACAGTAAATGGACTCAATAGTATATACTAAGCCTATCCAAAAATAGATCAAGATCTTCATCTTTGATTTGACTTGACTTGATTTGACTAAATTTGTTTTTTTTTATACTAAAAAATAATAATCAAAATACAATGCATCTTATGTTAGAACAGTTGTTTAATCAACAGAAAAATAAGCTTACAATTATATCACATTACAATGACTAAAGATGACAGGACTATTTCTCTCTCTTTTTTTTTGTTCTTTTCTGCGGAACTGTGACGCACATGGTAAAGTAAGGCGATAAATCCTATTGTGGTTTATGCCCACACTTATCTCAGGGTGAACGAAAACGAGGGCATGAGTGGCGCTGATATATGTCTATTGGTAAGCCGAAAACAGACATTATTCAAGATGCGCGCTGTCCGAAAGAAACTGTTCCTCTCGCTCTTCTTCCTCATCTCCATTCAGAATGTCATCCACTCGACTTTCGCTTGGGGTGTCGTTCGCTATGGCGCTTTTGGTTGCCAATGTTTCTGGGCCGCAGTATGTCTATCCGGCGTTTGGCAGCTCGCTTGCTAGTCGGTTTGAGTGGACAGCTCTCCAAAATAGTCTTGTCAGTACTGCCTCGTTTGTAGGCGTCTCTTTCTCGGGCCCTTTAAATTCATGGCTAATTGAACTCTGGGGAATTCCAAAGTGAGTTTTGATAGAAAGAGTCCTTTCAAGTATTAACAGGCATATAGTACATTGAGGGCTGCAAGTCTATTAGGCTTCTCCGGATTCTTTTTACTCGCTCAAACCTATGTAGGACGATTGCCAGGACATTTCGTACTCAGTGCGATCTACTTGGCCATGACCGGAATCGCAGGCGCAGCTGGCTATCTATGCGCACTAGATTCACAGGTAAAGCACCAGATTATCAGCATTCGTTTCGTAAGTCATAGGGAGTCTTCGTATTAAGCATATATATATATATATATATATCTAGTCGCACAACTTTAAGTCTCATCGTGGTATGAGTATGGGATTGACGAGTGCGTCGATCGGCTTATCTGGCCTCGTTTTCTCTCAAATCAACGACCACTACTTCAAATCCAGCAATAGTGATGGTCCAGACGATGGCACCTACTATTTCCTACTTTTTCTTTCAGTTGTCATGGCAAGTGGTATAATGCTTGGATCATACTCTCTTGGTCCACTTCGAACCGACAAAGAAATCAACGATGAATACGTACCTATTGAGACAGAAGAACCTATTACCGGAGCCAGTCTCCCAAACCTTGAAGAAGCTAGACCATTATTTTCTACAAAACAAAAAGATATTTCTGGCATTGATCTACTATACCATCCAGTATCTCTTACTTTGTTTTTTGCCTTGTTTGTAATCCTTGGCATCGGCTATGTTTATCTGGCTTCTATTGGACAGCTCCTGTCATCCCTCACAACATCTTCTTCCGATCACGACTCCCAGCATCTCCGCAACTTTCACATTTCTATATTCAGTCTCGCCAATTGTGCATCCCGGGCCGTTTTCGGTACCCTGAGTGATATTGGCAAGACACGATTCGGTATTCACCGGCTTTGGATCTTCTGGCTAGCTCTGATTTGGCTTCTGTTTGGCGTGGTTTATCTGGTTACGGTGGTTAATACAGTAGGCGGTCTCACCGTATGTACCGTGATTGTTGCAATTGTATATGGTATTGGGTTTGGTGTTGCGCCGGCCGTAACAGCAGAATTTGGAGCAAAGGTAAAGAAATGGTTTAGCCTGGGGTTTTCCTTTTATTTGTTTATTTGTGTGTATGTATGTATGTTTTTTTTAATATATTTTTGTTTTTTCTTTTTGTTTTAATTTGCAGGTCTTTGCTCGTAACTGGTAAACAAAACAAAAAAGGATTATATGTTTTGTGAGCACTATCTAAACTCTTTTTTTAGGGGATGGTTGTTGTTTGCACCTGCATTGGGAAGCCAACTGTTTAACGTGTTATTTGGTGCTATTTATGACTATCAAGCAAAACAGCAGCATTCTCATGTTTGCCAAGGCCCGATCTGCTTTCAGGATACATTTAGAATTGCCGCTATCTGTACTGCATTCTGTATCTGCATGCTTTCGTGGGCTATCTATCGCCAAGGTCTTTATCGATCACAGAAACCTGCTGTTTTGTAATGTCTATCTTTTCACGTACCAGAATAGCCACGGTATAAATAGACGAGCTTTACAGACAGGCAAACAGATCAACACACACACGCAGGCTTACATTTACATTTACATTTACATTTATATTTACATTCACATTCACATATACATTTACATTTATACGCACACACACACACACGTATATATATATACAGGCAAATACATATATCATTTGAGGTTGCTGGTCAGACTTACTTATACCTCCTTCATTTATTGACTATTCATTATATACGATGATTAAATCGATACAATTATAATAAATACATGAATTCAAACCTTTATATAATCATATTCTCCATGTGATTTGTAGATAAGATATTCAGAATAGTAAATCTTCCCCTTATTTTATTTCTTTAGTCTTGTGGAAATTATAAATAATTGGCTGCAGACCTTTACGTATATATAAATGCTATATCATGTAATCAAATATATAGTTTAATTGCACTAAAAGGAGCCAGTTTAAAAGGAATTATTGGTCAAGTGCATAAAAGCTCTTTTTTTTTCTAATTTGGTGTCAAGGTTATTGGAAAATCATATCAATAACGAAGTAAAAATTCCAAAATTATTTCACAGATTATCTTGTGGTTTTTTGTATAGTGTATTTTTCAAAAAAAAATGTGGGTGGATAGACGGAAAGAGATATATAAACAGGTATGGCCAAGTATAAGTTAAATAAGTAGTCTGGGTGTGTAAGAGAGTGAGAGAGAGTGTGTGTAAAAAAATAAATAAAGCAAAGGTGTTTAATAACAGAAATAAGTTTGTATAATACATGTCTAGAGAACTCAACTTCAATCAATTTGTTAATGTGTTTCTTAGTTTTTGTCCCTGAAGGTATCACTGAATAAACAATCAAAGACAACAGGCAGACAAACAAGCAAGAAAGAAAGAAGGCAGATAGTTTCCTGTCACAGTTTTGTCTTTTTTAACTTTGTATCTATTTTTTGCTTTGACGTGTTTGTTGATCCCGCGTTACTTTTGCCTTGGTTACCCTGTCCATTATTTGATTAGCTACATGTTGTATAATCAATTATTTCCTCAATGTCCTTTAACATACTTTCCAGATGCGTTTGTGTAAGGGTGAAAGGCAGGTGTAGGACTTCGGCTATGAACACGACGGCGAGATGAGTTAAGAGAAGGACTAGATGGTGTGTTCTTTTCGATGGTTTCGGCTGACACAGAGGACTCAGGCACAGAATCATCCACCATAGTTATAGGTTGTGTACCGACAGCAATAGTAGGCTCACCGACAATAGCATCATCTTCGTGTTCTCCTTCACCCTCGTCTTCTCCACCACTTGACTCTTCTGAATCATCGCCGTCATCAGCCAAGGCATCCGTGGCATTCTATAAGTCACAATTCAATTAATACTTGTCACAGATACTTTCTTTCCTTTCTTCTTTTTCTTTTTCTTTTTCCCTTCCTCCTTTTCTTTCTCTTTCTTTCCCTCATTCTTTATGAAAAGATATATATATATATACTCTACCTCCCGTGTAGCTTGGCTTCTGATGAAACTTCTCCATTTTGTAGACAAGAGGTAATGAGCAGCCCAAGACTTCTCGCAGTGACCAAGATATACACCGAATGCTGATGTATCCCGTTCTAATTGACCGTAGGCAGGAAGTCTGACTTCAGGGCCAATGTGGGCCCAGCGTGGATAAGGGTTCCCTTGTTCGCGCAAGCTGGCATGCATAGCCTTCATTACTGTGCGGGCACAGCGTGAGACTTGAAGTCCGAGTTGTTTTGCCTTTGCGGCGTCATTATTGGCCCATCGTTCTTTAATCATCTGTAATACAGCTGTTGCAGACTTGCGACAGCTTTTCCCGGTAATATCTCTGGGTGCAGGAATACTGACGCGTGGTGCCATTACAAAAGTTCTAGGAGGTAAAGGTACAACTGCCCGATGATGAGACGGGGATCCACCATGCATAGGAGGAGGAGGAGGGGGAGGGGGAGGGTTGTGCATCATGTGTCTTTGAGTCTCCATATATCCTGATTGTTGCATTTGTGGCATTTGTTGCATTTGAGGCATTTGTTGCATTGGTTGCATTTGTTGCATTGGTTGCATAGATTGCATTGGTTGCATAGATTGCATTGGTTGCATTTGCTGCATTGATTGAATTGGTTGCATTGACTGCATTGGCTGCATTTGTTGCATTGGTGGTTCATGAATTGGTTGAGACTGAGGTGCTGGTGTTGGTGGTGCTGGTGGTGGTACTGGTGCAGGTTGAGATTGGGGTTGGGATTGAGATTGGGATTGAGGTGATGATTGAGTGTCTGGTACAATAGGTGTACTAGGCTTGCGGATCTCTATCATGTTTTCAGACATCTCTTTTTGAAGGCGAGAAATGTCACTAAGGTCATTTATGAGCTTATTTTGCATCCTTGTCATGTCATCAACGCGTCCGGTTAGGAGCGTGATTTGGCCTTGAACATTGATAAGTAAATCAAATATTTGACTGTTGGTAATGGTCGACATTGAGAAAAGAAATGGTGAATATTTTTGCGCTTCCTGCTGATTTTTATTGTTATTTCTTGCGTTTACGGGGGACTTTTTTTTTTACACGTCAGGACCATGACATCCACGAGAATTTTTTTGGGTATTTATGATCTCCGCTGAGAATTATGATTGATGACGCAAAAAAAATGTGAATTCAGCAGACAAAAAATCAGGGACAGTTTCCTTTTTAATGCCGATAACCGCCGTTATTGATTCTATTGTTTTGGTAAAGCATAGAACATATAATAGTGTAAAGTGGTATATGTAAGAGAAACAAGCAAGAGGAAAGAAAGATAAACGAATATTGTAAGGATATTGCAATACTTGTATGTGTAATCGTAGCAATAAGGAGAATAGATTTGTCAATAATATTTACTTATCAAACACATTTTTTTTGGTTATAGAAATTGGGTTGAAGTGTGTGTTTTATACAAAAAGTTGCGCTATAGTTTATTATTCATTTTCTTGACATTCTTTTCTCTCTCTCTCTCTCTCTTTTGTTATCAATAGCTTTTAACAAGCTCCATACAAACAGTCAAACCTCTCTTTTCATTACTTAAATGTACGTTTTTTTTTACTATACAATGTATTCAATTCGACTTTGATTATCAATTACCTACTGCTAATTAAGCTAAAATATAGAGATTCTCTTTTTGAGTTGAAAGAAAGAAAAATGGTTTTAAGAGTCTATAATACATATGTGATCGAGGGGCTTTCAATAGATCCAAATGAGATATGTATATAGTTATCAAATATTCTTTAAATGAACTTTTTTTAGGTACAACTCACAGCTACAAACGACAGACAATAAGTATAATAGCTATATGTAGCTATTCCATAATAAACTGACAAAAAGAAAATTGCGTCCCATTCAAGTTTCGACTACCATTACTTTTGATTGATTTCTTGAAGACAATGATATTTTATTTTATTTTTTAAAAAATAATAATAAGGTTCGAGTACGAAATTTGTAAGGGAAAGTCTTGGAGATGGCTTTTAATCTTCTAGTCTGGATCAACTTAATTATAACAGCCAGCCTGTTATTTGATTGCATAATATATAGTTCTGGTTTGGGGACAACAAAAAATCAATTATTTTTTATTTATTCTTTTATCTTTATTGATACGGCTGTCGCATACAATTCGCGGTTCTTTAAATATAACAAGTAAATATATACGATATACTATTCCCTGAAAATATGTCACGAAATTCAGATATTTATAATACAAAACATACAAAATTAGATAATGGCACCATACTCAGGAAAGAGTGAATATGAAAGGGAAAAAGATAAAGAAAGTCTAACTTTCTTAGCTACCAATGGGCCATGTACATCTTTAATAGTAGTAATTGGCTTGGCTTCAAAGAAACCTGCTATATACATGCTAGATAGACTGAATGGTAAGTTGTGGCAACCTCAATCTGAAGAGAGAGGAAGACATACGGAGAGAGGCGAGTACTGGTGTAAATTCAAGCAACATCGGGATTGAACCCAGTGAAATATATTTGCTGAAGTTCTGTATCACACACTTTAAGCTTTTTGGTACAAGAACAGAACAAACAATATATATTATCTGGATCAATACGACATGGCTAGTAGAGCATGCTGTAGGAAGGAGAGAAAGTGCATTGGAAGAGCAAATAAATTGTAGAAGCCCTATCTCAGAGAATTCTTTACCATAAGAAAGGTGAGTTGTATGGGTTGGGCCGCCACAAAACCTTTCTAGATGAAATGTCAGTGGGAGGACATTAAAATGGAGTAGGAAAGAGGTGACACCTATGTGATACAGCACAAGCCTCGTGGAAGTGGTGCCTTTCAAACTGATCAGTTTTCACAAAAGTCCCCCAGTCATTAGTTAATCCAGGTGTATCTAACAGACCACAGAGCAGCAGAGAAAGGAATCATGAGAACACACATACACACACATATATATATATCCTCGTCGTGGTACTGAGATAAGGTGTGAATCTATTTTTTTACGAACATGAGATATGTCCTGGGTTGGTTGCCGATATTCATTTCTACAGGAATGGATCGGAAAGGTATTTTGTGCCCACATATCTGTCTTTATTATATTGGGGGGTATACTATGCGGTAAGATTAATGGCCCTATGGTGTGTAAAGGTATGAAATGAGTAATAGCTGGTTAGACGAAAAAACCGAGCGAATAAGAGAATATCTGAAGGAAGAATGTGTAAAACAGCTTGTAGAAGGGAGTTGTGAAGGAAGAAGAAAGATAAAATAATGAAAGGAGTATAATAATGGCATAAAATGAAAGCAAAACTGAAGTAGAAATACAAGTTAAGAAAAAAAAGCGTATTTAAATCGAGTATATGAATTATGAGGGAGGAGTTGGGGGTCATGCCCAACGTAATTTCAAAACATTTGTTAACTTCTAGTGTCAAGTAGTCTCAAATAATACTTGCTCAATTGCTGACAGAACATACCCCAAGCTGGACCACTAAGCCAAAGAAAGAGATATTTATGAGTGGGTTTGTGAGTAGTAAAAAAAAAGAGTGGGAACGAGAATAAAGCAAAAAATAAGGTCGTCCTGTGAGGTGGGAGTGATGGTGAGAAGGCAAAATATAACGCCAATACACGTTTTTTTAGGCTGTTGGAGAAATTAAGAACCACCGAGAATTTGGGTACTGTTATAGCATTGGTGAATTGTTACCGAAGGCAGTTATACAAAAGGCAAGATGTATTTATGCCAGCAAAAGTTACAGTTAAAATTTCCAGTAATTAAGCTTGGCTTGAATTCGAGTCTTTTTCTGACTCATAGTCAATCCAAGAGTGATTTTTTAAATACTAATGAACTTGGTGAGGAAATTGGAAAGACTAGGTTGATTATTAAGTAGGAAAGTTTCTAGGTGTGTCTGACTCTTTCGGGTTGGGGCAGCAACAGAGAACTAAGACTAAATGTGGAGAATTGACAGAAGATAAGACCTTGTTGTTTTTTGTAGCTATATGCATAACTTATTCAACAGAAACAATGTTGGCGACCTATTCTGCAACAACATCTTCCCAAGCAACGTTCTTGGAATGTGCGGAATAGTATATAACATTAGTCAAGTTTTCAGATTCGTCGCAATGGCGTGGTTATAGATCGCAGACGGTACAGTTGGCGGTATGGGGGAGTTTTTTTTTCTACCAAGATGCCAGCATTAAGAAGGCACGGATTTAGAACGAGCCACTATATATGGGTTGAAATATATATTTTGAGATTAATGTTTTATGGGATGATAAAGCACCGAGGACAATAAAGACATCCAAGACAGTTGCTCCCTCACTAGGGATTTAGCCGTAACGGTTAATGCAAGCGTGTACAAGGTTGCCTTGTCATAAAGCTATATAACAGCTATGAAAGTAGGAATTCTGTAAATATTGTTCTTTGCGATGTTAAAATCCAAGGAGACTCCAGGAGAATCTGCTCTTATCAAACTATTAAAGGTGACACTGAGGACGGTTTCTTTGCTCCGTGTTTTGAGGTTGGCAAAAGGTGCCTCACCAATAATATACTGTATTTCCAATTGATTGTGTATATAAGACACATCAAATCTGACACTTTGAACGACGAGCTCACAGATCTCATTGTTGCTGGCGACTCTGTCTATGTTCGAAGTAACACTTACAGGATTAACATTGCGAGCCAAGGTAACAGGAATGGTATTCTGGCTGAGAAGAGCTTAATTATCTAGGATAATAAAGAAGATATGAACTTTATTGGTAAGAAGGAGGTCTGTAGTGTTGGAATTGTAAACAAATTTATTTACTTCATTATGTGTTCCTGAGTGATTTTAATCAGTGAGCAATGTTTCAGGGGTAAACTTTGAAAGCAGCTGTGTGTGTGTGTGCTTTATAAATTTAATATAATTTCTTTTTGTGGAAGGTCGTCCGATACAACTACTTTCGTCTTTTTCAAGGCCCTCAAATAAAAGCAGCAGGGACTAATTCTTTCTGTGGTAAATTATTTAACGCATTGTATTATTTTAAAATAAAGAGGTACACTGCTATAGAGTCTACCTAGTGTGTTATTGTATGACATCTTATTCAGTGTTGATAATACTAAAGATAATCTACCTATAAAATGTACCATTCACTCTTCTTTATTTTCAAGCATATGCAGTCTATGTAAAGTTACTCTGTTAATAGATACATAGAATAATGTCTTTTCTATACTCTACACACCAGTAAGCTTTAAAATGAAAACAAAAAGGAAACTAGCAGTTGGTTTAAATGTGTCAAAATATAGCGCTTATTATTTATTTATTTTTGATCTGCACCACTTTCACTGTCGAACAGTTATTAGATTGACAGTTTTATGATCGAGTATAGAACCTGAAAACTATATAAATAAATAAGCTTTCTTATTTCATTACTATTTAATATAAAATAAAATGAAATATTTCTTGAATTAGAATACATTTAATAAACTTACAAAATCTATTAATATATAGAAAAATAAATAAATAAATAGGTAGGTAGGTAGGTAAGTAAGTAGGTAGGTAGGTTTATTACTAAGAATCGTCTATATTTTTACAGGATATATTAGCGATGGATCAAAGCCCGGCTTCGAGGGATGCGCCCATGTTGTATTTTTACATTTTCACACTGAGGGCCTCGTACATTGCTCTTCAACGAAATATAAGGAGATGTCTGATCAATTTTGTTTCCATGTCGCTTACTCTCAGAGAACACAAGTGCTTTCTTTAATATCGCGGCAGTCTTGTAAAGCTGTGCTTCCAATGTCTCTTCAGTCGTTATTGGCTCTAAATCCATATCCTCCTGCTCTTTTTCAAGGTCACGGATAGTTTGTTGATACTCGCCATACTGATCTTGTAGCTCTCTAGACTCTTGTCGCATTCTATGCAGTAATCGTTTGGTATCGCATACGGCTCGCTCTGACACCTCTTTCCATCGCGCAATAGTCTTTGTATTCTGGAGCTGAGTAGACTGTAATGTCTCCTTTAGTTTTTTGTATTCTCTCATAAGTGTCTCATATTCTGTAGGATGGTTCAGCCTAATTTCAATTGGCTCTTTAGATCCCAAACCCTTACGTTTCCGCGAGGGATTAACACGTTCGTACAAGGCACCCTGACTCTTTTCTAGAAGATCCATGAGATGCTGTGTGGTGTCAATGTTTTCTTGGAATCTGGTTAATAATTTAAGAATAATGGTTTCCTTTCGGGAAGGTGACATGAACATATTTCCTAAGCATATGCGCTGTTTTTTGGTTTTGGTTTATGAAGATAAAAGTCCATGTGATTAGTAAATAAGAATACAAAGATGACAAATTCCATTTCATACTTCTTTGTTTAAAAATCGATAGGTCGGAGACATCATATCCCACGGTATATCCATTAAAAGATCGTTTCGGTTATTATCCTTTGTATCTATACAGCTATAATAAGTTGCAGATGCCTAGGTAATACAACGAAAGAGAAATCAGTACAATAATAAAATGTCCAGAAAAAAAAGACATATATCTTTGTTTGTATCTTGACCTTGAATGCTTTCAAAAATTCAGCATCTTCTCTCATTTTAACTTTAACTTGCCGAATGGATCGCCGGGCATGTTGTGACTCCTGAAGTAGCAGTTCGATATCTTCCCGGCATAATCGTGAGGTTGAAAGTACATTTGGTGGCTTTAAAATACTCTGTGAAGCCTTGTTTAATCCCAGATTTTTGGTAGTATGGTTTATTTCGTGAGAAGGGTTCAAGGGAGACGCCGGAAGACGTGGAGATCGCAAGCCCTGCCTGATGATTTTGGTCGGTTTTACCATCTTTGTCGATCTGGTGGATTTGATAGGCCTAATTAATTTAAGTATCGGTGTTGAAGGCTTTTCTGATCGCTTCTTGAACATAGATCTCGACAGAGGCCGTGGTGAAGGTGGTTCCAAAAGGGAATTAACAGACGGTGTATTGTATGGTTCGTCTGTTGTAGAGTTAGATATACTTTTTTTGGCTTGTCTTGATCGATATGCTTCCACAAGCCGACTTGAACCCCCCGTAGCTACTGACACTTCGGTTGCTTCTTCTATTGCCTGCGCCTGCGCCTGCGCTTGTATCTGTGCTTGAACTTGAGCTTGAGCTTGTGCTCTTGTGTACGCTTGAACCTGTGCTTGTACTTGTGCTTGCACTTGTGCTTGTACCTGTGCTTGTACTTGTGCTTGTACTTGTGCTTGTACTTGTGCCTGTACTTGTGCCTGTACTTCTGCTTGCGTTTGCATCTGTACTTGTGCCTGTTCCTTTGCCTTTACCTGCATTTTTATTTGAGCTCTTAACTTATTTCTCTCTTCTTCTACAGCCACTAGTGATATTTGAAGTTTTGTCACCATGGCTTGCAGATTATCGTTCTCTATCTTTAATGTGTCCATTTCATCATTGACGGCACGCAGGAATTCGTTTGTTCCCTTGAGCTCTTCTTTCAATTGACTGACGGTAGCCTTGAGGCTCTTCTCTTCTTGTTCAAGTTGCTGATTTACCACAACCTTATTACGGATATTCCTGGCTCGGTTGGCATATTTTAGTGTGTTGAGGGTTTCGGCTGTATTAAGTTCCGATGGAGAGGCACATGCTAACATCAGGGTTTGACTGCTGCCTCCTAAACTGTCTTGAAGTAAGCGAGTGAGTTTAGAATCGCGATAAGGGATGTGTGATGCCCGTCTAGAAACATCTCCAAGGGCAGAAATGACATTTCCTAGGGCAGAGAGCCCGGCATTAATAGAGATGCCCTCCTTCGCACGGTCTCCAATGGCGTTTGTCCGTTTTAACTATGATTGCGTATATATATATATATATCGACCGATTAACACCACAACGCTATTGCAGCTAAGGACAGGTTAATCTTTTGCTTACTCTTTCCGATCCGGCCAAGTCGACAAAATGAAATTTCGAGACCAGCTTCTTAACGCCTGTCTCATCCATACTTTGACTATCTTTAGAAACTATGGTTTGTTTCAAAATGACTGAAAATATAGCATGCGATCTTGAAGACACATTGTTCATATCTGTGCTGGCTGTTTTCCGGGCCATTGAACCCATGCTTAGGAAGCTAGTATACTAGTAAGTTTTGACTGGACACGCACATAATTCAAATTACGGTTCTCAACTTGCCTAAGAAGTTCTTTGGGTGTAGTCACAACCTCTTCTCGTACGCCGGTCCAAGATATTTGTCCATGGCTATCTTCACGGATGCACAGGTTGAGTCCCTCACGTTTCACAGGGCTCAAAAGGTCCACAAGATCCTCATTGTGCAATTCCAAAAATGAAACAAATATCTGGCATGAATGGTAGACAGACCGCATGCTTTCCACGCGCTCAAAGAGTGAATAGACAAACCGAGGAACGATTCCACGATGTAGCTCGTTGTTAGTGGAATCTATCCCGATACCCATACTGTAAGTCTTTCCGCTGCCTGTCTGACTATAGAATGTAAAATATCGTAGGTGGAAGAATTTTATAGTTAGTCGCTTTTTGTTTTTGTTTTGTAGGATATGTCTCAATTATTTTGTGTTTTGGGGCTGAGTAAATTTACCCATAAGCAAGAATAGTAGCATTGTAACTGGGGAGCACAACAATAAAAACAACAACAAACAATATTAGTATCAGTTGAACCCATTTGTGCCTGTACACACACATACACAACAATACATATAATATATGTGTTCATACAAAAAGTCATATAATATTTCTTACCCTTTCACAAAGCTACTCAAAAGTGGTATAACACACGTGGTGTAAACTTGTTCTTGGTTTGCTGAGGGCGGATAAACATAATCGAATGTGAATAGTCGGTTGGATCCCACAGAAATTTGAGGCTGATTTGGAGTGATTTCTATCTTTTGGCCCCCATTTGTTTGTTTTTCTTGCTCAGTCAATGGTCTGACACGAACAGCCACTCTACCGACCATTCTAGTCAGTAACTATTCACGCATCAAACGTTGTGTGTATGTGTTTTTCTGTTCTTTACCTAACGGAAGATGACGATATCATATCAAAGAATTATGAGAAAGAGGAATTCGAAAATAATCAAGAACAATAAAGAGAAGAAATTAAAGGAGGACCAGCGTTTCCGGTTGTCTTTTTTTTTTTTAAAAAAAAAAAGTCCCCAGGTTTGTTCATCCATACTTTGGACGATCAAATTCTCCATAAAAAGTCAATATAACAAAGGAGAGGAAATGGCACTTGTAATAAATGTATAGCTCATGATTACGAAGCAAAGATGTTGTTGCTATAACAACCAAGAAAAAAACGTATCGTACAAGTCCATCTATATGATGATGATGGGGTTTGAATATTAGATTTCCGGAGTCCTCTGCTTTCGGCTGGTAGCGATATTTGGACAGACACAAAACAGCAACAACAACAATAGAGTGCATATGAAGGTGTCAATACATTATCCACACTCTGATTAACAAGGTTTATTGTGCCTACAGTACCGGCGATCGCTAATTACCCGAGAAAGTTGATTTTGCTGTCGTGTGCAAGAAGCAATTCCAACTCACAGAATGTCTAAATTATCCTCTGCCAAGCATTAAAGACATTCTTCAAAAGAGAGGAGTCTTCAATTTCTTAGTTGGAATTCTCTTGTGACTAAACGAACTTGACGTCTAAATGCGTATTATAAAAGCCCCCTTTTTTTTATATACTTCTTTAATCTACGAATATTTATATAAAGAACAATTCGTATAGATTTTTATTATTATTATTGTTACAAATACCTTGAAGGTTTTCTCCCCTTTTCATTCATTCTGCTTCATTTTCTTCTAGTCTCTTTAGGCATTAGCTCTCTTTGATTTCTTTTTTTTTCCCGAAGACTCCTTTGACTTTTTTTTTGACGGCTTCTTCTTCTTGGGGATGTCTCCTATTTCCTTGACTATACTCTCCTTTACTGGCTGGTCGTCTTGTACGAGGACAGTTTTTTGTAGCTGGTCAATATATATTACCAATAAACCATTTAGTAAATCGCTCATATCACTTAAGTTGTATAAATAAAGTCAATAGAAAGAAAAAAAAACTTACGTCTTCTGGCTCATGCGAATGCGAATGTTCATCTCGGGTATTTTTGTCAAGACTCCAAGGATTGCCACCGTCTCCCCCAATTTCTTCATAGACCCCAAAGCCAAACGATGAATCCACGCGTAACCGATCTGCGGCAAACGAATCTCCAAAGTTCTCGCTATTGAGTCTGGGTAATATATCTTCATCACTCTCAGACCCAATGTCTACTGGGCGTATGTCTTCGTTTGTATTGTTTGACATTGTCCACACATCGTCTAGTTCACTTCTATAAGTTGTGGACACAACACCCTGTTTCTCTTCTTCTTCTTTTTCATCGTCTGAGATTATCTGAAGCGAAGCCAAGCGTTCCACACGTGGGTGAGATGTTGTGTCGTTAAAGTATTCAACCGATTCCACATCCTCATCTCCAGCCACCATAGGATTTCCGTCATACTCATTGTCTGAGTCTGCTGCCGATGATTTTAAATTGAGAGGAAGTTTAAAAGAATCATCTTTTCCTCCATCGTCTCCAAACCAGTCATCTTCCAAGGAGCCAGAGTCTAAATGATCGACAACAGGTGGCGGAGTTTCGGTAGGAGGTACAAGTGAGCCCTGTCTTTTTTGTATCTTTACGGGTGCAATGGGAGGTGAGGGCGTGTCTTGTCTAGCAAACGCTTCGTGGCTAATATCCAGCAGAGGGGATTCTAAGGCAAAGGAGGTGAGGTACTGCTATTACCATTTATGCTATTAAGATACTTTACGATGCTTCTCCAGCTCCTCGAGTTCATTTTCCCATGCTTCTTTTAATTCTTCCCGTTGACGTGCCAGATGAGGTTCAGCAGCTAATCAAACTAGACTTAATGGCCGTTTTTTCTCTTTTCTTTTCTTCTTTTTTAAATAAAACACATCATTAATTTTTAGCCTACGTTGGTCAAAGTTGTCTTGGCCTCTTCTTCTTCTCATACTATCAGGAACATCTTCTTGTGAATCCAATCCAACAAGCAGATCTATTATCTCATGCGACTTGATCTCCAACTGCTTTCTCAATGTATCCATCTGATTCATAATTTTAACCCAGATTAGTATCGGCTTTTGCTTGCCTTACTATATCGAAGCTCACCATTAATTGTAAAAATGGAACACCAAAGTATTCGTATATATATTTTAACCCCATTCCGGACTTTAGGCTCGTCTCTGCATAGCGAATAAGATTAGGTTTGATAGCTCCATCATCAATCCGCTGCTTATTGTGCTCATATAGTGTAGCGTGAATTTCTTCTGTGGTGACTTTGCGTTCCTGACTATAAAAAAAGAATACATATATATTCTGCTTAGAAAACATTGATACAACCAATAAAAGCACGTAGATCCACTCTATATTTTGATATAATCTCAGCTTTTGACTCTTAATGCGTTGTAAGATAAATCTATATTTTTTTACATACCTACCTCTTATCACAAAAGTTGCCCTGAACACACGCGTATATATATGAATAAATTTAGTGGATTTGTACATTCTATCTACGTCAAAAGATGCCATTTGAATTCTACATACGACTTACAAGAATAAGAACAGCCATGTTGCTTGGAACATTGGCTAATTCTTGATTTACATAATCAAATGTCCATGGTTTTGTCACGTCAAATAAGAACAATGCTGCCTGAGCATTTCTATAGACATCTACAGTCGAAGCGTCCAACGCAAGTTCAGTAGACTCGGTTGTGTTTGATGCAGCAGGTGTGTCTTCTGGAATGGCGCCATGTTGAAGCTTAATTGCGCCGTCTCCTTTCTTGGAGCTATTGTTGTGAGCCTTATCGACTACATCCCAAATCTCTATCTTGACAATATCATTGCTATCTATATACCATAATTTGTTTAAAACAGATGATTCTATTCCTTTATTCACCAGTCAAAGTGGCTACTCTCTCTCTTTTTTTTTGCTTTGTTACCTTTGTATTGCCAGGGAATATTGGCTACTTGGATTTGTGGCGTAGATTGGTAAGTCTCTTCATATTCTTCTCCTTGAAGACGATTAACTGATATATGGATTTTTAAAATAATAATAATAAAAAGAAAGACGTTATTCAAATATAAAGCATAGGTCGGAATGAGCGTGTCTTTTTACATACAAAGTAATGATTTTCCTGTCATGACATCACCGCGTAAAACAACCTTCACTATATGCAAGTATAATCAAATAATAATTATGAATTGGAATGCATCGTTTTGGTAATTACACTGAACATACTGTTGTATTGAACACCTTTACGAAATGCATTGTTCATAGGTCTGAAAGACTGTTGAGATGGGGTAGTTGGTACAAGGCCATTTGGCACTGGCTCCTTTTTTTTTTAAAAATAAATAAATAATAAAATAAAATAATAACGATAATATATAAGAATTCTGGTGTCGAGCTTGGTATATATATATATGTATATATGCGTGTGTGTGTGTGTATGTGTGTTTTAGGGCTTACAGTCTTCTTGGGTGATCCTAATGACCAAAGGAAGTTCATCGTTTACTCGGGATGAGATTCACTTTTAGAAATAGAGTGAAAATAAAAGTAATTAATATAAACCGGAAGTCAGAGTAAGACATAACTTTAATATTTCCAGTTTATCTATCTTTTTTTTCTTCTATATGAATGACGTCGTTCAGGTTCTTTATATATAAATCAGTCGTCTCCTGCTTGTTCCTTTTTATTCTTTTTTTTTCTAAATAAAGAAGAAAACACTTCTACTTGTCACTCAATACCAGTAAAGAAGCTTAAAGATGCTGCCGATAATCAAAGAAAAAAAAGAAATAAGACTTTCAAATAATAAATTTATTGAATAAATTGGATTGAACACAATATATCTTTATAGGAAAGCGAATATAAGCTTTTATTTATATATAAATCAGAGAAATCAAATTAGAGTATATCTAGGTCTAGGTGTGGGTGTGGGTGTGGGGCCGCATAAATACATGGACGTGGGGCAGTAATCGAACACTTTGGGTTTCTGGGGGGTTTACAAAATAAACCCATTCCCACTTATCGCTTCCAAAGTTTTCTTCCAGTAACTGAATTACATATTCTTTACTTAAAGGTACCTGGGACCACAACAAGACGTGCTTGATACCAGGATCCACAGAATACGGAAAGTCATTTGGCAAGATAATAACATTAGGCTTCCCATCAACAGAATCCGAGAATTTCAGTTTCTCCGTAAGCAAGTAATTCTCAATGGTTTTGTACTTTGGGAGAGTTTCTGTCATCCAATCACGGTATATCTTCTGATCAGCTTTATTACGACGAAGCGACGTGATTTGGTTGGTTACTAAAATAAGGTTAAATACTGTTGTTAATTATCATAGTTTTTAAAAAATACTTACACACAAAATGACGAATCTCTTCCCAGGGATGAACATGATCAGTGAATTCAGGAGGTATAATCTCATCAGACTTTGTCATGATGAGATACTAAGATTGTATAAAGAAAGGGGTATTGTGACTGGTAGACCATTCCAACCCGAAATTTAAATAGCAGAGAATATGTGTACATTGACAGTGTGAAATATTAGATTCAATATGGAATGTAAAAGGTTTATAACGTAGATATATATTATATAATGAGAAAGTATATTTGGAGGTAAGACTAGATTCCATCATGTCCGTTGATACTTGGGACAGCTCCTTCAGCTTCGTCTACTTTAAGCTGGCCATTGCGCACACTTTGACTCAATTTTTGAGCTGCAGTCAGTTTCTTTTTGCTCTTCTTTTCAGTTTTTTGAGGACGCACCACAGATACAGGCACAGGAGAGTTGTGGACCAAGAAAGTGGAAACGCTTCCCATTAGCATGCTATACACATAAGATAAGTTATTTGCTCGATAATATCCTATCAGTACATAGTTATTCACGTTTATTTACCCTTTTAATGATCCGCGGTCTCTAGAACCACATACAACCATCGTCAATGGAGTTTCACTTATCTACATAAAGTATACTCTTTTTAGAAGCTGTTTACAAGCATTAAAGTTAATTTATAGTTTATTTTTATTTTCTTACCACATTCAAAAGTGCTTCCTTAGTTTGTCCAGCAATTGTGTAAAGAGCGATCTTGATGTTGTACAACAGCATATCTCCTAGCACTGTTCGGACGTTGGAAATCAGCGTCTTTGAATTACGGTCCATCTGCAAACATCTATAGTATGAGTTATCAATAGCTTGGGTAGTACACGAGTCCTAACCTCCTGCCAGAGTCTTTTTTTCTCATCCTCATCCATATCATCAACATCTTCTTCCAGATTGATTACGCCTACAACATGAACTTCATCACCACTTCGCAGCATCGTTCCCATTGCCCAGTGCATAGCATATTTGCTCTCTTCTCCACCATCATATGCCATTAAATACTTTCTCGACTTTTTTGTGGTGTGAACTGTAGAGTTTCCGTAGGTCATGGTGACAATAATACGGTTAGTTTCTGTGATTGTCACTGGTGGTTCAGAGAACACAAGCTCAAGAGGTCTTCTGAACTGCTTTCCAGGCTTTGTTTCTTCTACAGCTGGCATGTCTTCAATAATAATCTGTCTGTTACTCTCTGTGATCTTGAAAAGTTCGGGATCACGAACAGCCAGGTCATCTTCATACTCGTCATCTTCGTAGTAATAACGGCGTCTCTCACGGGGTGGAGGAGGGGCCGCAGCCTCGCTATCTGATGAACTATCATCGCTATCGTCATCAGTTCTGAGCTTATTGGGATCTGCCTTTTCCATAATCACTGCCTCTTTTACTCTGCGGTCTTCTGGGGTGTCTCTATTCAAATGCTCGATTTCTTGTGCAAGCATAGCATTTAGGTCGAACGCAATCTCCTCATTTTTGGCCGTCTGCAATTTAGCTCGATTTAATTATAGTTGTTTTGGATGGGCTGAATGTGATTGTGAATGCGAAGGATTGAATTACCTTCTTTGGCTGGGTCTCTTTGAATGTCACTTTCATCTTCAGGAACAAGTAAGGATAGAAGATGGGGAAGGCTCTCTGAAAGTCACACTAACGAACAAAGGACCGAGGGCGGGACAAGTAAAAAGAGCTAGATACACCCCGTGTGTCTCAGGTGCACGGACCTTTTCCATAGAGACATCATGAATGTATTATAAATATATATATATATATATGTAATTAATCCTTACGATTGAGCCCGCAAGTTTAATATAAAGAACTATGTCATACTCTTAGATAAAATATAAAAATGATATATTATATATATTATTAATTTGTACTTTTTTTTGGTCTGTATTTCTTTTCTTTTTTTTTACTTTAAGATTGAAGGTTGTCCAGGGATCCACTTTCGAAGTACTTCTGGTACCTTAATTGTGCCATCTTCTTGCTGATAAGTCTCAACCAAAGCAATAATCACTCTAGGAACTGCCATTGCTGTTCCATTCAGAGTATGACAATAGTTCACCCATTTCTCTTTTATGTGCCATGGCACTCTAACGTCTTTAGGACCAACGTTTTCCTTGAACTGAGAAGAAAGATATCTGATATCCAAGCGTCTGGTTTGGTAATCAGTACAGTTCGATGTTGAGCAAATCTAATACACGAATTTTTTTTTATCAGTACTAGGCTTAGTATTAGGACCATATACCAAAATCCAGCTATTCACCTCTCCCCATGCTTCTCTTCCTGGCATCCAAGCTTCAATGTCGTATTTTCTATATGCACTAGCACCTAGTTCTTCTGTTGGCATATCGAGTACTCTAAAAAACCCCGGTTTAGTTCAAGTATACTTTACACAATATACAGCTAACGTAAAGAAAGAAAGAAGAAAATATTACCTAAAGCATAGTCCAAGCTCAGTAAAGAGTTCCTCTTGTAATTCTCTGAATTCTTGTAAAATGCCATCACTCTGACCTGGTGCTGCTACTGCAAATAATTCAACTTTCGAGAACTGATGAACTCTGTAAAGACCTCTCTCTTCTGCTGATCCATGACCAGCCTCTGCACGGAAAGCCCGCCCGAAACCAACCATACGCTTGGGTAGCTCGTCTTCATTGATCATCTTCTTAGCATACATTCCGGCAAGTGGGATCTCAGCTGTACCCGCCAAGCACAATTTTGGTGTGGTAGTATTGACAGTGCTGGTTGTTGAGATGTCATAAATTTGAGATGATTCCTTCTTACGGGGTTGGAATCCACATCCGTATGCAATCGATGTTCTTACTACGTCTGGAGTAATTATAGGCGTAAATCCACGGCTAGCAGCCTTATCCATGGCGTACTGGATCAAAGCAAATTCAAGCCAGACACCAGAATTCTTGAGATAGAAAAACTTGGACCCTGTTACAAGAGCAGCTTGTTGGAAGTCAACAAGGTCTAGACGTTCCATCAACGTAAGGTGATCTAACAGAGGATAACTCTCAGTTCTCTTTTCACCCACAATCTTGAGAATCTTGGCGTTCTCTTCAGGACCAATAGGAACGTCAGGATGAGTGTCATTGGGAATCATTAAAGCCTGAGTGACCATTTCAGCTTCAATTGCAGAAGCTTTTTCTTCTGCTACTCTGAGCTGCTCTTTGAGATGTTTTGCTTGGTCAATGTAAATCTGTCGCTCATCCTTGCTCTTTGCCGATCGGATCTGCTTATTTACTTCATCGCGCTGAATTTTGAACTGTTCAGCGTCTGACAGACTTTGGATTTGAGACAGGTACAATTTCTTGAGTAACTGAGCAGAATTCCCGTCATAATTTCTTTTTCGCATATTATCTTCAACCGCTTCGGCATTCTCGGCAAGATACTTATAATTCAATTGAGGTGGAATGCGATGAACTTCGTCTACATCTACATTTTTTTGAACCTGGGATGCGTGCATTGACCGCATTAATATATTTTGGGAAGTGCATGTTTGAAGACGATGCCTTGAGATCAGGGAACTATAGCGTAAACAAATTCTAAACATTTTTTTAGCGAGACTTCAAGGTTTATTGACCCTGTCAATATTTTACCCTGCAGAAATAAAAAAAAACAGGTGTCAAATTTGGACCTGAGTTCCTGGCTGACCTTTTTTTTGTGGAATTTTCATCCACCTAAAACGAGTTGTATATTTTTAGTATTTGAAAAGAACAAAGACTATCCCATTAAAGTTAAAGGTAACAATATAAAAACATCGAGTATTGTACATTAGATATATATGTATATATTAAGCTACTGCTTGGAGCAACTCTAGCAGTTTCTTTACATAGAATCTTTAAACCCACATAAAAATTTCGACTTTATTCCAAACAAGGACTTAAAGCAAATAAAATCTGAAAGCAATTCCAGCAGTTTCCATATAAATCTTTAAAACTAAAAAGGGTGTAAGCTTGTATCGATTTCTCATCAGCTCCCCTATGATATTAAACTGTCGTGTCGACAAAGTTTAACAAAAAAAATGAACCCCGCTTTATACCTCATTTATTTCCATGCTTCTAACCCGGTTCACAACCTGGACCTCCAGTCTGCTTCTAGTCCGTTTTATTAGCCTGATGAATTAAAGCCAAAGCTCGATATAGTAGAGAGGGTGTGGGCTTATAACAATTTTATTAAGCACTACTTGTACTCATTCTTTATGCTTCAATTGCAATTTTTCTTATTTCTTTGTTATTGCAATTCAAAAGTAAATACGCTTCAATAGTCTACTTTTGTTCCACTCTATTTTTGCAATTAATGCAAAGCACTACCTTTTCCCTTCACCTCCACACAATACAGAAAACAATAAAAGTTTTTTTTTACTAAATTATTAAAATAATACAGCGAATTACAAAAATGATATTCTGAGAATACCTGGCAAAAATCAGATTTGAGGTTTTTGTATTTTTTTTTCTTTGTTTGCCATTAGTATTATACTGGGATCTGATAGTATTTGTGCTTCATAATGACCCTCTGGAACATTCTAACTTGGATTTACAGTAATTCTGACTTTTTGAACATTTATGTACCTATTAAAAATAGTGTCATCATCCCTCGATTGATTAAGAGTGTGTCTGGAGTTCAAGATAGTGACAAGCTCTCTAATCCACGAACCATTCTTAAAATTGACGAAGTTACGTTCTCTAAAAAAAGTTGGGTTGGTAGGTCTTGAATGATTTATAAGAATATTAACAGTTAAACATTGATCCCCGGTTGTAATATTACTTTAGGAGCTCATGTTATATTACAGCTGGTATTTGAGAGCAGCGAGGTAAGCAAGGGCTGGGAACTTGCTTTAGTTTTACAAAATATAGCTAAAAACATGAAGAATGGTGATTGGACATGTCAAACGTATAGATAAAATAAACATCAAATCCACGTTTTCAAAATAGTCCTCCCATTTCTACACTTTTTTTTCGCTAGAGATGTATTGATAACATCTTAGTCTAGCCGCAGAAAAGTCCTCATACACGCAGTATGGAAGTTATTTTTGTTCATAATTAACAAATATGTAAAGATCACAAATTATTTCGTGTTTTTCAAATAAAAAGTCATAAACTTAAGCAATTTTCTCCAAGTCAGGGATGCAGACTCTTCTGGATGTGGACTATTGGAGAGTGTTGTGATTCTGGTTTGAGATCAAAATACCAAAACCGTACGTTTTTGCTTGTCTTTCTGAATCTCATAACACTGTTTTTTGGTAGCAAAAAGGTTTTTTGTTATCAAAGCTAGTTGTTATTCCCCATAAGGCTACTTTTTTTCGAGAATAATTTCTAATAACTTCCCCGAGATATGTTGGCCCACAATTCGAGTATTAATATATATATAGCATAGAAACCAGAATCAGTAAAGATGAAAAGAGTGAAAAGGTTAATGTCCATAATATTCTAGGACTTGAAAAATATAAAAGAAGGCAATGCTTTATATTACTAAAGAAGACAGGAGTTGTATGGTAAGTACAGTAGAATAGTGTATCTGATATAAGAGCATATGATAGATTAGAGTATCGATAGCCCATTATTTTTTTATTGTACATTACAGCTCTATGATGTGTTATCCGATATAGGCAGTTACTTATAAAATATAGAGAAGTATATTAGTTAATGAGTAAAACCTTACATCTGCGAGAAATCAGATAGATATTATTTCCTATAAAGTAAATGGTCAAAACAAGACTATATTTGAAAAAACATCCCATAGAATTACCTTATAAACCGCTATTTATTTTCCGTAGTAATAGCTACATAATTATCTATAAAATTTGGGAAGAAAGAAGAAAAGAAAAACAGATAAGCTCCTTCTGAATCTCCATTGGGATATCTCTCTAAGTTTTTTTTTGCTTGGCCAATAGTGTAAGATATATTATAACAAAAATACCCAATCACAGATGTACTTATAGTAGTGTGTGGGTTCTGTGTGTTATCTCGCTCACAGGCTCGATTTATTAGGTGGTTTCTTCATTAGATTTCGATCAATAATATATACACGATCAAGTCATACAAGATTAAATTTTCTACAGTTATTTTGTTTTTCTTGAATAGATTGTGTACATTAAATGGTAATCATTGGGGTTTAGGGGGAACGTCTATTTATCATCCCGTTAGTCCACGTGTTAATGAAATATACTTTTGGATCTCTTGATGAGTTTTTAGAGACATCTAATATCAAATTTTATATATAAAGAGTAGTATTACTGTACTGTATAAAGGTATCTTTTGTTCCTCCCAATCTTGTTGTATTATACCATAATCAGACTTAATATAGAATATTTAGGTACTCAAGCATAATCTTTTTAAAAAAAAAGAGTGGGAATAGCTCTACACTTTGATGACATAAATTGTTTATAAAGCGTCTGTCTTGTATCTCACAGTAAGTACGTTTGTGCACAGTACATATGTCGATTAATATTAGACGCCTTTACGATAATTTTAACTTCATAAATTTGTAGGTATCAAAGGTATCAATTATTGGAAAGTATCTGCAGAACTTGCATTAATATATACTTGTTCAATTGTCACTGTGGCTTTGTTTTCTATTTGTTGGCTTTTACGATTACGAGAGTGCATTTAAACCCTTTAGTCAACACCAGTTAGCTTCTTTTCTCTTCTTAATGATCTATCACACGAACCTTCAACTTAAATACTGTGCTTTTATGGTTGCACCTTTTACTTTCTTTGGGAAAAAGAAACGGGAATCCCACGAACTTTCTTCTACAGAAGGTTCTGTACCTCTAATGCTTGAAGTCCAATTTTGGATAGTATTGACACTATCAAGACATTCTTCCTTTGATTATACCAGTTGTATTTTTTAATGTATCTGAGTATCTGCTTTTTTTTAATACATCTCTATCTCTATCTATTTCTCTCTTATCAAATCCTACTAGCTAGTTAATATATCCTTGTGTATGGGTTTGTATTGTGAACTTTTGGCGGTGTCACTTTATCATTATCAAAACCAACACAGTCAATGATATATACATGTGTATTTGTATATAATCAAACTGAACACAAAAATATCGATAGTATCAAACGTCCGGATTGTAAATCGTGTTTATAATCTAATTTTAGAGGGGTATATTCACTCTAGTTTTCCAAACTCCTGTACTCTGTCATGGCTTGTCTTACCACACCTACAAACACTCTTTTTTTTTTCTTTATATTTTCATGCAAAAAAAACATGAAGACATTTCCGCGCCTTGGTTTAAAGCTAGTGATACTAAGATTGCTTGTACAAGAAGATAATCCCAAAATGCAACGAAGAAAGTTACATTTGTAACATACGCGGCGTAACCATGCTTTGGAAATGGTCATAGATTATTATACAAATAATGCAATCATATTTTATTTAAAACTTTAAGCTGGTGATTTGCAGTAATTATACAAAATATTAAGTTGAATTACTATCCTCATTATTATTACATGCATTTAGGTTGACAATAAATGATGTGCTTTATAGCCCATTTTATGCTTTCTTGTTTTATTTTTATTTTTTACTTTTGTGCAAATATTAATAATAATAGACAGAGGCTGAAGGGAATACAACCACTTTAATTTGTATTCTTGACCCTTCAAATATATATATATATATATATGTTGAATGGAATTCTAAAACAAACCAAAAAAGAAAGGTCTTTTTTTTTTTGATAAAACTAAGTTTACTTTGGTTGATTGGATTGTTTTTCAAAATATACTTTATGTAATTACAAGGTAACCATCTTGGTATATGAACTCAATGAATAAACCTATCTTTTATAGTAACTGACTCGCAAATAGCATCTATGTAAACTCGATAGGTGAATGACATCCGAGATTATATATGCGTATATGTTCTTCCAGCCAATAGCGGACTTGCTTTAATAATACAAGTTCAAGAAAAAAATATTGCCAAGAATAATTCATTGCACATTACTAATAAAACACCCGTCGTAGACTTAAAGTCCAAGTCAGTAAAGGCCTCCTATATTGCAAAAAAAACAAAGCGTGATAAGAAGCTTACATTTTTTTTACTGATTAAAATTAGCACAGATTTTGCCTAATAAAATATAGAGAAAAGTAGGTATATAAATATTAATAAAAATATTAATAAAAATAAAACGAGCCACAGACTAAAAGTTTACATTTTGCTTATTTATTTATTTTTCAATTTTCCCTGCTTAAATTGTTTACAAAATACCTTTTTCCTTGAGCTTTCTAACTCCGTAACTCCATATAGAATGCCAAAAAGCTTATGTTCACTATAGTAACACCTTCAGCAGTATAAGATGAGTATGTATTATAAATACTAATATACTTGTAAGTAGCTTTAGACTTTAAGTTACTGATAAAGTTTGCTTTATAAATGAATGAATCAAGCTTCTACCACATGAGGTTTGGTAGAACCCTTTTTTTTATTGTTCTTTATCCTAAACACACACACACATACACATACAATGGCCTGTGTGTGAGTCTATGCGCGTGTGACACGATCTATCTTGCTTAACATTCCTTTGTCATGTAAGACAAATCAGGCTTGTGTTTCAAATTATTTACAAAGTTCGATATATTTTAGATAGTAAAAAAAAGAGGATAAGACTTTTATTATATTTTGGGTTGGTAATTTATGGCATGAAGCCCAATTTTTTTTAAGATGATTAATGAAGAGCTAGAATGTCTATCTAGATTATAAGTATACATGAAAATAATAGCATATATTCTTCTCATAACTTTTACATGAATGGCAATAGAATAATTAGAAAAAAAAATGTGTGTGTGAAATGGAAATGGAAATGGAAATGGAAATGAAGATGAAAATTGTGGCATGAACATAAACAAAAGAAAATAATGAAGTGTGAAATGGTGATGAAATAAAGCAAGACTACATCATTGGATGTTCGTCAATAAACAGAAACTTGTTCATCTTGCGTGGATTAAAGTAGCGAAATCTAGCTTGACTCTTGACTTGAGTACGCTGTGCTTGATCAGGCTGTGGACTGTATGTGTTAAATTGGACAAATTGAGGTGCAGAAGAGAAAGATGGATTACGAGAAGATGCAATAGGTGTAGAGGGTAAAGTTCCAAATTGATTTTGGAAATGCAGAGGAGCGCCTTGAAATGATGAAGAAATGCATGTAGAAACAGATGTAGGTGTAGGTGTAGATGTAGGTGTACGAATGCGAGTTGGAGAAGGAGAAGGAGATGTAGATGTAGATGTAGGCTTTGATCGGGTAGGAAACGAAAGAACAGATAGAATCGAGCCAGACAAAGAGTTAGAACGTGAGGGATTTAAAGTGGGAGGAGCAACTGGAGAAACCGGAGCAACCGGAGCAACCAAAGCAACTGAGAAAGCTGGGGTATCGTGAGCAACCAAAGTAGTTGGAGAAAGGGGGGTAACAGGAGACTTGAGACTTGCAGAAAAGTAATCGGTTGGCTTAGTGGGGATCTCTGGAGGGGAAGCGGGCCGGCCAAACAATGTAGATGATAGACGATGATGACAGATCTCATCTTGAAGCCAGTCCCCGACTTGAATCCAGTTCTTGCTTTTTGTCTTGTACTCGCGAGTCTCACGAACGATATCAAGTGCATTTGATAGAGCATTCTCGTATTCAGTAAAGTCGATACCACGAAGGATACGGTCACGGTTTGCGGGGTCTCGGCAACTCTGCTCAATGCTCATAGCCAGAGAAATCACCTCAGTCGCACGCCACAACTCATCACGATCAAAAGCACACTGTCCGGAGCTTGTTTGATGACAAGTCTTTAGAGCACGAAGTTGTACAAGAGAAGCAGATAGACAGACATTGAGAGAATTAAGAGAAAGAGGAGATGGGTTGACATCGCTAGCATCAGGTATAAATATCTTGTGGAGGATAATCTGGGTCGCATTGTATTCAATATTTACTCGCACACAAGCCAAGAACAACTCTTCACATCCGTACTCAAACCCACTGTCAAACTTAAAGTACTCTGGTAAATCATTGTAAAACACCTTAAGACGACGCTCGTAATCGCTCAACTGCTCGACTTGTGTATCTTCATCCTTTTCGTAGAGTGTAGAAAGCATATCAGACTGAATTCTTCGCAACTTAAGGCAGGAAATATCGGCTAAAAGACCAATCTCGGATTCGTCGATGTCTTCTTCAAAGATCTGAGGTAAATCAACTTCTCCTTGAGACTTGACTTGAGGCATATTCTTGGGAGCACCAGATGAGTAGAGATAAAAGCTGTTGGCCCAGACATACCACCAGAGACGAGTATCCATTTCCTTGGAGAATGAGACATTGTCGTCTTCGACCATGCGAGGATAGATGTCGAGTTCTTGGAGAGCGGATACAGCCATACCTGCATAATGATGACGACGGCTTTTTCCAGTAAAGGCTGACATGAGTACAAGAGAAATAACGGTATACCGGTCAGGACTATCAAATGATTGAGAAAGGCACTTGCGTGAGCGGTTAAAAAAGTACTCTTCTTGACTCTTGATCTTGTCTTGGTCTGCTAAGAAGTGCTCCAGCCCAAGTATTGAGTGATGGGTAACCACATGACGAAAAGTAAAGGAACATATGGCATTGACAATTAAGGTGTCCAGAGG